CCCGCATCCAACGGTCCTCCGCTGCCGTTCGGCGGGCGTCCGTTGGAGTCGAGTCGGTCGCCGTGGATGACCTACATACACGTACATACAGCTGCGTCCATGCAACGCAACAACGCGACACCTGCATGCAGGCGCCTCATCCGGTCTTTCGTGTGCCCGGCCGGCTCCATTTTGCCGGAGGCTGCCAACTCATCGTCGACCATGCCATCCCACACAATGCGCGTGCTTTCGCACTCTGGCATGGCCTGGGATGGGCGACCTCCGCCCGTCCAGCTTTCTCCTCTTTTCCCCCTCCCCGCTTCCATCCATTGCGCGGCCACTCCCTCCCGCCGACCGACTCTCCGCGCGAGCGCAGCAGCAGCAGTAGTAGTACCAAGTATATAGTAGGGCGCGGTGTCTCCCCCCTTCCCGTCCCCATCGCGTCTGTCTTGATTCATGTCGGTGAGACACTTCTGTTGGGGAAGTCTGATAAGCTTGTTTTTTTGCTGCTGGCTTGTTGTCTTAACAACCCACGCTCGGCACTCAGCACAGCCCGCGATAGCGACAGCGTTAGCTCCGTCCCGCCCTCCCCTGCTGTACTGTGCCCTGCCCTGCTGGAACCCGCCCGGAATCCCGGCCGTCCTGGACCCTGCCCACCAGCCTTCCGCTACACAAGGCACCACCTATTCTTAGCTGGGCCGCAAAGTCCACTTCCACCCTCGGGAGCTTCCAAAGCTGCTCACCTGACCCGACCCGACCCAGCTTCCTCCCGAGACCGGCTATCCGTCACAGTCATTGGCCTCGGGCCCTCGTCCGCCTGTATCACCGCCCATTCCTGCATCCTTCATTTATCTTCCTCTCTCCTCCCATCCGCGCTCCCATCCATCCACTCTTCTCCCCTCTCCAGACATCTCGTCGCAGACAGCCATGTCCCGCGTAACGGCCCCCGTCTCCAAGCTCGCCCGCGCCATCGGCGCATCCACCGGCCCGCTGCTCGACGCCTCGGCCTCGGCCCACGGCGCCGGCGCCGCCCTCATGCCAAAGTACGCAGAGCTGCTGCGCACTCGCCGGAGCGGCGAGCACACGGATGTGCGTTTCCCCTTCCCTCTGCCTTCGTAGTCCGATCTTCCCCGTTTCGTGTTGCGGCGCACGCATTGGAACGAGAGCTGACTTGCAATGACACACAGTCCTCGCGCGGCCTCACCACCACCCATCGTCCCACGCCGCAGCCCTCCATCGCCAACCGGACCAAGCCTCTCATGCAGACCTTCCACTCCTCTTCTTCCTCGTCCTCTGCCTCCGCCGCACACCTAGACGCCGCCTTCCTCCCATCAATGGCCGACCTCGCCGGCCCGCCGACCTCCGCCTCCGGTCCGCGTGTGCCCCTGCTCCCGGACAACTACTCGGCCGCCCACGCTGCCGATACCTCGGACGCTACTGTGCAGCTCCCCGAGGTCTCTATTGTCGCAGCCAACCCGGAGAACGTCATTCCCGGTACGCCCCTCTCCGAGGTCGAAGGCATTGGCTTGGACGGCGTGGAGCTCAAGTTCGTCCACGAGGGTCGGTCCAACCGCGTCCAGGAGCTCGAGAGCGAGGGCCAGAGCGGCGGTATGCTCCGCGACCTGTGGAAAGGCATGGTCGACGATGTCCTTGGCCCTTCTAAACGCACGGCCTGAGCGCCTGCAAGGTTTCCCTGCTGCATGGGATGGCAAGGGACGCCCCTTTGTGCCTTGTGATTCCTGCTCGGTGGTGTTCAATGACGATGTAACGATATGGGCTGGGCGAGCCGCTTGCGGCCTCGGATGTACGTCCCTCGTTTGGAACGTGAGCGTTTATACTTGATTTTATAGCTACCTAATAACCTGCCTGTCTCGCGCCTGTTGGCCGACGGAAGTAAAAGCAATTTCGGCCGCAGTCCGGTCGACAGCAAGCACACCGACCGACCCCATTTGGCTCGCGATGCCGTGCCATACGAGGTGCCATTGTGCCAATCATCCAGCTGCCCAAATTCGACCCATCGACTCCCTTTGGTCGGCTCATGCGCCGCCCATCAAATGTGGTATCGTGTTCCATCCCCCCAAGAGCTCCGATGCTGCTCTTGCAAAGCGTCCATGTGCCCCCAGTCCGCGGTGCCCTTAGACTCGATCCCGGTGTGAAGAGGGTTTCTACCGCTTCTTCATCGACGGACGCGGTTTACACTCGTCGTTGGTGACGGGGTGCAGCATGACCTTGATCGGGTAATTCTGCGTGTTATGCTGGTATCCCTTGCTCCAGTCGTAACTGATGGCGTATGCAAAGATGCTGCCCGTCTTGTTGAACGTCGTCGCCGTGATGCTGCCCCCGACGTTGGGATAGCCCTTGAGCCGGTGCTTGGCGTCCTTGTCCCAGAAGTGGAACGTGCCGTCCGAGCCGGCCGTGCTGAACGTGCCGTGGACGGGGTGGAAAGAGATGGCGTTGACGGCGTGAACGTTGACCACGTTGTTGACGGCTGGGTCGCGGTGGCATTTGAACGAGAAGTTGGAGCTTTTCGATGTCAGCAATCTCGTCCGGGTCCGCTGGCGAATCCACATCCGTCTAGCTCAGGAGACTTACCTCGAGTCCTTCTCCTCGACGTATTGAATGGCGCATCGTCCCTCGATACTACCGATAGCGAAGCCCGCAGAGTCGGTGAAGCAACTAACAACCCTCGTCTGCCACTTGAGTGGGCTTTGCAGCGTCTTGTAAAACTTTGTCGGATTCTTGAGATCGATGACGTTGATGTAGCGGTCCGCGGTGCCCACCACGCACAGGTCGTTTCGCACGTCCAGAGTGTAGACGCGCTCCTGACATTGCACTGTCGCGGCGGGGCCCTGCTGCCGGAGGTCCCAGTACTTGACCGTCTTGTCCCACGAGCCCGAGACCACCATGGTGCCGCTGCCGCTGTCGAAGAACCGGCAGGATCTCACCGCCTGGTCGTGGGTGCCGATGACGATGTCCTGCTGGGAGCCGAGATCGCACACCTTGACGTTCTTGTCCGCGCCGGCGGAGGCCAACTTGGTTCCATCCTTTGCGTCTCGAGTGTCAGCTGCGAAGGGACGTTCGGTCGCTGAAGCACCGGCGAGGACTCACCTTGGAAAAGTCGCAGTTCAGCACGGGTTGGCTGTGCTCGTACGCGTGTCGGCCCTGGCTCTGGCCGTTCTGGGCAATTTCGTAGATGCGGACCTTGTTGTCCCAACTCGCCACGGCGAGAAAGTCGGGCGTGTTGGCGGCTGGGGAGAAGGCAAGGTCCGAGATGCTGTCTGTGGGGGGATCGCTGAGGGCGACGTCTTGCTTAAGGTCGCCAAGGGTGCTCGTGGAAGCAGAGGCCGTGGCAGCCGCGCCACCGCCGAAGATGCCTGCCATGCTGGGGTTCGTGAGGTCGTTGCTGTCGCCTCTTGCTCTTCAAGGGCGGCAGAGCCGGGCTGATGCTCTCTAGCCGCCGACGGGCGTCGGGACTCGGAATGCGAATACGCGTCTCGTGCGCAGAGCGGCCGTCAGTTCGCCTTGGGTACGAAGTAGCGGCCAGTCGACGAGCGTGCCGAGCTGAGAGGTTGGAGCCGGGCAAGCCTCGCCGGTCGTGCAGCCAGTGATCTAGGTCGTCGATATTCGTGCAGTTGTTGAAGGCTCGAAAGGCAGCTGTCGAGGGCCGAGACGCGAAGCTCGGATTGGCCCAGCAAAAAATCCCCCAGTAGGCACCCACCCCCCTGTAAGTGCATGTCCGGGCCGCGCCAACGTAGACCCGACCCGTCGCCGCCGCCCCGCCAAGCTGATAAAATTTCAGAGTTGCAAGCTCTGGCTTCTCTTTTCCTTCCCTTCTTTCTCTCCCACCCCCTCGCTCAACAAATCGCAATTCGAAGCTCACGCACGGAGACACTGCCAATTGGCGGCGTCTCGCAAACACGCTTTGGGAGAAAGTCCCCGGACGACTCCTCTCGGGGAGCTTGCGGAAACGCGCCGCCATAAAAGCACTGCGGCTGACCTCTGCGCCTTTGGCCCTCCTGCGGGCTGCGGCCCTGTCCTCCGCCACATCTGCCTCCTTCGCGTCTTCGCCGAGCCCGTCTGGTCCGTGTCCGGACACCACGGATGAAGATATGAGTCCGAGCCGGTCGCTTGCTGGCGGGACCTCTGCGGCGGGCGCGTGGCTGCGGATGGAGGGCAACCGTCGCGGTCGCGGGAGCGGTGTCGGGAGCAGAGGACTAGTTGTCGAGGTCCATAGTTATGCGATTGCTCGGCACATGCTGGGTTACTCGATGGGGCTTATTCTTGAGGCGAGGGGGTCAACACCGTCGCCATCTTGCGGCGATTCCATTTTTTACACTCTGGGCTTCGCTGGAAGTCATGGCCGGGATCGCGCCGCAAAGACGGAGACGGTTCAAAGTTTGTTGTGATGATGACCATATAGAGTCAAGCACTGAGGCTGGTAAAACCATGCCGATGCTGATCATTTACACATGTCAACTGAACAACTTTGAAACCAATCCTGTTCTTCCGGCAAACGGGCGGGCCTGGAAAGCAAGCACACGGTTAGACTACTCTCTGCTAGGTACTTTGTGACTGTGTATCTGAGCTGCGGTGGCGGGGTTGAAGTCTCCCAAGCTCGCCCCGGCGTCAAACGCCACGTTGGATGTTGTCCAGCATCGTTTGCACTGTGGGCAAGGTCATTCATTGATGTCCGACGTCGCCATGCGGACATCGTGGTGACACTACCTGCGATGAACGCGGAAGTGGCTGAAACCATCACGGCTGGGGACACACACTGTGGTCATTGCAGCGCTAAAACGTGCATTAGAGCAACGCGACATTCACCACTTTACGGTCTGCCGACCGAGGCGATTGGCGACGGTTTGTTCACCCATGTGACGCGCTGTTCATTCAGTGGTCAACCACAGTCCCCAAGTGGCACTTGTCAGAACTGCGTCTCTCGATGATCGTCCCCGGCAAAGGCTTCCGGCGGGTGGATGTGTTTTGCCAAAGGAAGGTCCGGGACCCGTTGCTACACACCAGGCTGATAGTAGTAGATGTGCCATCTCCAGCGCAGGCGCGTCCGCATCATCCCCCGCAGTTCTCCTCGGAGACTTTCAAGGCTTTTGCACATGCCGTCCCCAGCCCGCTTGGGTTGATGCTGGGACTGGAGATGCAGATCGTCGGCGCTTGGCTAGTCTGGATTTCGACATGGTTGCCGACGAATATGGGAGGGCAGCTTATAACATTGCACATATGAATCGTGGTGGTGGTCGGTCAACTCTAGTTCAGTCCATGCCCCCAAGTAGAGAGCCCTACTTCCAGACCACGAAGTCGCTCCACTCCTCATCCCGTTCGTCACGTCCATTCACCAAGCGGGATTCCATCCATGGCACCATTCACGTGACCGCCGTGGACGACGGCCCCGCCAAGGGGGGAAACCGTGCGGGCTAGGCTACGCTGGGGAAAGGCCAGTCTGCAGTGGGCGTTGAATCCCTGTCCTCGACACCCACCCACGTTTCCCCTGCCTCAACGCCTTCTTCCGGGCACTGTCAGGCGGCCTGTCTTGCCCTCTCTGCAGGTAGGAGGAAGAATGCGCCGGCGGTTGAAGGCAAACGGTGAACAAAGCCAGGAACCGTCGTTGGTGAGACAGACGCTTCGTTCGCGCGCATGAGAACACGCACGCAGATCTGACACACCATGCGAGTGCCCAGTCGGGCTGCATCGTCGTGCAGCTTTCCTGCCTGCATGGGACGGCTGGACGGGTGCCTTGTGCCTGGCCGGATAACTGGGGCCCCGGCGGCGCACGGCGTCGCACCACATCATGCCCAAGGACCAGTCGCCAGCCAGCCTCGCCCCAGACGCAACATGGAAAAAAAGCGCGCCCCGTCAGGCACAAGCACTCTGGCGTGCCTGCCGTCCCTCTCCCCCTTCCCAGGCCCCAGTGGCCGGCGCGGGCGCGGGTCCCAGGTTCCCACCGCGGAGCCCCGGATTAGCTACGTCCAGTCTCGCCCGTTGTTGATCGCCCCCTCTCCAGAAGGCGGGCAACCGGCCAGAAGTGAGCTACCAAGCGCAGCAGACATCTCGCAGCCAGCGCCCCTGGCTCAACATTTCGCAGCGGCAGAATTCGGCGTCCAAGTCTGCCGGGGGTCTGTGTTGGTGCTGACTCTGTGTGGCGCCGCGTCCGTGTCCTGTATGTGTGTGTGTGTGTGTGCGTCCCCCAGCATGGATGGGATGGAGCCCGGGATGGCGGCGCCCGTGGCTCTGTGCCGCTGCAGATGCGGACTGCGAGAGAAGGAAGCTTCCCGTTGTGGATGGCCCCAAGTTGCATTGGTCTCGAGTCGACCCAGGTCCTCCTCCTTTCGTGCCCTCGCCCTCGCCCTCGCCTTCGCCCTCTCTCAGCGAGACCTCGTTCTGTACACGACACGGCGTTTGACAGCGTGGCTATTTCTTCCTTTCCTCTTCGTAATACCTCCTCCGCACCACAACCCGAGTTTGTCGCTCTTGGCGTCCTGTATTATCGAGTGGGCAAAAGCCAGCAACCCCCGGCGTCGCATCGTGACTGGCCGCCTCCTCCACCAACCCCAGCCAGCGAACCAGGTGTGACAGAAAACACCAGACGAGCAGACGAGCAACACGAGTTCTGCATCTACGCCCCCTCTTTCGCCTTTAAACCGTTGTCGAAGTCTGGTCTGGAGGAAAAATCTCCATAGCAAAGGCAAAAACCGCCATCATGAGACTTCTCGTTGCCTTCTTCGCCTCCCTCTTCGCGCTTGCAGTGTCCGCCATCGACCTCCTCGAACTTCAGAAGAAGCTACCGCCATGTTCCCTACCTTGCCTCATACAAGGCGTCAGCGACAACGGCTGCTCGATCGACGACTTTGCCTGCCAGTGCTCGAAGCTCGAGAAGATCATCAAGACCGTCGCGCCTTGCCTCGTCAAAGCCGGCTGTGGGCTTGAGAACATTACCGGTGCGCAAAAGTCCATCCTACCAACCCGGTTTATGAACGCCTGGCTCGTCCGGGAGTTGATGATGGCATGCTTTGCTAACGATTGCTCTTTCATGTTGTAGCAACGGCCTCGATCGTGTTCGATGTGTGCGAGCATGACGTACCCGACAACGTGACGCTCGAGACGTCGACCAACACAGCGCCCGCTGGCGCAAAGGCCACATCCGGGGCCGTCACGACGGCAATGATTGCCCGGGGCGCAGGCTGGGCAGCCATCGCAGCCGTCGCCGCCTCGGCCGTCATGCTATGACGGACATCGCAGACAGCAAGAGGGCGAAATGTGAAAGGAAAGAAAAGGCACGGAACTTTGAATCTGCCGAGGAAGACCAGCCAGGAGAGGGAATCTTGAAACGAAAATGTCGTGTGTTGGATTATTCTGTACAACAGGGGTGGCGCACCACCTTGCTGCTTCGTCTTCTGTCTATTGTCTATGAGCTCGTCTATACCCAATGAAATGGCGCGTATTCTCCAAACATGTCCGCTGTCGCGCTGCTAGAGATTGGTGGCAGCTCTGCCTCATGACCACGGCAGCCGTTGTACCGACCAGGAAAGCCTCAGCAAGGTCCAAACGTGCCCAGAGCGCCGCCACTACCGCCCGTGAAGAGAGCATGGCTCTCATCCAGCCCTTGGAACTGGCTGGCCAGCTCCATGCCCTTCCTGCGTTGGGCCTCGACGCGGCGCCAGTCCCATTCACCATCCTTGGACAAGTCCACGTCGGCGACATCGGCGCTCTCGTCGCCGAGCTGCGCGTCGCCGCTGGTCCAGCCGCCGTCCGGCCGCGGCGGAAGCAAGCCAGACTCCTCGAGCACGACGGCCGGATGGACGGTAATGCGGCCCAGCTTGAAGACATACTTGCTCACGGCCGTGGCGTGAATCTTGGTCTCCCATCCGCCCATGGCGTCGCCCGGCCCGCGCGCGCGAACCTTGCCGAACCGCGGGTCAAGCCACTCGGTCGGGCGCGCCGCGCCCTTGGGCACAAAGTGTGTGATGATGTACATCCACTTCCGGTCCCAGCTCAGGACGCGGCTCCACAGCTCGTAGCCCTTGTATGCGGCGATTTCGCGCTTGAAGCTGCAGCCGACGGCGCCGAGCAGAATGCCGAGGGAGCCCTTGGCGGGCTTGCCAGTGCGCGGGTCCTGGATGAGGCGCGTCTGCGGGTTGTGCGCCAGCTTGCGCAGTGCCGGGCGGCAGAGGTAGCCGACCAGGTGAGTGCGCGAGACGTCGAGGTCGGTGAAGTAGGTCGAGTTGGACTTGTGCAGGTTGTAGTCGATCTCGAGGAGGGGAGTGCGCGTCTCGGAGATGAGCGGCTTGAAGAGCGCACGCGGCGTGAGCGCTGGCGACTTGCGCAGGACGTTGTGGTAGAGGATTGCGTAGAAGACGCGGTACTGGACGACGGTCAGCCATATTGCCTCGTCAATCGACGTCGAGCGATCGGCATACAGTCCACGCAAAGGGCAGGTTCTTCCAGTTGAACGCCACGAAGAGCAGCAGCAGGATGCGCGAGGACCGGCCCGGCCCTGTCAGGAACTTCCGAACGGCAACGGCCCAATTGATGCGATACGCCGCGTAGCCCGCGGACCCGACGGCCAGCGGCGTGAGGACGCGCACCGCAGCAGTCAGGCCGCCGACCTTGCTCGACGCAGACGCCATGGGAGCGGGTGTGAGGCGTTGGGGATCCAAACGACGCCTGTCTCGTCACTAGGCGTGTATGACAGTCTTTCGAGTTCAGCGGGCTCGCGAGGCGACAGGCAGGCTTCGAGGGGCGTGATCGCGATGAGCCATGCGGCGTGGACGTGTGAAGAAGAAGAAGAAGAAAATGAGCGGAACGGCCAGACACTGGCGGGAGGCGTGGTGGTGGGAAACAAGGCGAAGGCCGTCACGGGAGCGCTGGCGGTGCTGCTTATGTCCCGTCCTGAGGTTTAGCGACTGCACTGATCACTAAGCCCACTAAGCTGACCTGGAAGGTGGTGAGCAGCCGAGGCTCAGCGACCGAGCGGGCGCCAAAGTCCGCACCCGGAGCGGACACGCCGGCGGTTGTTGGGGGCCGCCGGGGCGCGCACACCTCCGGTTGCCCGAGCGCATATCCACCGGGATTGCACCAGCGGTTAAGGGCTCGCGCCTTTGTGGACTTTTGACTTCTTTATCTGATTCCTTCCTGGCGTGGAGCGGACAGAAAATGGTGGCCGTCGCGTCGCTCAGCACCAGGGCCCCAGCTCCCACTGGAAGCCAGGCCTCAGCCAAGCGGACAGCCACGGAATGGCACTACGCATATAAAGCGCAACGCCGCAGCAATTCGAATTGTGAATATAAAGTACCAATGACCCGTCCTTCCCCGATTTCCGCTCCGGGGACAACGAGGATATCTACTGCCGCCACCCTTCCAATATGCTGAAACAACACAGTCTGCCGTCCTAACAGAACAGGAAACTGCATGCTGCGCCCCTCGGGCCCTCATCAACCGGCACCCCAGTACATGTCGCCGTGTCGTTTCCCACCAGTGTCAACATCAACCAGCCGGCGTCGTCCCTCGCATGATGACTGCAGTGGATGGCCGTCTGCTGCGACAGGTATTATTAGCCTCGCCGGATTTGATTTGTACTCAGCTGTCGCAGCAAAGTCCCACCCGAGTACATACATAACAGAAACCAGGTGGCGGTACTTTGTACGTTTATGCCAAACATTCCCCCCTGCCGACAAGCTCAAATGTCCTATTCTCTGCGCAGTGAAAGTCCCCTGCCTAGAGGATATGCGATCATGTTACTAATCAAAAGCCCAAAGCTCACTCCCACGATGCCCTGAATCACCTTCCAGAAGGCACCAAAGAAGGTCATGTCCAAGCTGCCGGGCAGCCTCGCGCCGTCCTGCGGACCAGCACCACTTGCTGTGGTCAGCGGGTTGCCCTTGAGTGAGCTCGTGAAGACGGTGTCCGCCGCCAGGAAGCCGTGTATCGCGAGACTGGTCGGAAGCTGGATGAGGATGGCCTGCAGCATGACGGCAACCGCGAGGCTACAGCTTCCCTTGCGTGGGGCGCCCTTTGGCGATACGACTGGCGGCGATTCCGCGTCTCCGTTGCATGAAGGTCGACGCCCCCATCTGAGGCCCAGGTTCCGCCCTTCGGTAAGACAGCACCATCGCGAGGTCGACTCCAAACACGACATGAGAGCCAACCAGAGCGTTTGCGCCGGCCTGTACAGCCTGAAGTGCAGGTTCGACAGCAAACCGACGGACAAGGCGCCCAGCATGGCCGCCGCGTGCGTGTCCCCATCAAACAGCCTGCTGCAAAACGAGTTGACCCAGAACCCGACGAGGGCGATGGCGCATATCGCCGGCATCTGCCTCCACTGCGCCTGGCGAATGATGCACTGGCAAATGATGAAGGCCAGGGCAAATGGCGACTGCCACTTTCGCTGAAGCTGATCTCTGCAGCCCACCTCCGTCGTGGCGTCGCTGTCGACCAGCCCGTACAGGCATGTGCCGATGGCCATGCCGTACCCGAGAAAGAGAGTGCTGATGACGGCGTGTACCATGCGCGCGCTTCCCGCGACGATGTGCCCTGTATGCAGTTCCAGGGAGCTGCTCAGCACCATGTACCCCGGAAGAATGAAGACGATGCTGCTCTGTGCGATGGCGCCGAAGCAGAAGACGTCGCCGTTCCGGATCGACCCAAGGGCTCGTGCGATGAACGCCGTGATGATGCCAGCCGTCATCTCGAACAGAGGAATGAAGTGGTCGTCGGCCGGGTACCACACCTCCTGGAACAGGCCGACGGCGCTTCCCAGGATCAAGGCGAAAGGAAGATCCACGAGGCGGCCCTGGAACGCAACCGGCGCGCAACATGCTGACGCAAGTCCGTACATCAAAACCCGGAGCTTGATCGAGAATTTGGGCTTGCGCTCGGTGGCATCGTCCAGCCGTCTCGTTGCCTCTTCCACGTCAATGGCCCCGTGTACGAGATCTTTGTATATGCGAAAGACTTCCATCAGGCGGCCGACTTCGATGCCGGGCTCGAGGCGGATGATGTGGAGCTCCGACCCTCCTCTCGTGCCATCATCAAACGTGACGACCATGCTCATGGGGACGTACAGAAAGTGGGCGTCGATGTCGAGGTGCACGGAAGAGACGGCCATGAACTCCTCGATGCTATGGGTCGGGGCCCCGTACAGCAGGAAGGCTCGGCATAGCTTGATTAGACACTGTTTTCTTGCGAATGAGCTGGTGGTGTTCGCGGCGTCCGCGCCCATCGCAGGGGCTCTCGCGTTGGTCCCGGCGTGGTCCTCGAATGGCGATGGGGTCGAAGAACGTCCAGCCGAAGCGGCGGTGCGAGGTCCAGAAGAGTAGGCAGTCTACTCTGTAGTCGGAATTTGTGTCGAAAGACCAGCTCCTGGTAGCTGGGGAAGGGACCGCTGGCATTGCTGAAGCACGGGCGGATGGCAGTGGTTCGGTCGCAGAGGCGCAAAAGGTTAGCTAGCCAAGTTGCATGCGACCAGAGAGCCACGGGACGTCGGCAGCTCGGGACCTTTTCTTTGCTCCAAGGACCTATAGCTCTCCGTGGACCTTGTCCTCATGACGTCGGCTGCGACAAGTCTCAGGTGCAAGCCCGACAACCTATCTGCGAGGTGGCGGGACGCCGAGCTGGAGAGATTGCTTTGATGCCTCACCACCCGCAAGTCATGGCTCTTATCTATGCGAGTTCCATCTTGAAACCTCGCGTTTCTGCCCTGGGCTTAGATTTCGGTGCCTATCTGGCTCACCTAGGACTGCGCTGATGGTTGCCATGCTCGACCGCCTTACTCTATGACCTGCGAGGAAACCTCGACGGTGAGCAGTCCCCAATCGGGCAATGTTAGGATCTGGCCGCCCCTCGAGTGCGCAACCAAGTTTGTGACCAATACGAAGCTAGAGAGCTTGCTAGCGGGCGAGTAGCTCCAAGTTGTGCCAGCGCGTGGTTTCAGCAATATCGCGCGTGGAATGCTCTTCGGCCGCACGCCTATCGGTGTTGGTGTCTAGGAATGGAGCCCTGCGCCACCAGGAAGCATGCACACACATCGGACACCACCTCGAAGTAGCACAGGAGCGATAGGTGTCTAGGTAATTATTTCTCAGGCCCGCTGGCTCCAACAGCTTTCGACAGCGTCAACGGTTCTAGCCTCCCTTCAATCAGCCCGCAGGTTTGGCCCGCGGTGATCAGATGGGAAACCTTATGCTAGCACGAACGTGTTTACGATCTGCTGAGGTATGCAGCCCTCTGTCTCGGGTCTACGTCTCTCTTTTCTCTCCGCTTGTCTCCTTTGGACCTTCTCGCTCTTTTGGTTCGACAACAGAAGACACCTCTACCCTATACTGCGCCTGTTTGTGATGGATAGAATAGGGATGTCGGTGAGTGAGTCGCAGGACGTGTAGCTTCGCTCTAAAGCACCGAGTTCGTACATGTAGTGCCAATTTGAAACCGACCGCTTAGAACATCGGCCGTCCATTGCTTCTCTCCGGTTATCTCTGCCCAAAATGGCCTACGCTGCGTTGGCTCCAGACGATCACATATGGTGGTGACTGGAGGTGAAACGGGTTATCGTGCTTCCATACAAATGTCAGGATACATTTTACATGCAGGCAAGGCTTGCTCCCTACATCTTGTGCCTGAACTCACAAAACCCAGGTCTCGACAGTGGCGCTCCTGAGGGCACATGGGAGGTGCTGCCAAGATTGTTGACTGCTGGCAAGCTCGTACCTCGTATTTGTCTGACTGGCTGTTGTCCTCGAACTCGGAGAGCCGACCCCGCGAGTCCCGCAACACGGCCCTTGAAAAAGAAACTCGCCTTTCCCCAAGGACCATCAGTTTCCCGAGCCTGAACAATTTCGCAGTCCTTATTTAGTTCCCTAGACAGTTCGAGAGTCAAGACCAAGTTCTTGTCTGGCATTCTATCTACCCGCCACGACCTTCAGACCCCTCGCGCTGTTCGGCTGGTCGCCGACCCGGCAGGCACAATGGCAGGGCAAGGTATCGTTAATGCAACCTTTCAAGTCGTTTCTGGCGCGCTGTGCTTCGGGTCCTTGAGCGAGATTCTCAAGGGCTCCCACGCGACAATCCAAGTCGCACCAACACCAAGGCCACAAGGCAGCGGCACAATTTTGCGCCAGCCCCTCCAGTACAACGTCGCAGCAAGGAACGGGTCATGGAACAAGTTTGCGTTGCTCAACGTGGAAAGTTCAAATGTGGAAGGTTGGTTCGCGGCGCACTCGGCCGTGGATCCGCTTCGTGAGCTGGTCAACATCTTGCGCGTGTCTGGCTCTCCGTACGAATACGACGCGGGCGACAAGTGGAACAACGACAGGACGAGGGCGGAGCGGGTGCTCGTCATTAACCGCTACGACTGGGGCATGAGCCATGACGACGATATCACTCGAGCTGAGATGCAGGAGGAGGGAGATGTGTTCGCGAACACGAATAGTATCGGGCTGGTCGACTACGCGCACGGAAGCGACTACGTTCAGCGACGGATCCAACAGGCGCCTAGCCGCAGAGGCGCTTCTGCGCATGGCGTGTGGATGTACATGGGGAATACATGTTTGGCCGCTTTGGCTTCGACGACGACTACAAAGAGGCCCGCTCGTTCCTCTTCTTCGCCCAACGCACAGACTTTTACACGACCAAGTTCCCAGGAGAGCCGGGGCCACTTAGGAAGTGGGAAAGGGTTCTTGACAGGCTCCAGCACGGCTTGCGTGCAGGTGAGGACCACTCGGGCGTTAAGCGGTTGCGCGGCATGTACGCACCCGCGGGTTCGGACACCCCGACGGACGGCTTGCCGAAGCGCAGGCCACCGCCTGACCGTGAGAGCCTCCTGGGCCCGTACGGTGTGGACGAGTACATCTTTGACGCTGCGGATGCGGAGATACTGCTTGCGTATCGCCCCGAACTTACCAACGAGCTGCTGGAGCTGATCACGGGGAGGCAATTCTCCCCCTTGGCCCCTTTAGCACGTAAACCGGCACTGATTGTAGACCCCTGGAGGCCTGAAGTGATGACCTTGCTCCACGAAATCACCTTGAGCTTCCTCGAGCATTGCGTCCTTCCGCATCGCGCCCACAGCGCCGCCTCCACGGCAGGGCCAGCGATATTTCCCGAGCACAACAAAACGTCGCCACATCATAATAAACAAGGCCTGACTTTTGATGGGATCCTACTGTCGGTCTTTGCAGGGACATGGCCGCAGCAGATTACCGGTCTCAAGCTGGAGCCCATCGGCGGCAGGATTCGGGCGTTCCTCAACCGCCGTTCGGGCAACATCCCTGTCGAGTTTGACGACGAGTGCCTGATGGGACTCGCGCGCGTTGCAGCACACATCTTTACTTCAGCCCTTGACGCGGCAGACAGCATGACTCTGGACAATGAGAGTCTCATGATGGAGACACGCGGAGCGGAGGATGTCTATATTCTTCCGTACTATGTGAGGCTGGCGCTCTACTACGATGAGGTGCTCTTGGACAAAGTCCAATATTCAGCCTTTTATTGGTTAGGAGCAGAGCCGAGTTGACGCGTTGCGAAGGAACGCCAAATTATTGTCGAGGGCGGGAAGTGGGAGTGCATTGGCTGTTCAATTGTCCATGCCAGCGTGTCACCAGGTGCCCAGGTCGCAAGAAACCTCAAACTGGTGAATGAGATATTATGTGCTGGCATATCTGTCAGGTGTAGAAGACAACGGCGTTTGCGGCGCTGTTGGCAGCGTCTCCCATCGCCTACTTTTCGACGCCTTCGGGAAACGCCAGCGACAGGCGCACCTCCAGCTCTTCGACTTTGTCCAAAACGCCCAACCACCTCGCCCACTCCTCGTCGCCTCCCGGGATGCCCCCCAAAAGCGGTAGCCTCGTTCCGTCTCGGTCGCCAATGCCCCTCAGCCGGCTCACGGCCTCCTTGATGCCGGGGATGCCGTGCTTAACAATGAGTTCTTCCATGCAGCTCACGCGGTACTGCAGCTGCGCGCGCTCCGCGGCCTCCTCAACTGAAAGATGGCTCTGGCAACACAGCGTGTACAGTCGCACCAGCGACTTGGGGAAGAAGTTGGCTGAGCCATCGATGGCGCCCACGCAATTGACCGTCATGGCGGGCAACAGCTGCTGACCCAGCCCCGTGAAGACGTGGAAGTCGGAGTGGCTGATGGCGGGGTTGAGCGCGATTTGGGTGAGCTTCGAGATGTCGCCGTGCGAGAGCTTGCAGCCAACAATATTTGGGTGCCTCGCGAGGGCTTCAAAGGTAGCTGGGGCAACCTGAACGTTATTGGACACCCCGGGGTAGTGATATCTGATGCGCACAATGTCAGTCGCTGCGCAGATTGTCACCAAGCTGGGGATCTATATGGAGCACGCACATGAGGATCGGGATGGGGCTGGCGTCGGCCACGGCAGTGAACCACATCACGATGCCCTCCTGGCTGACCACGGGCGCGTTGTATCCAGGCACCAGGCACAGACCCCACTGGGCACCAGCCTGCTGCGCGTCCTCAAGCTGCTCCAGCGTCTCCTGGACGCTATTGGTGGCCGTGCCGGCCATAAGCGGGCACCTGGGGAACGAGAAGCCGGCCTGGTCCAGACGGTCGCGGAGGGATCGCAACAGGACCTTGCGGTCGCGTGGGTGAACGTGCACCGCCTCGCCCGTGCTGCCGAAGACGACCAGCCCAACGACGCCGGCGCGGGCAAGGCCCAGGGCGTGCTCCGCTTGGGCATCGAGGTCAAAAGGCGGGGTCACCGCGTCGTAGTGAGGCGAGGACTTGGAGGCAAAGAAGGTCGGGATGGGCGTCCAGATGCCTCGGGGAGGAGGGTTAGGCGTGGGCGACATGTTCGACACGCAGGTTGCAGACACTTGAAATGGGAGCTTTGAGATGATGAAGGATGGGGAACCGGACTAGGGGCTTTGAAGTGATGAAAGGCGGAGAAACGGACGAGGGGATACGTGTGTTGGGTATTAACGTACGAATTTCTTACTTCGTGCCTGCCAACGTATATAGGCAATGGCGATGCATTACCCGAGTGGTGGTACAAACGAGCTCCCCGCCGACGACGGAGCTCGGCGTTCGGGGTAGCTGGTCGCGACAGCGCGTGAGATTGTTGCTGGTGAAGGCTGCCCCCACACTATCGCATAGTCATGGAAAGTGCAAGTGAAGCTGGCAGATGATTCTGCGACTCCGCATAGATTGGGAACAGTGAATAGCACGTGTGAGAGACAAAGTACTTGGGGAGCCCCAGTATGCGTCAACGCAGGTGCCCAGGCTCCCCGGCGTCCCCCGCAACAGGGGTCACTGCGTGGCCAGAGAGCACAGCCGCTAGACCACAGCGACTTGCGCTGAGGCGACATGATGGAAGCATCTATTGGTATCCAATTGCCTTTGGCTGGCCGGCCAGCTGTATCGCCGGCAAGCCGAGCGCTCTATCGAATGACGTGGGTACCCTCGGCGGGCTCCAGCACTTTCCACTCGCACGGCAGCTGCTTGTTCTCGTTGTGCTGCCTTAGCGTCGCGATAATTTTGTTCGCGATTTCTTCAAAGTTGCTCGTGGCCAGCGCCAGAATGGTCGGGCCGGCACCGGACAGGCACACGCCCAGGAACCCGGGCTGCGTCTTGGGCGACATGGACTCGACCACCTGCGACAGGCCGGGGATGAGCGTCTGGCGGTACGGCTGATGCACCTTGTCCTGCATGGCGAGATGAATGAGCTCCGGGTCGGGGGGCGACATGCCAAGGGCGACGGGAAGCAGGGCTATTCGCTGCAGGTTGAAAGTCTGTCGAAACGGCGTCAGTCTTCGCGCGCACGCTTTTCCAACAACTTCCTCCTCGCGCGCACAAACTTACCACGTCCTGTCGCGGGTACTTGTCGGGCAGCACCGCTCTCGCCTCGTGCGTCGGCACCACAAAGTCCGGGATGATGGCCACGGCCTTGATCTCCTTGGCCCACGGAAACTTGATGTGGTGGCCGATGCCGACGGGAGGCTCCGGCGGCTTCTTGCCCGTGTCGACGCCGCCGGCCGGCGAAGGCAAGACCTCGCTCAAGGGGATCTCGATGCGAGCCACGTCCTCGGGCTGCAGGGGCATCAGGTACGTGCCGACGAAGCCACCAAACAGCGCCGCGCCGACATTGTCGGGATGTCTCTCAATCATCAGACAGTAGTCGAACAGGCGGTCGTTGTCGAGGTGGTGCAGGCCGCCGACCTCCTTGCCCAGCAGCACGCCGGCCACGACGGCGGCGCCGGAGCTTCCCAGGCCACGGCCCAAGGGGATCGGGTTCTTGATGTGGACGTGGGTCTCGACGGGGAAGGCGCGCTGGTCATGGCATCTCAGCACATACAGCGCGACCCGGGTGATGAGGTTGACCTGGGGGTCGAGGCTGATGTCGTCCTCGCCCTGGCCCTCGTAGGTGATGCGGCAGTTCAACGGCTCGGCGGACGCGGTCTTGGAGCGGTCGATGGTGACGTGCAGCTCGAGGTAGACGGTGAGGGCGAGGCCGATGACATCGAAGCCGGGGCCGATGTTGGCGCTCGACGAGGGCGTCTTGATGACGAATGACTCCATGACTGTAGTTGAAACAGTAGGGACTCACTCGCCGGCGGGTATCAGAGGCCTCGCGCGGGAGGGTAGGGGGAGGCTGCGGTTGGGGATTCGGACGTCGCGACGCTCGGCGGTGGATGGGCAGGCAAGGGCCGTGTTCGTGGGACGAGATGCAAAGATTCAATTCAGTTTGTGCCTGGCGTGACTCGCCGGGACGGGACCGATAACCGGAGGCGACAGGCGGGTGGGTGACCCTGGGCTGGCCGTCAAGACAGCGTGATGGTGGGGTGTGCCTTGGGGGCCCATGTGGGGCCGCCGCCTGCTGCAAGGTACCTTACCTACAGTAGCAGGCGCTCATCAATTGTCGCTGCAAGCCGTTTCGCCAGCCATGTCAGTGGGAGCCAGCTGTTGCCGCACGCTGCAACGCAGCGACGTGAAGGCTTGAACAATGACAGCAAGGGCAAGTCTATTCCGCGATTGCGCGAACGCGCGATTGCCGACTATGGCTGGCGGCGTGGGACCGAATCCGACGGTGTCCCCATTCTCCGTCGCCCATGCAGTTGACGCGCCCCTTCCGCCTCCCATGCTGCTTCCAGTCTTACGGTTCCCTTTGCAAAGAGCAGACCTGCCCACCACACGCTTACTTGAGTACCTTGCCTCAGGTACACGCAATTTGGTACTCGCCCTGGATCCTCGTGTCCCAGTAGCAAGCGCTCCCTGTACACGTGCACTTCAACGCTGTTAGGGCCGGCTTCTCGAGCTGCGGAGGGCGAATTGCCACTTCGTACCTTGTTGGTGGCTGGACAGGGCCATTTCTTCGTGTCCACGCCGTTGAATCCGGGATACGTGGTAACACATTTGCCGTGATCGTTTGGATCCTGCGCATCGCCCACTTCGCACTCCTGTGGTTCGACCCGGATCGTCCATTAGCGCCCTCGTCCTTTGTGGCACCCGGGACTGACTCGTCTGCTTACCCCATACACCTCGACGGCGAGGGCTGCGTGCCCCAATGCTAGCAGCAACGCGACGACTTGATGCCTCATCTTCGGCCCGATGAAAGGAGAGAAAACACTGTACGCCAGACGGAACGTTTTGCAAACGACGGGCCGGCCAATTAATACATGTATCGATCGACAGCGCCGTGTTGCGGTCCCGACGAGCCAATACACGGCGTGATTGAAGCGACGTAATTGAAAAGCCAGCAAACGCGTAATGTTTCCGTCTTATGAAACGAGCGTTGAATCTTTGCGCCCGACCCATATCGAGTTCGAAGTCTTTGGTAGCACGTAAAGCGGGAGCCAGGCGCACTGCTGCGGCGCGTGCGCATTTTCGTCGCCGACATTCTCACAATCGAGAACCGCGTCTTAGTGTGCTTTACTTTCTCAAAATTCTTTACCAGAAGGCATTTTAAACGCATGGCCATTGAGCTAGAGGCACAAGATACAACCTATCCGACTTGCTGAGAGCTGAACCCCGCTTGCGGCCGGCCGAGCTTAAACTCCAGAGGAGAACTCCATACAACGACCGAAGCTATCTCAAATCCTGCATAGCCCGATCTCAGTGAAATACAAATCAACAACCCAGCTTTGCTTTGAAGCACTTGACACCCTCGTCGAGGGCTGCCTGAAGGTTGGCGGGGCCACCCAGCGTGAAAGCCATTTTGACCGCACTGACACCAGCATTGACGGCTGTGTCTACGCCTGCAGGGCACTGCCGCCGCTGGAGATTGTCGTTCGTGGTGGGGTTGGCGGTTACAAAGCCGGCTAGAAGCGCGAGCAGAGCAGTTGAAGCCTTCATGTTGCTTGAAAGACGGATATAAGGTCGTAGAGCAGAAAGAATTGTGGTCCTTGGCGGTTCGGAGGCGTATTGTCTGCTAGGGTCATGTTGTCATTTGGGTAGTCGGCCGCTTTAGTACCAATCCCGCGCATTGCTGCTCACGGAGTCGTTCTGAAGGACACACCATGATCAGCTTGGAGGGCAACGGCAGCTGTTTCATATTATGCGGGATTTTAGGCCACATAATTTGCTACAGAACTTGGACAGATAACTGCTATTTCACTCACTGGTGTCTCTCATTGAGCTGTTGTGATATGCCGCCATGTCTTTGGAGGCCATGTTTGGTGATACCAACCGCCATGTTTCGGTCGGTTGGTACGCAACGGATGACCAAGCAAGCCACAATATTGAGACAAAAGAAGCCCACAGTCACGCCGAATCAGGAGCCCAATCGCGGTCATCTTCATCCATCCTTGGTATCCCTTTCTCAGAATCCCCACATTGGAGAATGGCCGACATGAGGAAAGTCCTGATAAACGTCCGTCGGACCGAGCTCACTAACAGGCAACGGCTGACGCGAACAGATGGTCCGAAACAGAGCTCACCGTTTGGCTTTCTGTTCGAGTAGTGCGGGAGTAGATGGTCGTAGGTCGCACGGAAGCTGGCTTATTCCAAAGCTGCTGCCGTCATTTCCACACGCTGGGCCGGGCGGCTGGCCACAGAAATGCGTCGGCCGATGCGGGGCCAACCACGTTCAAAGTTACATATGGATCAGTCTCGTTGACTGAGTTCCACGCGCGGCGTGGTAGTCACATGATACGATGCTTCATGGCCCCATCTGAGTCTTGTCTCTGTTGCCCGACCTTTGACCCTCATCTAACGGTAAGTCCCGGCAGATGTGCAGTTGCCAGTGTTCCTCAGAAAATTGACCAAAGCGTTTCAAGCCATGAGGAACACCTCTGAAAGCATCAGTTGGGAGTACCGGGAACTAACCATGGTTCACATTCAGAGGCTCAATTCCGACGGTCGGTGGCCAGTTACGGCTTACGCAGAATCCTGGTGAGGTCAAGAACGATGAAGTCCATACAAAAATGACGGATGAACATTCAGACAAGATGTGAAGAGAACGATACTATTTGAAACAGACATCTTATGGGTATGTGCTGGCTTGCAGATCTTGCGGTATCCGACAGACCTGAGCGACGTAAAGAATGTCCAGAGTGCCGTTGACTATTGGCCTCATCAATATCCTCACGGGCTGAACATGAGACACGGCCTACGCCGGCATTTGTCGATCTGCCATTCTGGATCCCCCCTTCCCGACCGAACTTCGTTGCGTGTTGGTCGAAAGTGAGCACCGGCTGGGATAATGAGGTAACACAGCTACCATGACGTTTATGGCATGCTATCTAAGAACTGGGTTGGAGGTAGGCTAGACCGGCTAACGGGCTCCAACAGACAAGAATTCTCTCACTCTTGTCGCGCGAGCCCAGTACAAGCTAGGACCGCATAAGAAGTAGACAGTCCCCGTCATTTCCACCATTACGAAGTGCGAAAATTATGCCAATCTACATTCTAGCAACATCTTCATCTGCCCTTAAAGTTATTGAGACTCAAATGGCTTCAGAGCGACTCAATTACGCTCCAGGCGTGCTGGAGTCGACGAGCTGGCATCCGCTCAGCTTGGTTCCTCGTGCTCTGACTGCGCTTCGGACCAGCTCCAGCCTCATTTTGAGGACTAGCCAAGACTACTTGCTGGCACATTTATTTCGGTACCAGGGCACGAACCAAGGCACAGAGACCACATACGACAGCAGAATCGCTCACCTGCCAATTGCCACCACCGGAGGGAGCGTCGCGAACTTTGACAGACACCAAGCCATCTTCCTAGGTGAAATAGGTTGTGACGACTCTGAGACTTTCGCAACAGCGTCGGCTCAAGCAACGCCAGCGGGCAAGCCATGTACCATCAGGCAATTCGCGTGCTCTGGATGGTGCAAGGAGTCGAATCTCAAATGTGTTCAAGAACTCCGAGAGCACATATCAAATTTGGGAAAAGCCGCAGCGTCCTCATCTCGAGATGTACTCTTTCGTGGGGAGCAAGAGTGTGGCGGCTGTAGTCGGTCTCCTGCGTGGGACGATATTGAGCTCCCAAGTCAATGGTTTGGCGGTTCCGAGACGGAACGGGTCCCGATGACGAACCTCTCGGAGCTTCTCTCGATACCAGCCACTGGCGGTTTCGCGCTGGTCGACACTTGGAGGAAATCCCCCGTTTCCAGACTGGAGGGGACCAAATCACATGCTACCAACTCCGTGGCATGGCGTCTGGACACAGTGGAGGTGCATTGCTTTGACGGTCAGGCCTGGACCGAGCAGTCGTGCCTTCACGAATCGGGAACATTTAGATGTCAAGGCCCTTTGCCGATTTTGGGCTGCCCCCAGGACGACCTCGCCTGTCAAATGTTCGCAATCGGCGCTCTCCGAAATGCAAGGGTGCTCAGCGTTGTCATGTGCAGCGTGGAGCTTTACCAAGCGGCGGCGAAGTTGCTGGAGATGCGAGATACTACCATGACTACTGGACTTGACACCAAGTTGGGCAAGCTGAGGACCTCAAGGACTTGCGCCAAGTTCGCAAAGTTGCCGACCAATGGCCCACTACCTCCGAAACTGAGCGGATACGCTACGAGTCCTACCCATGGCTATGAGAGGATGTGTCGGCGGGAGCGCGCCACCGGTGCGATGCGCAACACGAGCGTCTTTGCCATGTCTCTTGGTTACGACAGAGGTGTTTACGGTGGGAGCGTGGCCGGCATCTGGGCCTTGATGGACTCGGCATTTATGTTTGACTACTCGGCCGCGCGCTCCAATAGGGATCTCGGTAGCAAGATCATCGACGCTTTTGCCACCGTTCGTGGACTCGACACAGGCAACCCCGAACTAAATGCGCACCTGCTGGACGTTGCCACCGTCATGGCATGCAACTTTACCGCTCTGAGGGGCAAAGCGGAGTTGGAAGACGCAAGACACTTACACTCTCAGCCTTGCGTTGCTATTTGGGATGACCTGGCGGCCATGGCACGATACAGAATAGCCGACGCTGTGTTTTGCCACGTGTGGTACGACAGCCCCGGCGATGAAGCCAGCTTGGTCATGGCGGGCTTGGGATGCGCGGTCCATGATCTGATCGACGTGGGCCCAGACGTGGCGTGCGGCGAAATAAGCAACATCATTCCCAGCTTGACGAGGGGCGATCTGTCGATCGCAGCGCTGAGATCTGTATATGTCGGCATGGTGGCTGCGATGGAGTGGTATGCAGCCTACGACCCCTTCAACACAGCAGCACTCGCCATCTTGATGACCCATTGGTGGCAGCTGGACAATTTACGCCACAGAACCGTGGCTTTGATGAGCCGGGTTTCGACGTCGCCAGACTACGCCGTGAGCCCAGAGAAGCTCACATCGGCCCCGTCATTTGACACATTCACGCACACAAACCACCTCAAGTATGACGAAGGTCAAGCGGTGATAGATGATCAGCGTGAGGAGCTTGACCATCTTGAAGCGCTAGGCTTTGAGGACATTCAGGGCCTCATCAAGACGCTGATCCGCCCAGTTTTAGACTATGCTGATGCAAGAGACAGGCGCCTGCCTATCGAGATAACGTATTGCACCGAGGTCCTTGAAGCGTGCCTTTCGCGCCGTCACTCAGAGAAAGTCAAGGTTCTATGGCGCCTCGCGTTGATCATGTGGAAGTGCGGGGCCATATGGGCAACGGTGCTCGCGAGCACACAGTACGCTCACCAGGGATATACGAATTGTGATCGTGGCCGGGAGGATCTGGACGAGTCTACCTGGGCGCAGGGATAGCCTTGCCGACGGTGTATTAGCTGGTCAGCTGGCGGTCGCGCATTGAACGACTTGAAATGTACTTGAAGTTTCCCCGGAACAGGATGTACTTCGCAGCGCCAGAAGGGTTGGTGACCGAACGGCTGTACTCTTTCCCTCAAGTTTCACGTGCGAAACACGAGCTGTTGCCAACGCGTCGTGCTCCCATGACAACTTTTTGGCACTTGTCATGGCGGCACACGATTGGTAGAATGCCCCTCTTCAGATTCAGTGGGACTATTTGGAATTCCCTGTGCGCTGTGAGTTGAGCGTCCTCTCAACTACTGACATCCATCGCAGTGTAAAGCGTCATACTGACGTGGCCGACGATCAGATATTTTCTCGTAAAAAAACGGAGTTTCTAGAAACAAGTCGGAAGCCCTGCTCACTTTGCTGCCCGAATTGGCAGGGCCGTCAGCGGTCACGCTGCCAGGTCTGTAATGACAGGTCAATTTTCCAGCATCGAGCAGCCCAATGACAGTGGGCGCCGGAGACCTCCCGAGCCACGAGCTGTCCTAGCTCGCACTTGCCGTTGAAGGTACAGCACGGTACAGCACACAGTAACCAAATCATTCGGCAGTTCGTAGATACTGTAGCTTGTACTAAGTCTCTTTGACGAACTGTCGCGTCTCTCCTCGGGAGCAAAATAGACCTGTGTTCCGGTGGACAACGAGGAAGGTGGATACGAGGCCATACATCGCCTACACGTACAGTATATCCCCACAAGAAGCTCAGTCGAGCAGCAATTGTCTGCCGGTACCATAGAAAATGCGACCAACGATGGGTAGGAGTTTTACAGAAAAGATACGCTGTTCCGCTCTGTAACACTGCATGTGCCGTTGGCTTGGATATGCCTCCAACACTGTCCTTGATTCATGTCGCTACTTGCCTGGATGCTACCCGGCACGGATGGTTCGCGTCACCTGCTAATACAAGCATCCCCGATGTCGTTACTGCAGGCTCATGGCTCGCTGCTAGTAAGTTACTCGGAGAAAGCATGAGGCGCAGCCCAATACCTTTCCGGATTGCAAGTATTTCGGCCGAGTATCACTATTTTGCAGTTGCGTGTGTCACTATCTTTACACCTGCGGATCCTTTTATGAAGCTGCTTAAGGTGCCGTACCGTCCGATAACTGGCCGCGGGCGCCTACAGAATTGAGGCCAGCAATTGAGAGGGACCATAAGCTACATGGGCAATCGAAGGCAGCGGATGCAGCAGCAATTAAAGCCAGCGCGGGCTGCCAGACGGATGCAGCGCGGTCGTCCGTGACCGCTGATACCACTAAAATGCACATAATAAGGCGGGGCAGGCCGCAGAAATACCACTATAACCCGCCGCAGATAAAGCACCTGGCAGGGGCTCTTAGCGGCCGCAGCGGGCTAAGTAGGGCAGTATAGCTATGGAATAAGATATACGAGTGCCTATAAATACATTCTTTCGGTCGACTAGTCCGGGCTACATTGCGTCGGCACATCCGAGATCTCACCTTTCAATCGGGACGGTAACCCAGTCCCGCTCAGGGCGTATTGTTCCAGGCAGCACGGCCAATTGAGCTGGCGGATCCGGGAATACGGGCAAACGGCCGAGAGAGTTCCGAGGCTGCGGCACATTCAGCCTGCCACCTCAGACATTCAAGCGCACAAAGTACAGTACTGCGCCACCAACCAATCAAGCTGTTAACGGATTTCCAGATCTGGCCAAGGCGAACCGCATACCCCGCCGAAAGACGCAAGGGACCAGCTAACAGGAGTCTATGCCCCAGCTGGCTTGTGTTATACGTCCGGTTGCCGGAGGTCGAATGGAAGTTGACCGCTTCTCTAATCTCGCGCTGTGGCACCAGTGTGCTCGGCACATCTATGTCGCACGTGAAGTATTGCTTTGCGACTGGTACATTTTGTAAGGCCGGGCGGTCCGAACCCTTAGAGCTTTGATGCATTCCGTGGATGCCTTCCGACAGACCGTAAGTGGTGATGTTGAACCCGTTCGAGCTCTTCACCGTACAATCAGGTATAGTGTCGGATCATCTTGCGGCTCCAGTTATCGCCCTGACTTGTTCAATCTTGGTCTTCACCTCCAAACTTCAGACCAATATGAAGCCTTGGCCAAGCATATTTTGGACAATACTAAAACGGTATCTACGATTCCTGGAAGGGTGCGCCAGCCGTGCTGCTCAGTACAGCAGAACCCCGATGACAAGCTCGAGTCAAGCAAGGGCGCCTCAACATCTCTAACCAGCTCTAGGGCCGTGCAGCTCAATCAGCAACAATATGAACTGTTTTCCGATTACGCTCACCCTGGAAGACGAGAGAAAGAAACGGAACCGACTCATCAAGCGCAAGTCTCGTATGTGGCAAGCTTCTCATTGTGCTTGCGTTCAAAGGGACTGACTATGAAGTGAGGATATCGAAAGTTGTTGCGGATGGCGAAACCAGATGTTGCGCTTAACAACGGACTACGTGACTTTCCTCTCGACGATGCTCTTGAGCAAGTGTCCCATGCATACTTCGACATGCTGCCACCTGAAATGAATGCAGCCACAGAACCGGAAAAGGCTCTTAATTCAGAGGTGCTGGCGTGCAATTCACCGGTCAACTCTTTCCTCTCAGGCTGGCCCCTCGGATCGGGCAACCACAAAGAGATAATCAACACTTCCGACTCCGGCTTTGCAAAAGAACTTCAGCTTGTAAGTGAAAGTTCGTTTTCCATTTGTATCGGGAGAAGAAACCGTACCAGCTATTTAATTTCTGAGATTCACAACCCCCTGCCCCCGGATTCGCAGTCAACTGATTTGAGGAATCTGCTACAGTGGACAACTGAAGTCAACCAAGTCAACTTCGACAACTTATTGTGTGAGTCCGCTATGGAGCTCGCTCGGCTAGGCGCGTCACCCACGATCTCATCGCATACCGAGCCCGCGTTGCATCATGCGGTGATGTTAGGTAGACAGGATATCGTGCGGCTGCTCCTGCACCACAAGGCTTTGGTGGACTCTCTTAATAGCAGTGGAATGAGCCCACTGCATATTGCTGTTAGCCAAGGAGACAGGCTGATGGTACGGCTGCTATTGCTGCATTTCCCCAACGTGAACTTGAGGGATGGTACAGGGCGCAGAGCTTTGGACATTGCCATTGGTAATGGGGACGCGGCGATAGTGCAGCTGCTTCTTGCGAATGGTGCAGTTGTATGATGTGTTTTGATACGGCCGCGTGGCAGCGCGCGTGGATGCTAGTTCAAACATCTTGCATAGGTAATGCCCCTTTTTCTTCTGTGATATTCTTCCAATTCGGACCGCGACTTGAAACTGCGTGCACACGAGTGGAATGCTGCGCGCTCTCTAGAGCCTTGCTGTGCCTGGCGATGTATCTGTAGTCACTCTGACGGGTGACAAACCAGTCTAGAGGAGTGCGCTGCTGTTCTTTCTCCAAAACAACTGTCTTTATGCTCGATTCTCAATCGCTAGACCTGCCAGCACCAGAATTCGACCAGGCCTCGGGCTCTGGCTCGTCTTTCTGAGGCAGGCGGATGCCGCTGACCAGCGCGCTTGCTCCAACGAACAGAAGTGAAGCGACCATGTACAGCAGGCCAACCCATATTCCACCCACGGCAACGCCACGACGAAAAGCAAACGCCAGTACGGGGCCAGACAACATTGCGCCAAAGCTTTGCGCCAAGGCGATGGCCGTGTTGACAGCTCCAGTCTGTCTGGGGAGCACGAGAGCTGTTGCCAAACTGCGCAGGGCAGAATAATAGCCCCATCCAAGGGCGAAGAAGCTGATACCGGCCGTGAAGACTGCCGGGCGCTGCGCGAGAGCCATGGTTGCAGTCCCTGATGCCAGAAGTAACACACTTCCGTAGACAATAAAGAGATCCGCCTTCAAGGCCGATACGTAACGCCTTGCCATGGATGACACCTGGGGTAATATGAGCAGAAGCAGGAGAAGGTTGATTGCGCCTTTAATCGTGATAAGTAGGCTGGCTTGGGCAATAGTCCACGCAAACTTCTTAGACGCGAACTGAATGACAAATTGGAGGGCTTCTCTTCCGATGCTAGCCAAGAAGAAAGAGCCTGTGACGAGAAGCATATTGCTGACGATCTGCAGCCTCTAACGATCCTTTCCGAAATTGGGCCAGAATTGCATTATAGTAGTGGACAATTTGCTGTGTTCTCCGGAAGAGCGCGTCTGGGTCCGCTGGTGCGGTGCGTCGTCGTGGTCTGGTCGGTCTGGTTGACTTGGCATCGTCTCGCACAAGGCGAAAGCAGACACAAGGCCAATAATCTCGAAGACCACGCCTGCCAAAAAAGGAAACCAGGGTGTCCAAGACATTGCAAAAGCGCTCAGTGGAGTAGCAAGGATCTCGCCCAGAAGAATGGCCGCAGAGAGGAGGAAAAAGACGGATGATCGTTGCGCTAGTGGAAAGACGTCCGAGATCATGGTGAAGGCCATGGATGTTGCAATTTGCGGGCCGCCGCCGAGAATCTGGAAGAGAGGCGTTGCCCATATGGCTTGGATTGGTATTATATCGCTCTTCCAGCAGATGAATCGGATAACCGCCTCTTCCAGGATGAGGCCGATCACGCTCAGAAGCAGGACTGGCTTTCGGCCGAGTCTGTCTGCAGCGAAGCCGTACGGGAGGGCCAGGAGGATTCCCGGCACCTGGTTACAAAACGACATCCACCCTACTAAGAGTGCCAGCTCAGCTTGGACGTCATCCGATTTGCAGGCAGAAATTGATCCGCCATGTTGTCCGGCAATCGTCCCTTTTTCGAAACCATGGAGCCGCTTGCAGATTATTGTCTCGAAAATCTCGATCTCTGGGGCATAAGAGAGGTAGCTCCCAAAGTCTACCGCCACTATTACAACGGCAATCAGAAGCAGGAGGTTTCTCGCGGTCTTCTTGGCGGTGTGTGGTCGCTCGTCGCTATTGTCGTGTCGCGCGCCCGGCCCCAAAAGGGGTGCCGTTTCCGAAACCCCTTGTTCGGGGCCATGGTCCGCGGCGTTCATGGCCTGTCTTCAGGGTATATTGCGAGTATATGCTCGGTCAATTTTGTTAGGGGACTGACGGAAAGTAGATAAAGATTGCCAGCAAAACCAGGGATCTAGAGTAACTCAAACGCTGCGCAACGGACACGCCGCTTCAGTGTCGGGGATGTTGCATTTCCTGTGCGAGGCTGACGTAACTCTTCTGCGGTCAGCGATGAATGACCAACAGAAGCTGAACTTATCATGCCCTCATACTGTACTTTTGAAGGGCCGAAACAAGCACTGTGAGATAGTAGCTAACCCCGCATCACGTCGGCTTCGTTGCTCCTAGATAGGCCACGAGTCGTACTACATCAGGTACCCGTTGCCAACCAACACGACGCAACCAACAAAGTGACAATGCATACGGCCTGCGCCCCTTTAGCTACATAAAAATGAGTCATGTGTCCATTTGACTGTGCAGGAGCATTGCCCTAGGATATTGCACCGGCCGATGTCCGTTGCGAGATGTTGACCTTCGCTGGAATGCATCCTTATCGCGCATGCTCAACGGTCTTGGGCTCTTCGCGATGTTTGCCTAAGCAATTTACTCTCCTGTACAGTACAGTACTGCCTAGGTTGCCCATTTTCTCGTGAGCTCCGATCTAGGACTCTTTGCTTCGCTCTCTAGGGTTTCCGCCAGCAGAAAGTGTCAATGGCTGCATCACCGCCTCAAGTCGTTTCTCAAGATGGTGGCCAACTGTCAATTACGCCCACGGAAAAGGCTCCACCGACTCAGACACATTCGGTGAAAGACGTGGCAGTCGATGAAAATGCCGTTATTGAGGAGATAGGTATCAAGTCAATTGGGATGGAGAGGCCGATCCCTTGAACCCCAGGAATTGGACCTCAAAGTCTCGATGGGGTCAGTTGGGGCTAATCAGCCTGCTGAACTTCGTGACGTAAGTCTTCGTCTTGACAAGTGTCTCAAACTCTTCGTACCCCTCTTCGATAATCTCATTACCTATGAGGATATCAAAGTTGACCAATGGGTATTCATGAAGGTGTATGTCCTCGTCCATGATCGCACCCGCTCTTTCTAGCCTTTTGTCCGGCTTTGGGAGCCATAACTCAGCCCTATCTTCTCTCACTGTATCTATCTATGTTGTTGGGTTTGCACTGGCGCCCATGCTCGTTGCGCCACTATCCGAACTTTACGGAAGAGCTATTATATACAATGTCTCAAATTTCCTCTTCCTCGCTTTCACGGCGGGGTGCGCTTCCAGCGTAAACATAGGCATGTTCATTGCCTTTCGGTTTTTGTCCGGCTGCGCTGGAATAACACCTGCAGCTTTACTTGGTGGTTCCATTGGAGATCTCATGCCAGCTGAGACTATGGGGAAGGCGACGGCTCTGGTTGCAACAGGCTCACTCATAGCACCTGTAAGTGAAATGGTGTCTTACGCGCCTTCCGCCGCAGATCAGAAGCGACTTTCTCGTTGGCATTCAAGATGTTCGAGTCTGTAAACGACTAACAAGCTGTTCCCAGCTCATTGCCCCGGTGGTCGGCGGTTACCTGAGCGAGTATGCAGGCTGGAGATGGGTTTTGTGGCTGATTTGCATTCTTGTTCGTCTGCCCTCCGTTCCCGATCCTCGGACTCGCCTGGTAGTCAACATAAATGCTGATACCTTGAGCCCTTTAGTACGGGCTGGTGGCCATTCCTGCTCTTTTCTTCCTTCGGGAAACGTACGGCCCAATCCTGTTGGCGCGAAAGGCAAAGGGGCTCAGGAAGGATACCGGTGACTCTTCCTACAGGCCTGCACTTCACAGCAGCATGTCCCCTCGACAGACAATTCATGCCGCTCTCAAGCGCCCACTTCAGTTTCTCTGCACATCCAAACTTGTTTTCATCCTATCTTTGGAAGTCGCCATAGTCTATGGGGTCCAATACCTTGTTTTCACCACATTGGCCTTGGTATTTGAGGACAGATACCAGTTCTCCCCTGGAGCGGCTGGCCTCACTTACCTCGGTGATGGCATTGGTGCTATTGCTGGTATGTAAAGGTCTTTCGTCCTAACCCTGCACGAAGGAAATGCTGGCTTGGACCATGTTGGCTGTGCATCATGAGTGTGTATCTGCTTGGCTGACTGATTTCATGGCTTGTGCCCATGACTAGGGGTGCTGACGATGGGCCTCATTCTGGATCGGATTGCAAAGCAAGAGAAAGAGAAAACCGAGAAGAGTTCTCCAGAGACTATTCTGTGGCTGCTGATTCCCGCTGGTGCCCTTGTGCCTGTCGGGCTCTTTTGGTACGGCTGGTCAGTTCACGCCAAAACCTTCTGGCTCGTTCCTCTCATCGGTCTTGGCGTATTTGGTTTCGCCATTATGGGAATCTTCATGCCGGTTCAGGTTTACCTGATCCGCACCTTCGATCATCACTCAGCTTCGGCCCTAGCTGCTAACAACTTGCTACGAAGCATGCTCGGGGCGGTCTTGCCGCTCGCTGGTTTGGATATGTACGCTTCCATGGGGTATGGTTGGGGAAACAGCCTGCTGGCTTTTGTCGCACTGGGCATCATACCACTCACCCTACTCCTGGTACGGTATGGGAGCAAAATGAGGGCACGTGATCGGAACATACCCTCAACAAAATGAGATGGCGGGGAAGCTGTTCGCAAAGTGGAAGCAATAGTTAGGTCACGGGCAGTTCATATATCAGTGGGTACGTATATGTTAGGATTTGGAAGGGTTTGGAGCGATGCGGAACCCATCAGGGGGATGAGAGTAGCAATTACGCGTCTCGTTACATAGTAACACATGGAAATTGCACATTTATTGAATGCCATATGCCCTAAAGTGCTTCCCCGTTACCAAAATATAGTGTTGAGTTTGCCATTACTCCCTCATCCTGCTAGTGGCCGTTGGAAAGAAGGAGCCATGTTCCGTTCCCGGTCTTATTAGACACGGGATTGGGTCTAAGCCGTTCGCCAAGCTGTCACAAATTTCCATGTCTGTGTCATGCAAACCTTCATCTTCACTTTAGATAGCTTATAGTGCTCCGAAAATTTAAAGAAAAAACATGCGTCCTCAATTTATTCAAATCTGCTATGACTTAGATTCCTGTAGTAGGTAGAGACAGACAGCTAGGAGCCCGTGATGAGACACGCTCATCTCAGTCCGTACTCTCCGTGTCAATTGTATCCTCTTCCGAATCCAACCGGCCGCCTCGCATGTGAGTCGGTCTCTTGTCCAGCCTCCTGCCATCGTAAGTACTATCCCCAGGCTGCTTCCGCTTCTTGCCTCTAATCTGCGCATGTCCATTCCTGCTTGCTGTCACCTCATGCCCGTTCCAAGCAGGCTCTGATGTGACATTGCAGCTACACCTCTCAGCGTTCATTACAAACCCGTTGCCAGTGTCGCTTAGGGGGAAGGAATCGCCGATGGAGTCGCTACACAGCCCCTTCGCATCCTGGTACGAGTTGTCATATAGAGCCTCGTAGATTCTGCCATCCAGTAATGCCTCGTAGATGATTGAGATCCAAGAGCCTACGGTCTTGCGTGGCCGTACGGTGTTGCCTTGGACGATGCTTGCCTCTGTGCCTGGGTGTTCGACAAGACCTTGGTGAAATGGAACTCCCAAGTCGTGTCTAACCTTTCTGTAAAGTGACCGAGGGACGATTCCGATGTACTTCTCTGTGGTAGGAGAGGCGAAGAAGCTGCGGCGAACGTCCTCGTAGACTGTCATTGCCGTACTTTCAAAGTCGTGGCGCCATGGTTCGGCGAAGGATAACAGCAACGATGATGGTTTGCTATCGGCCTTCACTGTGCGAAGAAGTTCCAACAACGCTGCGTCTCCTAGACGTTTGATGCGGTCGGCGACGTCTAGTCGTGATGCTTCGCGCCAAGTGGTCGATATGATCTCCCTCAAAGCCTCATTGAACCTGCGGACCCCCTTTTTGCCGAGTCTTTCCGTGAGAAGTCTCTTGTTTACCGCATCGAGAGCTATTTGCGCAGAAGCGAGGAATTCGACTTGCATTGCGCGCAAATCCATTGCCTGGCAGCCGATATAAAGACACGTCGACGCCATGAGGGAGACCATCTCCACCGCCTTCTTTGTCATCCGGGCAGACAAGAGTGCCAGTGAGTTGATAGACTGGTTGTGCATCTCTGCTGTGTGAACGTGTGAGCTCACGGGATTAGCGAGATAGCACAGCTCCGATGCATAGGCAGCCATGCTTATATCAACGCCTTTCATCGTAAAAGACGTGCTTGGGTCGTCAGCCGCCAAGTTTGTTGGTAGTCCATTGTTGAGGTTGGGGTCAATCATTTCTGTGGATTGCGCGAACAGAAGTCTCCCTAGCATTTGGAGTGTAAGCCTCGTCTTCTCCATGGCAGCTGTTACAACAGCGGCCTGGAAGTTTGCGCCATAGTACACCTCGCCGACGTCGATATCAACGAGAGGGTTGTCGGCTGAGGAGTTGAGCTCCGTGGTGACCTGCTGGTGGGCAAAGAGAAGATCCTCTAGCTGGGGACCGATCCACTGTGGCGAGCTACGCAGAGCGTAGCGATCTTGCGCGAGGCCGCTGGGGTTATAGTCTTTCCGACTTTTGATGCCTTTCGCAAAAGAAGACCCTTGAAGGAACCCAAGAATATTCTTGGCTGCCTCAATTTGGCCAGCATGGGGTCTAACTTGCGCGATAAATGGATGGAAACTCTCCGAGTTGCCATTCAGGGCGTCAACTGCGATAGCCGTGACAGCCTGCGACAAAACAGCGAGATGATGTGCATCGTACATGATGAGCGCCGCCACAGCTGCAGATGGAGCTGTACCGTTGACCAATCCCAGGGCTTCCTTCGGGCCAAAGATTATCTTGGGGATATTCTCTCGAGCCAATGCTTCGCTGGCATTTTCGACGCAAACCTCGGATCCACGGTATCGGCGTACGGCAACGTCTGGGTTACCCTCTATAGCCCCGGCAATATATGACAAAGGCATAAGATCTCCAGAGGCGGATACTGTACCTCTGAGTGGTATAATTGGTGTGATGTCATGTCGAAGAAGCCTAAGTATCGCCTGTAGGACGCCCATGGTAACGGCAGAATGGCCACGGGCAGTCGCGTTGCACCTGACCAACATCGTAGCGCGAACCCAAGATGCAGGATGGGAGTTCGTCTCCGTGTGATACTCGGGGGACTTCGCAGAGCCTGTTTTGTCGGACTCGAGGAGAACGCCGGCCTGTGTAAGTTGGAGAAGGGCGACTTGTAACTTGGACGTCTCATTGGTTCGTGAATCGGCGCTGCCACCAAACCCAGTCGTAACACCTGTTGTTCCATTTAGTCGTTGCTGGCGACAAGGCTTATGCTCTGCACTCACCGTATACAGTGTTGCCTTTGCTGAGATAGTCAGACAGCTGTCTCACACTCTCTCTTATACGTCTGAGCGTGGTCTCATCCTCGGTCAGGCATGGCTGGCATTTGCCCCTACCACATGGGTTAGCTGAAAGGGGCTCTATAAGCTGGGGGGTGGTCTGACCTCGAGACGGCCACGACAGTTGAGACGTCTAGATCTCGTCCTGTAACGATGACCTTCTGTCCGGGTTTGACAGCCTGGACATTTTGCCAAAGCTGGCGAGCCATTTCGAAGTGGCTCAAGTTGAAGGTAGCCATCGTGTTTGACGCACCGACGAAGCGTTGATGATGCCACAAAGATGACTGCTGTTGTCAATGAAGTAGAAGTGTACGGAAGAGATGTTGTGGTTGTCGAGCGTGGTGAATCATGCCATCATATACCCTGCTTTCAGCAACCACGTGATGGTATTGATCTAGATCCTAGAAGTCTTCCAGAATTGACCGCGACCAGTGCCCCCTCTCCTGAAACCAACCAGCGTGACTGTGGACACAAAGACCACACGATGATCCGCACCCAGTCGGGAGGTGGCCCCGCAAGCATACCGGAATTGGCAAGTCAATGCAGGGTCAGATGCGCTGCGTGGTCACCAATATTCGGTACTAATCGGTAGTGTCATTCGGAGAAACAACAACACACATCAACGATCCAATGCAATCGATAAACAATACTGTACTGTACTGTACTGTACTGTACCGTACTGACCATACAGCATAAGGTACGAGTAGCTTGAAGACCAACAAAAACCTCTTGACTAATAGGGCCGTAAGTGGCCATTTCGTGTCATTAGACATCCACAATGATCCCTCGCGGGTATATGACAAGCAATAGCCCTGGCTTGTTCCGGACAGGTTCACGCGTAAGTGACAAGTTTCGGATCACAACTGCCGAATATGCCTCTCATCATTTCCCCCATGGTTGAGGATGACATTCCCATCATTGTCGCCATCGAGCACGCGGCTGTGGTGCAAAGTCCCCTGAACCCGCTGACGGTGGTCCGGAAGAAACTTGCCAACATTCCGACTGGCGAGAATTCAGACGAAGAATACCTCAAGAGCATTGAGGCAATCGTTCTCGCTGGCTATCGCCGGCGCGCCCAGGAGAACACGTATTTCTACAAGCTCATCGACACAGACATTCCGGCGGACTCCGACAAACACCGCGGCATTGTCTCTTTCCTCGTGTGGAGAATTGTTACAGGCAGCGGCAGGGATGAAGTGAGGGGGACGCAAGACAACGGGCATGATGCCTGCAGAGAGGACGCGCCTGAGATGCGTTCCGTTGCTGCCGCCAATCATGACGAAAAGAAAAGCGATGACCAAAGCGTCAGCGCCTTTTCCGGAACGGCAGTCGGACGAGAATTGAACCGCCTTGCAGCTCGCTTCCGACAAGAGCATTTCCCCAACGAGCCATATCAGGTGTTCGAGGTCGGGATGACCCTCCCAGCTTACTGGCGCCGTGGCGCTCTTAGCATGCTGCTGGAGCATGCTTTGCAAGTGGCGGATGAGAGAGGGATTATATCAGTGATGCAAGCGTCTGAAATGGGATGGCCACTGTACCACAGCTTGGGCTTCGAGGTGGTGAAGGAAACGGCCCTCGACCTCAAGCCATTCGGTCTTGATGCCAGTGTGCCTCACAGAGATATGATACGGCGACCTGGACGTGGAGTACGTCGAAGGATTAGGGCAAAGCTTTAATTATACCCTCACAACGCGATACTTTTGACAAATTGCAATCCCTTTGACGTAAGTGCTCTGAGAGGATACGCGATGTACTGTATTTTGACGTAGTCGGTATTCAATTTCTGTTGGTTTTGTTGTGTACTTCCTGTACTGTACTGTATAGGAGGTGAACAGTTTAGTTAGTTAATTCAGCAACATGATCAGGCGTGGAGTGCAAGACATGCGCTAAGCAGAACTTTCCCCTCGAATTGAACGCAGGCTGGTGCCTCATGGAATTGGAGTCTAGCGGTCAGTAGTACAATACCGCCGGTGTTCTTTCGGCTGCTGAGTACTGAGTTCTGACTTACATGCACCGGCCCCAAATGGCATCCACGTATTTTTGCAGGGCGGAAGTACTGTGCTCAGCGGCCCTTTGGACGCTGCAGTGGTTCCTGTGGGTGACTCTGCAGAGTGGAACAAGGCGCGGACCAATTCCATACTCCAGGAAATACAAGCTCCCGACGCCACCAGCCAACAAAATCAATTCGCCGACGAAATGCCCGTTTGGCCGCTACGCATTCCATGTGTCGAGGCACCAAACACACAAAGAGCTGAGCTGCACATGATTTCTCTTCGACTGTTCGATGCATCTTCACATAGACCTTGAAGATGCTGGTGAAAAAACTTCCTGAAGCTTCGGAGGAAGATGTTGTTCAACATACTGCGTGTAGACGCAATCGAAATCTTGCGCGCTTTTGTGTGCGATACTCTCTCCGTCGTACCCTGGATCGGTCGCGGACTGCTGCCAGCTTCTCGTCTCCACATACCCGTCAAGAAAATGGCTGTCGAAGCGAAACAAGCAACTATGATGGCACCTGATTTCGCAGGCCTAAAGAGCGACAATCACTTGGCGACCCAAGACAGTTCAGGGCCTGGTGTGGCTCAACAACCTTTGGTACGGGACATCCATGACATACAACTCGGTCAATGTCATGATGAGTGCGCCGACCTGCCTGTGAAGCTACAGGCCGCCTGGGCACTACTCGTGGCCATATACACTAATTCGACAGATGTCATTTTTGGTATCAATTCTTCGTCGGCTGCCAACGAGCCTGGTACGACAAAGCTCGCCAGACCTTGCCCTGTTCGTCTACAGATTGATTGGCAGTCAACTGTTCTGGAGTGCCTGAAGTCAATTCGGTCTCGGACTGGCGAAATGGTCGTCGAACAGGATGCTACTACTTCAGTGGATCCCTTTGGCGACGTACTCGTCCCTGGGGTACGAGCATCTGAGACGGCCCTTGTTGTTCTAGACAAGGGCGATTTCGGACATGAACGGACAGAAGCCGAACGGCAGCAATGGGGGCGGTACTACCTGGTCGTCGAATGCTTGCCAGTTGGCTCCCGCACCCTAAGGATATCACTTCACTCAAGCAGCCAAGACTTGGATGGAACATGCTCCCATCGAATGATCTCTCAGTTTGCGCACTTGGTCCGTCAGCTTTGCTCCTTTGATACTACCTACTGCTCCCACACACGCTCGGCCAAGCGCCTCATTGACCTCAACCCTCTGTGCGACGAGGACAAGGAGCAAATTTGGATTTGGAACGCCTCCCTTCCGAGAACCGTCGACAGCCTCCTTCACGGTCTCTTCTCACAGAGTGTCATGTCACACCCACAACGCGTTGCAATCGATGCTTGGGATGGAAGCCTCTCGTACGCCGAACTGGACGAGAAGTCAACAAACTTGGCTGCAAAGCTAATAGCAGACGGGGTCGCAGATGCTGGGAAAGTCGTCCCTCTGTGTTTCGACAAGACAATATGGACGACGATCACGATATTGGCGATAGCCAAGGCTGGCTCTATTTTCGTCCTACTAGATCCGCACCAACCCATGGAGCGCCTGAAAAGCATTATGGATCAGCTCGAAGCTACAGTGGTTTTGGCCAGGCCGAGCACTGCGGCAATCGCGAAATCACTCACGCAAAATGTTTTATTCGTCGATGATACCTTTCTGCCGGATGATCCTGACTTAAGCGCCGTTACAAAACGACAATCCTGTCTCTCGCCGGCAAACACCCTATATGCCGTGTTCACATCTGGCAGCACCGGAGTCCCTAAGGGTGTGAAAATCTCCCATGCAAACTTATGCTCCGCGGCCACACACCAAGCGCGAGCCCTCGGCTTCGCGAATTCGCGGGTCCTGGACTCTTCGTCGTACAGTTTCGACGCCTACGTCTTCAACACATTTTACACGTTACTTTCTGGGGGGTGCCTCTGCGTTTGCTCAGACACAGATCGCATAAATAGGCTTCAGGAGACCTGTCAAGAAATGCGAATCACCCTGGCTCAACTCACACCCTCCTTGTCCCAGGTCCTGGACCCGGAAGCTCTACCGAATCTGCGAACCCTCATTCTGACAGGGGAGAAACTCAATGAAAGTGTTCTCACGCCCTGGGTGACAGCTGGAGTCCGTGTCGTCAATGCCTACGGGCCCACAGAATGCACCATCATGTGTGCCGCCAATACCAATGTTACCAGTGCACGAGAGACCGAGAGCATTGGGTGTGGTTTGGGCGCTACACTCTGGCTAGCAGACGTCAATGATATCGGCAGACTAGCTCCCATCGGCGCGGTCGGCGAACTCCTTATTGAGGGGCCACTGATTGGCCAAGGATATCTCGGCGACGAAGTCAAGACCCAAGAGGCCTTATGCCTCCCTCCTCCAGCTGGGTACCTGGCCGGCGTCGCGCACGCCCCTCAAGCTAGGCTCTTCCGCACCAGGGATCTTGCTCGCTATAACGTCGACGGCTCCATCTCCTTCATCGGCAGAGCCGACACTCAAATCAAGATCAATGGACAACGGGTCGAAGTTGGCGAGATAGAACACTGGCTCGGACAGTATTGGCTGCTGGATACCCGGCCCGTGGTAGAAGCCGTGAAATGGCCCTCTGGTGCAACGCAGTTGATCGCCTTCGTCGGCACTGAAGCAGATCCGACCACAACGAATGGACGGCTCCAAGACTTGATCAGGCACGCGACCTCGGCGCTTACCGACCATCTGCCCAAGTACATGATACCTTCTGCGTATTTTCCCGTCCAGGTCATTCCCATGACCGCGTCTGGAAAAACCGATCGCAAAACACTACGACAGCTCGCTTTGGCCTCGCAAGACAAGTTGCTACCAGCGCATCAGAGTTCGCCGAGCCACGAGCAAAACGGAACACAGCAGCCTCTGACAACTCACGAGCTCATGCTCAGGAAGCAGTGGGCTGCAGCGTTGGATACCGATGAATCTTTAGTCGGTCCCGAGGACAACTTTTTCGCAAAAGGAGATTCTCTGGCAGCTATCCGGCTTGTGGCTTTGTCCCGGCAGAACGCGCTCGCAGAATTCACGGTCGCCGACGTGTTTCGTTTCCCGCGGCTGGCTGACCTTGCGTGCCACATTGGCAAGCGAGAACCTCCGTCGTCAGACAAAAAGACACGGGCGGAAATGGCTCCATTTTCGCTGCTGTGCGAGACCGAGACTGATATCGACAGCTTGCGAGCAGCCATCTCGCAAGCCGCTATGTGCTCCGCCACCGATGTTGAGGATGCATATCCGTGTTCTCCAGTCCAGGAGGAAATGATGGCTCTTTCAGCGCTGCAGCCGCGAGATTTCGTCACATATGAGGTTTTGCGATTGCCAGCAGAGATCGACATGGCAAAGCTTCTCTCAACGTTACAGAGGCTGGCACAAGGCATCCCAATCCTTCGCACGTGCATAACCCATACTCGAGTCGCAACCGGCCACGACAGTCATGATCTGATTCAATCAGTGATCCGCGCTTCTATCCCTGTATCGCGATATTCTGCCTTGGATGAGTGTCTGGACGGCGAGAAGGCTAGGGTCGTGGGACTAGGGGACCCCCTGTTCCGGCTGGCTACTGTAGAGCATGACATCGACGAGGACGACCGCACCTCACCGGCGCAGCGTTGCCTTGTTCTCATTATGCACCATGCGATATACGATGGCTGGTTTCTGGATCTTTTGATGAAAGCTGTTCGAGATGACTACGCCGGCATCGATCAAGCCAACCTCCTCCCGTACGGGCTGTTCATCCAGTACCTGGAGCGAAGTGACCGCACAAAGTCCGCGGACTACTGGCTCAATCGCCTGAATAGCGTTGACCTAAGGTTATTTCCCGCGTATCCTACCCCAACTTACCGACCATCACCCAGAAGTGTACATCACAGCTGCATTCCTGCAATCCCCTGGGTGCGAGCCACAGGGGTGACACCAACCACTCTCATCCATGCAACGTGGGCCATGATTCTGTCTACGCACTCCGGATCAGATGACGTCGTTTTCGGGGCTACTGCTCTGGGCAGACAGGTCCCCATGACGGGCATTGAAAGCGTGGGTGGCCCTACGATCGCGACGATTCCTGTGCGGATTAAGGCGGAGCAAGCGACGCCCGTCGGCGAGTTCCTTCGACGGATACAAACTCAGGCTGCTGAAGCAATCCCGTTCACTCACTTTGGGATTAGGAACATTCGAAGGCTGAGTCTCGAGGCTGAGATGGCATGCCAATTTCGTACCTTTTTAGTCGTTCAGCCACCCACAACGGACGCAGACACTGACTACCTGAGCCTTGGCCGAGGCAGCGAAGACATAATGGCTTTCAACACGTACGCTCTCATGTTGGAATGCTCGCTCAACTTGACCGGCGGACTCGACATTCGGGCAAGTTTTGATGAGGAAGTGATTACTTCCGGTCAGGTTCGTGAGATGCTAAGCCAGATGGAGCGAATCTTGACCCTCCTTTGCTCCGAGGACAAGGCATCCTCTGTCTCTGATCTCATGATGCGCACAACAACAGATTCATGGGTGGGCACGTGCGCAGACAAAGTGCCAACTCACACTCCCCCGATCGATGAGGTTGAGCTTCACCTACGAAGCTGCATGGGTCGAGGGATCTCTGATGTGGTGGTCGAGATCGTTGAGCTGCCAGAATTGTCAAAGCGCATCGTCGCTTTTCTTTGCGTGGACTCAACGACAGACTTGAGAGACCGGGTTTCTGTTATGTGCAGGGACATGGCAAATCGTTTCCCTCGCCATCTTACACCTAGCCACTACCTGCCAGTGCAGCAGATCCCGGTGTCTGAACATGGGGGGCCGGATCGACATGCCTTGCAGCGGTTGGCACAAAAGGCGGACCCGCGACAGTTTGTCACTGACTCATTCTATCATGCAACAATGAGCGAGGATGACGGAAGAGATGGTGCTCTCACCGAGGTGGAAGAAGTGTTTCGACGTCTCTGGGCCAGCACCATTCGCGTTCCAATGACGTCCATTGGGAAAGGCAGCTCTTTCCTGTTCCTTGGCGGAGACTCACTTACTGCGATGAAGTTTGTGGCCGCAGCGAGAACAGACGGTTATTCTATTACCGTGGCGGAGGTTCTCAAAACGCCAATTCTGGCAGAGATGGCCGCCATTGCGAGACGGGACGCCGACCGCACGGTTTCACCAGCAACTATACCGCCATTCACTCTACTGGACCCGGGAATCGACAGAGGGCAACTTGCAGCAGCATGTCACGTCAGCCCAAAGGCGGTCGAAGACGCCTACCCTTGTTCGCCGCTGCAGGAGAGCATGATGTCACGTACCCTGCAGCGCCCTGGAGATTTTGTGTCTCGAGGTCTTATTGAACTTCCCCCCAACGTTGAAGTGGAACGCCTAAAGAGGGCGTGGAGCACGGTCGCGGCCACGACGCCGATCCTACGGACTCGAATTATTGACATGGCCGGGCGAGGCCTCTTGCAGGTCATGCTTGACGAGCCGCTATCTTGGCACGAGTATGACAACATCGATGCCGTCCAAGAAATGGCAATGGGACTAGGCCAGCCACTGATACGCTTTTGTATCGTCAGAGTCACAAAGGGTGACCAATGGAGCCCCTCACTGCTACTCACGATTCATCACGCCATATACGACAGATGGAGTGTCTTGCGCATTCTGAAGGCCGTCGAATCCGTCTACTCGAACGGAACAACTCATGAAACGCTATTGCCTTACAACATCTTTGTCAACTATCTCGTGCGGGATCTGGATGAGGGAGAAGCCAAAAGATTCTGGGCACAGTACTTGTCTGGTCTTAGTGCACGCGAGTTTCCCTGCCTCCCGAGCAGGCGGTACCAACCGACGACGGATGCTTACCTCAAACACCACGTAAGCGGAGTTCAGTGGCCTCGAAGCATCACGCCTACTACAGTGCTCAAAGCAGGTTGGGCAACTGTGATGTCTCTTTACACCAATTGCGACGATACCCTCTTTGGCATGACTGTAATGGGGCGACAGGGACCCGTTGCCGGGATTGAAGCTATCGCTGGCCCGACCATCGCAACAGTCCCCATCAGAGTATTGATCGACTGGAAAGAAAGCCCTCTCAGCTTGCTACGGCGAGTTCAGTCGCAGGCTGCGGATATGATCCCGGTTGAGCAGTACGGCCTTGGTCGCATCTGCCGTCTCGGGCCAGACGCAGAGCTGGCCACTCAATTCCAGTCTCTCCTAGTCGTCCAACCGCCACGGAGCGCATCTTCAGAAGACGGAATGATTGGTTTGCAACTAGGCGACGATGTCGAAGAGGGTGACGCCACTGCGTTGACGATTGAGTGCGCCATAGACGACGATCACCCGGCCCAAGGAGGAGGATTTGTTGCGAACGTGAGCTACGACACGCGAGTCCTTGACCCGACGCAGGCGCAGCGCGTGGCTAGCCTGTTTGAGCATGTGGTCCGACAGCTTTGCATACACGGAGAGTCTGATGACATGGCTCTCGCGAGCATCGACATGACCACGAGGGAAGATCGGGACACCATCTGGACAACAAACGTGGACGTACCCCGGGAATGGAACATGCATCTGGGCATCATGCTGGCTGATCGCATCGCCGAGCAATCCGATGCTACCGCCGTACGCGCCTGGGATGGCGAGCTCTCCTACGGGGAGCTCTATTCCCGAGCCCGAAGGTTGGCTTACACGCTCGTCGTTGATCACGGCGCTGGACCAGAGATTGCATTCCCCATCTGCTCCGCGAAGTCGCTCTGGGTCCCCGTGGCAATGCTCGCGGTTCTTATGTCCGGAGGCACCATCGTTTTGATGGATCCGTCGCAGCCGCAAGAGCGCCTGACGCAAATCGTGGAGCAAGTTGGCGCGCGGGTGATCCTAACATCCAGCAGTACTGGGGCTGTGGTTCAACAGCTTGGCATTCGTGCCCTTGTTATCGACTATGAGTTGATATATTCATTGCCAGCGTCCAGTGCGGCCATCAACGATAGCTCATGGGTCCCCGAGCTCCGACCAGAAGATGCAGCCTACATCGTATTCACATCTGGAAGCACTGGCGCGCCAAAAGGAGCGGCCATGACCCATGCAAACTGCTGCAGCGCGCTGTTCCACCAGAACAAGGCGCTGGGGATCACCCAGCAGACTCGCGTAATCGATCTACCTTCATATGCCTTTGATGTTTGCTGGGAGCACTTCGTGCAGGCGCTCTACTTCGGCGGCTGCATATGCATACCCTCGGACGCGGAGTGTCTGAATGACATGACTGGAGCCATCAACCGCTTCGAGGCAACCTTTTTGCAGCTCACGCCGTCAGTCGCCAGGGCGGTCGACCCAGCCACTGTTCCCAGCGTGGAGGCCGTGAGCTTGATCGGGGAGGCCCTTTGCATGGACGACGTTACAAGATGGCCTCGAGACGTAAAGGTGCTCAACGTGTACGGGCCGTGTGAGTGCACGCCAACAGCCACGGTCGCTACGTACGGCGAGGACTTCTTCGACTCGGTGACCATGGGCCTCTCGTACGGCGTCAACAGCTGGATAGTCAGCACCGTTCAGCCAGATACGCTAGCCCCCGTCGGCGGTGAGGGCGAACTCGTGCTGGAAGGGCCGCTTGTCGGCCGGGGTTATCTCAATGCGCCTGAGCAAAATGAAAAGGCACTGATCAACAATCCCGCATGGCTGTCCAGGGGGGACGGCGGGTCAGTTCCAGGGCGTCAGGGACGACTCTACCGTACCGGCGACCTCGTCAAGACCGATTCTCGAGGGCGACTCGTCTTCATGGGTCGCAAAGATGCCCAAGTCAAGCTCCGTGGGCAGCGCGTGGAGCTGGGAGAAGTCGAGACCCATAGTCGAAAGATCTTGGGACCCTCTTTCAGCGTCGTCGCCGAGGTCATTGACACATATCGCGGCACGACCGACATGAAAGCTCAGAGTCTGGCACTCTTCATCTGCACGGCCGAAGACGTTTCGGCTTCAGGCGCCGAGCCCCACCAACTGTCTCCTGCCTTGTTCAAAGACCTGTCGGCCCAGCTTGCTCAATCTCTGCCAAAGTACATGGTCCCATCTTCATTCATTCGCGTGGAGCAGTTCCCTCTCACGGCGTCCGGGAAGATTCATCGGAAGGCCCTCCGCGCCATCGGAGCCGCGACAAAAGCAGAGGAGATGCAAAACAGGTCGGCTGCTGGTGAGCTTAAATCGGAGAATGAGAGGCTTCTGGCAAGTTCATGGGCCGAAACACTGGGCATCACGCCGGACGTGATTGGGCGGTCGGACAGCTTCTTTGATCTGGGCGGCGACTCCCTGGCGGCCATACACTTGGTGGGAGTCGCGCGCAAGTTCCAGCTACATCTAACTGTCCTGGCGATATTCCGGCACCCGCGCCTCGAGGACATGGCCCGACAGCTAGAGGAGTCAACCGAGGCACTAGGCAGGACTGTGCCCGCCAGTTCTGCGCCTGCAGTCACTGCAGCTCTTGATGCTGTCCCGACGCCCGCCGAGGTTTCCAAGGCCTTGTCAATCGAGGTGCACTCTATAACGGACATCCTGCCGGTGACTGAGTTCCAAGAATACGCTATCAGATGCACCTTGGCCATGCCGCGGACTGAGTGGAATTATTTCGCTCTCGCGTTTCGGTCGCGCGCAGACGTGACGCAGTTGCGACGAGTGTGCGAGCAATTGTTCCAGAAGCTAGACGTCCTCAGGAGCGTCTTTGCGCAGCACGGAGACGGATATGTCCAGGTATTCCTCAATCACCTCGAGGCGCCAGTTACCGTGACGCAGACCTCGGGTTCGCTCGATGCTGCATGCGCAGACGTCTGCCAGCAGGATCTCGCCGAAGCCGTCTCCCTTGCGTCTCCTTTCGTCAGGTGCTTCATTGTCCAAAACACAGAGACGGGTGAGGCGCGCCTGATCTTGGGCATGTCCCATGCTTGCTACGATGGCATCAGCTCGGTACGCTTGGCACAGGCCATCGGCGCTCTCTACGAGGATCGGCCTCTGCCTGACATTGGCAAGTTCGCGGAGTACCTCGGAAATGCCCTGTCTCGGAGCGAGGAGGCTTTGGCACATTGGTCTTCAGTGCTGGAAGGCAGTCCGCCGCCGCTTGCCCTCAACAGAGACTGCCCGCGTGCCGCGCAGACGCCCGAAGTTCGTGTCCGTCTCTCCAAGGAAGTAACCCTCAGACGCATTCCCAGCGGCATCACCGCGGCCACCGTTTTTGCGGCTGCGCTGGGGGCGGCAATGGCCAGGCAGGCAGGGTGCGACGACGTTGTAATCGGCCGCGCTGTATCAGGACGAGCTCTCCCGTTCAGCACGCAAGATACCGAGAGCGTCATCGGCCCTTGCTTAAACCTTGTTCCTGCCCGCATCAGATTCGGCCGCTCAAGCGACGCGACGAGCGTGCTCACGGCGCTTCAAGAGCAATTCACAGCATCCATCCCGCACGAGACCACTGGCCTGGCTGAGATTGTGAAGCATTGCACCAGCTGGCCCCTCGGCACATCCTACGGCTGCGTGTTCTACTACCAGGGAATGCAAGATCCCAGAACGAGTATTGCTGGTAACGAGGTGCATCTAGATGCCTTGCAGCTGGACAGGCCCGATCCTCCGGAGCCGCTGCGTCTCGATGTGACGCCCCTTGACGGCGGTGAGAAGTACATGCTGGACCTTTCTGTGCCGACTGCGGCATGTAACCTGGTTGACTGCTCTGGGTTGTTGGATGGAATGGTAGACTGGTTGTCAAGGCTTGGTGGCGATGTGCCGGCCGTGACATCGGAGTGCAGCGGCTCGATGCCAGCTGAGGTCTTTTCCCGACCTTCGATGGTGTTGGAAGGCCCGCCTGTGGCCGAAGTTCTGGCTTGACATGGAGGCCGCAAAGCACGGTTAGATGTGAAATATCGCTGGATACTAGGAGATTGTATACGGATATCGTTTAACGGATGTCGGCGTTGTGACATGGAGTTGGTGAGGGTTTTGCCTCCTTTCAGTGCGTCGACGACTTTTACTGGATATGGAACATGTCGTATTTCGTAGCTTCAGATCTCTTAGCGAGCGACAGAATAGCAGAGAAGGTCAATTTCCGTAAAGCATCCCAACACACAAGGCGGCCGACGGCTCAAGCTAGCTTGCCTCAGCTCTCCATCCTCTCACTCTCCGCCGCGATAGATCTCCAACATCGCCGTTCACATCAATTTTGTCAGCCCAGCGTTTGCACATCTCGGTATCGTTGCCCTCGCTCCAAAACAAACGGTTTTTTTCGTCCCGGAGACGAAAACCCTCCGTCATTCACAATTTCTCGCTCATTTTGAGGGATCGCATGGACAGCTCTCCAGGCCGCCGGTGAGGACCAACGAGTGCACCGGACGCTTCTAGGCGTAGCAGTGTCCGTTGTAGCAGAACCTCGCCGACTCCTTGCAGCAGGAAAGAGGGCAGCACTTGGAGGTACGGCAGCAGAGGTTGTTGATGGGGCACTTGCGCGGGAAGTCGGGAGGACACGCCTGGGCGCTGACGTCGCCCTTGGGCGCGTTGAGACCTTGCATGTCCGCAATGACGAGCTCTGGGAGCAAGTCGGCGAGGGCGCCGCCAAGGGCAGACGCCAGGAGAACGAAGCCGAGTTCAAACTTCATGGTTGCTGGATTCTCTGCGACGGAGTCCATGCCAATGAGACGAAGTCGTTTCGGAAACGTTGGGGCCAGGGTAACTCACCAAGGGGGTTTGCTCTTTGTAGTTGCTTGTGTCTGAGTACGTGTATATCTGGAGCCTGCCATGATGGAATTCCCGGTGGTGAACAGACATGGCTTATATAGTTGAATACCGCATGACGGACAGAGAATCTGCCTCGAGGTGCATTTCAACGGCCACCGGAAAGCCCAGGCAAGACTCGCAAGAGCAACGTTCTCTGCTTACTGTCAACGTTCCTTCGTGGCTTGCATCTCCCGCAGCCGATATAAGCCCCTCGACTGGTCGAGAATGTCCTCACGCGGCGCGGCTGAAGATGCAACGACACGCAAAGGGCAACGAGTTGCCAGACCACACCATGTCATGCCTCTACGCCAAGAGTCTTCCCGTCGACACGCTCCAATGACGGCGGCCTCGACGACCTTGACGCATTCCTCGGTGGAACGGCGTCTTTGGTCTGATCGGCCGACGGGCTCGGACTGTCGGCGACGAAACCACGCAGCCCCCATCTCATGATGGGTTCTGGGTGTGCGGCCTTCTTCTTCGCATCATGTCGTCGCTTATAGCGTAGCACGGCAGAGCGCCACCAATAGTCGATGCAGGAGCGGGTGCGAGATGCGCCGCTGTCGATGATCATGATGAAAAGGAGGGGAGGGGGGGTCGCGTATTTTCTAGAATGGGCGCTGTTGTTGCTGTTCTTGTTGTCAGCTTCGGGCCATCGGTCGAGCTGTCCGTCCGAGAGACTTCCCTCTCCCAGTGCGGTATACCGGAGGACTCCCTTGGTGTTGCGATCGTCGCTGGAGCTGACATGTGCAGACTGACACGCCTATGTCGGGCGAAACCTTGGTATAAGCCGTGCCAATGGCAAGAGACTACGTGCTTGTATCAAGGGGGGAGCTGCGTGCGAAGAGGCCCAGGCAACATTCCGCAGCGACAACCCCCCATGACCGACGACGGCCTCTCTCGCCCTGTCGGATGCATCCCTCGACGCGAGCATGCACGGCCGACGCGCTTATTCCTGACGTCGATGCAGGCCGAGCCGATCTCGACCAGTCCCCCTCCTCCCGCGACCCCTCCATGATCGCCCTGCATGAGGGGAGGGCAGGGACCGAACCAAGATACACCGTTGTCAGGTGCCGAGGCTTGGCTGCGTGCGCGGGTCTGTACCTGGGCCTGATGTCGCTTCTTTCCCCCTTGCCCCTCCGTCATACGGCCGAGGAGCCGCAGCTGAAGTCTTTGGAGGTGCTTGATTCGTGTCTGCGTGTCTGCGGGCCAAGGCTGCTTGTGCCGCTGCGCGCGGTCGGGGTTGTGGCATGATGACGGGCCACGGCTGGCAGGGCAGCGCAGGGCAGCGAGAGGATCCTTCCGCGATGGATGATGATGGCCTTCTGGCCCCCAGCAGGCGCGATGTGCAAAGAGGTTGGAGAATAAACTTTGCAGAGGGGATGCTGGATACCTGCGCAGTGCGCTCCTCGGCCGTTGCTGCGATGCGGCTGGGCTCCCGTCTCTCCCGCTCGACATGTCACGTTACGCCCCGATGGGCAGGCATACATACATACAGTTTATCATCTCGCAGATCCGCGTCGCACACGCGCTGGTTCCGAACGCTTCGCTCGGGCTGAGACAGACACCAGCCGGAAGTCGCTTCCCCAACCCCGCGTGTGTGCTCCGTACGTTCGTGCGACGCACTGCTAGGTAGTAGTAGTAGTAGTAGTAGACGATTGTTACGCAGCTCGGTAGAATCGGCGCAAGAGCCGCAAGGGCAGATTTCAGCCATGCTCGGCAAGGGCCAAGCCGAGGGCGCGAATGGCCTTGGGCGAGAGGTTGCAGGTTCCAGGTTGTTTGCACTTGCAGGAGGCAGCCCTCAGCCCTCCCGCCTCCCCGAAGCGAAGTGCCGCTCCAGCACACGGCGCTAGGCGAGAAGGTGCATGGAGTGCCCGCTAGCGGAGCAGCCCTGGGAGCAGTGCGGCCCTGGAGGCTTGGACAGGGCGGGTTTAGCGGGATGCCCCGCCACCCTAAACCGACGTCACGACATGGAAATGTCGTGCCCGCCCATCTCACTCTCGTCCGTCTTCCCAATTGTCAGCATTGTTCTCCCCTCTCCGACCGACCGCCCGGCAGCCCTCAGCTCTACCTACGTACCCTCCCACTCTTCGGGCCGCTGCACCCGAACCGACTCGACGAACCATGGCGCAACAGGGGCAGCAGGAGGAGGAGGAGCAGCAGCGGCGCCCTCGGGCCGTCGACTCTGACAAAGGTAACGACAGACATCCTTGGCGCATGGGGCCGTAGAACGGACCGGGGGGGGAAGAGCAATGAGAGACACAGAGAGATAGAGAGAAAGCACATCGCAGCCAAGCTGACATGCAGCTCCCCAACAGTCTGGACCACGCTCATCACCAACCTCGACTACCTCCCGGGCCTCCTCACGCTCGCCCACTCCCTCCGCGCCGTCCGATCCGCCTACCCGCTCCTCGCCCTCTACACCGACTCCTTCCCCGAGGCGGGCCTCGCCGCCCTCGCCGCCCGCGGCATCCCCGCCCAGCGCATCCCCTACCTCCTCCCCGCCTCCTCCAAGGACTACTCCAACGACCCGCGCTTCTACGACTGCTGGAGCAAGCTCACCCCCTTCTCCCTCGTCGAGTACGCCCGCGTCGTCCAGCTCGACTCGGACATGCTCGTCCGCATCAACATGGACGAGCTCATGGATCTCGAGCTCGACGACCCCGGTGCACTTAGCGAGACGGGCGACGCCGCTTCCAGCCGTCGCGTCTTCGCCGCCGGCCACGCCTGCGTCTGCAACCCCCTCGCCAAGCCGCACTACCCCAGGGACTGGGTGCCCCGGAACTGCGCCTTCACCTCGCAGCACGACGACCCGGACCGCGCCCAGACCGTCGCCGCCGACCCCGCCGTCGGGCCCCTCGGCTTCATGAACGGCGGCCTCCAGGTCGTCAACCCCTCGGCTGTCCTGTACCGCCAGATCCTCGACCACATGGAGGCCGACGCCGCCAACATGGACTTTGCCGACCAGTCGCTGCTGTCGGACCTGTACCGAGGCCGCTGGGTCCCCCTGCCGTACACGTACAACGCGCTCAAGACGCTGCGCTGGCCTGGCGTCCACGACGCTATCTGGCGCGACGACAAGGTCAAGAACGTGCACTACATCCTGAGCCCCAAGCCGTGGGACGAGGTCGACGGAAACGGCCAGTGGACCGGCACCGATGAGACGCACAAGTGGTGGATAGACGCCAACAACGAGAGGAAAGCCGCCGAGCGCCGCCAGGGCATCCCCGATGACGGCTTCTAGGCCCTCGGCGCACCATGCATCCATTGCGCCACGGCAACGGCATGTCAGACCATGTAGATTTCTATGCGATGCGCCCGAGCGCCATGCTGTGCTGGTGCACTACGTAATATGCCATGTCCCGTCGTTCATTCTCGTCGTGTTGCCACCCCGCAGGGGCCCCTGTCCTGCCCACGCTCCCCTTCACATCACACACTTGCTGCACTGCTTGACTGTCCGACAGTTCATCGCCGAAGTCTAGGACGAACATAGCCTCCCACCCCGTATCCTGGAATGCGCTGTCATGATCTATTCTGGAAGAAGTAAAAGAGAACAAAATGTCTCCAAGGGTTAGTTGGATGGCAATTCGTGGTACCGGTTCGCGCCGTCGTATGCTATCAATGCTTGTATTTCTGCTCCCAGTTAGCCTCCTCGCAGCGTACGGCGGTGGTCTTGGGGACAAACGCACCTCGCCAATGCGTCGTTTGTTCTGGGGATCAATGGTGTTGGTCGCCCCCATGAGAGTCTGTCCGATGGCCTTGGTCACTCCGACGGCTGGCCGGAAGATGATGGTCGGCGCTCGCTTCCACACCGCCCTCGCAACGCCGCTGGCAGACTGGCTCTCCATGACCTCGCCCGGCACGGCGATGATGGCGTCCCTGGCCAAGTTGACATCTCTGGTGAGAGACCTGTAGCCGCCTCTAATGCCTTGTAGCACGCCTGTTGGCTGGTCTGCGTACAGTGAAATTTGCTTCTTGTCCTCGGGATCCAAGTCCTCGTCGTCCCAGCCAGTCTCCACAGCTTCCTGCTGCCGCTTCTCCGTGAGCATGTCCTCGGCGCCCTGTAGTGCGTATTGGGTGCCCACGGCGATCTTGGCGCCCAGCTTTACCAGTTCCGTGCCCGTCGTTCGCGCAAAGGCGGCGGCACCCTTGGAGATGCTACGGATCACGCGACCGTCCTTTTGATACTCCCGCAGAGGTATCTCAACGAGGTCCTTGAAGCCGCTGCCGATATTGACCAATGAACGGACCGGGGCAAGACCAGCGACTACACCGGGCAGCTGGTTCTTCCGGACGTCGGGCATCCAAATGTCGTTCAGCGTCTTGCCCAGCCGATCGAAGCCCGACACGCCGTAGATGATGACGTGGCGCAACACCATGCGAGACTCTTCAAGGACAATGAAGTTCATGAACTCGGTCGTGTGGCCGGACCGCAGGCCGGCATAATCCACCCGCTTGGGCTTGAAATCCAGCTTGACAGGAATGTCGTTGACCTCTGCCCGCTGCAGGAAAGGGACGTCGCTGGCAGACGAGTGCACCGGCACATTTTCATCTTTGAACTCGAAGAATCGAGTGATGAAGTCGAGGGCGTCCTGGTCGACGTGCAGCCGAAGAGGAAGAAGGGTAGCGCGGAGCACGATTTCCGACGCCGCCAGCTCGGGCAGGGGTTTCACGGTGAGGAGCTCTAGGTGCACCATGCTCGTGCCCATCTCTCGTTCCCCTTGATCCTGGTCATATGTGGCAAATTTCTTCCACGTCGACGTCGGCACATGGTCAAAGATGTCGAGCGCCTGGACTCTGACATCGATGCTGCTCAGCGTCTCATCGTTACCGTCGGGAGGAAACATGACCATGTCCATGTTCACGCCCTGTAGCTCGAATGTGATTTTGTGGTGTTTGCTGCGGTGCAACTTGAGGCGCCTTGACTTTGGCTGATGGCGCTTGGCAGTTCTGCTCGTGGTAGTCGTGAATGCAGTTGTGGCCACAGACTCCGTTTCTGTTGCGTTGTCGTTGAGGCCCTCGTTGATCGCGCGCGTCAGGTCACGCGGGTCACGGTTCGCCGGTATTCCGATGTAGATCGAGTTGAACAGGAAGTCGCCAATGGCCTCTTCATCTTCGATTTCCTCTTCGTACACCTGAGGTCCCGTGAGTCGACCCTGGCGCTCAAGCGCTTTGGTCTCGACATCCTCCACCGCCTTGCTGATGATGTCACGGGTATGCGCCCAATCGTATCCGTCAAACAGGTTCCAGATGACGTGCACATCTCGCACAGAAATCTTGAGCGGGCTGTTCTGCACAAGACTCGTCGGCGCACGATCGTACGTGTTCCTGGTGGAGTTCCAGACCTTTGCCGTGTGATCCTGGCTGGACTCATCGCGCTGGTAAAAGTCGTCGTGGATGACTAGGTCGTCGCTATCCTGCTCCGACGTAGAACTTTGAGACGGCTCGAAGCCTGTCAGCAAAACACCTTCAGCCGTGTCCTGCATGCTCGTGCCATGTAGCATGCTCGGGCTTTTAGTCGCGTCAAATAATTCCTCGCCTTCGAGCTGTTCTCCGTAGAATTGCGAGTCGATGCCGAGGGACCCCTCCGCACCATAGTCTAGATCTGACACGCTGCCGGCCATCTCTTGTGCCCCGGCGAAGTCTTGATCAAAGTCGTACTCACCTTCTGGGCGGCCAAACGCTTCGGCAGAGATGGATGCCAGCAAATCTTGTACCGGGACAACCTTCGTTCTGAACTTGTTCTCCTTGCTTGGGGGCGTCGGCGGCTTCAGTGCATTGGCCAGCGTGATGAGGGTCTGCGTAGAGTCTGCGCATGTCTCTAGGACCAACAAGTCATCTCTCAGCACGACTTCGATCTGCTTGTCTTCGCTGCCATCCGGCTTTGGTCTGATGACGGCGACGACACTTGCAGACGAAATGTAGCAAATGTCAACAAATCCTCGGGCAGAGAGTTCAGAAACCGGGGGAGACACTGCCCAGGACAGTCGACGTCTTGGTCTGGCAGTGGCACTGCGAGCTGCGGCATCTGACACATCATCAGTTAACAGCACTGACGCTTTCTTGATAGACATCGTCGCTGTCGTCCGGCCGTCCCTCGGTAACGTCGTTTGCAGGTGAGCGTCGGTGAAAACCACGACCATCTTAGACGGAAGATTCAACGGGTTCAAGCCCAGGAGGCAGTCACGCATCCCAATATCCAGAGTCAAGGCTTTGCTTTGTTTGGCTTTCTCTGAAGGTGGCGACGCTGGCTGTCGAACAAGTCTAGCATGAGCCTGATCGCCTAAGCTAGCAACGGAGGCTGCCAAGCTAGCTTCGAAGTCTTGAGGCGTAGCGTCGTCTCCAAGGCCAAGGATGTCCATGATGGTAGGGACCCGGTATTCCACCCTTAAGCCTTGCAGTTTCAGCTTGATGGTGGGCTCCATCTCGTCACCAATGACCCTTGCCATGACGACAGGACCATTCTTCGCGGGTGCTTCGGGTGAGTCGAAAATGGGCGAGCTGATGAGATCTTCGCTCTTGTTGCGTCGCACAGAGAGCCCCTCGAGGGCAACGGCAAGCAGCGAGGGGAATGTGATGTGCCCAATCTCGAGGCCGCGGATCTCCCCTCCAACATGTCCAACCGTGCTTCCGACATCTACCCCAAAGGTCAGAGAGTGGAGACTACCGAGCGTTAGAAGCCCGGGGCGATCGTCTTCCGGAAGATATTTTGCGACCGTGGACAGCTTGGCGATTTCCTCGCCGAGGTTGGGCAAGGCTGGTGAGAGCTGAGCCAGGTTCTTAACACGGACATTGACGACCTCCAGTGTTGCTCTAAGCACCGAGCCCTTCCTGCGCTGGCGCAGGAGCGTGTCGACCATGATCTCGTCACTACCGTCATCAAACTTGTCCTTTGACGGGATAATGAGTTCCAACAACTTCTCCAGGTCCCTGTCTTTCGGGGCCATGAGGAACTCTAGGCGCATCCCAGAAATATCTGCGGTGATGGCCGGGTCCGAGAGCGAGTTCCGCAGATACGGCCCAGACACTCGTATCCGACTGCAGGCAACGCCGATGCCTTCGTCACGGCTGACAATCTTGATGGCGTGCGTCTCTGCGGCCACGCTGCAATCTCGACCCACCAACTCGAGCAGGGCGCCACCGATCCGTACGTTGACCTTGTTTTGTGCAGCGACGGATCTGTCTTCAGGGTCAATAGGCGTTTCGAAGTGGACGCCTCGTTGTTTCGACGGCGGGGGCAAGGCTGTGGATTTGATCGTCGGCGAAGGACTGGAAGTCATTGAAGCACTCATGTTGAGGAAGCTGCTCAGGCCACCAAACCACCCAAAAGTCTCGTCGAGTCTTTGCAGGTCGATCTGAATGACCAATGGCAAGGTTTCAATGTCCGTCCTTGATGAACCGTTTGACTGTATAATCCGAATGCTGACGTCTTGGCCACTCGATAGAAATGTGTCTCTGACTGACGTGGACATTGGCCTGCCGCTGTCAAAGGACACGATATCTCCATTGGTGTAGCCAAAGCGAAACTTCTCCAACTCAATCTCCGTCGTAAGTGCGGCAACCTTTGGATCGCCGGTTTTGCCGCTCGGGTGGGCGGGAGACGCTTGGCCGGGCGAGACATTTACCGCCAGTTTTTGCAACGTCATGTTGAGGAGAACTTCTTGATCGAACAAGTGGAATGCGGTCGGATCTAGATAGCGCTCAGACGTTTCTGCCACGCCGCCAAGTCGGTTGAGAAAATTCAGCGAAATTTCTTGGGCCGTAAGCTTGACCGCCGGTGTTTTCTTCGGCGCTGAGTCTTGATTGGAGTCAGGTGTTGTCGGAGGAAGCCCATCCTTCAAAACGCTCAGCAGCTTTTCAGCGACCATTGCCAACACAAATGCAACGGAAGCATCGAAGTTTATGCTCATCGGCGCAAGGGCTACCTCCAGGGCGTTATAGTGCTGACTCGTCGTTGACTGCGCTGGTGGACTGCCTGGTGACGTAGGAGCGGCACCGTGAATCGAGAACGCGCCTGGTGCTTGGGGCAAGACAGAACTGCCCAAAGAGCGTGACAGTTGTGCCACAGATTCTGGCGAGGTTGCTTGGACCTGGATATGCTGGTGGTGCGACGGGACATACACTGAGATGCTTTCCAAATGCAAAATCTCTTTTGCGACCCGGGTCGGTCCCTTCGGCGTTGCAATGTCCTCTTGCTGAGGAGCCTCCGGGGCCGACGCACTCGCCGTGGCATCCGGTTCAGGTGCGATCGAGTGTCTGCTGAAAGCAGGAGAAGAGTCTTCACTCTCCGAGTCGTGCATTGCACTTTCCGCTCGGGTTCTCGGCTGTGGTCGAGAGGTTCTCCGAACGGGATCAGACTGCTGCGAGCCCTCACTATCGTCATTCCAGGTACCCGGCATCGTTGAGCGCGCAGCGGGCGGCGCTGGCGACGAGTCGTCCACATCATCCTCGGGCGGGCCAGATGTGGAAGTCACCATTCGCGACCTTGTTGTAGATGCTGGGGACTCTGCGCTGGAGAACGCACTCAGGTACATGCTTTCTGCTTCATCATGCGTGTACAAGTGGGATTCAGTCAGGTCCTCCGTGGAGCTCGTTCCGGGCGTGCTCTCAGTGTCGGCAGGTGCCGACATCCCAGCCAACCTGTCGAGCTGATTGCTTCCGCTAGCCGGCCGCAGTGCCGGTTGTCGATCAAGCGCGGGCGTCGAATCACCAAATGTCAGCAAATCTTCCTCGTGCTGCGAGGGTCGTGTGGTCGATAACACTGAGTCTCCACCAGGCTGAAGCGTTGAGTGAAAGATCGAATCTTCCAATACAGGGGCGCTATCTTTAAACAAGGAGGCGCGCGGTGTCGGGGGGCTGTCATCTTCTGGATCGTCGTTCAGGGCGTCCTCCAAGTCGTACGGGATACCAAGAGCTTCCTCGCTGTCTCCGAGGGGATATTCGGGCTCCGGGGACTCCTCGTGATCCGACAAATGCTCCCGGAAGCTTTCCTGCAGTGATGCCATAGGCTGTTCTTGGAAACTGCCATGTGATAGCGATGTAGTCTGCCGAGACGGCGGGTTCCGAGTCTGAACAGGCGAGGAGGTCACTGACGGAGATGCCATCGATGGCGATCTGGTCAGATTAGGAAAGACATTCGCCTCAGATATAAGAAACGCCCGAACGCCGGCCAACATGATGTGCCGCTTTCCTTCTTTCGGAACAAACGTCATTGGAGAGTTTGAGCTACCATCCGGGTCCGGTGCAGAGGTAGTGACTCCTTCGACATCGATATCTTGGATGGAAATCTGAAATGAGACGGGCTCAACGGAGCTGGCGTTGATGTCGGCGGGGACTTCCATGTCCAACTGAAAGTTGACCCCATTGATCGTAACCTGCATACGATCAACAACGCCACGCAAGAAGTCGGCGAGGAATGTAGGCAACGAAAGCGGTTGGCCAGTGCCAAAGCCTGCGTCGTCCTCACTGCCATCATCGCTGACCGATACCGAGGCGCCAAGATCCTGCGTTTCCGCGGCGAGGGCATCTTCTAATTGCTTGCGCTCGGATGATGGCTGCGTCTCGAGGAAGGACTGCGCGAGATCGACCGTGTTGGGAACCGGGTCGGCGGAAAGATCCGAGGTCGCGGGGGCGGGTGCACGGGCCGACTTTGTGATGATCTCGAGTGTCACGTCTACGCCATCCACCTGCAGTGTGATGGGGCTCGTGTAGAAGTCCATGGGTATCGTTACTCGCAAGAGGAGCACTTTGGCGCGTTTCAGTCTGAATGTGGCCGGCAGCTGCAGCATCTTCTCGAGCTTCTACCACGGGTGAGGAATGTCAGTGCCGGTGGGTACGCAACCTAGGGGGCGGCCGGGGACGGGATGGGTACTTTGAGCCTGGTGCCAACATCTCTAAACTCAAGAACTGTGTTTCTCCCAAGGGCAAAGTCGAGGTTATCGATGTCGAGGGCGTCGGTATCGAGGAAGTCCAGCCGGGCGAGAGCATAGCGCAGCAGCCTCTTGGGCATGCTGGAGCTCCGGAAGGACTGGAAGAGGGTAGCCATTTCGACGACTGGTTTGCGGCGTCGGAGTCGGGCGGTTTGTGGGATATTGCGGCGGACACGCGGTGTCCTCACAAGGTGCAGAAGCAAGCTGCAGACCCTCGGTCAGAGACGGGGACCAAGTTCATGATGGTTCGGCTGCGGATCGCGACATGGAGCGGGGTCGGCGGAGGGAGCGAGCTTGGGCGAGGGCCGTGTCGACGGGGGTAGCTTCGTCGTCTGGGCGGCTCGTGTGCGTGCGGCTTTTGGAAGCGCAAGAATCGATGAAGATGTGGACAGCGGTAGGTTCGGGGCAGAAGATGGTGGTAGTGGCTGGCCACGGAGAGTTGGGACGGGCGCATGAAGTAGTCGGGTCGAGGAAGGTTAAGGTACCGCCACCAGCCGGCGCAGACGTAAGGGGACCTGGCGTGGGGCACAGGGCTGTCGCGCCGTGGACGTCACGAGCGCTCGCCAGTTGGGTACATAAGGTAAGGTAACTGAGGCACTGCACTTTAGAGGTATGGTGTGGCAGCCGCTCAGGTGGCCGGGCAGCAATGAACACGCGCATCAACACCCGCATGGGCCGCCACGACGTGCTCTGTAACTCGGCAACCAACGCACCCGGGAGCTGCGCTGGGCTGGTCATTCATCATGGATGGATGTTCGCCGGGCGCCGCGACGGAGGGAGCACATCCATATCATTAGAGGCGGGCAGGCACCAGCCCGTCCCCACAGGTGACGCCGAAACCCCGGGCAGGGTTCAGCGGGCGTGCTGCACTGCAGTGGGCTGCACGGGCACTCGCCCCACCCACTGGATGTCACCCGCTTGGGCGGTGCCGTGACCGCCGCAGCCTCCAGGTCCGCTTTCGAGCTACATGTTGGGCTGGCTAGGTAGATGGGAAGCGACCTACCGGGAGCTACTGTGGAGGCTGCGCAAGACTGGACGGCCTGTGGTCCAGCCTTTGGATGGATCCATCCGAGGTCATTCGCCGAAACGAGGCGTGCTGCCTGCCCGCCACCTGACCGCTCCCAATGTCGGTGCTACTGCCCGCTGCTACGGCCGCAAAGGTAGATACAGGGCCTACCAGAGGTACTCAGGTATCTTCGTCGCAGGTCCTGTGTGAGGGACGCAGAAGTAACGGCACGAGAGAATGGCAGACGAGAAAAATCAAGACGTGCTACTGGAGGGAATGGTCTGCCGGGCCGGTGGCTTACATGGCAGTGGATGTTGGGCCTCCCAGCATCACCTATGAGGGTCGTGGTTCGAAGTAGCGCTACGGGCAGTTTACAGCTTGGAATGGGATCCATGGATGGTAATTTAATAGCCCCAGGAGGGCAGGTGGCCTGTCAGCCGCTGGCCACCTGGGCCGCACCTTAGGTACGCCAAACGACCGACGCCCGACAGCGACTGCGACAACGCTCGCGTAACACAAAGCATCTCCTCCATCCGTCGCCACGCCTCGTTCTGGTCCGCCCAGCTGCGTCGCATCGCATCCATGAGCGCATCTCGCCTGCTTCGCTACTTTTACAGGTGCGTCCCGGTGCCTTGATCCCTGTCCCCGGCGCCCCCAGATCCCAACCGGCAGCCCGCAGGCCTGGCCGCGAACAACCACAGCATCAATGATCGCGTATCCCGTCGCGAGGGCGTCGTGCCGCATCCCGCTTGGCTTCGCACGCTCCCCTACTGTTATTTCAACGGTCCCGCGCCCTGGCAAGCGCCTGAGAGCCGGCAGCATGTATCTCGGCCCAGGCGGAATCGCTGCCAATCGGAGTCGGTCGCTTCGGCACGCGGCCAGAGCGCCTCACGGACCGCTCCGTACCTTGCTGGCCGGGTCGTTATCGCTGCCACCTTTGCAGGCGCGCGACACGACGACACCTCACATGGCTCCTGGAGCGGAGCCGCCCCCGTGACCCAGCTGTATCCGTCTTCTTTCCTCCCGCATGAACCCCCCTTCCTTCGTGCTATTCCTCTCGACATGTAAACAATCTACCGACTTTATTCGACCATCGGGCGGCTTCACCCGCGCCAATAACGCAGAATGGATGCTTACTCGATATGTTACACCAGCCCGTCTCGCCGCAGCTCGTCCAAGATATACCAGGATCTTCGATCCGTGCGCTTGTCGAGCCTGCCCTTGTTCGATCGCGACCGCCTCTACTGCAGGATGGCGAGTACGGATGCATCAACCCAGGTACTGCCATAGCCATGTCTTTCATGCGCACGCCCCCCCGCATCATGGGCAGCACAGACGCCTTTCGAGTTGCTCCCCGTGTCTGGCATCGTCTAGCCCTAGCCCCGGTCAGGTCCTCGGCACTTGCTTACATGCTTGAGTGCAGCGCAGGACGCAAGACGCGGCCGCGAGTCCCCACATAGGCGTCATCGGGGCCGGGCTTTCGGGACTTCGCTGTGCAGACATCTTGCTGCAATGCGGGTTCAAAGTCACCGTCATTGAAGGCCGAGACCGGGTCGGCGGCCGGGTGCACCAGCAGCCTCTCCCCAACGGCCACCTCGTGGATCTTGGCCCAAACTGGATCCACGGCACGCAGGACAATCCCATATTGGACTTGGTCAAGCAGACCAACACAGCGGTTGGTAGCTGGGACACGAGATCATATGTTTTTGGCGAGTCTGGGGATTTGTTTCAAGTCGACCAAGGGGAACAGTACGCCACCATGATGTGGGACATCATCCAGGAGGCATTCAAGCATTCCAACAAGTTCTGTACCACCATTGACAGCGGCGAGAGCCTCGCGGACTTCTTCCAGACCAAAATAGCAGAGAAGATACCCGACACGGACCACGCCTTTTCCGAGAAGAGGGCCTTGCTGTGGCAAATGTCGGAGATGTGGGGTGCCTTCGTTGGCAGCCCTATATCCCGACAGAGCCTCAAGTACTTTTGGCTCGAGGAATGCATCGAGGGCGGTACGTGGCGGAATAAACGTGACCCAAATATTCTGCTAATGTGAGCAAACGTAGAGAACTTGTTTTGCGCCGGTACGTACAAAAAGGTTCTCGACCTCGTCGCCCAGCCCGTTCTCGCCGGCGCGGAGGTACAATTCAACTCCAAGGTGACGAGGATATCCCACCGGGATGAGGGTCGAGATCAGGTTATTGTTGAGATGGATGGCGGCCAGTCCCTCCATTTTGACGAAGTGGTAGTGACGTGTCCCCTCGGATGGCTGCAGAAGAATCTGTCTGCGTTTGAGCCCTCGCTGCCTCCTCGTCTTGCCCGTGCAATAACTTCAATCGGCTATGGCTGTCTTGAGAAGGTGCACCTCCAGGCTTCATGTGTGTATTCATTCCTATGTTGACTGATTCGGCTTAGGTATACATAAGCTTTCCGAGAGCCTTCTGGCTCTCCCAAGGGGCTGACGACCGCAAAGTCGAGGGGTTTGTCCAGTGGCTGTCGCCCAACTACGCGCCGGACTCGAATCCTCATCGGTGGCACCAGGAAGTGGTCGAGCTGGCTAGCCTCAGTCCCGAGACTTCTCATCCGACCCTGCTCTTTTACATGTTTGGCGAGCAGTCGCGCCTTCTGACCGCCCAGGCCGCTCAATTCGCCGAGTCGTCTAAGAGAGACCAGTTCCTGTATGACTTCTTCAAGCCCTACTACTCCCGACTTCCGCATTACTCGGAGGCGTCCGAGGACTGCATACCGACAGCCTGCCTCGCCACCGACTGGGTCCATGACGAGTTGGCGGGGTGTGGCTCCTACAGTAACTTCCAGGTCGGGCTGGAGGAGGGCGACGTTGACATCACGACGATGCGAGAGGGTCTCCCAGATCAGGGTCTGTGGCTTGCAGGCGAGCACACAGCGCCGTTTGTTGCCCTGGGTACCGCCACTGGAGCGTACTGGAGCGGCGAGTCGGTCGCTCGGAGGATAGCGGAGGTATACGGGCGCTCCACCAGGCCCACGGAGGCGTAGAGTGTAGACTCTCTTTACGCTTTGACTGAGGCGACTCTCCTCGACCACGGGCGGCAGTCTATGGCACAAGATAGAGCCCCACGGCTCCCTCATTGTCCGTCGCCGAGGTATTTCCAGTCCTGTCTCATGTCCCGGCCAGGGTAAGGAATTGCATCATGCATTAGTGACGGCGCACATCAACTCTATCGACAGCCAGGAACAGACCTCCAAATTCACTTGCCGAAACAGGAACCCCGACGAATAGGCCGCGCCGTATTGCGGAGAGAATCCTGGGGAACGTCGGCGAAGTGCGGGCCTGCCACGGGGAACGCTGCCTCAGATGCATGCCGGGTCGCAGGCGATCGGCACTGCAAGGCCAGGGGCGGGCGCGACGCCACCACGCGAGCCGGCGTCGGGTGTTTGAGAGAGCATCGACTAATCCCGAATGGCATGCGGATTGCCGTTGCGCTTGAGATTCGGGCCGACCGAATGCGACGTCGAGATCCTTTGAGCACGACTATGTCGGCTTCTGCCATGTTATCCACGAGGAACTCGTCCCATGATTCGCGGAATATCGCTTCGCGCGACGCTCCGCGATGGGTTGGCAATAGACCAAGGACCTCCGACGAAGGCGTGCAGCCGAAGGATTGGGGCCAGAAACTGCCGTACTTGACAGACACTTATAAGAATGAGTTGATCAGACTTCGCCTTTGCTCTTGTGAAGAACACGGCAAGAAGGTCGTGGGCTGTGCAACGTCTCTATCCAATTGTCTCAACTCAATCTGACACCATGCGCTCCGTTGTCGCAACTGCCGTGTTCCTCGCCACGGCCAGCGCCTGGACTCCTCAGTCCAGGTATAAGGGTAAGCAGATGCATTCCTATCTTCTAGAAACTTGCAGCTCTCCCACACAAGCAGCGGGCTGACTCCTCCCCATGCAGCCAGCGGCAAAGACGCCAAGGGCCTGACGTGGCTGCCCGGCAACGACAAGTTCCGGGGCGTCAACCTCGGGTCGCAGTTCATCATCGAGCCGTGGATGGCGGCCGACGAGTTCTCGAGCATGGGGTGCGGTGGGCTCAACGACGAGTGGTCATGCGTCGAGAAGCTCGGCCAGGACGCCGCCGACGCCGCGTTCAAGAAGCACTGGGACTCGTGGACCACGCAGGACGACGTCAAGCAGATGGCGTCCCTCAAGCTCAACACGGTGCGCATCCCCGTGGGGTTCTGGCTCAGGGAGGACCTCGTCCAGGACGGAGAGCACTTCCCCCGCGGCGGGATCGAGTACCTCGACCGCCTCGTCGGATGGTGCAAGGACGCTGGGCTGTATGTCATTATGGATCTGCACGGCGGTCCGGGGGCCCAGTTTCCGAACCAGCAGTATACCGGCCATGTAAGTCTCCAGCATGCTCTTCGGCCTCTCCTTCGTCCATGTCCCATCTCAGTGTCGGTGCTGAAACCAGTCGACAGGGCGTGAGCCAGCCTGGCTTCTACAACAATGACAACTATGAGCGCGCGGCCAAGTTCCTCGAGTGGATGGCCGAGCGCATCCACACCAACGCCGCGTACAGCACCGTCGGCATGCTCGAAGTGATGAACGAGCCCGTCCACTCGGGTGACTACCCCAACGAAGCCGCCGACATGGTCAAGACGTTCTACCCCCTGGCGTGGAACCGCATCCGCGACACGGAGAGCCGCCTGGGCGTCGCGGACGCCGACCGACTGCACATCCAATTCATGGTACGGACCCTTTCCCCCACCTCCATCACCCACGCGCAAACCACCCAACATCCATCCCCATCGTCCCGCTAACACCCCCCACAGAGCAAAGCCTGGGGCTCCGGCGACCCGTCCAGCGCGCTGCCCAGCACCGACGACGCCGCCTTCGACGACCACCGCTACTACAAGTGGGACGGGTCGGTGGCAAAGACCAAGGACGGGTACATCGGGGCCGCGTGCGGCGACCGGCGCGAGGACGGCGTCATCGTCGGCGAGTGGTCCATCTCCGTCGCCGACGACGTCGAGTCCAACGACGAGTTCGGCATCCGCGGCCGCCCCGAGCAGGCCGCCTGGTACAAGGGCTTCTGGGCCGCGCAGGTCCAGGCCTTTGAGAAGTCGGCCGGCTGGGTGTTTTGGACGTGGAAGTGCAACTGGATCAACGGCTTCGACGAGTGGCGCTGGTGCTACAAGTCGGCTGTCGCGGCGGGCGCCATCCCCGACGATGCGGGTAGTGCTGCCAGTATCAGCCCTTGCTGAGCGCGCTGACTATGAATGGAAGGACTAGCTTCGTTTGTATATATATGGCTTGGGCTTTTGTCCGCTGTTGCGCAGATAATGTCGCAACAGCGCCGTCCTCATCAGCGCTTCTTTCCCCTTGCTCTTTCGTCCCTTTCCTGCTTCTACGTGTCCCGCGTGAACCTGGGCCCTCTGCTGCATGCGACCAGAGCAATGCTCCTGGCGGTTGCCCTTACCCCTGACCCGAAATTGACCACAGGGGAGAACGCGTTGAAGACTCGGAAACAAGACTGAGCCTGGCACCAAACCACTCCCTGGGATGCCCCAGCGCAGTGCCCGTGCAGATAGATAGGGGTTCAAGGCGCTTTACAGAATGAACCAGCTAGACTTTATTGGATGAGCCTAATCTTGCGAAGCAGTGGATACGCCCATGGGAGCCATGTGACAATGTTTCCTGGGATGAGATGAAAGGGCAGCTTGTCAAGCACCAGCAGGTCCCGCCGCGGCTTTCCCAGACTAAACACCCCAGGGTCCATTCCCACCCAGTCTCTCTCGCCATCCTCCACCATGAGGATCATTGCCGTCGCGAGATCTTTGTACGAGCACGTCTCCGACGACCGCCCGTGCGGCTCCAGTCGAAACCCCGACGCGACGTCCTCGACAAGTGCCCCCGGACTAGCCTTGATCAGCGGCAGCCATGGAACCTCCTTGTCGAGATACGCGAATGACGCCACGTGATCCGAGTAGATGAAGTAGCCGGCATTGTACACGAATCTGTTGGCAAGCCAAGGCTGGTGCTCGCGGGTCCACGATGCGGTCATGGCGGACGCGAGGAACACGAGCGTAGGTGGCCTGTAGCCCGTCGCGGCCTTCTCCAAACGAAGGGCTTTCAGGCTGGCGGCGAGGGTCTCGCTGGTGTCTTGCGTTACACGCGTACCGGGCTTGTTGCTGTTTGTCCCGACGGCCATGAAGATGACGTTTGCGTCTCGCAGGCACGCCGTCATGTTGGCCACGTCAGATAATAGACCGATGAACGTTTGCGCATTTTTGGCTGCTTCGAGCTCCGGTACCGCATTGAGGAGCTTTTCTCGGGACCGAGCATAGACTTTGATGTGAACGTCTGGCCGCGGAAGGAGAAGGCGGGTGATCTCCGAGCCGGTCGTCCCAGTGGCCCCGAGGACCGCGTAGGTGGGCATGCTTGTTGAACAAGACTTCTTTGGTGCCTCTTGATATGGATGCTTCCACTCCGGCGTAGGCTTCCGGCCTGCTTTGGCACCGCGAGCTGATAGAAAAGCTGATCTGAGCCACTTGTTGGGATCCCAGTCGCCCGTCAATTGGCAAATAATAAACGATACGACGTGTCAACGGCCACGAAACATTATATGCTTGGTCACCGCATCTCAAAGGAGGATTATTATGCAACATGGCGCTTACCCGCGATACTCTCAGCTGCAAGGATCAATGCCCCGTTCCATCGTCATACATCTCTCGGTCTCTGGCGATCGCACTCCGATCGTGTCCGAGGTCCGACCCGCGCGCCAGCCAAGCCCCATGCATACTGTGCAGTAACTCTGAATCAGAGGTCGACATTTACAGGACCTATTTGGGAGATGGGGTCTGCATGCACGTCTCAGCCCGGGCTCCATGGTCGGGCATGGGCAAACCCGTGGAGCGAAGCTACTTGAGGTCGTCACCACATGACTAGAAGGGCAAATCCCTGCCAAACTTCAAAGGTGAACATTGCTCGTCGCTGCAGTTGTAAATGAACCTAGGAGCTAAATTTGAATCCTCCCTGGCGTGTGGCAAAGAACCCCTTGGTGTCATACATCTCATGGGTTGCCTTGAGCCTGTCATATGTGGTGTTTCCGTAGCTCCGCAGCACGTCTTGGTCATACATGGCGTCGTTCATAAAGATGGGATTGTAGCTGGGTAAAGTCAGCAAGGTTCCGTCACACTATGCATCGGACAGTGCGCTGTCGTCTTACCTGATGAAGCTCACGTCGCCTTCCTTGTAGTTTGTAGGAGCAATGCCGGAGTACTTCTCCGCGTGCAAGTCGTGCAAGGAGTTGACCACCTCGCCGAAATACTCTGGACACTGCTTGTCGCACAGCGGACTCAGCCAGGCCACGTCGTACTCGACCCACACGCGATCTCCCTGCTCGGGTTCCATGCTCAGGGCGTTGGGGCCGCCCATGTCCTTGGATGCCTGGACAATGCCATGCGGCATGGGCTGCACCGCAAAGGACATGAGTCGAAAGTCCAAAAGATCCTTGAGCGCTCCCTCGGTAGACTTCTTGAGGATCTGCTTAAAATGGTCGTTGAGGAACGCCGTCATGTTCTTTTCGGGCATGTTGGGGAAAGTGTTCTCCCTGATCTGGAAGCGCAGGCCCTTCATGTCGCCGCCGAGAACCTCATCCGTGAGGGTGCTATACTTCTTGACCTTGGTACTGTCGGACAGGGAAAAGATGCCCTCAAAGTCATCAAAGACGCCGGCGGGAACCTTTGTTCCATCGTAAAAGAAGAAGACGAGAGTTCCGGGGAGGTTGATGCCCGCTGCCGCAAAGTAGTTGAAGGTCGGGATGATGGCTGCTTTGGGGTCCTTGTTGTTGGCGGTGAACCTCGTGATAGCGGACAGTATCTTGGCATGCTGATCGGCACCGTAGGTGCGCACGCCGCCCCAGATGTTGCCGTGTTCCCCGATCTCGTACGTCTTGAGTGTCATCTTCGTGACGATGGCGTACTGGTTCCCGCCACCGCGTAGCGCAAAGAACAGGTGCGGACGGGATTCCCGGCTGGCAGTGACAATAGTCCCATTGGCCAGCACGCATTCGAATTCGACGACGTTATCGCATGCGAAGCCCTGTTGCATCGGTCAGGACTCTGGCTACACCAGATCTCGTCGCCGGGTAGTACTGAATCGGCCACTTACGTATTGGGCTGACAGGTACGACAGGCCGCCTCCGAGCGTGAAGCCCATGACACCGACGTCGCCCAATCGGCCGCCCACGGCAGTCCTGCCGAGAGGCTCGAGGACTTTGTACACGTCCTCCCATTTGCACCCTGCGCCGACCTCGACAGTCTTGCCGTCAGCGGCGGGGATCGCATACTGGGAGTTTGGTCGGAAGGCAATGAGCACGCCCTGGTCGACGCTCGAGTAGCCCAAGTTGGGGCTGTGTCCGCCAGATTTGAGCGCGTACTTGACTGACGGATACGCGTTGAGAGTGTGCACGGCAAAGGACACCTGCTCGGCGTTGGACGGGAAGAAGGCGCACGCGGCGCGGTTGTTGGCACTCGCGGCGTTCCAGTAGTCGAACAAGGCCGAGTTGTACGTAGTTGCGTGGGTGATGGTATCCCCAGCGTTGGGGCCGATGGTGTCCCAGACGACGTTCTTTGGGTATTTGGCGATGAGAGTTGAGCACACGGCGTCGACGTCGGGGGACAGGGCGGCCTCGGCCAGGCCCCAGAGAAGGAGAGTCAGGAACATGCGCATCACGGCTGGTTGTTGGCTCCGCGAGCCTGTAGGGAATAGACTTTCGCTTTCCAAGTCACCTCGAGATACTGTTCTCAGGGGCCTCCCTAGCTTATAACATCCGTTGACTTTGCACATCTCACATGCCACTCCCTCTCAGCTGCGGCTCGGCTCGGTGCCATCCTCCTTATGCCGTGCTTTCTTCTCGCCGCTCCTTCGTACTCGTACTTGCTTTGACCAGCAGTGGGCCGATCGGTGCAAGCAAAGTTTGGTTCGGCCGAGAGGAGTACCAGGCCAGCAGCATCACATCGACCTTTGTCAGCGGGCGCGGGAGGCATCAATCCGTGCGCGTCAGACCCGAATAGGCGAGCATTGGCTGCGCCGCCCGTTCTTCCCAAACCGCTTTCGGCGCAGCCGTGTCACAATCTCAATAATAGGAGAAACTAGTGCGGGAGGGATGCCGGTTGTTCCTTTTGATCCGGGCGTTGCGATGCTTTGTACGCGGGTGAGGATGCGCGCGGGAGGCGTAGAACCAGGGACGGCAACTGCACGGCCCACCTCGCTTATGCGCGACGGCTAGCGTTGCTCGCCTCAGCAAGGCAATTACTTGTTAGCGCTGTGATTAATCTAAGCAGTGCCGCTGGCGCACTGACTGCCGACCCCATCTTGCGGAGTTTGGGCGGCATGGCGCGGGCGGGTAAGGTCAACTCGGGCCTTGGCTGAGATCGGGGGACAAAGCGATAGTCAGTGGGCCTCTGTCGATCCAGCGTTACCTCGGCGCACAACTGGCACGGAACGTGAGGGAGCCGAAGGGATACGCGGGGGCAGATTCGCGTTGGTTAGGACCGGCTGAATGCAATGAGCGGTAAGAGTGATGGCGCACAACGTGAGGGCTAGGCCGGGCTCCGGCCGAACGCGGGGGATGTTGCGATCGCCCGTCTGGCGCCCCCGTGGATGGATGTAAATGGCAAAACTTGCGACTTTGGCGGTTATTATCTGGCCTTGCCCACAACTGATTTCGACTACATGTGCAACTCGGAGGCCAACATGAACTTGACAACATCGCATCGATGACGATTCTCATCAATGATGCGGCGCTTCACCGGCTAAGCTCAAAAAGACCCAATCGCATTTCACAATGCGTCGCACCCGTCGACCTGCATATACTGACGTTGTGGATTAACTGACTAGATCATTTTGGCGACGCCCCCCGTGCTAATACTGCACGGGCTATGAGTTTGGTTTCCAGTCTCCTTCGCCTCAAGACTTGTAAAAGTCGAGCAGGTCTTTGTTAACCTCGTCAATCTGCAGGTTGTGGATGGCGTGCGACCCTCCGGGATACACCTTGAGCGTTCCCTTGGGGAGAAGCTTGGCCGACTTCTCGCCGGCGGCCTTGAACGGCACGACCTGGTCATCGTCTCCGTGGAGCACCAGCACGGGGATGTTGATGCTCTTGAGGTCGTTGGTGAAGTCCGTCTCGGAAAAGTCCTTGATGCTGTCGTACGTCGACTTGAAGCTCGAGAGCATGCCCATGCGCCACCAGCTCCGAATAAGACCCTCGCTCTTCTGCACGCTGGGGCGGTTGAAACCGAAGAAGGGCCCGCTGGGCACGTCGAGGAAGAACTGCGCGCGGTCCTTGTGCATGGCCGTGCGGAACGAGTCAAACACCGACTTGTCTGTGCCCTCGGGGTTGGCGCCCGACTTGAGCATCAGCGGCGGGACGGCGCCGATGAGCACCGCCTTCTTGACGCGGCTGGTGCCGTGCTTGCCCAGGTACCGCGTCACCTCGCCACCGCCGTGCGAGTGCCCGACCATCATGGCGTCCTTGACGTTGAGCTTCTCGAACAGCTCCTGGAGGTCGTCGACGAACGTCTCCATGTTGTTGCCCTCCCACGTCTGCGACGAGCGCCCGTGCCCGCGGCGGTCGTGCGCGATGACGCGGAACCCCTGGTCGGCGAAGAAGACGATCTGGCTCTCGAAGTTGTCGCTGTTCAGCGGCCAGCCGTGGGAGAAGGTGATGACGGGGCCCTTGGGGTTGCCCCAGTCCTTGTAGAAGAGCTCCGCTCCGTCTCTGAGCGTGATGTACGGCATGATGATGATGGCTGCGACGATGTGAGGTAAGAATAGAGTGACAGGTGGGATTGCTTGACCGGCGGCGAAATGGACTCCATCATACCAGAGCTGCTGCCGTCTTTTAATCGAGGCACGGTCTTCTCAAGTAATAGCCAAAGCCCAGCCCGTCGCCCGAAAAGCATCGGCCCTAGCTACAGCAGACTTTCACTCAAATACACCTCGCAGACGATCCTCGCCCCCGGATTCGTTGTTGTACGGAGGTCCCAAAGGCTGCCGTAGGAAATCAGGGTTGCCTAGCGTCGCCGTAGACCAAGGACGTTGAGTTGTGAGTTTGACGTGACAAGCTATTGCCCGCCGCCCCAAACTCTATAGTTTTGCTGCCCGTCCCAACCGTCCATTGACGACCGCAGCCATTGCCACCGCTCAATTGGCTTTACTAACAGCGAAGTCAAACCGGGGAACGGCCCGGAGTGTTCGGACCCTGGGAGGGCAAGGCCCGTTCCGGACTGGAATGCCGCCGTCCCACAAAACGCCAACCAGAGGATTACCATGACGCATGACGTGCTGTTTGCGACAGCGGCTCAGACAGCTGCGAACCCCCCTTGGGCTTTCCAGGGAACCGCCGCTGCTGCTTATCCAATCAGGCATTGCCAGAGCTCCCGCACATGTCTATGGTTTGAAGCCGTCTCGGTACCTTGCGGCGTACCCAACGGCACCCACCTCTTCAGACACTTCACCTGCACGATCGGACTCGTCCGGCAACACTCATGGTGCCCACCTCCAACAGCATTTCGCATCTGAACGCCTTGAAATGCTAGAAGGCAACTGTCCTTTTTCATTGGTACGGAGCTGCTGTCAATGCACGTCGCGTTGTTGAAGCTGGCCATTGACATGGGTCACTGGGGTTGGCCACCCAGGCGCCGGGAACAAACGACCGACCCTGGTGGACAGTGACATGACTTTGGAAAACCTGCAAGCGTCAGTGTTTGTTCCATTCTCACATTGCTACTGTTCCATGGCCGTCTTTCATGTTTCCGCGTTAAGTTGGGGGCACCCCCACCCAGCGTACACCGAATGGCCTTCCAGCCACCGTGACTGGAGCGCAACTGCGAGTTGAGGACATGAACTAAAAGCAAGACGTTGCGGGCTTCCTCTTTGACCCAAGCTCCTCGGTTGGCGGGTGTTCCTCTGTGGTACTCTCTAGCTCCGCAGTATTATAAGCAAACAGCAGGCAATAATAGGATGCATGTTACCTGCGAGCGAACATCAACTGCGCACCAACCCGGGCCACTGCCGTCGCCCACTCGAGTGTTCAAGAGCGGTGTGGCGGCGCAAAAAGTAGACCAAAAAAGAAAATGTACTTGAGCATTATATGCGCTATGCGATCGTCTCATATATATGTGCCTTTGAAGTAAACTCGTAAAACGCCGACTGTGCCCGTCCCATATGTGCCACCAGACCTGCCCTCAGGCTCACGAACACTTGCCCCTCGCGTACTCGATGGTGTGGTTCTGCGAGCACCACACAAAGACGCGCGCAATGGGATCCGACGCCTCGAGCCGCTTGGTCAGCTCGCAGCGGTACCCGAGCCAGCCCTGCTTGGTGGAGTTTGCGCACAGCGACGCGCAGCAGTTGTTGATGTTGGGGACCCAGACGTAGCTGTGCAGGTCGAACTGGAAGTCGTGGCCGCCCTCGTCGGTGAAGATCTCGGTCGAGCTGCCGGTGAAGTTTTCCCGGGAGAAGCCCTGGAACGCGTGGATGCCGCCCTTGGGCCAGGTCTCGTTGTTGAGGAACCTGACGTCTGGCGTGGGTGACGCCGTCGGGGTGGCGGATGTTGACGTCGGTGCTGATGATGTTGTTGATGGCGGTGCAGACGAGCTGGCCGTGGTGTCAGTATATTAAACTCATTTTGTCGCCGCGGGGGGACTCACGTTGGCAAGCTGCTCGACGTCGTCACGGGAGCGGCGTCTGACTTTGACTTGGATGCCACGGCACCGCCGACACCACCGCCGACAGCCGCGGCGACAATGATGATGACCACGACGATGAGTATCAGGAACGCCTTGCGGCTCATGCCCAGGATCGTGCCGCCCTTCTTCTCGTTCACGTCCTCGCCCCCGACACCGCTACCCGCAGGCGGCAGCACGGGAGGCGGCCCGCCCGCAATGCTGCTGTGCATGCTCCCCGGGCTCCTAGGGCCATGGGACAGCACAGGCTGGAGGCGCTCCGAGTCGGGGGTCCAGGGCACGGCGGTGGTCTGCGGGCTGGTGATGCTGGTGGCCGTCTCGGGATACTCGCTCTTGAGCTCGAGCGGGACGACGTACTTTGCGTCGGCGTCGTGGTTGAAGGCCTCCTTGGCCGTGTCGCCGCTCGGCAGCGGCGGGCGCTCGGCGTCGCGCGTCCACTGGTACTGCCGCTGCCACTCGCCCTCGAGGTTGGAGACGGCCGTCAGGGGCGACGACACCTGCGCGACCTCGGGCGCGTCGGCGTCGCGATCCCGCATGCCGTAGTAAGGGTTCGACATGGCTGGCGTCCTTTATTTTTGTCCTGTGTTTATCGAGGCGTTGATCGATATAACGAACGTGGCGCGCCGCGGGAGCTGAAGGTCAGGTCCGGTCGGGTCAGGTCAGGTCAGGGAAAAGAGCAGCGCGCGCCACGAAGATCTCTCCTCGAGATATTTGGCAAGTCGTGGACCTCGAGGAGAGAGGGACGGGACTGGGGGGGCCCGCCGCCGGGAAAGGCGTGTGTCGGCCCTGGCGAGCGGCGACCGCCATCGCGGCACGCGGATCCTTGATCTGGCCGCCGTCGAGGGCGCCGCGCAATGGCAGCCAAGGCAAGCAAGCACGCAGGGCTCGCGGCCGAGCGCATCGTGTGCCTGACCTCTCCTGTGCTGTGTGCCTCGACCAGGCAGGGCATCGTGGAGGGATTGGGTTGCGGCGAAAAGGTAAGACGGACGAATAGACGTGGGCGACCCCTCCGGTTCTGGTGCGTGATCGCCAGCCCAGGCGGAGTTTATCGCCCAGAGCGTACCAAGGACAAGGCAGCCCCTGGTCCCTGTCGCCAGCAACGAGTGTGGTCTTGGTGGTCTTTGGCACGTTGTCATTGGGGAAGGGCGCACGAGGGGTCCAGGGGTCGCCGCATGTGAATATGGGTCTTAAAATCTCACCAATGCAGCTCAAGGCTCTGGGCATGGAGGTCGGGGAGCATGCCGTTTGAGGCAATGTGTCGCCACCGCCTTGACGAACTCCTGTTCTTAGCGAGAGCATTTCCAAAGGCCGTGAATGAACGGATGGTCTGTCATTGACACCGCAAAAGACAGACAATTGAAAGGCACAATATTTCGTTTGATGCCCGCGTTCTCGCCAGCACCTTCAAGCTCTTCTGTTTCGCCGCACCGGCAGACTGTGATCTGCAAGCTGCTCCAGTTTCTCTCCACACGCTGGCTCGCTGGCTGGCTGTTGCGCGGTGGAAGGCACACATGCTATTTAGCCGCACGTGGGGCTCACTGATGAATGCTGCATGGTTGCTGCAAGGGAAGTTAGCCAGGCGCAGCGGGGGCCCCCATGCCTTCATGCAAGCAAGACACCTGAAAACTTCCCCTTGTCGAGATTGCGACTTCTCAGCCGCTTCTGGGCAGCAGAAGCAGCAGCACGGTTGGCGAGAAAACGCCTTGTACTAAAGTCAGGGACGGGAAAACCACTGCGTACAAAGGCGCGTGAGGCTCCTGAGCTGTTTGAGCTTGACAGCTTTTGACGGGAGACCGGATAAGCATTTCAAGTCGGAGTCCGGCTCGCCACGCCATTTGACACATCCCGCGGCTGTCTTCTCGGACAGGTCTCCGGTCCACGCTGACTGCGGGATGCATTGGGACTGGCGTTCCTGGAGGCACGATGAACCCTGATCCTTTCCAATATCATGGCTTGGTAATTAAGCCCGTGCCTGCGTGTGCGCTGCCTGCATGTCCTCGGTCGCACGTGAGCTTTTTGGTCCCTTTCGTTGAAGAGGCTCATGGCAGTTTGCCAGTCCCAAGTCCGCACCATCTCCATCAACACGCGATTATTGCGCCACCAATCGCCGGAATCAATTGCGCGCCCGGGGCACCGCTGCATGAACGTGGCCGAGATGCTCTGCAACCACGCGGCACGCCAAACGGCGGGACTGACAAACGAACGGCCTGCACCCACCCTCCTCGACCGAACTCCTCCGCGCGCCAAAGAGCGGTGCTTCCAAGAATAGATGCCACCAAGTCAGCCCTTGGAGTTAGATCCCGACGACCCACGGGCAGTCGCCCGCCCCCGTCCAGCGACGCTGCGGCTGACCAGTGAGCACCAAACCGACTCTTTCACTGTCGCAAAGATCGTGCATTTCCATCACGGCGGCTTCTACTCATCTATCTCGCAGTCCGACCAGCCACAAACACCGCTCCACCCAGCGCGAAAGCTCCAATGCCACATCCTCACTTTGAGCGCGTGTTTGCTCCAGCACTCACCACCACCACCAGCACCGCGATGTCGCCTTCATCATTGTCTTGCTCCTGATCCTTGCCTCGGAACCCGTCACTGGCATCTTTCTTGAAGTCGCCCCATCCGCTTTCCGCAAACTTGCTCAAGAAAGCGATATTTTTCGGTTTGCTTTCAGGTCTGGCTCACTAACCTTCACTTCAATTGAGCCCATCCGGCAGCATCTTCCAGGTGAACATGGCGAGCGATCCATCGACGTCTGCCAGACTCGCCGTTTTCTTGTCTAGACTTGCCTCCCGCCCGTCCGCATCCACGTTTCCTTTGATCGTTGCTCCAGATTGCCGGTTTCGAAGTCGACTCCTCCAGATCGTCGGCGCATCGGTGACGGTCCGCCACCTGTTTTGAACCCAATGGAGCTTGCCCAGCGTGATGAGCCCGTGTCGGCGTATCTTGAGCGACGATGGCAGCTCCATCAGGCTCTTCGACTCTGGCGTCAGCTACCGCCTTCACGGGCCCATTGGCGAACCCATTAGTGCGATTGAATGGAATGTTGCGGCCAGGGCGGCTGGTAAGACAGCGCATGGTCCAGACGACAAGACCAACCAGGTCAATAACCACAGTTCAGTCGGGTCTTACGTTCCCTTTCCAGGAGCGGGAGATGTCTTACATAGCAATGCCATGTTCCGAGTCACGGCGTCATCGCAGCCTCAGGAAGCAAAGCTGCGCAAATATATAGAGGCAACAGGCTGCGAGCCCAGGGTGTCGGCCCTAGGCACTAGCTATCACTCGCCCGGAGAAGCACGATTGCTCTATCAACCATGACTTTGCCCCAGTTATCCACAACCCCCGCTGGCGAAAGCATTGAACAAGACTATCCTTCTACCTGCAAAGGTAGACCCGAGAATCCAGCGTTGACAACCCGGGACAAGCAACTTCGGTCCCGTTTTAGCCAGCATCGCCAAGGATGGACCATCTACCACTGGTTTCTCTATATTCTGGACATACTTCCCACACATCCCAGCGTGGATGCACCTATTCGACAAAAGTACGAGAAAGTGCCTCGTCTCAGTGACTGGTCTATGCACCGCTGGGTCATGTCACACGCCATTATTCCCATCGTCCTCCAGCAATTGTACATCGTATGCACGGACCGCAACTTCACGACGTTGCAAGCCTTGCTATTCTACAACGCCGCTTACGCGGCTGTCGCGATGCACGGGCTGCACACAATACGCCGACTAGGCCATCGGGTTGACTTCCTGGACAGCCATGCCCAGCGGGACGGAATCCCTGAGGCACGTATAAAACGCCTTGTAGTCACGCTCATCTTGACGTCCACGCTGCGGCCCACGGTCACTGTGTTGCTCACATACCGTACAAACGAACCCTTGAGGCTTGCTAGCTGGATCTGGTTGCCCGTTGAAGTGGGCTTGTACGGCATCATCCTCGACTTTTGGTTCTATTGGTATCACCGCCTCATGCACGAGGCACCCTGCCTTTGGAAGTACCACCGCATCCACCATTCGGCGAGTCACCCAAACTCGCTACTGTCACAATATGCCGATACCGAGCAGGTGTTACTTGATCTCCTCGGCGTTCCCGTGCTCACCCATGTTACCATGAAAGCTCTAGGTTTGCCATGGGGGTTTCATCAATGGTGGATATGTCACATACATGTCCTCTTTGCGGAATGGGGCGGCCATAGTGGCCTCCGTCTCTATGCCTCACCACCAAGCACATTCACCCCGGTCCTGCGCTGGTTGAAGTGTGAAACCACTATAGAGGACCATGATCTTCACCATCGTCGTGGTCGGCGAAGGAATGGCAACTATGGCAAGCAAACGCGATTGTGGGATGTCGTATTCGGGACCTGCGTAGCCCGCATCGAGTGTCGGGATGACAACATCGATTGGGATAGGGTTGTTGCCTTGCCGGTGTTTTGACGGGCGCAAGCCTGATAGACACGCATCGTGCGAGTTCGGCCGAAGTAGTGGTTGTTTAGGACTAATGTGCGACGTCATATGTATGTTCAGTGGCTGGACAATGTGGAATATGATGTTACATGCATCTCCGGAATGGCAGCGTGTTTTCTCCTCTTGTGTGAGATGCGCAAGTTCGACACGGCCCTCGTTCTCATGCGCATGGCAGTGTGTCTTCGAAACAAAGCCTTGGACCTGACGTCTTTCACCCCGTCGATGGGTATGACTGTTTTTCTGCATCTCGTTTTCGTCCTTGGTGTCTGGTGCTGGCCAGGCGGCATCGCTGAGACTTTTCGTCGTCAACATCCTTACGAAAGAGGTCTTTCGCCTGGACAATTTTTGTGGGGGTCTAGAGGTGATGAGCGAGGATGGAGCCGGCGTCCATGTCGAGATGAACTGAGCAGAATGACCGCCAGCAGAGCAGTCGACGCCGGTGCGTTCAGCGAACACCCCGACCAACGCAGTCCACGCTGTCGCAACAGTTCAATAAGAACGACGAGCCTACACAAGTCGAAGCCCACTTCTACATCATACGGAATAGACGGATGCAAAATGCCATTCCCATTCGGGAGGGTTACAGCTCCCGGCCCCTGCCCCGACTACCCGCAAACGCATGCCCATCCCGCATCTTGCTCTCACCCTCCCGCCCAGCCTCAGCCCCCTGCTCCGTCATCATCACCCCCTCATACAAATCCAACACCCTGTCCACGACACCCCACGGGAACCACCCCGGCATGGCATCGCCGTAGCCCCACAAGTTCCGCGGGCTCAGCGGGTGGTCCGCGCACATGCGCACCTCCGACGGGTCCACTCCCGCCGGCAGGTCTGCCGGGTCGATCTTCATGACGCCGAGCCTGCCGCACCGCTTTGCCGCATCGGCGTCATGTTGCGCGGCGGCAGCGGCGGCAGCGGCGGTGTTGGTGGTGCCCAGGGCGAGGGCGGCGAGGGCGCTGGTGAGGAGGAGCTGGGGCTTCATACTTGCGCGTGGGGGGGCTGTAGGGTAGCGCCTTGTCAGGTTGCTGCATGTGCTGGGACGAGCGACAGTGACGGCTAAGCGACGGACCTCGAAATCGTAATGTGTAATGATTGATGAATTTTGTTACAATACTCAGGCAGCTCGAGGACAAATCTGCAACGGCAGGTGACAGCGTTGGTTGACACCAGATTAGAATCTCATGCGAGTTTGGTCTCGTCGGTGCCTGCTGCGACAGGTAATCCCCAACACCAGACTACATGTAGACAATGCCATGAGCTGACTGCTGCTTTCCTCTTCTTAAGGAGCGTATCCTTTCTAATTTGAACACATATCCCACAATGAAACGCAGTGAAAATGTGGTGTCTTCCGTTGACTCATCTCTCTAGACTTAAAACCAGGATCCGGATCCCTCCCCATCACCACCGTCCCGCGGCTGGCATTGGCCCGCCCTCACTCCGGTTACGTGTTCACATACAACCACACACACAGCTCTTCCCACAAGCACGGGATTCCTGCCTCTTTATACTCCTCGCTGGGTAAATGGCGAGACCTCAAGCCAGCCGCGTCTTCATTTTGCCAATGTAGGCGCACCCCTGGCATCTGCTGGCTCGGCACAGCATCCCGCGAGGCGACCACCCCATTGGTGGAGAAACTCACTCACAGGCCGCCGCTGGGAATGCAAGGGTCTGGCGCAGCCGACGCCGACTTCGACTTCATGCGAGTTCACGTATGTACGGTACAGCGTTCACGGGCTGCGAGGAAGTCACGGTGCGACAGCGGAGGGAGGGGACGGGAGGAGAGCTCCTTGTCAAGATCTTGTTTGGTGTCTGGCAGTCTATGTCTTCTACATACCTATCCAGCAGCAAAGGGGAAAAAAAGAATTCAGTCAGCAGTCCGCAGACTGGGCACGCACAGGCAATGCTATGCAATAGAGTACAACAACAGCGTCATCCCCAACTCCGTACACCTAGAGTAAATAAAAGCAAAGCAAAGCAAAGACGAAGCAGGGCATCATGTCAAGCTCCACTCAACCCGTATCATCGCTCTTCCTAAGCACCCGAGGCCAGCGCGCCAGGGGCCTCGAGCTTGCGCCCGCTGCCGACCTTGACGCCGTTGGCGGAGGCGGCGGTGCCGTCGTCGCGCCTCGTCCGCTGCGCCTTGGCGTCGCCGCTCAGGACCTCCTGGCGGGTGACGGCCATGCGCGCCTCCTCGAGGCCCATGCTCCGCAGGAAATGCACCGTCTCGGTCCACTCGTGCTCGCGGCGGGCGTCGCTCCAGCTCAGCTCCTCGGCCATGACGTCGATGACGCGCGGCAGGGCCTTGAGCGCGCTGTCGACGTCGAGGAAGGCGAGGCGCGTGCGGCGCGAGATGACGTCGGCCGCGGTGCAGGCGCCCTCGCTGCGCACGCCGTGGCGGATCTCGGCCTCGATGAAGGGGAAAGACGGCGCCAGGCGGCGGACGATGCCGTTGCTGCTGCTGTCGCCCAGGACGGACCACGCGCGGTCGCCGTAGTTGGTCGCGAGGTGGTGCGCGATGTCGGCGTCGACGCCGTAGACCTGGGTGAGCTGCGAGGGCAGCTGCGTCGAGTAGCCGTGGGAGCCGAGCACGGGGGTGATGCGCGTGACGCAGGTGCCGTTGGTGGTGAAGCCGGGCAGGCCGACGCCGGTGATGTCGGGGAGGGTGATGTGCTTGGGGGTCAGGTTGAAGGTCTTGATGGCTTCGTCGACGGCGTCCTCGGCCATCTGGCGGTACGTGGTCCACTTGCCGCCAGCGCAGGTGAGGAGACCAGAGTCAGAGACGGTGACGAGATGGCTGCGAACAAGAGACTCGGTGTTGCCGGCCTTGGGATCCTTGACGAGGGGTCGAATGCCTGCTCGGGTCAGTTTGGTGCTCATATAAGCAACAGGACGCGAATACACTACTCACCAGACCAGGTAGCCAGAACGTCGTCGCGGGTGAGGACCGACTTGGGCTCCAGGAGCTTGCTGACTTCCTTCAGTATGAAAGCGACGTCGTCCTCGCGGGCCACAGGCTCCCTCTCAACCGGGCAGGCATTGTCCGTAGTTCCAGCAACAGTCATGCCCTGCCAGGGCAGGACAAAAACGACACGGCCGTCCGAGGTGGCGGCATCGAGCAGACCGATGCCCTTGGGGCAGAGCTTTCCAGGCAACATGATGTGGGCGCCAGAGGCCGGGGCGACGATGGGCTGTCGGCTGGGGTCGTCCATGCGCTCGATGGCGTCGGTGAAGGGTCCGGTAGCGTTGATGACGCCCTTGGCGCGGACGGTAAAGTCCTCCTTGGCGGCGTCATCGGCGGCCATGAGATCGCGGACCTTGGCGCCGCAGATCTTGCCGCTGGCGTCCTTTTCCAGGGAGGTGACTTCGACGTGGTTGAGCACCGTGGCGCCGTACAGCGAGGCGGTGAGGGCGAGGGAGACGTTCATGCGGGAATCGTTGTGCTGGCCGTCGTAGTAGACGAGGGCGCCGACGAGGTTGTCCTTGCGCAGCATGGGGAACGAGGCGAGGGCCTTGGCGCGGCTCACAAAGTAGGAGCTCTCGAGGCCCTGGGAGCCGGCGAGCAGGTCGTACGTCTTGCAGCCGATCCACATGTAGGGGGCCTGCCACCAGCGCTGGAGGGGCAGCAGGATAGGCAGGGAGCTGGACAGGTGGGGGGCGATGTCGAGGAAGCCCTTGCGCTCGCGCAGGGCCTCGATGACGAGCTGCAGCTGGGGGTAGTCGAGGTTCCAGATGGCCTTTTCGAGGTAGCGAACGCCGCCGTGGACGAGCTTGGTGCTCTTGGAGCTGGTGCCGGCGGAGAAGTCGTCGCGCTCGACGAGGGCGACCTTGAGGCCGCGCGTGACGGCGTCGAGGGCGATGCCGGTGCCGGTGGCGCCGCCGCCGATGACCAGCAGGTCGTACTCGCCGCCGTCCTGCTGCTGCTGCTGCTGGCTGTGGCGCCGCAGGTCGGCCAGCTGCTCGGCGCGGGACTTGACGTCCTGGAACTTGGGCGGCACGATGCGGCCCGAGGCGTCGCGGCGGAGCTCGACGAGCGGCTTATCGTGGGAGCGGTGGGCGTTGGCACGGCTGTAGACGATGCCACCGCCGGCGGCGACAACAGTGGCCGCGGCGAGGGGCCGCCATACTCGGGAGAAGCGCGGCGGCATGGTTGCCGTGTTGTGTGTGTCGGCGCTCACTCAGGCTTGTTGCCTTGGTTGGTTGGTTGGTTGGTGAACTTGTTCCACTCGAGGGGGGGTTGACCGGGCACGAAGGCTGTCGTGACGGCGATACGATGCGATGGCTTGACGGATGGGGGTGACCCCGTCGCGGGCGTTTTGTGGGAAAACGGATCCTGTAATTTGTCCGGCAGTTGGGGAAACGGCAGGAGAAGGAAAGGAAGGAAGAAGAGAGAAAAGGCAAGTCAAGTGAGAGACGACGCGGGACGGCGGCGGAGGAGGGCTGATATTGAAAGAGCCGGGGGGTGTGGGAGCTCTGCGGTGGGAAAGGGAAAAGGGAAGGCAGGGGTGCCAAGGGCAAAGTGCCGATGCCGTCGCGAGACTTTATTTGTGGAAAATGGATCTCAGCGGGAGTCGGGAGCACCACGGCGCAGCCACCCGGGGCGAGGAGCAGTATGTATGTAGGTGACCTCGCTCGCTCGCTCGTACGGCACAATGTTCGTACGGACAGGCCGTTTCGTTGGCCCACGTGTTTACAAGACAGACAGGCTCAAGGTCAGGTGCTGTTTCCCGAGTCAAATTTCTTGACGACGCTGCTGGGCACACTGTCTCGGGGGCCCGGGCCGTGACATCATCGCCCGTTGGGTGGGGAATTCACTCCTAAGGTCCGGGTCTGGAGATGGCCCTCGCTGCAAACGCGTTTTTGCCGTTGAGCTTGGGGGTTCCCGAGCGAGCACCGAGCAGCAGCAGCAGCGCGCGTCTTTCACCCCCAGATTCTCGTCTCGCAATGGGCCGCCCGGTCCCCCATGACCCAGAGAGAGCCCGACCGATATTTACTCCGCTGCCCTCGCTGGTCTCTCGGGTGCGGATGCGGATGCGGATGCGGCGGCGGCGCGCGTGTCAAGCGAGGTCGCAGCTCCAACACCCCATCCATCCATGTCCCACGTTTCGCGCGTGTGTGTGAGTGGTGCGCGCGGGCCTGTGCTGTCAAATCTTCGGGAGCCGCTCCCGTCCACCAGGGGCCACAATTCATGCACCTCGGGGTTTGCACCCCGAAGCCGCCAAGGCCCCTAGGCCGGTGGATCGCCCCAGCCCTGCCGCGTCCCACGACTCGGGAATCTCGGTATCCACAGCCCGACCCTCTCGGCATTTGCACCCCGATCTGCTGCGTGGGGCCCTCTTCAGCTTCGGTACCCGTTCGGTGTCCCGGCCCCGACGCCCCGGGTGTCGCGACACGCCCTCTGGCCTACGTATCCACCCTCCTCTCTTTCGCCTTCAGCAGCCAGCACCAACGTTCCACGGACACGCTTCGCTTCAGCCAACCCGCTCGCTAACGACTCTGCTAACGTCTGTTGGCTGCGGGTCTGGCGTGATCTTGCTAGTGCCTGGGCTCTTGCACTTCTGCAGTCTGCACCAACTCGATCCCATCTGCCGCCAACACCCGCCCACCACCCACCAACCGCTTAGCAAAGCCACTGTGGCGGACGCGCCTCCGTTTCGTTTCCAGCCCCTCCGCTCTTCTGCTGCCCTGCCCTACCATCCTACCAAGCCTTCCCATGCCCTGCACGCGGCGCCGTCCCCCGCCATCCTTCTAGAAGGACGGGGAGGCGTCGCCTCAGCTGCGCCATACCGCGGTGAGTCCGGCGCCACACTCGTCTGCTCCAACGTCCTCCGTCGAGTCAAGCCCCGACCGATCAAGGCTTGAGACACCACGTGCCCTCTGCCCTCACGAGTCGTCACCGGCGTCGTCGGCAAACTCTACCTACGCAGCAGCAGCACTCGGCGCCCGTCACCATGCACGTTTCGTTGCGTCATGCAATGCCACTGCTGCAGTGCTGCTGCTGCTGCTTCGCATCTGCTTCTGGTCACAGCGCCGCGGCCGCCTACTGTCCGGGTCTCCCTGGCTTTGGGATGCATGCCAGTCGACGACCTCAAAAGTCCGTCCCCGGGCGAGGGGTGCAATATGCACTGCTACCCACATTGCTCCCGTCTGCCCCTGCTCGTTCCAAATAAACAAAGGCGCGCTTGCGAGGATGAAAAGGAACCTCTCCACGCATGTGATTTCTAGGGTCGCTTTCCCCCTGACCTGATCAGAGTTTGCCGACCCCAGCGAATGCAGCACGGCTCCTCTCAGTAGTAGTAGTAGTAGTAGTAGTCGTAGCAGGAGTAGGGTGAAAGGTCCAGACGAGCTGACGTCTCCACTAACCTACGACCAGAATCCTCCACCTGGAGGCAGTGCTTTCCAACTTGGTTTGCTGCTAAACGTCTTTAACCGGCTCCTTCGGTATCCCATGCAGGTCATCTGCCATTGTTTCTGATCCGCCGCATTCAGCACCCGGCTGCCGGATCACCCACTGCCAAGCCAGTGCCCGCATCCCGGACTTGCCACTCCGTTGTCTCCGCGGCCCCGGAATGGTGGTGCTCTTCACTCAGGGCCCCCCTGCTGTATCGCTGGTCCAACACCCGCCGCTGTGTGGGCGCACTTAGGGCTAGTATTGCGCAAAACGTGGCGACAGCGAGGCCATGTCGCAGCAGCAATGGGGTCCGGTCAAATCACTCCGCGATGCGAGATGGACCTTTGTCAAGCATCAAACGGACTGGTAAAATGTAGCACAGCTCAAGATAAGAATGTCTGCACTACTTCTGAATATGTCTCCATCCCTCCAACATCTGATTCCGTACAAAACTCCCTGCGCGGGATATTAAATCACATCGCTCGCTGAGCTTCCCGTACATGAATCCAAACTCCAAGCACAAACGCCCTACACTTCTGTCGCTGTCCTGTTTCGACCATTGCTTTCTGTTTTTTGTGTTTCTGTTGGCATCCACTGCTGTTGTCCCTTCAGCCACATCTTCGGCTGCTAGGCTTCGGGTTTCCGTAATCCCCAACTTCTAGTCCCTGCAAGTCATCTCCGGCGTCTATACGTTGGAGTCGAGGGCCTTGTTGTATGTGTTGGACCAGACGCTCTTCTTGGGGTGCAAGAAGCGGTTGAAGCCGAGGTAAGGCTTGTTCATCGGGCTCTCCGGGCCGGTGTAGATGAAGAAATCGTACATGGCGCCGCCAGTAAGGCATCCGAGGAACGGAATCACCATGGGGATCTGGCGCAATGTCAGTGATTGCAATCTCGTGCGGGTAGGACGCGAATAGCTTACCCAGAAGTAGTATCCACCAAACGACCACACCTCGTGGCCGTATCCGATCATGTAGGTAACCAGGCGAGGGCCAAAGTCACGGGCCAGGTTGATGGCATAGCCAGTCTCCCAACCGAAGCAAGCACCGATACCGAAGATGAGGAAGAAGAGGCACAGAGGCATCAGCGGCCCGGCGCCGATGTTGTTGGCGTCGGCAAGCGCAAAGATGACGAACTGAAGAATGGTGCTGGCGACGAACTCGGAGAAGACCATGCCGGTCCGGGTCATGAATGCGGCGGGATAAGTGCAGAAGACACCGGCGGTAGCATTGGGGCCCGAGACGGTGCGGAGGCCGGTGCCGCCCTCGAATGTGTCAATGGCCGACCGGTAGTTGCCGTAGATGATGGCGGCGCCCATCATGGCGCCCAGGAGCTGGGCGAGCAAGTAGACGGGGAACTTGCGCCACGGGTGGCCGCGGAAGACGCAGTTGGCGAGGGTGACGGCGGGGTTGATGTGACCGCCAGACTTGCCGCTGACATAGACGCCCAGCATGACGCCGATGCTGCAAAGGGAGTCAGCATGTCGATTCAATAGGATACGAGTGAGTGGTTGATGCTTACCCCCAGCCCCAAGAGATACTCTGGTAATCGCCCTTGACATTCTTACTGAGGACGACCTGGGCCACGACACCATCGCCGAAAAGGATGAGGACCATGGTGCCCAGGAACTCGGAAAAGGCATCTTGCCAGATGGAGCGAATCTTGGGCCACTTGGGCTGCTTCTCAGGCGGCGCCAAGGTGCCGTTGGTAGGCTCTTCGTGGGTAACGGAACCGCCCATCTCGACTTTGTAGACAGGGACAGACTTGTCAATGGACGACTCGGACACTGAATCCTGGGAGGGCGGAAGGATGGACATGAGGACTGGAGGAGTGCGGGTGAGACCCAAGATATGTCTCAGGCGGACAATGGAAGCGGGTTGGTAATGATGAAAAAAGCTGGGGACAAAGGATAAAAGTCAGGAACTGTGGAACATGCGGATGCTCCGGGCCGGGTGACGAGTCGTTGAGATCCGTTTGCCACGGGGAAACGGGCAACTATATGTGTTCTCCCCACGGGGTGGTGAGGATGGAAGAAGCAGATGGCGGAGCCCGAACGGGTTGGAGACCGAGAAGTCGCGTGGTCCTGGGGAAGGGCAGGGAACGGGGGTTGACTGGAAACGGTCGAGAATGTGCTGACGAGGGGTGGCGGCTCGCTCGCGGGGGGGGGGNGGGGGGAGGGATGGATGGCGAGCAGAGGATTGCGGGATGCGGGTGAGTGCGCGAGGCGGGGCTGGGACTGGGCGTGTAAGTTTAGGTTGCCCTTGTGCCTTGCCTTGCCTTGCCGGGCGTGCGTGAGGGTGAGGGTGAGGGTGAGGGGGCAGGATGAGGAGAAGGCCCTGCCTGGATTGGACTGGAGATGGTGGATGGGATGGGATGTGGGATGAAAGGAAGACGAGGTCCCGCGTGGTGGCCTGGCGGGCAGGAGCAGGGACCCGGGCGCCGCCTTCCGTGTCCACGGACGCTAGAAGGCAACCTTGAAAGAAAACGAACGCCTCCGGAAAAGTGACAACGAGCAAGTACCACCTGAGCCTCGGGACCGTTGAGGGACGGTCGGGCATGGAGACTTTTCGAGAATCTCTGAGGTGTGGCCGGCGGCCATCAGCAGACGCTGACGGGCAGCGGCGCACAGCAGGAGCCACCTCACAGCAAGAGCCGCGCCGCTGCGGCCGACACACTAACGTTCCCAGCACACTTTCCGGCGGCCTTGTGGAGCCGGTTCGTCGCAGGAGCGGGACTGACAGCCAAAACCAGACAAGGACGCCTGCCCCGAGTCCGGCGCCGCGCCCTGATCCGTCCCCCGTCAGGCCCGTCGCCCACTCACCGACCGGCCCATACCATCCTCTGGAGGTGTGTGTGGCCCATCGTCATCAGCCAGCGCATCCACCGCCGGGCCCCGATGTCCCACCTCTTCCATTGAGCAGGGCAGGCCCGTTCGTTTCGTTGTTGGTTCTTTGTTGTCCCCGCCGCAGCCCTGTCCCCGGCCGCCTGCATCCCGTTGCGTGCGTGGGTGCGACCATCTCGGCTGACGAAAAATAGCATGCAGCCCGCGACGCCAATGGGCGCAGCGTGGCGTCGCCCGGGATGAAGGTTGTTCGCGGGGAAAGCGCCCGCTGGGCCAGCGAGAGGCGAGCATTTCAGCCACCGGGACTGATTTCGACAGGGGCGTTGGTAATGATGGCGTCGAGCCACGGCAATGACCGACTCGAGTTCCACGCCAAGTCGACGCCAACCGCACCCGAGGGGGCGAAAAGGACTTGCTGTCGTGCAGCCCGGGGGCCAAGCGAACGACGCAAACGCAGTGATTACGGGGTCTCCGGCCGCTGATGGATGGATGACGAGACCCGGAGGGGTACCACGGGCATGTCGCCCCCCCGGCGCCCAGGCGAATTATTGACTGGCGCCATGATGCAGCTTCGGTCGCGCACACCGAACCGGCCCGCCGTGATACCCAGATTTCGACCACTTTTTGCCGGCCGCCCGCGTACCTGCTCACGGGGTTTGAAACCCCGTCTTTCCCGCCGTCGGTATTTCACCAATTCCACAAACACGAACCGCAAACAGCCTCACGAGACGACAAACTGATGCGCGGGGCCGAAAGCTTCACAACGGCGTCGCAACTGTCCGACATTGCAATATTCTAGAACGTCGCGCCAGGGGTGCCCCCCCGCTGGTTCTCTCCAGCTTTCGCTTCGCTCGGACAGTGGACCTGCCACGAGGCCAATAGTACATACAAACAAACCCCGGACCTTGAGGCGAAACGCAAACGCGCAGAATCTGGGGATGGAGAACCGAGTCCACGGGGTTTTGAACCCGAGTGCCGGGGAAGGTTTCTGGCATGTTGCCACTGACGGGACGAGAGTTTGCCGACCACAACGGCCAGAGCGATTATTGGATCAGATCAATCTGCCTCGGTTCGCAGTCCTTCTCGAAGCAGCACCGAAGCGTCCGCGACGGTCATGCCACCGTCAGAGGCACTTGCCGTCAGCCTCTTCCGATGCCAACTGCCACGGAGCTGTCGGCCCCCAGCCAAGGCCTCGTGGACACGCCTTGACGTCGGTACTCGTACGAGAAATATTCCCTCTGGATTAAGCGCCGCCTGGCTTCGTCGACGATTCTCGACAGGTCACCACCGCCACCAACAGCCGCCCGTCCCTGGCCGCACACCCGCGTAGTATAAGCTTCTGGGGCGCCTGTGGGTGGAGATCGTCCATCGGGCTCAGCGGGGCGGGATGGCGTTGGCTGCAGAGCGGCGGCCCCCCCTGCAAGCCAGGCCAGGGCACGCACCCCTGCCAGCGCCTGTTCCGTTTATTCTGCCGGCCGACGAAGCTCCCACCCCTCGGGGGGCCTTTTGCGAGGCAGCATCAGAATCCTCCACGACGAGCCGTGCGTGACAATTCGCCGACGCCGACCGAGCCGCTGCGCCGTCTGCAGACGCGTGCATACGGGACATCCAGGCCGCTGCTTTCACGAGCAAACCCGCTCCTTGGCGCCGACCCGACCTGGCCAGGATCCCCTTGCCTGCGAGGCCAAACTATCCGCCACAGGGTCGACGTCGCGGCTGCCGTCTCATGTTGAGGGCGCATATGGCGCATATAGCGCATATACTGCCTGCCCGAGGCATCTGGCAGCTGGCATCCGACAGGCGCCGTGGACAGGTGTCGTCGAGCTCGGGTTCGCAACCCCGAGATCTGGTCCCTGAAAGGCGCTAGTCGTTGAACGTCCTCCACAATCCCCATCATGAGGCCCTGGCTCGACTCGTGAGGGGCCCCCATCACGGACGCTCGGAACGCACTATTGTCGCTGGCAACCCGGCACACGAGGAGCTCGTCTGGAACGGTGGAGCAAACCGCGGACCCGGTGGCATCTCAGGAGTCGTATGACGTTGGCAGAAACGGCTTCCTCCACCAACAGTCTCCAGGGCGCACGTGCGGCAGCAACATCTGCGCTTCTCCACACTGGGGCTGCCATGGCATCCCCAAAGGCTGGGTGAAGCGAACGGGGGCTTGGGGGGGGGGCCTGGCGCTGCCCCGGTGGCGGCTGGGGGCGCTGGCGGGGTATTATCTGGAAGCCACACCGGGCGAGTGAGGGGTCGGGGGAGCTCCCCCATATGGAGCGTCAGCAGCGCCGACGCGGGAGCTCACGAGCCTTGCATTGATTCGTGGGAATGGAAACCGCGCCCATGTGAAAGTCGCGACTATTAGTATCTCTGCGTGTGCCTCCACGAACTCTGTCGACCTCCTCGTCTCTTCCTCTCCATCCCGCTCTATCCCCCACAGCTTCAAACTCATACCCCAGACTTGGGTCGTATCTTCCCCGCGTTGCGTCGCGTGTCTCCCCCGCTTGCCGCTCAGCAGCCTTTGTCACATCTCTGTCCTTGTCGCTTCGTCGTGTCCTGAATGCTCAGATCTCTCCTGCCCGGCCGATCCAAAGCAGCCTCCCAAGCAGCCCCCAAAGAAACCATGTCTTCCTCTTCACAAACCCAGTTCGTCGGTGCCATCGACCAGGGCACCACCAGCACGCGGTTCCTCATCTTCAACCGCGCTGGCGAGGTCGTTGCCCTGCACCAGCTCGAGTTCAAGCAGATCTACCCGCAGCCGGGGTAAGTGACTCTCCTCATGTGGCGTCGTAAGCCATTGGCACGGTTGCTGGGGGCCCTTTTGCTGACACGCGTCCGCGATGCAGATGGCACGAGCACGACCCGGAGGAGATTGTCTCGTCCGTGGAGAAGTGCGTCGACGGCGCCGTCAAGAAGTTTGAGACGCAGGGCCACTCGCGCGAGCAGATCGTGTCCGTCGGCATCACCAACCAGCGCGAGACGACTGTCGTCTGGGACCGCGTCACGGGCAAGCCCCTGTACAATGCCATTGTCTGGACGGACACGCGCACGCAGGACCTCGTCCGCCGCCTCAAGATGCGAATCGGCTCGGGCGAGCTCACCGACCGCTGCGGTCTCCCCCTCTCCACCTACCCGTCCGTCGGCAAGCTCCTGTGGCTCATCGAGAACGTCAAGGCCGTCAAGGAGGCGTATGATGCGGGCAACCTCGCCTTCGGCACCATCGACACCTGGCTGACGTACAAGCTGAACGGCGGCCCCGCCCGCAACGTCTACGTCTCGGACCCCAGCAACGCCTCGCGTACCATGTTCATGAACCTCCACACTCTCGACTACGACAATGAGCTCCTTGACTGGTTCCGCGTCGACCGCAAGAAGGTCAAGCTGGCCAAGATTGTGCGCTCGGCCGACCCCGAGGCGTACGGCTCCCTGGCCAGCACGCTCCTCAACGGCACCAAGATCATGGGCTGCCTGGGCGACCAGTCTGCCGCGCTCGTCGGACAGAAGGGCTTCACCCCTGGCCTGGCCAAGAACACGTACGGCACTGGCTGCTTCCTGCTCTACAACGTCGGCGACAAGCCCGTCATCTCGTCGCACGGCCTCCTGTCGACCGTTGCCTTTGACTTTGGCGAGGGCAACACCATGTACGCGCTCGAGGGCAGCATCGCCGTGGCTGGTTCCAGCGTCAAGTTCCTCGTCGACAACTTTGGCTTCATCGAGTCGTCGTCGAAGCTGAGCGCCCTCGCCGAGACGGTCGAGGACAACGGCGGCTGCACCTTTGTCACCGCCTTCAGCGGCCTGTTCGCGCCGTACTGGATCGACGACGCCCGCGGCACCATCTTCGGCATCACTGCCTACACGCAGCGCGGCCACATCGCGCGCGCGACGCTCGAGGCGACGTGCTTCCAGACCAAGGCAATTCTCAAGTCGATGGAGAAGGACAGCGGCAAGGCCCTGACCGAGCTCGCCGTCGACGGTGGCATGTGCAACTCGGATCTCATCATGCAGGTATGTAACAAAAGAAAAAAAAAACCGGGGTGCCTCGGGACCCCGGGAAGCTGCACGACAGGGTTTTACTGACAACTCGCACAGACGCAGTCCGACATCATCGGTATCCCCGTCAACCGCCCGGGCATGCGCGAGACGACGGCTCTCGGCGCCGCCATCGCTGCCGGCTTCGCCGCTGGCGTGTGGGAGTCGTTTGAGGACCTCAAGGACGTCAACCTCGAGGGCCGCACCATCTTCAAGCCGTCCATCTCGGAGGAGAAGGCCAGCAAGCAGTTTGAGCGCTGGGAGAAGGCGGTCCAGATGAGCAAGGGCTGGGCCGAGTAAGCAGGTGGCGGTGTTTTCCGGTGGTGCGTCTCGTGTTGTTTTCCTCTTTACTATACCACTGGCGGGCCATGGGTGTGTGTCGACGGGGTCCGAGTCGCGGCAGCGGTGCGTTTGCTTCTAGAAGCCTGAGAGCTTGCGTGTACTATATTTCTGGACGACCTTATGATGGATTATTGTTTTTCATGAGATTGGAGTCTGCAGCATAGTGACGCGATGTGACGTGCCGGGCGGATGGCATGATGTGCGGCGTAGCATGACGGGGAGACATCCCCCGCAGTCCAAGCCGAGGCCTGTGCGAGCTTGCTGCCCACCTACCTGCCATGTCAAGGAGCTCTCTAGTCTAACAATCGTCGCGCGCACGGCGGTCGAGCTACCCGTAAATTGCGAGTCGCGGAATCGCCATCTGCACCTCCGCGCAGTAGCGCCATGCTCGTAAAAGACCCCCAAAGGATCAGCAATGGCCTGACGCAGCTGCACGGCGGACCCTGCTTGTGGCGGTCGCATTGACAATTGCCGGCTGCGACAGTCGCATCTGCTGGCCGGCCATTGGCAGGAGTTGAAAGCTCGTCGAGGGCGGGCGAGAGGGAGCGACACGGCGCTCGAATCGAATCGAGATGGCGTCACGGATTGGTGTGGAGGGGTCGGGCGAAGGGGGCGTTGACGAGGTACTCGTGAGTCGCGGACGTTCGACGACGATTCGCGGTTCTCGATCGTGTCTGTCACGGCGCCATGGAAGGGGTATGGCTTTGCCTGGCTTGCCTGGCACCTGGCTCGCCATGCACCCGCCGCCGCCACGACCGCCGCCGCCGCCACGCAGAGGCGAAACGTAACGCCTGCTGGAGCGCGCAATGGGGAGTGGAACGTCCATGGATCCATGGATGGAGGCGGTCGAACCTGGAAGGCTTCTAGCGCCCTTCGGCGCTAGAATGCTTGCGCTGTTGGTGGCGCTGGCCGCTGTCGCCCGCCGTCTCGGACAGCCCGGCGACCGCCCAAAGCGTTGACGATCGCGGTGGGGTAGCCTACCGAAACGGGATTCTGGCCTGCCAGGGCGCTTCGACTGCTCGACTCTTGGGCGACGCCACTCATCCATCCCACGCGGCGCCCCGGCCAAGGGCTTTCCCTCTCTCATCCCATCGTCTCACTTTCATCGCTGGCCGCCTTTCCCCGCACGCACGCACGCACGCACCGCCCCGAGTTATCGATCGCCTGACCTCGTTCGTCTTGTTGAGCAAGTTGGGCAGCTAAGCAAAGAGAGGAATTGGAAGGGACGAAAAAAAGAAGCCGGTGCGCCCGAGAAGCCGGGACAGAGAGAACCTCCAAGGACGGGCGACGCAACCACGTTTTTAATCCTCGGCACCGCCCGGGCGATAAGCTCTTGCGACAAGACTTGAGACGAGAGTTGCTGTGGGCTCACTGCGCACGCAAGAGATAAGGAGACATCAGGCAACGTGCTCCCCTCGCGGGCCTGCTCGGTGGCACGACCGAACTGGCGACATCCGCCTCGCAGTTGCGCAGCGCAGTCGGCCGAGCGACCCCGAGCGTCCTTTATTCCCAGCTCCAGCGTCCATCCCCGGCGGCAGGGATCGCGGCCTGCACTTTGCTGCCTGCCTGGCGCTGGCTGCCCACCTCCGGATTGCCTCTAGCAGCACCTCTGGCGCAGGGTGCCCGCTCCTCCCCCCCGGCGTAACGGTTTCGATCCCTAACCCGCCGGCGGGTGCTGGCTGCAGCCCCAGTCGAGCCGGCGTTGCTCCTCCTCCTCGCCGCGCTGCTCCTCCCAGCGATCACGGCCCCCCGGGCGTACGCCATCCCAGGGCCGTCACCACCAACCACCACACGCTACGCTCCCATCCCCTCCACCGCTCCAGCCGCAATTACAAACGAGGCGAACCGGTGGTGGCCAGCATCACCGACGTCGACGCAACCCCCAAGGGAGAGGCGAAACCGCTGTCGCAAAGCGTCTCTTATAAACAGGCCCCATCCCAGAAACACCGACGAGTCCCCGGACCCAGTTCACGCGCCTATCATCACCAACCCCCCGAGGTGTCAACGGTCAGATTGCCCAACTCTTTACTAGGCTCCTCCTTGGACTCCCTCGGGCCTTACCTCAGCAGAAAAGGGGGGCCACCCAGTGTGGAGTTTGTTCCTCTTCGCATTGCTGTAGTATCATGGAATAGCCATGGTTGCGTCGAATGCACCTCCGGTACCCATGGCCGAGGACGAGGCGAACTCGGGCTTCAGTCACGACGAGGGCGGGTCGAGCGGCGACGACACCTCGCACAACGGACCCGCCTCTACCGCCGTCGCCGGCAACAAGAGGAAGAGGACCAAGTATCAGAAGACATCGTAAGACGTGCCCCCTTCCCTCCCCCCTTATCTCGCCTGATGGTGGCTCGACTGACACGGCCTCGGCGTCAAGATGCGAGCTGTGCAAGGCCCGCAAGGTCAAGTGTGATAGGGCCGAGCCTGCCTGCTCCTGGTGTGCCCGCCACAACCGCACCTGTGTCTACCTCGAGAGGCAGAAGCCTGGCAGTCGCATCGGCTTCACCCTCGAGCTCGAGACCAAGGTGAACCGCGTCGATGCCCTCCTGCAGACGCTATGGCGCCGCGTCGAGGACCACATCGCCCATGACCACGCAAGCCCGTCGCAGCAGACGCTCTCGCCCTCCGTCAGCAATCCCAACGCGTCGCAGGCCGATGGCTACCCGCCGCAGCCTGACGGCGCCGCGCCGCCGAGGAGACCGGTAGGCGTTCCTGCCGGTACCCCCATCATCCCGGGCCGGACGCCCGTGGCCTTCTCCAGCCCGTCGTGGCAGGGCGCCGAAGGTCAAGATGGGATGCAAGGCGGCCCGCGGTCGTCCGTCCAGGGGCCTCCGACGAGCATGTCCATGGCCGGCGGCGGCGGCGGCGGCGGAGGCGGAGAGTCGTCTCCCTTCAACGGGACGAACCACATGCCTCGAGGGCCGCCGATGCGGGCGGGCTCCTCGTCGCTCTCGGGAGGCACGGATCTCCCGCCGCACGACATGATTTACACGCTGGTCGACCTCTACTTCAAGCACTGCAACACGTGGTGCCCGATCCTGGACCGCAAGACGACCTTTGGCGTCTTCTTTGGGTCGACATCACAGAGCGAAGTCGACCGCATCTTGCTGCACGCCATCGTGGCCACGACGTTGCGATTCCTCAAAGACGCACGACTCTCGCCCGAGATGCGGGCCCATTACCACGCCGTGTCGAAAAACACCGTCATGATATACGCCATGGAACACGTCAGCGTCGCGGCGCTCAAGGCTCTCGTCATCCTTTCGCTCGATGAGCTAGGCACGTCCAACGGCCCGCGCGGGTGGAACTTGCTGTCTCTGCTGGCACAAAACGTGCGGCACCTGGATCTCTGGGAGGAGAACAGCATGTACCTGTCGGCGGGCGAGGAGGACTTGCCGCACACGGGCTCGGTGCGACGGGTCACGGTCGGGCAGCCCGAGTCGTGGATCGAAGACGAAGGCCGGCGGAGGCTGTGCTGGATGGTGTACCTGCTGGACCGGTACGCGACGGTCGCGACTACGACGTTTGACTTTATGCTCGAGGACAAGAGGATGAAGCGGATGCTGCCGTGCTCGTATGACCTGTTTTCAAGAAACGTGCCGGTGGAAACGGGCTCGTTGGATCCGACACCGGACGGCCACGGCGGGACGACGTACACGGTCAGCAAGCCCGAGAACTTGGGCAGCTTCTCCTACCACTGTGAGATACTGCGTATCCTCAGCCAGGTGCACGACTTCCTCAAGACGCCCATAGACGTGACGTCGTCGACGGAGATGGCGGGCTGGCGCAACACGTACCGGTCGCTGGACTCGGCGCTGGACAACTGGCTGCAGAGCCTGCCGAGCGAGTACAGCCGGATCTCTGCGCTCTGCCACTCGGACCCGGCGAGCCGGGTGGCCAACTGGTTCATGCTGCACAGCGCGTACGTGACGTCGGTGGTGCGGCTGCACTCGTCGGCCGCGTACCCGACGGTGCGCTCCCACATCTTCGTGCCATCGCACTACGCCATGCAGCGGTGCCTGTCGGCGGTGCAGAGCCTCCGCGACATCACGCAGGACGTCTACGAGGCCAACGGGCTGGATCTGGTGGGCCCGCCGTTTGCGTTTTCGCTGTGGACGGCGGCGCGGCTCCTCATCGTGCACGCGTCAGCCATGGGCTGCGCCGTGGACAGCAAGATTGACTTCTTCATCGACATCCTGACGTACGTGGGGCAGTACTGGGAGGTGGCCAACAACTACGCGCGGATCCTCGCGCGGGTGATGCAGAAGGGGCGGCAGAGCGAGATGCCTTATGCCGTCATGAGAAAGTAAGTCCGCACAGATCAGTCTCCTCGGTCATGTCCATCTGGTGCTCAACGCTGGTGCTAACGAATCACCTTTTGATAGGAGCGCATACGATCTCGTTGGCCTCACGTCGGCGACGCGCCGCTCGGGCCTCGACGAGACATCCTCGCAATCCGTATCGCTGAGCGAGCTCGACAACATCGACGTGTTTGACTTTTTCAACTACCCCAAGGTGGCAGAGCCTGGGCCGCGAACCATGGCAGCCGCCGCTGCCGGCGGACAGACGAGCACTATTCTGCTGCAAACACAGGGCTACGGGCCAGAGGCCATGAGGAACGGCGGGGCGGCCGTCCCGGACCCAGAGGCGGACTGGCTCGGCTACGGGTCGCCTTTCAGCTAGATGCGGCCTCGGCGGCGGCGAGGCTGGGCAGCGATGCCAGCGGTGCCGATGGTCGAGGATGGGCAGACCCGTTGATGGTCCAGCATGGGACAGACCTGTTGGTGGCCAAGTACGGGATTGACGCGTTGATGCAGAACGAGACGAGGGTTTGATTTTAGCTCATGTGTAGAACCAGTCACTCATGACCAGGCGTTGGATACCAAGTCGTTTTAGTTATACCAATGACAAAGGACTCCCCTCGGAATGCATGGGCTGTTGCTGCCGCCGCCGGGACAGAGCATGGATGGATGTACGAAGTACAAAATATGTACTGTGATTGGGGACGACAGCATCGGATACCAAGCCTCGCCTGTCAGCCCAACGGCAGGTTCCGCACGACCAGATGCACAGCCATTATAATGCAAGGCGAACTGAACTGTGCAATTTACCGAACGTGTCGCGGGGCGGGCTGGCTGGCTGGCTGGTAGGCATTGGCTTGGCTTGGCTTGGCTTGGCTCCCTCGCTCCCGTGGCAGTTTATTAGTTTGCCGCGATAGCCACAACGCAATGCAAGCCACCTCGCCGTTCACACTTGACAGTACGTACCTTATGTATGTACCATGCAAACTCCCAGGTCCATACTTACTTGGGTATTCTTCAATGCACACGTACGGGGCACGGAGTAGTAGTATTGGACGCTGCGGCCTGCTTCTGCACGCGGCCACTAACGTAAGTTAATCCATGGATGCGTAGGAACGGAGTACTGCTCGTCGAGTCTTGGCTACCCCCGTGGCTGGGGGTTCTGACTTCCCCCTTTTTGCCCTTGCGCCCTGCATCCCCTGGGTGAGGTAGGTTTGCTGCTGTGCTACTTCGTACGTCACCAGTGAGGCAGCAGCGCATGGATGGAGTGCAAGGCGTCCGCCCGCCTGCCCGTATGCGCGTACATTATCTGTCACTCTTGCCGCAGGGGCACGCGGGGTGCGGCATGCGTTGCGCGTTGTCAGTTCCGTCTTCTCAGTCGGGAGATAGGTACAGACTACGGAGGATACACCTAGTGGGAAGTGGGCGTCCTACCTTATGCTGCGCGGGCAGCGGGCAGTTACCATGTCTCCCCCGCAGCGCAGCGCAGCGCAGGGTCGGGGCGACCCGACGCCGCGCGCAGGCTGAGCTGTCCGTGGCGCTTTTCATGCGTTTCCCCGTCGTTCATTTCGAGACCCCCCCGAGTTGACTGACGTCTGACATGCACAGATGGATGGATGTGGTTATTCTTTGTAAAAGCGGATGCGCGGCTGCCCAGCACATACATGTGCACTTCCCACTCGTACTGTGCCTGGCAAAGGTACCGTAGGTACATGGGTCGCACAGCATGCACATCCGTACCTGTCTCTTATACACATCTAGATGTGTATAAGAGACAGGCACATACATGTGCACTTCCCACTCGTACTGTGCCTGGCAAAGGTACCGTAGGTACATGGGTCGCACAGCATGCACATCCGTACCTATCCGTATGCACGTTGGTCCGGCTCCTGTTTGCTGCTGCACTGCACCGCATGCACGTTTGGTGCTGCGCCGTCCCGGTGCGCCGGGTTTGCATCGCGTCCGTGCTTCCCGCTGAAGGAAATTCCTCCCCGGTGGGTGGGCGAGGTGGGCATCTCATGCACGTGGGGAGTTGCAGGCGGGCTGGGCGGGTTCCCGACCCGCTGGGACGGACGGGACAGGGGGCCCAACGGCTTTTTCCTTGTTCGTTGGCCACGTTTCCAGCAACGGCTGCAGGGCAGTTTGTTGGCGCGTTCCAATTACCACCCACGCTTTGCGCAAAATGTACCTACCGCCAACCACGGGCTGCTCACCACCACTCGTCACCACCACCACACACGGCATGCATTCAACGTACCACGGAGCAAGCACATGTATGCATGCTGTGCTCCCTCTCCCCTCTCCTCATGCGGTGCCGCCACATTCCCGCCCCATCGTACGAGTCTCGTGAGGCGGGAAGCGGGAGGCGGGAAGAGGAGGGGGAGGCAACAAAATAAGAACGAATGGGTGAAGGGAAGCAAGGGGGGGATGATCAACGAGAGCACGCCCAGAGACAACGCGTGTCGGCCGTGCCGCGCTGAGACAACGATTGACGTTGGACGCAGAATAGCAGCAAAGCTCAAGGCAAAGTCGGCAGCACCGGATTGGGCTGGCTGGTTGCTCCTCACACGAGGAAGCGAGCAGCAGCGCCAGCGCATTCAATAATTAGTTCGGCCGCCTTGTCTCTGCTCCAGCGGGAAACATGTGGCGGGCACCAGTTTGCGACGCCCCCGGCGCCTTTTATTCGCCCGGTTGTTCGCCCATGACGGGGGGCTGGGCCACTTTTGAAAGCTCCCGTCATCGCGCCTCGGAGCTGTACAAGTACGTGTATGTAGCTCAGCTCCAGGGTTTGGTAGTCTCTTTTATTAGCTTGCTAGCTTACCTTCCCTTCTCTTCCCCCCCAGCCATCCCCGTCCGGCGGCCCCGTCTCTCGTTCCGTCCAAGCCTTTCCCGCAGACAGGCTGGATCTAATAATGACACGGAAGAAAAGCCCCTTTGCCTCGTCGCTCATTCGTCCCCGTTTTCTGTGGCTGCTGCTGCTACTGGCCCCGTTCAACGGCCCCGGGACGGACGGCGGCGTTCCGCCATGGGACCAGGGACCGTTGAGCTCATTCTCTCTCTCTCTCTCTCTCGCTACGAGGTACGAGGAGCAGCAGCAGCGCCAGCATGGGCTGCCCGCCTGCCCGCTCCGCTCGGCGCGGCAGCCCGTGGAGGAGTAGCCGGGGCTGGCTGCGAGGCGGCATGTATGTGTGTATGTATGCGATGCAAGGACACCTGCCTCGCATGGAGCCGAGCAAGCCGTCGAGCATGCAAGGAAGCAAGCAAGCAGGCAGGCAGGCAACGAACCGTCACGCAGGAGGAGAGTATTCCCGTCGTGCCCGTTGCTTGCCTGACACTCGTAGCGTCGACCGGCCGTCAACTCCCAGGAAGCCCATCCGTCCATCCACCCATGCCCGTGGGGTCTGGTCCTGCTCCTCCCCGGCGCCCCAGAGGGTCGCCGGACGCTCCCGCTCGACGGCTCGGACGGCGTCGTCGTTGACCCAATTTAGCGTGCCCGCCTCTCTCGGTCGGTCCCTTTCTCACTCGCTCTCTTCCTCGTCTATCTCGCTTTAACTTTGGGCCCCCATCCAAGGGATCCTCTCTCCCGCATCTTGCCTCTTCCCTCCTCTCGCGCGTCGTGTCGTCTCGTCCGCCTCGCTTTTTCCTCTGCCGCTCTTCCTTCCCCCCGGCGACGACCAGACCCCCTTCCGTGCCGTGTCGGCACCTGCTACCACACCCCCTGGGCCTGCGCCCGCGCGCACGCACGCACGCACGCACATACAGACACACCCCCACTCCCGCCGCCGTTCCGTCCCGTCCGTCCGTCCGTCCATCCGACTGAACGTCGCCTCACTTTGTTGTAGGCCATGGGGCTGTTCGTCGCGCTGACGGGCCGCGCCCCGGCCGCCGATGCGGTGCTGCCGCCGCTTCCCGTCTTCGGAGTCGCCGTCTTCGCCGTCCTCGCCTTCCTGGCCGTCCGGTGCGCCGCCGCGTACCTCCGGCTGCGGCAGTTCGGCGGCCCGCGCTGGACGGGCGTCTCCAACTGGCCGCACAGCGTCGCCATGCTGCAGAACCGGTGCCACGAGTGGTACGAGGAGGCCAACAGGAAATACGGTCAGCCCTGCCCTGCCGGCCCCCCTTGCTTTTCTCATTTTCACCCGTCCGGATCGCATATCTTTGCTTTCAAAGCTGTTGGTTGGCAGCAATGTATAAACCCTCTTCTCGAGAGGCAATGGAAAATAGAGAAGAAGATAAAGAAGCTTGAGCTGACAAGTGGTTACGAGCGGAAAACAGGCCCCATCGCACGGGTGGCTCCCAACGTGCTCGTGACGTCGTCGCCCGACGTCTGGGCTCACGTCAACAACAAGGCCGGGTATAAGCGCTCGGACTGGTACTACAACGCCTGCCGCATCGAGCACCGGAGGGACAATGTCTTTTCGCAGACGGACGTGGCCAAGCACGACTTGCGGCGGAAGCAGATGGCGCCAGGGGTAGGTTGCCCTGTCTTTCTTTGTGTCGTGTTGATGATATCGGGCCCCCACTGCCATCCATGTTTTCGATGTGGTCGTATTTGATTCGGGTCTCATGTGTATTTCTGCTGTGCTCCCAGTGCACGTGTACATGTATATGTGCATGTGCGTGTACATGGAAGCACACAGGGGATATACCAGTTGAGCAGAGCCGTGGGGTTGCATCATCAAATGTGCAAATCGGAATTGTGCGGTGATATTGACTTACCTCTGCATAGTACTCGGGCCGCGAGAACCTGCACCTCGAGTCGTCCATCGACGAGCGCCTGGCCGAGTTCCTCGCCCTCATCCGGGCCAAGTACGTCTCCAGCCCCGACCGCCCCGGCGTGCCGCTCGACCTCGGCGAAAAGGTGCAATTCTTCACGCTCGACGTCATCTCGGGCGTCGGCCTGGGCCGGCCCTTTGGCATGCTCGCCTCCGACTCCGACGTCGACCAGTACCTGCGCTCGAGCGAGGACGGGCTCCGCGCCGCCAACGCCGCCCTCGCGCTCGGCGTGTCGTGGCTGGCTCACACGCCCCTCGTCGGGCGCCTCATCGCGCCGAGCCCCCGCGACGGCAACGGCTTCGGCCGCATGATGGCCACGTGCTTCCGGTACGTGGACGCCCGCGCCGCGGACCCGACGGACAAGCGCTCCGATATGCTCGCGAGCTTTATCCGCAATGGGCTCGCGGGCGACGAGCTGCGCTCCGAGGCGCTGGAGCAGATCATCGCGGGGTCCGACACCACGTCGACGGGCATCCGCGGCGCGCTGCTGCACATCATTACCAACCCGCGCGTGTACGCCCGCCTGCAGCGCGAGGTCGACGAGGCCGTTGCGACAGGTCTCGCTCCCGCAACGGGTTCCGGCGGGATCGTCTCCCTCGCGCAGACGCGGCAGCTGCCCTACCTGCAGGCCGTGATCCGCGAGGCGCTGCGCATCTGGCCCCCCGCCGTCAACATCTTCTCGCGCGACGTGCCCCCCGGCGGCGACACGGTGCTCGTCGACGGCGCGCCCGTGTTCCTCCCCGGCGGCGCCTCCATCGGCTACTCGGCCTACGCCATGCACCACAGCGAGGCCATCTACGGCGCCGACGCCAAGGCCTTTCGCCCGGAGCGCTGGCTCGTCGCCGCCGAGGAGGACCCGGACCGCCATGCCCTCATGCTGCGCACCAACGAGCTCGTCTTTGGCCACGGCAAGTACCAGTGCCTCGGCAAGCCGGTCGCGCAGCTCGAGCTGGCCAAGACCATCTTTGAGGTTAGTTTATGTCACTTTTCTTCTCTCCCCCATGTCTCTCTCGCCTTCTGTTCCGGAAGTAGTAGTAGTAGTAGTAGGAGGAGGAGGAGGAGGAGGAGGAAGAAGAAGAGCGATAGACCATGGCATATATAGAAGAGAGCTCTACTGACCTTTGTTATCCCCCTAGCTCCTGCGCAACTTCGACATGACGCTCGTCCACCCCACCAAGCCGTGGGACGCGCGCAACACCCTCGGCCTCTTCGTCATCTCCGACATGTGGGTGCACGTCACCGAGCGGCCGGCGTCGGCGCCGCAATAACGTTTGGATGATCTGCGACGTGTTTTTTCCCCCTCATGTACTGTCGTTACGGGAGTTTCTGTGTGTCTTTTTAACCTCATGTGTGGTGTAAGCGTTGTCCCTGCGTTGGGGGTTGGGTAGGCTCCCCCCCTCTCACCTCACCCTTCGCTTTTTTTTTGCGAATTCCCCCCCTCACCCACCTCTGTCATATACGTTACTTCTCTCCCTGCGCGGAGCCGCCCATCACGATATGTGCTCCGCCAACTGAGGACTTTGTTCCTCTTTTCTCTTTCCTACCGTCAAGAATGGCCGACGCAAAGTCACTGTACGGTATATTACTTGACCCCCGCTAGGAGTTGTTGAGAAGCACGCACCCGGGGTCCCGGTCCAGTCACTTGAGCATGTGAGAATCTCATTTGCTCGCGAGCGAGAGAGAGAGTGTGTGTGTGTGAGAGATGAATTATTAATGCCGAATGAGCAATGTACTGCCTAGGTAGTCATATTAACTTTTTAGCTCGGAAAAAGCCATGGTGACCTGCATTTTTTAGGTTGTTTTCGGTTGGTCGTCTCGTCGTGTCGGGTAGTGAAATAAGGTAGCTTGCGCTTGTTGCGTCGGTACGGCTGCTCGTAACTCAAAACATATGTGACGCCGTGGTGTGCAGGTATTAGGGAACTACCCCTTGCCTGCACTTGTGACTCCTCCTCCTCCTCCTGCTGGTGCTGCTAGTGCTGCTTTGGATATCCCAAAATGACATGCGCATCGCGATCCCATCATACAATAAAGGCCCATGTCCCATCGTGCCATGCCCTTGAACGAAACACCGTCTGGACGCACATGTCCTCCTCCCACGCGGCGATGGTGCAACTTCACCCTCCTTTCTCCCTGGTCCCACGATCTAGGAGACCTGGGACACTGATTACGCTGGCTTCTGGCCATAGACGTTTGTCCTGCGGGGCGGGCGGCAAGGGTCAGCCTCTCGAGTCACACACACAAAGGCGGCGAGTGGAGTTGATCGCGTGGAGTACAAAAGGGCCACTTACATGAGATAGTACGGGCGGATGCGCGGGTTGCGAATGGCCTTGCGCATCTCCATGACAAAGAGCTGGACCTCCTCGTACTTCCAGCCCATAATCTCCTTGAGGATGAAGAGGGCGAACCCCTCGAGGCTCTCGTCCATGAAGGCGAGGTTGTAGGCGCCAATCTGCTTCATCTTGGGGTCGCTGCTCCAGGCGCCGACGGGGACCTGGTAGGAGCGCTCGACGACGTTTGTGAAGCCGGCGCCGACGACGAGCTTGCGCATGGTGCCGTTGTTGGCGATGCGCAGGGTGCGGTGGATGCGGTCGGCGCCCTCCCAAAAGACCTTGGCCCAGCGCTTGAAGATGTGCTCCGGGTCGTCGCGGACCTCGGGCACGTCGCTGTGCAGGTGGATGTTGATCTCAAAGTCCTCGAGCCAGCCGCCGGGCTGCAGGGCGCGGAAGGCCTGGCGGTAGAGCTCGCCCCAGTCGCTGATGCTGCCGTAGAGGGTGCGCATGTGGACAAAGTCGAAGCTCTCCGGGCGGTAGGTCCACTCGAGCTGCGCGTCCTCGATGTGGAACATGCAGTTGGGCGGCACCCAGGTGGGCTGGATGGGCGAGATGTCGGTGCCGATGATCTCGGCCGACGGGTAGGCGTCGGCCATGTCGATGGCCCAGATGCCCGTTCCCGTGCCGACGTCGAGGACGCGCTTGGGGCGCTCGATGGGCGCGTCGAAGAGCTTGTCGCCCTTGAGCATCACCATGAAGTGGTGGGCGATGTCGAGGCCGTTGTTCTGCCGGTCGTCGTTGGGGCCCCAATACTCGGTCGTCTTTGAGTTTTGGAACGTGCGCCCGTTGATGCTGCGGTAGTCGAAGATGCTCTCCGAGAGGGAGGCGGTCGAAGAGAGGGCGCTGAGGGCGCCTTCGTCAGCCTACAAGGCAAGCTTCCGGGGTTTCGTTTCGGCTCCTCACCTCGCGTCGTCATCAAACGCAGAGTCGCCATCGTCGTCGTCCTACGCAAGAACACACCATGATCAGCCGACGCCACGCCATGGCGGCCACAGACCCCATCAGCACGCAACTGAGGGCGAGAAAGCAAGAGACGTACAAAAGGAATTTGGGTGTTGGTCGGCGGCTCGTGAACCGGCTCGGGTTGCGCCGCGGGAGCTGGCGAGGAGCCCTCCTTGGGCGCGGCCGCCCCCTTGGCTGGTGCTCTTGGACTAGACATGGTCGGCGCGAGCCGTGGGCATTGCCTCCGTAGGCAGCGCTATCTGGTGACCGAGTTGGACAAGTAGACGGACGGGGGGAGCTTGCGGGAGCGTTTTTCGAGCTTTCGGCGGGGGTGGGCAGGGGAAGCGGATCAGATGGCTCAACGGTCGTCGAGCTGCGGACACTAGCCGGCGCTTGTCGCCTTATTATGTATGGCTATGTGTTTGTGCGTTGATGAATCCTCCTCCGGAAAGGCACACATGCGGCCAGACGTCAAGCCACGCGAGCTGGGGGGGGGGCGGAGGGGAGGGGTTTCGTCTTGCGCGAAAAGCCAAGGGTCCAACGCCCTTTTTTTCTTCCACCTCAGCGTTGGCGAGTGCCGCGCGGGAGTGCGGCGTGTGATGTTGGTTGTGCTGCGCCGTTGCTGTTGCTGTTGGTCGGGCCGCCCGTGCCCATTCAGTCAAGCTTGTCAAACAAGAAGCTTGGAAAGGCTGGAGCTGAAGCGCCCTGTCGTCGTGGAAGGAGGGCGCCCGGTGCGCCGCCTGCGTGGGACAGAGTCCAGACAATCTTGGTTTCCTTCAGGAGGGGCTACTTTGCTCCGTACGAGGCACGGTAGTTCGTACAGTTGAGTTCAGGATGCGCAGTGGTGCAGCAGCAGAGCACAGGACATGACGAGGACGCGGGCGAAAGTGCAACCCCGACGAGACACGGCAGGGCCTTCCAGGTTTGCAACAGGCCCATGGCAGGGCAGGGCATTGTTGGCGCGGGGCGGTTTAACTAACTAACGTTGTCCCCTGGTCGGTCGAGATAGTAGCGGGCGCGGCCCATGGATGGGTCCAACGGCCGCGGGCCGGATCCGCCAGGAGCCGTGGATGCTGGCATTGGAACATGGGGGGGGCCTTGCCCTCGGGGGTTTTTTTCTGGCCTGGTCCGGCTCTGACAGCGGAGGAGGGAAAGAGCCAAGCCAGGCTTGCCAGGCGCGGGAGAGGGGACGTGCAGCCGGGATGCCACCACGCCCTACGCTGATTGACTTTAATTCATTCGATGCTGCGCCGCGCGAGAGCAGCAGACGCGCACCATCACACAGCATGCGCGGCGGCACCCGCAGCAGCAGCAGCAGCACCTCCGCCAGCTCAACCGGCATTACGAGGTACTCGGTAGCTGGCAACCAACCAATTCACTGCCTTTCGCATCCCAATTGACTCACCCATCAAGCAAATCCTACTGACGCCCAAAGCCCAACGTCCTCGCATACTGTACAAAGTATCCACCGCCATACCTCACACGGGGGAGGTCCAGTGGCGTCCAGCAGCGCAATCCCCAATCCCCCAACGGCAACTCTCGAGGAGATGCTGGCTTGCGAGACAATGAGGTCCGGGCAGCGCCAAATCGCAACGTCAATGAGGGCTGAAGGAAGCTTGACTAGCTAGTGGAGGTGTGCCCTTTCTACCCGCACCTGCCGCCACCCGCCGTCCCACAGCGCCTCCTTCGCACGTGCGGGCCGACCGCTGGCGAAGGCCCTGGAGGAGGGCCTGGGAGCGTCCAGGCAGGTTCTGGGCCTTCCAATTCAAACGTACTCCTGACGTCCCGCTGGACGCCGTGGCTTCGCTTCTCAATTCTTCAGCGAGCCACAGCTCACAGCCCCCCGTCCGTACGGTGCAGCAAGCAAGCAAGCAAGCATACATGCTTCAAGGCCAAGGTGTCGTTTCTGTTTTGCCAAGCCCCTTGGTGGGAGGCATCAATCAGGTTTTAGCTGCTGTCGTCGTGCGGTCTGCCACTGCTGGGACGCAACGCAACACGATGGTCTCCCAAGTCAATTCCTCCAAGCCGCCGCTTACGACACAGGCGGCAGCCAGCCCTCAGGTTCCCATTCTCAGGCGTCTCAGGCGCAAGCCAGGTAATAGATGAATGCATGAATGCGATGCTGAGTAAAGGTCAGATGCTTGGAGACCGGGATTTCGGGTTTTGATGATGCCCCTCAAACTCCGGTGCTGAAGAAAAGACCGACCCGGTCCCCCAAACCCCAAAACCCAGCCCGCAGCTCGACCCCAGAGCCGCGGGGGCCTTCAGGCCCGGCCGCCAGCCAACCACAGGCCGCGCATTTGCACTCTTCCCCGTCCCCCACAACATACCGAGGCTAGATTAGAGATCCATTGCCGGCTTGAGCTTCCATGGTTGCGGCCGGGTCCTCCTCGGCGACGTCGTTCTCTCTCTGCGGCCGTGCCATCCTCGGACCCTCTCGTATCTGTCGCAAACCTCACCTCATCCGCAACAAAACACCCTTCGTTTCGAAGCCCATCTCCGTTCTGCTGCTGCTGCGTCTCGCAAACCAGCCCCGCGCAAGCAGCCTCCGTCCTAGACGTTGCTTCCTTCCATCACCCCGCCCTCTTCCCTCTTCCTACGCGGCGCACGACGGCGATCCGACGATAGACACACGACAACACCATGGCTTCCTCCAAGACATTCACGCGCGACGAGGTGCGCGAGCACACCTCCGACGACTCCCTCTGGTGCATCATCGACAGCACCGTCTACGACCTCACCGACTTCGTCGACGCCCACCCGGGCGGCGAGTCCGTCCTCCGCCAGGTCGCCGGCCAGGACGCCACCTCCGTCTTCTACAACCTCCACCGCCACGAGGTCCTCGCCAAGTACCCGGACCTCGCCGTGGGCACCGTCCGCGGCGAGTCCCCCCAGGTCCTCACCCCGCAGCCCGGCGACCTCAGCAAGGTCCCCTACGCCGAGCCGCTGTGGCTCGCCCAGCCCTTCCGCAGCCCCTTCTACAACGACTCGCACCGCCGCCTGCGCCGCGCCATGCGCGAGTTCGTCGACCGCCACCTCGCCCCCGAGGCCGCCGACTGCGAGGCCACCGGCCGCCACATCAGCCAGGACATGATCGACCGCATGAGCGGGCTCGGCATCCTGCACATGCGCCTCGGCCCCGGCAAGCACCTCCACGGCGTCGAGCTCATGGGCGGCGGCGTCGTCGACGGCAAGGAGTTTGACTACTTCCACGACATGATTGTCGCCCAGGAGATGGCCCGCACCATGACCCGCGGCTTCCAGGACGGAAACATGGCCGGCATGACCATCGGCCTCACCGCCGTCCTCAACTTTGCCCACGACGAGGCCTGGAAGAACAAGATTGCCGACGAGGTCTTTAGCGGCAAGAAGAAGCTGTGCCTCGCCATCACCGAGGCCTTTGCCGGCTCCGACGTCGCCGGTCTGCGCACCACCGCCGAGAAGACGCCCGACGGCAAGCACTATGTAAGTCCACCGCCGTTTGTTCCCCATTCAACGGTCGTCCCGTATCGGCTAGGCAGCTAACGCGAGCTCGGCGCAGATCGTCAACGGTACCAAAAAGTGGATCACCAACGGCACCTTCTGCGACTACTTCGTCACCGGCGTCCGCACCGGCAAGGCCCTCAGCGTCCTCCTCATCCCCCGCGGCGAGGGCGTCGAGACCAAGCCCATCAAGACGTCCTACTCGGCCGCCGCCGGCACCAGCTACGTCACCTTTGACAACGTCAAGGTCCCCGTCGAGAACCTGCTCGGCGAGGAGAACAAGGGCATCCACGTCATTCTCAGCAACTTCAACCACGAGCGGTGGACCATGACCTGTGAGTCGTCTCTTGTCGGAGAGGAGTCCCAATGTATTGTGTTAACGGTTCCCCTCCAGGCGCCACCGTCCGCTCATGCAGGACCGTTGTCGAGGAGTGCCTCAAGTGGGCCAACCAGCGCCTCGTCTTTGGCAAGCGCCTCATCGACCAGCCCGTCATCCGTCAAAAGTGAGTCCACTCCCGCAACCTCATTATCTCTGAAGGGCGCCCAACCAACCTGACCTTCGCAGGCTCGCCAAGATGATTGCCCTTGTCGAGGCAAACCAGGCCTGGCTTGAGACCATCACCTACCAGATGTGCCACATGCCCTACAAGCAGCAGGCCCAGCACCTCGCCGGCCCCATCGGCCTGCTCAAGATGAGCTGCACCCGCGCCGCCCACGAGGTCGCCGACGAGGCCGTCCAGATCTGGGGCGGCCGCGGCCTCACCCAGACCGGCATGGGCAAGCACATTGAGATGTTCCACCGCACGTACAAGTTCGACGCCATCCTGGGTGGCGCCGAGGAGGTCCTCGGCGACCTCGGTGTGCGCCAGGCCATGCGCAACTTTCCCAAGTCGATGCTGTAGCGAAGCGAGCCTAGACTTTGTGATCCTTGTAGAGTATGTAGCAAAACTTGGAATACGTCAGCCACGCCTTCTTGGACCGTGATTGCTCATGTTACCCGCCTTGTGTGAGCACCTACCGTTGTCCACTGCATACACGTCGCCGCTGGACGGCATTGAAATATCCAATGCCGCTGTTCTAGGACCCAGTCGGTCGTCGCCGCCGGGGCCGTCTCACGCATTCACACCATTCTGGCCATCGCTCGGGATCAACGGAGTTCATCTCGTCCTGACTAACAACTGGGCCGGCCCATCGACCCTCAAGCTCTCATCCTCGCCGCCGCAAAGAAGGCAAGAGACGAGAGCTTCAGCGGTCATGGCCCCCGTAGGATGCCGTCAAAACACCCGCGTCCCGCCCAAATCGACACCTGCCGCCATTCTTCTTCCCTCCTCAGATTCGGGCTGTCCACCGCTCTCCGTCAAAGACGCCGACTGCGAGGCGAATCCAAGTCCAAGGCGTGCCCAAATCCCATGGCGAAAAGAAGATCCGTGGTGCTGCTGCCAAAGTTACGCGCAACGCGAGTTGCAACCCAGCCACTTTATGGTCGTGCCGATCATGAACGATGGAAAAACAACTTTTCAGTCGAGCTGTCTGTCGGTACAGCCCGCAAAACAAGAGCAAAAGAAATATCCGTCGTGGGTATCATGGAGCTGCCACGCCAACTTTCCCCTCAGTGGATGATGCCAACCCACGAGAGAACACACCATGTCCGTCGCTTAGTTGTTGGGGCACTGGGCCTGGACGTGGCCGGCCTGCTGGCACTTGTAGCAGATCTTCTCACCACCAGCCGACTCCTTGGGGCAGTCGCGAGAGTAGTGGCCAGACTCGCCGCAGTTGTAGCACTTCATGCCGTTGACGCACTCGCCTGTGATGGGTTAGAGACGGCACCACGCCGGGTCGACGACGGCACCACGCCGGGTCGACGGAAAAGGTCACTCACGGGACATGTGGCCGTAGCCGCCGCACGAGTAGCAGGTCTTGCCAGCACCGCCGCCGAAGCCGCCAGCACCGCCGCCGCCGTAGGAGCCGCCGAAGCCGGCCTTGGTGCAGTTACGGGCAATGTGGCCCATCTCACCGCACTGTCATCTCTTAGCTGTTGCGCGTTTCAACGTCAAACTCCTTCTCCCACCTTGTAGCACTCGGTGGCCTGACCGCTGCCGCCGGCAAGGGGGCAGTCACGGGAGATGTGGCCAGCCTGGCCGCACTTGTAGCACGACTTGTTGTCCTTGAGAGGCTCAGGGCAATCACGGCCTGTGTGTGTGTCAGTGTGAGAGCTTTACCAGAAGCGCGGGACCAACGTACTCATGTGACCCTCGCCTTGAAAGACCATCGATGTTAGCGATGCGGTAGCTTGAACGGTTGAAAGGATACGCACCACCGCAGTTGTAGCTAGATCCAGGTCAGCGCTTCTCGTTCAATGTAAGCAAGGGAAAGGAGATCAATCGTACCACTTAGCCGGTCCCTTGGTCGGGCAGTCACGAGCCTGCGCTGCTGTCAGATCGCTGAAGACGACGATACCTAGGCGCCGCGTATCATACCTGGTGGCCGGTAGAACCGCCTTCGCCACAAAGTCAGCATAAGCTCAACGAAGGGGGACGAGAAGTTGGCGACTCCGAGCGTCGCTGCCAAAGGCCATGAGCCGGGCCGTCGGGTGAGTGTACATACAAGAGTAGCAGGCGCCGCGAGAGTACTCCATTGTTGCTGGTTGAGTTGACTGTAGCGAGAGTAAGTGATCTGGTGCCACTGATGAGATTGCAAGAGAGCGTGTTGGTGGGTTCAAGGATATAACAGGGCGGGGGTTTGAGGCTACTGTTTGGCGATAGCCACGTCGAGGGACCAAGCTCAGAGGAGGCGCTACACGAACGAGAAGAGGCGCAACATACCGTTTGTGAGATGAAACTCGAGGATGAAGAGTGTGGCTAGTAGAGTTAGATGTGAAGTTGGCCTGAAGGGAGGAACAACGGCGTGTGATGAGTAGTGCGTGTGTAGGAGGACGAAAATGGCAGAGATTTCTGAACGATAGAATGAATGGAGCTGTTTGGCCTGCCGCATCGGTTTTTCACCGTGCGCGTTCTCGACCAAACGGTAGGCCAAGGCGGGGCAGACTAGGGATTTTGCATGGCGGGGGGGGATTTTGGCGGCCGCGGCGCGTTGCGCTGCCATTGACGCCAACGGCCGCCGGTGCGGGCGGGCAACGAAACCGATCCGACTTACATGATGAATAAAAGTCGATTGTTGCGCGGTGGCAATGGCTTCTTTTTGGCGATTTGGAGAGACGAGGAGAGAGACTCAGCGTCGCGTGCGGTGCAGAGAAGAGGAGGAAGGGAGAAGCAGGTTTGTGGGAAGGAGAGGAGGAGAGGCGACTGAGGTTGCACTAGCGAGGCCTGGTGACTGCGCGGAGAGGCTGGTTCAGCACCTGCGGCGCCTGCAGCCCAGTGCCAATTGGGGGTCGCCGGGCCATCGGCTTACAGCACCGTTCTCGCTGGGGATCGGGGCGTGCGCCACCAGAGCCGCCTCCGCAGCGACCATTGTACGGTGCGATCTTCTCCTCACCCCACACGGTACTATGCCCAGCTTGCTACGCTGCTCAGCACTTCGGTGAATCAGGATTCAGAAAGTGTACCCGAGCAAGGTCAAATTGCGCGCCGGTCTGCACTTCGATAACGCCAGCGAACGCCGCGGCAGAGTCCCCATCACCGTGGAAGGTTATCCAACCGCTGGTGGACCTTTAACCGTCCCCCCACGTCGTGGCTTGGGAGACGCTGCCGTTCAACGCACATACACGTATCATCGATCATCGCGCAGTACTGTACCAAGATGCTGCGCAAGAAAGTCGAGCAAAACCCGAACTGTTAGAGCGCTGTATCCTGTGCCGCGGAGGCGGTGGACGACCGGCGGTGTGAGCGCCAATGCAGTTGGCAGAGGGCATTGGGCAGCCGTGGCGCACACTGTTCCACTTAGCCTCGCGCACGCAGAATGGCAGAGTCTCCCGATGAGAACCTCTCCATGGTTGTCGGGCAAAAGCAATGACGGTCCGTGAAGTCACGTCAAATTCCCGTCCTCGTGACATCCAAGCCTCGCCTCCCGGTCGTGGCGGCTTGCATCACGTGAGCAGGCGCCTCTCCCAGGCCCCACCTGGCAGACCACGACCACCGGTGACGCGGTGGGGACGCGTGCGGCAGCGTCCATGGATGTCACATCGACGACTGAGCGCGCTCACTGATGACGACCCATGGTGAGGGCGATCCTGCCATGGACGCAACGAAGCCGTGGTTTGAATTCGGACGGGCTATCCTCGACAACGCGCTCCAAGATGCGTGCAATCGCATAGACTTGCTGCTCGCCGCCGGTACGCCATGGTTCCATCAACGCGTCTCATCTCACTGACAGAGCAACCAGAGCAGCGCGGTGACAGCATAGCGAATGATGAGCTTCACAGTACCAAAGCGAAAGCAGACTCTGTGGAAGCGCCGATTCGAGGTCCTGGCCACGGAATCCCAAGCTTCGACGAGCCTCCCGTATCAACAGCTCCTTCTCTCGTGACACCGGCGTCACTCATGCCGCTATCGGGAGTGGATGAGAACACTGTCGCGGCGTTACAACCCGACAATGCACAGCTTCGCAGAAGATTCAATGCCCTTTCGCAAAACTTCAAAAAGGCCCGGGATGCTCTTCAGAAAAGGAAAGACGAGCGGGACAAGTGGATGGAACATGCCACGTACCTCGAGGGACTGATTGACGCAGCGGAGAAGGAACATGGCATCCAGATCCTGCAAAGAGCAGATCAGTTGCCTGGACCCTCGGCAGAATCAAGGACTGACCCTGGCGAGCCGCGCTCAGAAGCCGGTGCGTCGCCCAAGTCCGGCGACGGGACTACACGTGTCGACAGCGAACACCCTCCGGCCCTAGCGGATGTCAACAGCGAACTTCCTCCTGTTCCAGCGGATTTCGCTGACGCCGCAGAGCGTGTGCCCGGTCCTCTACCGTCGGACTCAACACAGGGAGAGGAGGAGGAGTCTGCGGCGAACCTGCCCACTCTTCCGCACCAAGGCGTTGTCGACGAGGTCTCAATTAAGGAAGAAACTTCGTCTGACGTTCCTGTGGTTGTTTCTGAACGTATGATTCGAAAAAGAAAACACGAGGATGCTGCCGGACCGTCAATCAAAGCAGAAGCTCAGGAGGACTCCAGTCCCATACCGTCCGGTGGGCGTTACGGCGTGCAGACGCAGGAGAGCCTTGACTTGGACGACATCGAGAATCGCATCGAGACACCAAGGAAGCGCAAGGACCAGGAACACTCAGCAGCAAGCAGCGCAAATACAGCTCCGCGACCGCGGATATCGTTTGCTACACCTACGGCCGTCCCGAACAGGCAACCCCTTTTGCCAAAAACAGCGTTTGCCAGGTCGTCGGCACTCACACCTCTCAGTGTCAATGTGCGTTTGGCAAGGTCAGTGGAGTACAAGCCCAGAGATACGCCAAGGCAGAAGCGTCACCTCGGCCATGGCATTGGGTCCCTTGCAGAAGATGGTGGCGTCTATGGGACGACCCCTTCTGCTCGGAGAGATGAGCCCACGGATCAGGGAGCCGCTGGGCGACTAAGCACTCTTCTCAACAGCCCGTCAGCCGCGGAAGATGCGATCATTTCCCGCTCTGCTAAAAAGCGTCGGGGGCTCCTATCCTCGGATGAACGACTGCCTATACCGCAGCGACGAGAGCTCCCTTTCGACAAGGTTGTTGAGAACACGTCTCGCTCGCCACTAGCCAAAGGCGAAGACGCACCCCGGCTCCCTTCAAGTTCTCACAAGCGCGTGGCGCGAGACAGGTCTCCTCAACGGAAGAAGCAGTCTATATTGGCATCTTCTCTACGAGGCAAACCCCCGTCCGAGCTCCGGCTTGACGATTTCAAGATCAATCCACTCGCCAACGACGGTCACGACTTTGCCTACACCGAAGTTGTCCGGGACAGAGATGACCGCGCGTGCCTGCCCGGCTGCACCGACATGCACTGCTGCGGAAAGCAGTTCCGCGCTCTGGCCCTCTCCCAGCGGCCCGATCCGCCTCTCACGCCCGCACAGCGCGTCGAGGAGCAGAAGCTCCTGGAGGAGTACCTCGGCGACTACGCATATCGCCTTGCCACCATGAACAGGGAGGAGCGCGATGAGCTCTGGGTGGAGGCCAAGACGCAGGAGTTGGCCAACAAGTACGGGAAACATAGGCATCGCTTCTCGCGCATGCAGTCCCCGCCAGGTTTTTGGAACGCAGACTTTCCCAGCACGCAGGAGCTAGAGGCAGACAAGGCCGAGGCGGCCAAGAGGGAGAAGCAAGCAATTATGGAGCGTTATCGCGAGGCAATGCGGCCCGGCGGGCGGTGGATGTTCAAAGACGAGTAAATATCTTTCAGCGTGACATTAGCATCTACAACAGCGGCACATGGACTTAGAATAGAACAGGCTCGTCGCGCGGAGGGGTGACGTTAAATCTCGACATGGTGTTCAGGCCAGTGGCCAGAGTCTCATTCAATTGGCTCGTCTATATCGTTGATCTATGCTCGAAGTATTCCAATGCTCGGCGCCCTCACTGGCCATCGCGGATCGGCAGCTGTTGCTGATTTTGCTTGCCAGGGTGGCGCGACCCCTTATCCTTGACCTTCTTCTCCTTCTTGGGCGGCGGCGGGTAAGCCTTGAGGTTGATAGCCTGCCACTCCTTGGAGGCTTGGAACGTCTCCTGAATGGGCGCCAGGAGCTGGTTAAGCGCCTTTGCAACAGCTGGTTTCAGCAATTGCGGCGTCAGCTTGTCGTTCCTGTAGTCGTCTTGCATCTGTGCGATATCCGTGTAGACCAGGGGCTCGAGGCCGTCTCGCTCGCGATCAACGACGAATTCTCGCTTGCCTCGCAGCGCCGAGGCGGGGAGCAGAACGAACTCCACAAAGGCAAGGACGCCGTTCTCCTCGACAACCGTCGGGGCGGACACAGCCTTCTTGATCTTTTTCGTGACGACCTCGGGAGGGTCCAGGAGATCAATCTTGCTGTCTATCGGATTTGTTAGCCTAGTCGGAGCAACGCGCATGGAGGTACTGACCTTGGTCACTAGAGCTCATCTTGCCTCCATGAAGGCCAGGAACCATGGGGTTCAGTATGTGAGCACGCTGCGCTGATTAGTGTTTGCTGGGCTAAAACATGCTGTGGTACGGGCCTTTACCTCTCTGTAGCCTAGCTTTGGCAACCAGTCCTTAGCAGCGATAAACAGCTTGCGCTGGTCAAGTCCTACAACAAAGTTAGCATGGGATGTGGGAATTGCGGACAATAAACTGACCTCCGAACTGGGCGTCTACGTCCAGGTACTGCTCGTCGAGGACCTGCAATATCGGGTAGAGCAGGCCACTGAGCGGCGCGTTGTCGGTCTGCTTGACGATCTCGGCACCTGCGCGCTTGGCGTCGTGCTCTGAAATCAAGGACGACATCTTGTACACGTCCATGACATACTCGGGGCTCTTCTGGTAGTCACTACCCAGCACGAAGCGCAGCTTCTCGGTCGATACGCCGACAGCCTCGAGAATGGCCTTGATGATCAGTCTGTAGTACTCGGCTCGGTGCGCAACGAGTTCGAGGGGCGCCTTGAGGTTGTCGAGGAAGCCGTGGATGTCGGCGAGGAGGATCGTGACGTCGCAGCCGGCAGCAAGGAGCTGTGCGATCTTGATGGCTGGCACGAAGTAGCCGCAGTGAGGACGACCGGTCGTAGCGGTTCCTGTAAGCATTGTCAGTCAAGGCACCCGGCATCGCATTCATATTCCTTACCCCAGTAGACCTTGGGGTTGCGCCCCTCCTCCAGGATCTTCTCGATGATTTCGGGGTTCAGGATCTCAGCCAGGTTCTCGTTGATGAGGGCGAGCCTCTCGGATGCCGACATGTTGGCCATTGTTCCGGATTGATTGGCCTCGGCGAGGGTATAGCAGGGCTGGTTCGTGGAGTCTGGCAACAACTCTGGACAAAGACGAGGATATCAGGCGCACGCGATCGTTGACTCACGGAGACCGACTTGGAGTTGGTGGGGTTGACGCTGCAACTCGAACTTTTTGGAGGGGCAGGACAGCGAGAAGAAGGGTACAAGGTACCTCCGAATTACGGTCTTGCCGTCTCTGGGGGTCAGGCCTTGCAAGCCTCGCAAGCCTCCTCAGGGTCGGGAGACCCACAATTAATTCCCGCCTCAGACAAACGCCGCCAGTTGTGGGGGGCCGAAAGGCAAGCGCGACCGGCCAGCCAGATTGGGGTTGCAGCGCAGCGTCCGTCACTCACTCACTAACTCAGCCGCCAGACAGGCGTATGTAATAACCGTGGTCGAGCCGTAAATTTTATTCCACCAGCTTCGCTCGACCACATACCCAGCTCGCACAGTCTCCCTTGTGTCTTGCGGCCTCCCTCACCCGCCTCCGACGGCATCTCCCCACTCTGCTGAGCCTCTTTGTTTGTTTCCGTCCCTTTCCTTCGCCGCTTCAGCGACTCTTCGTCTCTGCGCGACGTTCCGCAGCGCGACGCGTTCCCCCACGGACCGGGCCGCCTGAAGACGCCGAAGTCATCGCCACCACGAGCCGTACCGCATCAAACCCAAGCGGTTTGCAAGCGCCCTTCCCCTCACCTCGGGACCCGGCGACGATAGAGTAGATGCGGAAGTCGCACATCTGGGCGACATCCGCAACCTTACGACATCCCAAGCCGGCAGGATGAGTAACCGCCATCTGCCGGCTGGGCAGAACATACACCACCAGGGCGGCGGCCCTGGCGGCGTCCCTGGACCCGACATGGGCGGTGGCCCCGGAGGCAACCCTCGAAGGAGGCAGCCTCAGTACATGCCGCAGTATCAGCAGCAGCACATGGGTCCCGTGTATCCCACCTATATGCCGCCGTATGGCCCGCCGCAAGGATACTATGGGATGCCGCCTCAGTTTCAAAACGGGGGCATGCCTTCGCCAGGATACATGCCGTATCAGGGCTATCCCGCAAGGTCGCCACCAAGCATGCATCAATATGTACCCATGGTTGGCGTCAGCGTACCCCCAAACTATCCTCGCCCTTCTCAACAACAGTCGCCCAGCCTGTCCACCGCATACCAACCTCCGCCGGCACCGGCGCCGATCCCGCCGCAAACTCCATCATCCACACATTCTTCGCAGATGCTTCCGCCTCCAACTCCCCCTACGCCGCAGCATATAGAGCAAGTCGCGGCACCGCCTCCACCTCTGCCAGTGCACAAGCTCGAGAGTTCGCCCGCAGTAGAGCGTCAGGCTTTCCGACCTCCTGTGAGTGCAGCTGCCTCCCCGTAGCATCTCTAGGCGAACACTGACCAACTTTGTAGCTCCCATGGCTGTCACGGCCGGATGCCGAATTTCCTTCCCGAACTCCCCGGTCTCGGCGACGGAGAAAGCCGCTGAATGCTGATAGCGCCGCAGTCTCGCTGCCTGCTGACCAGCAGCAGAGTGCCGCTGTCGACGATCTGAAGGTACCTACACAGGCTGTGAAGGCGGCGCCAGCGCAGGCAACGAGCACCGACGTGCCATCAAAGCACACATCCGACGTCAAGGCTACATCATCCGACACCGCCGCAGCCGCGAAGTCGCCAGTCTCGACAACTACTCGTCCTTTTACGTCAGCAGCCCCAGTGGTGCCAGCTCTGCCGCGACCGACGTCCAAGTCGTCCAGTCTCGACGGGAAGACGCAAGATCTCGACAAGCAGTCCACTGGCGACAATGTTGAGCACAGCACCAACGGTACTGCTCCGGAGCCCAACCACGTGGCAGACACTGGCAATGCGCCTACTTCACCTGCCAGTCCCCAGGCCAAGGCCGCCCCTACCAGCTGGGCCAAACTTTTCGCTCAGTCGGCTCATAAAGGTAGCTCGGCGTCACCCGCAGTCAACGGGACATCATCCGCTGCTAATGGCGGCGAGTCTGAGGCGCCTGGAGCGGTCCCGGGTTCAACTTTCTCCAAGTCTAATGCCAGCTCTCTCGCCGAGGCGATACGCGCGTATCGCGTCGACAATGGCGACAACATTTCCTTTCTAGAGCCGCGTGGCCTCATCAACACCGGCAACATGTGTTATATGAACTCGGTAGGTCTAGGCGGGGACGACATGCAAGCATCCTACTAACAGTGTTCTAGGTTCTTCAGGTTCTTATGTTCTGCGTTCCATTCTACGACTTTCTAGGTCAAGTCAGCAAGAGAGCTGTCCACAGTTTCAAGAGTGACACACCACTCGTCGATGCGATGTTCGTGTACCCTCGTCCAAATACCGGGGCATTTTGCTAATCATCTCGTAGGATCATGTTCATGCATGAGTTCAAGACTCTTGCGTCGGCTTCGTCTCCCAAACAGCTTGGGCGTACGTTGAAGCCCGAAGACTTTGAAAAGTATGGCGAGCCTTTCACTCCCGAGTTCGTGTATGAAGCTATAAGACAGCTTTCACGATTTGCGAGCATGAGGGTACGCGCTTCCCACCCTTTACTCCTCTTTATACCATGCTAACCTTGCGCAGCGTGGCCACCAACAGGATGCGGAGGAGTTCCTCGGCTTCCTTCTCCAATCTCTAGACGACGAGTGCACCCATGTCATGTCCAGCTCACAAGCCAATGACTCAGAGACAGCGTCCGTCGATCTGACGGCAAGCCAGAGCTCCGCGGATCCATCAGGCGACTGGCTCGAAGTTGGTCGCAAGCAGCGTGCCGCCGTCACGCGCTCATCAGGTTCTAACTCGTCTACGCCAATCACCAAGATCTTCGGTGGACTCCTTCGATCAGAATTCCGCGTGCCAGGGCTCAAGGATTCCATCACGACTGAGCCTTACCAGCCTCTCCAGCTTGACATCGGGTCTCCGGACGTTCGCAACGTCGTTGACGCTCTTCGCGGCCTGACACGGCCTGAGCGCCTGCAGGGCGACTTCAACTCACCCCGTGGCAAGGATGTCATTGCTACGAAGCAGGTATTCATCGAATCGCTGCCGCCAGTGCTCATCTTACATCTCAAGCGCTTCCAGTTTGACGCGGAAGGCCACGGTACCATCAAGATCTGGAAGAAGGTCGGCTACCCCCTGGAGCTTGAGATCCCACGGGAGGCTTTGTCCAGGCAGAAACGCCAGACCATGGGCGATGGCGCGATGCCCAAGTACAAGCTGATCAGCGTCGTGTACCATCACGGTAAGAATGCAAGCGGTGGCCACTACACCGTGGACGTTCGCAGGCAGGATGGCCAAGAATGGATTCGCATGGATGACACGGTTCTCCGCCGCGTGCGCAGCGACGACGTGGCCGAAGGAGGTTCGGAAGAGGAGGTCAAAGAGCCTCGCAAGGATAACGCATCGGCTGGCACATCTAACAGGTTCGGTGCCATGAACGACGAGGACACCGGCGACGATGACGGCTGGAAGCAGGTCACAGCTTCGGCCGGTGGCAACAAGCGTTGGAGCAACGTTGTCAACGGCACAAACGGAACGGCTAAAGAGAAGCAAGTCAAGGAGAGCATCAAGGACAACAAGGTCGCTTACCTGCTGTTCTACCAGCGCATGTAAGGCGGCCAGCAATTCGAGGAGCCTCTCTATGACTCACGCTTTCGTTGCGTTTCGACGCCTATGTGGGCAATATCTGGAACAGCAAAGATGGATCTCTATCCATGGTTGGTTGGGTCACGAGGGGGTTACAGAATCCGGGACTTGAACGGTAATGAGCAATGAGACGATGGCCTTGATACCCGGAGGCTCTTGCTTGGGCGTACTGGTATGTGCGCACCGATTCTTGTGTTGTTGAAGGCTTCTGGTAGGAATGGTGAACCGGTGTGCGACGTTGGTCCTCGTGGCCTGGACTCTGGGCTACGACTGGAGTTCAGATCGCAGATAACGTCTTGCCGGCCTTGTTGATATGTCACCGCGCGGCGTCTTCCCTGTTATAGAGGGGAGGGTCCGGCTGGCTGTACAGTAAGTATTTTGCATCTGGAATAATGAAAGCGCTTTAAAGCACGAAATGAAGCAAGTGATGTGCGAGTTGTGAACAGGTCAATGAGTCTGGGGGTTGAGACATTGTCTATACATGGTATGGGTACAAAAGAGACTATCAAGTCCTTTGGTCAGCTCCCCTCGATCCGAGGCCGGATATGTCTTCGGGCCCGCGGTCCTTCCTGCTTCCTTGACGAATAAACACATTTCCAGGCACGGCCGCTTAGTGCTTCTTGATAACTTCCATGGAGTCGAGGGCGTCGCGCTCGGCAATCTCGGCCTCGACCTGAGCAATGATGTTGCGCAGGTAGGGCTGGTCCTGTATTGGCGGTTCAGTCAGCACTTCACTCTGCTCTGCAGGTGTACCTGGCCGAATTCCATATAGTGTAATCGGGCAACAGAGTCCAACGTACGTCCTCGGGCTTGGTCCACTGGTCCTTGGGCAGCAGCTTGTGCTGGTAGCTGCACTGGGTCGCGCGGCGGATACGGTACACGCGCTCGTAGGACTCCTTGGGGGAGAGGCGGCGGAGGGCCAGCTGAGTGGACTCGCGCTCCTCCTCGATGAGGTCGTCGAACCTATATGTGAGCGTGGTGCGTCAGCCCGTCATGCTCTCAGGTCCAGCAGGTTCCAAATTCATATGCCCAGCTTCCGTTCAACCCATTGGGCCATTCCTCCTCTTAAACTCTAGCCGCTGTATCCTTTCCAATTGATCTCCGGCGGCTTCGCATAAATGGGCGGGCGGTGGGAGGGGGGGCGTCGTACTTGAGGCCGAGCTTCCGGTAGCCGGCGGCGTTGGCGTACCAGTTGGCCGCGGGCGTGAGCATCTTGGCCAGCCAGGGCCGGCGCAGGACGAACGGCGCGAGGGAGAGTCCGACCATTGTGACGTGCGATCGAGTCGTTCGTTCCGGGGAGTCGGGGTGGTTGGTGTCAATTGACGGGGTCGGGAGCAAAGGAGCGAGGGCGCTTTTTTTCCCGGGTCGTGATGCGCGAAATGCGGCGACGATGATTGGGAGACTGGCAAAACTGGGAGAGCTCGGGATGTCACGTGACGGGAGCGGCTGGTCATCTTCACTGGGACGGAATGGGCGTGTGCCTGCACGTGATTTAACGGAGCCAAGATGTCGTTTGGTCCCGGTGCAACACGATTGCCTGAAAGGGCAATACCCTGGGGTTGGACGAAACGTTGTCTACAGGTGCAAAAAGACATCTTAGGCGTCAGCACGGCGCCGGTGAGTCTGTAATTTCTTTCCGTGGATAGCTCAGCATGCCTTGGGTTTGCTCTTGCAAGTTGCTGGAAGGGTCCGAGGCGGAACAGGCGCCTGTGATTGCCCAGTCGCCCTTCGGCAAACACTCTTGAGCTTTAGCCCGTCACGGTTGTCAACGCAAACCAAATTGTAGTCTCACGCCGATGAAGCAAATTCGCTGCCAACGTATAACGTATTATATCACCACCGCGCAACAGCGTCTTGATAATTGGACCCGCAAGGTCCGTAATGATCGCCCGGATGGTACGGGGGTCAGCGTCTCGCGCCGGCTCGGAGTTTCAAATGCTCGAGCTGAGCGGTACAAGAATGTACAGCAAAGGCGCGTGCCGCGGCCGACGGGGAATTTCTCACGTGTGCGGCGTGCCAGGAAGACGTCACTGTGCTGCAGCCATTGTCATGGATCCCTGTCTGCATGATCAGACGACATAGGCCATACTATCGATATTTCAGCCAAAAGAATCCCCTGTCTTGTGCTCGCCCGGCCAGCCCGTTTCTTCCCGACCAAGTGCTCGCCGTGGCTGTTTCTCTTACGCAGCGCAAATGGTTGCCAGAGCCCGCGGAGGCCGGCCGCTTGGGACGGGAGTCGAAACTCCCACAGAGGCGAAATCCACTGGTGCCTGCCTGGCTTGCGGCACGTCTCCCCTAGCGCAGTCCATCCAGCGGGTCGTTCGGCGCTGGGCCTGGGCGCTGCGTAATTGCCGTCAGTGGCCGGTGTGAGTGCCCCGTGGCCCAGGGCATGCTTCCGCCCACTGCAAGCGCGAACCTAGGTAGGTTCCATTGCCCGCCGGGCGCGCTGTCGCGGACAGACTCTGCGCCGTCAGCGACCTGCAGCGCCTGCCGAAACCCCCACTAAAATTCATCGCTGGGTGGCCCCATGGGCTCGGTACAAGACGGGCGGCAGGGGACACTGAAAACGTCGACGGGCGCTCGTCATTATTGTCCTCCTCCACACCTCACGCTCCGCTTCCCTGTTTCTCTCAACCTCAACATCCCGCCGCCCACCTCCGCACCTCGCTCCAGCGCCAGCGCCTATCCCCGCGCGCCCTCCGACCGCCTTGTCCCGCCTCGCCTCGACGCCCGCCGCACGCGCTTCCCGCGACGCATCCCATTTTCCCTTCCCAAGTCAATGGCCAGCGGCGTTCGCTAGGAAGGAAAGGTGACTGCGGCGCTGGAGCTCGCGTTCCCCGCAGTATCCGCCGTCTGCTCCCCCGGCATCGGATGCTGGGGTGAACCCCGAGATACAATACACCGATCCGCTTCTCGCGCTCGACGACGCAGCACCCTCGAAACTTTTTTCCTACCTCACCCCTTTCTCTACCAGTAGCAAAGCCGCAGTCGTCCGCCGGTGCCCAGAGACCTCGGCGGAGGGGTACCACGGCAGCCGCCATTCGCCCGCCTGGCCTCGGGGGCGACACCGGACCTGACTCGACGGCGCACATCTCTCGATCGAGAACACCAGCCCCGGCTCGCCGAGGAGGGGATGTCTCACGACGAACACCCCCAGCCAAGCCGGGTCACTTCGACTACAGACGATGCTGCGAGCTCGTACCGAAGCGCCGCCATCACATCGCCTTCCATGCACGACACCGGGGCGCTGACCCCGCTGCAGAGATGGGCCGTCAAAGCCTCAGACTCCCAGTTCAATGCCATCGCCGGAGCTCTCGGTGGCTTCACCTCCGGCATAGTCACATGTCCGCTCGACGTCATCAAGACCAAGCTGCAGGCTCAAGGGGCCTACACAGTAGTCGACAATGGTCGCATGGTGGGCCACCCGAAGCTCTACAATGGACTGGTTGGCACGGCCAGAGTAATCTGGCGCCAGGAAGGCATACGAGGAATGTATCGGGGATTGGGCCCCATCGTCCTCGGTTACCTGCCGACCTGGGCAGTGTGGTTTACAGTCTATAATAAGAGCAAGGTGTGGCTGGGAAACTACAACGGTACGTCAACGCGATGGCATGCGTCTCTCGGCTCCGCGAACCCCAGCTGACCCGGATAATCAGGAAACACTCACATCGTTAATTTCTGGTCCTCCATAATCGCTGGTGCGAGCAGCACCATTGTCACGAATCCAATCTGGGTCATCAAGACGCGGCTCATGTCGCAGAGCCACTCCCCGGCGCTAGACCACCATGATCTACACACCATGTACCCCAAGCCTGGAAATACGCCGACGGCGCGCCCGACGCTACACGCTCCGTGGCATTACCGGTCGACTCTTGACGCAGCGAGGAAGATGTACACGTCCGAGGGCCTGGCGTCGTTTTACTCGGGTCTCACCCCGGCTCTCCTCGGCCTCACTCATGTCGCTGTTCAGTTCCCGACGTATGAGTACCTCAAGACGACTTTCACCGGCCAGGGCATGGGCGAGGCGCCGGCGCACGGAGAAAAGGCGCACTGGCTGGGCATTCTGTCGGCGTCCATCCTGTCCAAGATCCTGGCCAGCGGCGCGACGTATCCTCACGAGGTGATCCGCACCCGACTCCAGACGCAGAGGCGGCCGGTAGCCGGCGAGCAATACCTCCAGGGGCTGGGCATTTCGACCACGACACCCAACGGGTCAGCGAGCAAGGACACGCGAAAGTATCGAGGCATCGTCATGACATTCCAGACGATACTTCGAGAAGAGGGCTGGCGGGCTTTCTACGCAGGGCTGGGGACCAACATGATGCGAGCCGTGCCGGCGGCGACGGTGACGATGCTGACTTACGAATACGTCATGCGACAGCTCAACCAGACCAGGCTAGAGGGGCTGGAGAAGCGAGAGAGGCTGGCAGATCAGCCATAAGTGCTACGTCTGCGCGAGCATACCCCCCGAGAGATGGGGTGACGGAGACGTTCCACACATTTTCATGACGGCACGCGGAATACACGGGCGCGGCCTAGATACCCGGGAGGTGGACGGCTGCCGGTATAGACATGTTGACCGAAACCATGATGGGAGCGGAGCGGCTCGACAGGCCGCCTGATCTGCTCATGCAACTGCATCTTTTCCTTTTTCCACGCGTAACGCCACGCGGTGTTTGGGCGGTGTTTAGGAGGCCGGGACCAGACGGGGCACACTTGCATGAGCTTGGGGCACGGCACGGAGGTGTAGCATAGCCACTTGTATGTAAATAAGCCCAGGAGTTGCTGATTCCTTATAGAGGGTTTTGTTCGAACTGCCAAGAAAATGCTTCATGGTGCGTGGTGATGTTCTCAGGGGCGCGGAGCGGTAGCTGCCCATGCTAACCACGTGATAGTCGGCCACCCAGACTACCGCCTGCCCTAGATGCGGTCAGCTCAGCTTCGAAGGCGTACAATGACGAGCGCAAATAAGATGGCGAGCGGAAACTCACAGCTTGACTTTTGGCGCTGCGGATGGAAGACCTGGTATATCTGAAATTGCGACTCGTCTTAGCATTGGCTCCAACATCACAAGATAGCGGTGGCAGCTCGAGTCTTTGATCTCACACGAACAACAGGCTCGCCATCGTAAAGGCGGCCAGAGGAGCCATGAATTTCTACTCAGAGCGAAATTAGCACTGTCCTCGTGCATGGTGGCAGGGCATGCGTGCCGGGGCGTGACGGTTTCCGAACTCACCCGAGGATCCATGGCTTCGTCTGGATGTGATGGAGGAGTGCTGCGCTGCTGCCCGGGGGAAGGGAAGCCGTCGCCCTTGTCAGGAAAGGGGGGCACGGCGGATGGTGGATGCGACGTGCGGCGCCGGGAGCCGCAGCCGAGAGATTCTCTGAACCGGTCTGGGGACGAGGCGTATGTACCTAGGGCTCTCGTTTTGTTCGTTGGACTCGGAGGGGTGCACTGCAGGTCTTGATCGCGTGCTGGGGTACAGGGCGCTTGTGACTTGTGAGCTGCAGTGGGCGGCGGCACTGAAGGTGAGCCACTGTTTCGCGCGCTGGGTCGGCATTCGGTGTTGGGCCTTGGGAGCCATTGGGGGTTCGAAACGGTCTCGCCAAGTGCCAGGGGGCCCCGGCCTGGCGAATAGTGGCTGGTGCCCATCAGACAGCCCTGTTCCAGGTTCAGTAAGTTACGGACCGCTGAGGCTCCCCCAGTCCCTGTGGGCTGATCGATGCGGGCGGCTACCCGGACTCCACAGCAGCGTGCGCGGCCGCCTCCCGGCACACCTCACTGGACTGGACTGGACCCCGATGTAGGGCACCCGGACCACCCCCCAATGGGGACGATGGAAGGGACCCGATGGGACCTGCGTGTCGGTCGCAACAGCCGTGGAGGGCGCGGCGCAGCGCAGCGCAGGGGACCACCAGCAACCGACCTGACCTCGGGCTAGACTTGACCTTGACGGGGAGCTTGGGCCAAGAGCTCCTCCGTTTGGGGTTGCGAAACGGTGCGCCCGCGCCTGGTGATTGGTCGCGGGCCGTTGGCTGGAGCACGACAGCGGTGCTGATTGATTGAGTGGGCGGGCAAGCTCTCGCTCCTGCGACGACAGCTTGCATGTTTGTGCGCGCTCGCCGTTGTTGTTGTGTGCCCCCCAGCCTCCTCCTCCTCCTCCTCCTCCTCCTCGTCGTTGCCCAGCTTCTGCTTCATCTCTGACCTCTTCGGTCCTCATCTCGCGCCCTCTGCCTCCCGTGCGCATCTTCGTGCGACCGGCCCATCCCCATCCCCCCCGCGCCCGCGCCGTGCTGTGTGAAATTCGCTACACCACACACCCTCCAGCACCTCTGTCGCATCATCATCATCATCATGCCCGTCGAGCTGCGCAAGCGCAAGGCGCCCGCGCCGCCGCCGGCCCCGGCCCCGGCTCCCAAGAAGAAGGCGGCGTCCAAGGCCAAGCCGCCTGCCGGCAAGCCCAAGAAGGCCGCTGCCAAGGTCGCCGACAAGGTCGAGGAGGCTGTCGCGCGCGCTGCGCCGGCCAAGGCCGAGGAGGACGTCGCCAAGGCTGAGAAGAAGGAGGACGGCAAGAAGGTCGCCGTGGGCGATGTCATCGACCTGGAGAGCTTCGGCGGCGAGGTCGAGACCAACGACGGCCAGAAGACGAGCCTCAAGAAGCTCGTTGACGAGAGCAAGTCCGGCGTTGTGCTGTTCACTTACCCCAAGGCATCTACGCCCGGCTGTGAGTTCCCCCCCTTTCCCTCTGCGCACCTCTTTGGCCACCCAACTCCCTCTCCCATGGCAAGCTCCATGTTGCCTAGATTATTCGCAGAGATGAATGTTCAGTCGCTGACCGCAGGGACGGCGCGCAGGCACCAACCAGGTCTGCCTCTTCCGCGACTCCTACGAGCCCCTTACGGCCGACGGGCTTGCCATCTACGGCCTGAGCGCCGACTCGCCCAAGGCCAACACCACCTTCAAGGAGAAGCAGCGCCTGCAGTACCCGCTGCTGTGCGACCCGCAGGCGACCCTCATCGCCGCCATTGGCCTGCGCAAGCAGCCCAAGGGCACCCAGCGCGGCGTCTTCGTCGTCGACAAGGCCGGCAAGGTCCTCGTCGCCGAGGCCGGCGGCCCCGCGGCCACGGTCGACCGCGTCAAGGCGCTGGTCGAGGAGCTCAAGAAGAAGGACTGAGGGGCAGTCTCTCTGCGCGCACGGGATGCCGACTATCGTTCGTGTCGCCGTACTTTCTCGCGCTCCGGCGTCGTTGAGCTTTGTGCGTGAAGGGTTGAGTTGTGCTTTTTGCCGGGGAGGGAGGGGGCGGACGCAATAGACGTGGAGGATAGAAAGCAAGCGGTGCAACGCGTCATTGGACTATGTACTCTCACACTATGTTGATACGAAATGTTCTCAAGCAGGCATGGCGCTCGCCGGTTGTAGTCCTTCTCAATGATTACCTCGCTCACAATGGTTGAACTCGCGAATGAGCGTGTGTTGGGTGAGTATCTGCTTGAGACTTGGCTAACGCATGAGCGGACATTGGACTCTATGAACCACGTTCACCGTGACTCAAGTCATAGATTTCACATCGAGTGATGAGATCTATAACAAATAAACACAACATACTGAAAGGCAGAGCAATTTCATGGTTTTCAGCCGCGGAAACGGTGTCAAGCTTGGGGCATCTTGAAGTGCCGGGTAGGCTGTCGTGGGACGAAACCGGCAATATGTCGGGTAATCCCGCCTCCGGTGGCAGATCGCCAATGCCATCGCTCTGATTCGACCTCACTTCCGGCCTCCCTCAACATCACCACCGCATCCCGTCAACGCGATCGCGAAAATGTCGTCCAAGGTGGTGGCCAAGGCCGCCGGTGGCGTCATGTCCATCTCCAAGGTACGCTCAATGCCGCCCCGATCCGCCGTGGCGGGCTCAATTGGCCTCGCCAGATCCCGGCTCTCTGCCTGCGGCCTCAACATCGTCGCACACACCTCACCTCGGGGAGCAGCCGTCACTAACGCGAGTCGCTCGTGCAGAAACAAACCCTCCAGTCCACGGGCATCTGGGAGACGGTGCGCAAGGCCTTCGCCATCGACCCGGACCGCTCCAGCGGCGTGCCCCTCAACCCGTGGTACCGCAACCCGCCGCCCGGCTCCAACGACCCGCTCGCCTACGACGACCCCGTGACGATCCCCGCGGGCGACATCGCCGACAACCCCTACTGGAAGCGCGACCACCGCCGCTCGTACCCGAAGCTCAGCGTCATGGGCCAGGGCGACGTCGTGCAGCTCCTGACGGTGGGCAGCGCGGCGGCGCCCAAGCTCGAGCTCATCGGCGAGGCTGGCCAGAAGCAGCTCGTCGCGGCCAAGCAGGAGGGCGAGACGCTGGGCCTGGCCAAGGCGCTCGAGAAGGCTGCGCCCAAGGACGTGGCCAAGGACGTGTTCGTGGACGGCCTGCCGCCGCTGCCGAGCGGACAGAGCCTGACGTCTGGGGCGTGGGACGTGCACAAGTACGAGCTGACGGAGGAGAACTCGTATCCTCAGGGGTGAGTTGGCCCAGCCGACTACTCATTGATTCATTTGCTAACAATTTTGCAGATATCCTTGCCGGACGTTCCAATAGATGGGTGTGGCGTTGTGTACATATGACAGACCGTGGACCGGAGGGTATAGAATTTTATTCCCTATGTTGTTTGACATATCCAATGTTCCCATGACTCTGCCCCAACTCCGTGCGTGATAATGTACCCATAATTGTCAAGTGAGACACCCTACGCCGTGTATGCGATGCAAAAAACGAGTCTAGCCAACCATGCGTTCCACGACCTTGGCCTTGCCCTGCGCTCTCTTCACGCGGTCGTCAAAGTCCTGCACCGCCTCGTCCGTGTTCTCCGTCGATAGCGTGTCCGGCTCCACCAGCGCGTACAGCAACCTGACGTTCTTGTCGAGCCGCGCGTTGCTGGCGATCGGCGGGAGCCTGCACCCTCGCTCCGGGCTAGCCACGCCATCGGCCGCTTCGGACGACGGGCCGGCTTCACCAGTCCGATCCTCCTTGTTGGATGGCATGCGGTTGGCCCAGACGACGGCCCGGCTGGCGAGGCGGCCGCTCTCGACAAACTTCTCGAAGCCCTTCTGCATGCCGAAGGAGCGGCCCTCGGCGCGGCCGGCTGCGGTGCCGTCCTGGAGGCCCTGCGTGTAACCTTGCTGGTAGAAGCGGTCCTCAAGGTTGAAGACGTCTTCGAGGGGGTCTTCCGGCATTGTGATGTGAGTGCGACCGTGGTTTAAGTGCTCCGTCTGTTGTGTCGTGGGCGACTGCGATTTCAGATTCAACTGAGCGAGGCCAGGAGGATGAAGAAATTGGATGAGTCTGGTACGGTGCCGCTTCAATACCGGGTCGAACGCCTTTCGAGTTCTTTATGCGATGCAGTCGCTGAGCGACGGGGCTCAATTGCAATCCAAGGACAAAGGTTGCCTGTTTATAGGTTGTTTACAACGGACGTTCGGTGTCTATAAAATGTTAGATTCATCGCCTGGTCTTGCCCTTCGAGTCGCTGACATATTGGTGGTGCCAGTGCGGGTACGTACAGGGTACTTCGCACCGCGGGGTGCGCCGCTGGGAAGCGCAAGTGCCCCTCACACGTGACGCCTCTGGGCCAACTTCGACCCTCCGACGACGGTGCCCCTCCAAGTCAAAAGTGCGACATCGCGGTGAGTCAGTTTGCGCTTGAGGGTTTGCAACCGTGCTTTATAAGACCGTTTTGCGTGGCGAGTTCTGCGACTGCCGCCTGTATCCTTGCGCCTATTCCCCGAGCACCGTTCGAAGCGCGAAACCGATAGAGAACCGTTGCAATGGGCGTCGAAAACCCCATCCTCCCTGTCAAGGGCAAGAAGAACACCCTCATCACGAGCGCCCTCCCCTACGTCAACAACGTGCCGCACCTGGGCAACGTCGTGGGCAGCGTCCTCAGCGCCGACGTCTACGCCCGGTTCAGCAGGCTGCGCGACCGCCCGACCATCTACATCTGCGGCACCGACGAGTACGGCACCGCCACCGAGACCAAGGCGCTCGAGACGGGCCAGACGCCGCAGCAGCTCTGCGACGAGTTCCACGCCAAGCACAAGGAAGTCTACGACTGGTTCGAGATTGGCTTCGACTACTTTGGCCGCACCACCACGGAGAAGCAGACCGAGATCGTCCAGGACATCTTCCTGAAGCTGCACGAGAAGGGTCTCCTCGAGGAGCGCACCACCACCCAGCCCTACTGCGAGAAGCATGACGGCTACCTCGCCGACCGATTTGTCGAGGGTACCTGCCCCAAGTGCGGCTACGACGACGCGAGAGGAGACCAGTGTGACAAGTGCGGTGGCCTGCTCGACCCCTTCGAGCTGATCAACCCCCGCTGCAAGATTGACGGGGCCCAGCCGATCCCCAGGGACACGAAACACATCTTCCTGCTGCTCAACAAGCTGCAACCTGATATCGAGAAGTGGTTCCAGGATGCGCACAAGAAGTACGGCTGGCCGCAGAACGGCGTCAGCATCACGCAGTCGTGGCTGACAAAGGGCCTGGAAGGCCGGAGCATTACCCGCGATCTGAAATGGGGCGTGCCTATTCCCCTGCCCGGGTACGAGAAGAAGGTCATTTACGTGTGGTTCGATGCCTGCATCGGCTATCCTTCCATCACGGCCAACTACACGGACGAGTGGGAGCAGTGGTGGAAGAACCCGGACGAGGTGACGCTGTACCAGTTCATGGGCAAGGACAACGTGCCCTTCCACACCGTCATTTTCCCCGGCTCCGAGATTGGCACCGAGTACAACTGGACCATGCTCAACCACCTGTCGACGGCCGAGTACCTCAACTACGAGAACGGCAAGTTCTCCAAGTCGAGAGGCATCGGTGTTTTCGGCAACCAGGTCAAGGACATTGGCCTCTCGCCTTCAGTGTGGAGATACTACCTGCTGTCGAACCGTCCCGAGACGAGCGACACGCAGTTTGAGTGGCAGGCGTTTGCGCAGGCCAACAACAGCGAGCTGCTGGCCAACTTTGGCAACTTTGTCAACCGCATCGTCAAGTTCGTCAACGCCAAGTTGGACGGCACTATCCCCGAGTTCTCGGCGTCCTTCTCGGACGAGACGTTTGACTTTCCTGCCTGGATCTCGCGCGTCAACGGCCTTCTCAAGGAATACGTTGACCTCATGGAGGGCGTCCACCTGCGCGCCGGCGTCAAGAAGCTCATGGAGATTAGCACCGAGGGCAACTTGCTGCTCCAGTACCGCCTAGACAACACGAACCTGGCGGAGAACCCTGAGCGGACCCACACCGTCATCGGCCTGGCGCTCAACCTGTGCCACCTGCTTGCCTCGTTGGCGTCGCCTTACATGCCCTCGACCTCCGAGGCCATCTGCAAGCAGCTCAACACGACGCTCGGCCTCATCCCCGACACCTGGGCCCCCGAGACGCTCAAGGGCGGCCACAAGATCGGCAAGGCGGCGTACCTCTTCACGAGGATAGACGACAAGAAGGTGGCGGAGTGGAAGCAGGCGTACGGCGGGTCGGCCGAGTCTCGCGCTGCCGAGGAGGCGGCCAAGAAGAAGAAGCAGGAAGAGAAGGAAAAGAAGAAGGCCAAGAAGGCCCAGAAGGCGGCCGAGGCGGCCAAGGAAAAGGCGGCCGACATCGTGGACAAGGTCGCCAACAGCGTCAACCACGCCAACAGCGTCGACGCCAAGGCCCAGGACCAGGCGTCGGCGGCGGGCGGCATGGCGGCGCCGTCGGCGGAGGTGACGAAAGACCTGCCCATCCGGGGCAAGCAGTAGACTCTAGAGGCGAGCACGAACTAGAGAGGGGATGTTTGGAGCGCTTCTGAACGATTTCGAGCATGGCGGGACGGGCGCGGCGTGGTGATTGCTTGGCTGATTGGGTTGGCGCAGATGGTCACGTGGCGATGCATGGATGGGAAGCGCATGTCTGCATGAGAATGTACTGTAGAGAGACTCTAGACTGCGAGAATTGAATGTAGGGATGCGTCCTAGCTATTCACGAGCACCATGGTGTCACTGTATTCTGAATGACATGCCAAGCATAAAGCATGGCTTCGAGATTCATGCCTGCCTGTCCTTCGTTCGAAAGTCGCAAAAGCGTAGCATAGCCCATGCTGTGGTGTTGTTATACAGCAGTGGTGGAGCATCGAGGAACGGGGAACGGCCGGGACTCCAGGAGGTGCGCTGCTGCTGGACGGCGCTTCGGCCCACTAAATTCCGACAGCGGCCGCGCCCACCGAACAGAGGGGCAGCGCCAGACGATTTTGGGCGGCCAGACGTCGAGCGTCGAAAGCTGCCCGCCTGCCCACCTACTGTCGCATCGTCGTCCTCTTCCTTCCGGCGAGTTCACCTTCGTCTTCTCCCACGACAGCGTCCTCCCGCTCCTTCGACGTTCCCGCGCCCAGCTCCTCGTCGCCATTGGGCCGCTGTCATAGCCTTCCATCTCGTCGTGTCGTGTCCCGGGCGCACAATCACCACCACCACCACCACCCACCCACGACGAACATCCACGACAGCAACGTCGACGTCGACGACGGCAACGACAACAACAGCGACGAGCATCACTTAGTAGCAACAGCAACAGCAGCAGCAGCAGAATAAGCATCAGCAGCAGAATAAGCATCAGCAGCAGAATAAGCATCAGCAGCAGCAGCGATCGCCCGCCCACCATGGACATCCGGCTCCTCACCAGCGCGGACCTGCCGCTCATCCAGCACGCCAACCTCGAGAACCTGCCCGAGAACTACTTCCTCAAGTACTACCTGTACCACGCGCTGTCGTGGCCGCAGCTCAGCTTCGTGGCCGTCGACGCCAGCCGCCCGCGCGCCTCGCCCTACGAGTACCCCAAGATCGTCGGCTACGTGCTCGCCAAGATGGAGGAGGAGCCCGCCGACGGCGTGCCCCACGGCCACATCACCAGCCTCAGCGTCATGCGCACCCACCGCCGCTTGGGCATCGCCGAGAAGCTGATGCGCCAGAGCCGTGAGTCTTTGCCTCCATCTAGCCTCCACCTATCTTATATCTCTCTCTTCCCTCCTCTCGTCCCCCCTCTCTCCCCCCCTATCCCCACCTCCCCTGTTTCGTTCACTGCACATTTACCTGTGATTCGGATGAGAAGGGAGCAGAATGGGGCCAAACCAGGCTTACAGATACAATGTGCTGATGGTGTTCCAGAGCTCGCCATGGTGGAAACCTTTCAGGCAAAGTACGTCTCCCTGCACGTGCGCGTCTCCAACGCCGCCGCGCGGCACCTCTACGAGGACACGCTGCGCTTCAAGAACGAGAAGACCGAGGCAAAGTACTACGCCGACGGCGAGGACGCCTTCTGCATGCGCCTCGACCTCGACGACATCCGCGCGCAGGTCAACGAGGCCCTGGAGGCCGAGGGCGGCGACGAGACCAACACCGCGGCCGCCGCGACGACGACAACGAATGGTAGCGGTGGCGCTGCCTCCGAGGACGTCGACGAGGGCGAGGCCGTGGGCGAGGTTGGCCGTGACCCGGAGAAGAACAAGAAGAGTGCCGCCGCGGCTGCGGATGGACAGCCCAAGGACGGCGAGGGCAGGAAGATCAAGGTCGCTGTCGGGCGGGGGCTCGGCGTCGGCGACTTGGTGGAAAAGGTCGAGAGTAAGCACTAGAGTGGCCGGCGTCTACGGCGTTGGCTGAGGCGCGTCCTGGGGCATGCGATCCGGCGGGGGAGCAAAACGTGAGGAGTATCTGTCGGCAGCGGCAGCAGCACCGTTTGCGTGAGGAAGAGAAAGCGGTTGACAGAGTGGCTGGTGCATCATCACGGAAAAGGGGCGAGTGGGGGGGTTTAGAGAAAAGCATCTACCATACCATACCATACACTGCATCGAAAGGCCAGGACATTTTCATCCATCACCATGGCCAGGCAGGACACGTGGAGTCAGGGTTTTAATGGGAGATTTTTCATGTCATATTTCACGTTACTGGATGTTCATCCAGCGATATACCTAACCAAAATGCCCGCCAAACCTTCTTTCCCCCTGAACGCCAAAGGAACGACCCTGAGAAACACGCACGATGCATTAAGTAGTACACGTAGATAACCAAGGGGGCGTAGAGAGAGAGAGAGAGAGAGAGAGAGAGAGAGAGAGAGAGAGAGAGAGAGAGAGAGAGAGATATCGCTCCCCTACTGGCCGTACTGCGCCGCCAGTTCCCTCGCATACGCCTCATCGGCCTGGAGGCGCACCTGCTCGAGCTTCTCCGTCAGGGCCTCGAGCTCCTTCTCCACGGCGCGCTTCTCGGCTCCGTTCTCGAGGTCGATGGCCGCCGTCGTCTTGCGCTGAATCTCCGACTCGAGCTTGTCGGCGGTTCGGTACTGCGCGGCCGCAGCGGCGCTGGGCGGCGGCGTGGCCACCCCTGACTCCTGCCCCTGGCCATGGCCGTCGGGTGCACCGTAGTCGTCCTGCTTCTCGTCCGGCCAAGCGCCCGGCGCGGACCGGCTGGCGCTTGCTCCCCACGGACCGCCGGGGCCGCCCCAGCTTCCCCGCCCGCCGAACGGACCGCCGGCGGCGCCACCTCTACCGCCCCAGCTGCAGTGATTCCCGCGGCCGCCGGGACCGCCAAAGAGCCCGCCCGGGCCGAAGACGCCGCGGGAGCCGAACGGCCCAGACGGCCCGAACATGTTCTGAGGCGGGCCCGGGAAGGGGCTATGGCCGCCCCGAGAACCGCACCCGCCGTGCCAGGCATGCGGCGCGGGGGGCGCCGGGGGCGCCGCAGGGGCAGCAGGAGCCGGTGGTGCAGGCGGCGCGGGGGGTGCAGCCATGGCGGGCATGGCGGGCATGGCAGGCATGGCAGGCATCCCCGGAGGCGCAGGGACCGAGCGGCCCTTTCTGACGTCCCGGCGTGATCGCCTCATGTCCCGCCGGTGCTGCCTCCGCTCCCGCTTCTCCGCCCTGCGCCTCTGCTTGCGCTCCCGCCTCGTGGCCTTGCGAACGTTCCGCTGGTGCTTCTTGAGCTGCTTCCAGGCCTGCGTCAGGGCCTTGATCTGCGCGCGGAGGGCCTTCTTGTCCATGTTGGGGTCCACGGGGGCGGCCTTGGCCTCCTTGAGCTCGGCCTTGAGCTGCTTCACGTCGCCCTTGCTGCGGTGCTGATCGGGGTGGGCCGTCCAGTCTTGAAGACGGGCCAGGTACAGGGGCATTTGCTGGTCCTTGACGTCGTCGTAGTCGGGGAGGGACCCGATGGACGATTCTGAGCTCGAAGAAGACGACGAGGAGCTCGAGGATGTCGAGTCGGCCGATTCGGAGCGATGATGGCGCCCCTTGCGGTCGGAGTGCCGGCCCCTTTCGTGGTGATCAGGACCATGTGGCCCGCCGCCCTGGAGGCCGTGACCGCCCCAACCCCAGCCCATATCGTGGCCGCGGCGGTGACGATCGCCGTACCTGTGATACTCATGACGGCCATGGTGGTGGTTTCCGAACCCTTGCCTGCTCGGTCCCGCAAAGGACCCCGTCGGCGGCTGCGGCTGCGGCTGCGGTCCAACGCCCCTCGTTCCCGACTGGCCGGTCCCGTCGCCAGCGCCCATGCGAATGCCACTCGAGTCCATGATGAGGCTGCCGATGCGCAGCCCGTTGGAGTCGGCGACGAACTTGTCGCCGAAGCTGACGCGGTCGCCGTCGATGTTGAAGCCGCCCCACGTCCGGCCACGGCCACCCTGCTGTTGGCGTTGCTGCTGAGCCTGTTCGCGCTGCTGTTGGGCTTGTTCCCGTTGCTGCCGGGCCTGCTCCTGCTGCTGCTGGGCTCTCTCACGCGCCTGCTGCCCACGCTCCCGTTGCTGCTCCGGCGTGCCCAAGTCGAACGCCGCATCCCACGACCCGGGCATCGGCGCCGGGTCATCTAGCCTTGCGAGTTGAATGCTGATGCCGCGGGGACCGAAGAAGCCATCGTTCCACTGACGGACCGTCGCCTCGGCGTCTTCCCTGCGACGGACGGCCTCGGGGCCGGATTCGCGGACATGCCCGAGCTGCGCCTCGGCGTGAGACGACGTGTCGCTATGGCCCTCGGCCCTCAGCTTGCGGTCGATGACGGCCTCGTTGCCGCGCGTGGTGTGATCAGGTAGCAGGAAGTTGACAAAGGTAGCCCAGTCCTGGGCGGTGACGTCGCGGGCCGCCCACTCATCGCGATAGGGCACATCATCGGGCGTCGAGGAGCCGTCGACGCTCACGGTGTGGACGAGCGTCTCGGCGGCGGTGGGGGTGAGCGTCGGCGGCCGCGTCTCAAAGTATAAGGCGGCGCCGGGCTGGGGCTGAGACTGCTGCTGCTGCTGCTGCTGTGGGTTGGAGGCGGTGCGCGGAGTGTCGGGCGGCGTCAAGACCGGCTCGCCCGTCGAGGTCGAGGACGAGACGCGCGACGCGCCATCGTCGGTGCGAGGCGAGGTTGCCGTGTTGGCGACGGTCGGTGTGCGAGGCCCGGCGCCCGAGTTGGAGTATATGTCCGTCTCCGAGTACGGCGGCGGGGGGGCCTCCTCCACGTGGACGTGGAGGTTGCTGTCGGTAGCGATGTTTCTATTGTTCATCATCCGTGGACAGCGGGAGATGTACTGCGATGGGTTGGAATATGGTGAGGCGAGTTGAGATGAGGTCAAGCCAGTCAGTTCAGGCTGAGAACGATGGATAAGAGAGGTGACGATGGATGGATGGATGGGCGGGGGAGCTGCGCTGTGCTGGACCCCGCGGTTGGGGAGGCGTCGGCAGCGGCTGACGACGGGATGGACGGGTACCAGATCCGATGGCTCGCCGCTCGAGAATGTGAGTTGCGAGCTGCTGCCTGTTTGACGGGAAGAAGCCGTGGATTCGCGACAGGGTGCTTCTTTGTACGGAATGACCAAGAGAGGAACGCTGCTGCTGCTGGCTGGTGGATGGATGGATTTCTTTGTATTATGAGCCCATCAACCGCTTCCCACTACTCGGGCCACTCACTACCTCCAAGTAGCACGCTGCTGGCCGTTCAGACAAAACGCCCCTGCCAGCCCGCTTCCACAATCGCCCACCAAACCACAAAAAACGGCGCTGGGCGGACTCGTGGCCTCGCAGCCACAAAACGCAGTCACGCAGCGACAGCGTGCCTGGATGACTCCTCTGTGCATCGCGACCCCGGTCTGCTCGAAAAGCTCCACGTCTCCCCAATCGTCAGCACCCCACACCACCAACCCAGCTGAGTGGCCCGCCTGTCACAATGCGGTTACAGGGCTGAACCCACTGCGGCGCCCATCGTGCGCCCAGCCGGAAGCCTGGGCGCTCCCTCCAATCGAGGCCTGCACGCCGTGTGGGCGCTGACGCGGCCGCTAACCAGGATGCCACTTGCCAGCGCCCCGGCGGGCATGCCGCTGCCGGTAACCGATGCGAGGATGCCTGTGCGGTGCGGCCATGATGATGATGACGACGATGCAGCTCGCATGCATTCGCCCAGCCTCCCATCGTGGCGGCCTCCCTTGCTCCCGTCGACATCTGGCCTGTACAGCTCTACAGAGCCGCCGCGGTCCACAGCTGGAACCCTGCGTCTTCCTGCTTGTAGTGGTCCGCAATCAGGCTGGACAGATGGTCTCGCGAATGGGTGCCCCTGCGTCTTGTTAGCCTCGAAGTCCTCCACATGCCAAGAGGACCCTGAGAAGGGGACATACAAGTTTGTGATGTAAGTGTCAATGAACTCGGGCGGCACCAGTTCCATCACGGGCGTGCGGATCTCGGCGCTGTTGACCATGATGCCGTCCTCGTAGCTCACATACGTCGACGGGTCTCCCCACTCGATCAGCGAGTCCTCGTCAAACGGGTTGTCGGGACTGAGCTTGTACACGCCCGACAAAACGATGACTGCGTTGCCCTGCTCCCGCGCCGCCCTCGCGATGGCCGTGGCGCCGGCGTCCGTAACTACGCCACCGTTGGCCACGACAGCCCGAGCGCCGAGAATGACCTTGTCGACGCGCGACATGTAGGTCATGAGGGTCGAGTTCATGACGCTGATGACGGTGATGCCGGCCGACGCGAGCTTCTTGCGGAAAACCGCGTTCTGCGGCTCGTCGACGTCGTGTCTCCGCGGCGCCTCGGTCGCAATCAAAACGGTGAATTTGCGCTTGACGGCGGCACGCAGGATGAAGCGCTCCACGGTGGGCGAGGGCTGGTGCATCAGAACGTGATCTCCCGGGTGAATCTGCACCTCGGCCAACGCCGCAATCTGGTCATCCACCTGGCTGATCTCGTCCTTGATCTCCTCGATGCCGTCAATGACCTCGGAGCGCAGGGAGTGCACCTGGCTGTAGGGGATGGGGCCTCCCTTGTATGTGGGCGTCGACGTGCCCGAAGTTCGGAAGGGGGAACCGGACCCCATCATGACGCTGTCGGAGGGGGGCGAGGCGGAGAGGAGGTGGAAGAGCGACTTAGGCACGTTCACGGAGCTGTATGAGGGCACAGGACCCGGTCTTGACGGCACTTGAGGCGTGGTAGCGCTGGGCACAGGGTCGCTGGTAGAGTCCTGCCTGGAGTGGCTCAAAGGGGGGTTGGCAAGTCCGGGGACGGCCGTGGTGGACGGGGACATGGCGGCCTCGCTCTGGGTCTCGCTCGACGGCTCGTTTCTATCCTCGGCTGCCTCGTCGCGGATCAGGGCGAGCACTCTCCTGACGATGTTGGCCACGACAAGCTCGCGAGGTTGGGCCTCGGCGAGGCGGCTGCCGACGTTGCCGACGTTGTCGAGGAGGCTGTCGACATCGTGCCACTTGGAGCGGGCGACGACCTGGAGGAGGATGTGTGCGGTCGCGACGGCGCAAGGCTCAGAGCCACGGATCTGTCTTCGCTTGAGGAGGCTGCGGATTTATAGGTCAGCGACGGCGGGCGTGACGCGGGACATGGTGGGGGTTGGGGACGCACGATATCAGCTTCTCTACGGCCGCCTCCAATGGCTGCCCCTTGAGCGACTTGAGGTATTTCTCGAGGTCGGGCGCGTAGCCCGGTGTGGCCGAGGGCATCGTGGGCAGGCTTGGCGGTTCCTGCGTCTGCGTGTATGTCTATCGGCGGCGACGTGGAGGCCGTGCAGTCGCGGCGAGGGGTCGAAGAAGGGGCAGAAATTTGTGCCAACAGTGGCCTGCGCCGAGAGCGGGGGAGGAGCCGAGTTTCGTTCTTGCGGAAGCGTCTGGAGCTCCGGTAGTTATGCGAGTAACTGTAATCACCTCGGTGCAGATATGTTGGCGCTCGCAAGGTAAATGTGTCTTTGTCTGCCGCAGGTAGGCCGGGCAAAGGTTCGAGTGAGCGGTGGTGAGGTGACTCAAAGTGCCTTTTTTGCGACGCCGCTCCTACTGCAGGGCGGGCGTCGTGCTGTTCTGCCCAAAGGTCCCAAGTGGGTGGGGCCGTGGTCCGAACCACGGGGCTCAGGTGCGACGTAAAATGTACCTGCAGTGCAGTGCGTCTCTCACTGTACGAATATGAACAATGGCCTAACCACAGGTGTCGGATGTATTCACCGCGGCGTTGGGCCACCAGACGCATGCAAGACATTGCTGCTTTCCGCATCATCATCTCGTTGGCTCGACGAGCCGCGCGCCGGTCCGCGACTTGACCATCATCTACGAATATGAGATTTGACGTTGCAAAGAAATACGGAGGCAATCTCGGCAGGTCACGGGTTGCGGTCTCGCAGGCCGCAGAGCCCCCAGGCGTTCCCGTCCTGCGAGTAAATGCGTGGAGGGCGTCCGGTTTACTGCCATCCATTGGGGCCGCCACCGCCGTGGCTCGTGATGCCCTCCAGTAGTGCCAATGCTTGGGGTCTTGCCCCCCCAAGGTCGTCCGGCCTCATTGCCGGCCATGATGATTCGATGCACCGCCGCAGGCTTCATGCAGGCACCGTCGCCGACAGGGACGACGGGCGGCACGGCACGCATTAAGCTTTCAGCGATCCAGACGGCTATCAGAGACAGTGGCGCGACGATCCAAATCTGAGCGCTCCATGTCTCTTTTTCCCATCAGTGATTGAATGGGGCGGATGCGGCTGCGGGCGGCGCGGCTGCAGGACCGTCGCCTGTGTCCATGGATCATTGCGCTGCCCACGGGCTGCTGCACAGATGCTCGGCATGTCTCCCGCGCTCTCCGGCAGGGCTCCCCGTCACCCCCGGCATGGGGGCTTCAGAGCCTCCACCTCAGGGCTCGCCCCAAGCAGCCCAGCGCACCTCCGTCCCGTCCAGTGCACTCCAGGGCTGTCGGGCCCGGTGTCACCCCACCCGACCTGACACTGACTGCCTGCAATTGAGCGCCCCCAAGATCCCTTGGGCCCATCCATACAATCATCGGCCCGCTGGCATGGGCGGACAATTAGTAGCCTGAGAGCACGCCCCGGGTCCGTCTCCGTCCGCCAAAAGCCCCGACGTGGCTCACCACCCGCTGCGCAGTTCCCCCGTCCCTTGCCTGGCCCTTCCCCATCCTCACCCGTCTCAACCATTTTCCGCCGACACAGAAGCGGCCGCATCGAGCGCATCGCGACGTCGACAAGCGTCCGCCCGCCGCCCGCCCCTCCCGATTCCCGACGCTCGTTTGCTTGCCTTGACGTCGCCATTGCCCGCGGCTCCCACGGCGCAAGCGCGGACGAGACGACACCCGGCGACGCCATCGGCGAGAAGCGGTTGACATCATCTGCCCTCCCGCGAGGCGGCCTGCATCCTCGGCTCACTGCCACACCCTCGACTCCTCACCACCGTCGCCGCCGTCGCCTGCCCTGCCGTCGAGTCTAACCATCCCCCGATCTCTGCCACCCGCCCGCGTCCCGGCCGCTCATGGAGCGCGGGCCACGACCAAGATGAACTCTCTCAACATAATCACCGCACGCGTTTCGCCCCCGTCGAGCCCCGTACAGTCTCGCTCCAACAGCATCGCCTCCATCGAGCTCGAGTCTGACGAAAAGGGCTCTGGGCTGGCCGAGGACACGCCAGATGGACGCCGCGACTTGGGTCTCTACTCGGGCAACGGTGGCGCCTACAGCGAGTCGGCGCGCTACGCTGACGAAAAGAGCGAGTCGCCCGGCGAGAACACCCCGCTGCTTCACGAAAAGGAAGGCAATCGCCGCGGCAGCTGGTGGCACTCCCTGCCCCGGAGTTTCGCCTCGAGCATCGTCAGCTCCATCCGCTGGATCTTTGCCACGCTGACGTCGCCCGGCGTCTACCTCATAGCGTGCTTCTACGACGAGCAGGGCATCTTTGCGCCCATGACGCAGCTCAAGAGGCTGTTTGGCGTTCGCAAGGGCGGCATGGACCCTTATGAGGCACCCGAAGCCCACGGAGGCCGGCGCTCCTCGGCCTCCAACTCGCCTTCCAATGGTCGGACGTACCGCACCCTCGCGCCACGTCCCACGTCGTCATCTGGCTCCTCCACGTCCGGCGCATCCTCCGAGTCCGAGTTGGACGACTCCAAAGGCGGCGCGAAGAGCAAGCATGCTAGGTCCAAGTCGCTCAACCCCGCCGAGGAGCTCAACACGGCTCGGCGATCGATCAGGATCAAGCTGCACAACGACGAGGCCCTGAAGCAGCGCAAGCATCGCCGAACGCAATCGGCCGTCGCCCGGACAAAGGCGAGCGAGGAGGACCTCTCGGCGCAGCTCAAGTCGCCGACATCACCCATCGCCGCCCTCACCAAGTACCCGAAGACGCCCGCGCCGCCGCGACCGCTGATACCTCGGCGGCAGCCGTCGTACCTGAATATCGAGACGCCGATCAAGCAGCAGAAGACGCTGATCCTGGACCTTGACGAGACGCTTATACACAGCATGTCCAAGGGCGGGCGCATGAGCACCGGACACATGGTCGAGGTGCGACTCAACACGGCCTCTCTGGGCATGGGGGGCGCGAGCACCGGCGCGGCGCAGCACCCGATCCTGTACTGGGTCAACAAGCGGCCGTACTGCGACGAGTTCCTGCGACGAGTGTGCAAGTGGTTCAATCTGGTCATCTTCACGGCGTCGGTGCAGGAGTACGCGGACCCGGTGATCGACTGGCTCGAGTCGGAGCGCAAGTTCTTCTCGGCGCGGTACTACCGGCAGCACTGCACGTACCGACAGGGAGCTTACATCAAGGACCTGAGCTCGGTGGAACCCGACCTGAGCAAGGTGATGATTCTGGACAATAGCCCGCTGAGCTACCTGTTCCACGAGGGTATGTGCTCTCGCCGCGTGTCGCGTTCGCTCGGGGGCGTGGCTTTGCGATGTTCTTTTGGCTGACCCGCGCAGATAACGCGATACCGATCCAGGGCTGGATCAACGACCCGACGGACAACGACCTGATGCACCTGGTGCCGCTTCTCGAAGGCCTGCAGTACGTGCACGACGTGCGGGCGCTGCTGGCGCTCCGCGGCGGCGAGGAGGGACAGCACACGGCGTAGGCGACGGAGGGAAAAGCGGGCGTGTATTTGTTTGTTTGTCACATCATCGAGAGGAGAGGGGCGTTATTTTTAAATCCCGCCGTTGATGACGGGAGGGGAGCGGAGGCTTGCGTCGTGGCATGGCATGGCACGGCATGGCATCCCATCATGGTCGTGCGCGCGCGCGCATTGCATGTACAGATAGAGAGAGAGAGAGAGAGTTGAGCGAGACGGAGAGAGTCACGGCGGGTTCACGGTCGAAGAATCAAGAGGGACAGCAACATTGGTAGCGGTCTGGCTGTGGCGGGCAGAGGGGGGGCAATTTACACAGCGCGTCGTTGTCGTCCCGAGCGAGCGCCGCTTGGGGCCTTGATCTATCTAGCATCTCTTCGCAATCTTGGCCGTGGGTGACGCGACGTCTGCCAGGTATCCAGGATACCAGGCCACCTGGGCAAAGTCAATTCCCTGCCCTGCCCTGCCCTGCCCTGCTGGAAAGCACACTAACAGGTAATGCGTAGCACCCAGGCAATGGCCCGATCCGTATGGGTACGAACGGGCTCCCTCCAGGCAGGGAACCCGGAGGGAGCAGCCTGGACTGGGCAAGGGCGGCTCGGCGGGCATCCCCGTTGAAAGAGCCTGACGACTTGAGACTTGACGATGCATCCCCGTTCCCCGATCAGATTCAAATCAGCCAGCCAGTCAGTCAGTTAGCTAATACCTCAGCCAGCTGCTAACGGGGACGGGGACGGGGACGGAGCTCACGTTCCGGCGTCAAAACCAAGGCAAGTGGGGGTCCTACTGCCCACTGCAGGTGCTCGTAACGCCCATGGAAGAGCCCCGTTACCCCGTTATAACCGTGCCGAGGAGCTGGCTGCCCGTCCTCAGCCAGCGGCCCAGAAGAAGGAGCCTTCAGCTGTCTAGGGAGAAGCCCTCCCCCCAGCGGCCTCGTCCGTTGTCCAATCTTTTCTCCAGAACGAATACGTACGTACGTAGTATAGCATCATATCACATCATGCCATTTGCCATGGCACGGGCCCCCCCCTTGTACGAGTACGTACGGAAGCGCCTTTTCGCGCGCCCCGCTTAGTCGGGCTGCTGGCCTTGGACAAGCTTTGGGCTACGCAGGGGGGCGTGTGTGTGAGGTGAGCGAGCGAGCGCATGTATACGTATTTACGTACTAATAAAAGCTTGCCTGGCTGGGGCGGCGTTGCTGGCGGACGGACAGACGGGCGAAGGAAGGGGGAAAAGCGCGCAGAGGGGAGCAGAGCATCGATGTACTGGACGTCTTTGCCGCGGGGGGGGGGGGCTCTCTGGGCTGTGAGGAACCTGGAAGCGGCACGACGCGAGCGTGAAGTGACAGTGTCCGGGTCCCAATGTTCCGGCGGGTTGCCCCTGCGTCGCCGCTATTGATACCTATTCCCGCCAGGGCTGTCTGTCGGCCTGTCATCCCGCGGGACGCTCTGAGTACTGTCTACCTACCTGCCTATGCAACTGGGTGTCTGAAGCCCGCCCTCACATGACGATGTCTCGAGACCAAAAGCCTCTCGTCTCTGCAACTTGCGCTGCCCACGCGCCGCAGACCATGCCCTGCCCAGGGAACTGGAAGCCCAATCAACACGCAACGCCCGCGCAATACAGTTGCATGAGTTTGCCCACAGAGTGCCATGCCGAATTACCGTACAGAGCCCACAAACGGGCGCAGCCAGCGCCCCACGCCTTGCAGAATCCGTTGGGGTAGAGCGCGAGAGAGAGACGGAGGAGGGGAGGCTTGCCCGCACATGACGACTGAGTGAAGCTCGAGCGATGGAAGCACGGAAAGAGAGAGCCACAGGAGCCACAGAGCCACTCTCATCCACTCCCCATGCCCACCATGCCCAATCCAGCTGCTCCCCCCAGCATCCATGCGCTTCCACCCATCCCGGCACATGCGAAGGCGCGCGACCTAACAAATGGTGACATCATCAGCCCCCGGTGACGACACAACCGTCCTCCGCGCCCGCGAGTCTCGCGCGCTCCAGAACGATGGCGGCCCCCCCGGCACGCCCCCCCAGCGGGCGGCAGCGGCAGAGAGCAGCAAGCAGGCAAGCAAATTGGCAGTACGCAGTAGCTAGCCAGCCAGCCTAGCTAGCTGCTCCGATGCGGCGTGGGACCCAAGGCGAAACGGGCGAACAGCAGGGTTGAGGAGCTTGCCCCGATCGAGATCCCGATGCGCAACAGCAGCAGGGAGAGAGACAGACAGACGATGGCCGCCCGCCCACCCGGCCGCCGCCCGGCCTGGTGCGGAATGTTGCGGTTTTCGGGTTGCGGGGAGAGTACAAATAGGTGGCCCTTCGAGGGAGGAGGAGGGACGGCGCAAAAAGGTTATCTTGCTGCCCATTCCCTCCCGTACCTGCGTGGTTCTCGACCTTGCATCATCATCATCCTCCATCTCTTCTTGACGAGTCTCGTGTGATCCACTCATCCATCTGCCTCGACAGTCGCCCAACATGTCTCTGCACTGTAAGCTCACCACCACCCGATCTACCCTCTCCCTTCACCACACGTTCATGAGCAGCGCAATTCTTGCGGCGCCGTCCGTCGCGTCGCATCGCACCGGCTCGATGGTTTGCTCCCTGAGCATGGGCGAGGTGACGTGAGGTGACGTGAGGCGATGCGATGGGCGGAGAATGAGATGTGAGCCCATCTCACAACGGCATCTCGATGTGCTTCAGAGCTCAGTCTCCGCCCATCGCCTCACCTACACGCCGCGCCGCTCTCCCTCCCTCACACGCACTCACTCCGTCGCTCACCCGCGCGCTCACTCACGAACGGCCACCCGTGCCTCAACACCCGGGCTAACTAACATCCCTTTCCCACCACTACAGACCTCCCCCCCGTCAAGCCCTCGGCCATCGCCCTCGGCACCGCCTTCAACCACGGCATCGAGCTCGCCGTCCTCTCCCCCATCTTCGGCCAGACCTACCAGCGCGCCAAGACGGCCAACACCAAGGAGGAGTTCCTGCGCTCCAAGGAGGCCAGCGGCGCCGCCGCCGCCTGGGGCACCTCGTTCGTCGGCGCCGCCCTCCAGAGCTACGGCGTCGGCGCCCTCATCAACGCCACCGGCACCCTGTCCTACAAGGGCGCCGCCTACCTCGGCGGCCTCATCTTTGCCGCCACCGCCGCCCCGACCGTACGTTTTGTCTAGCCCTCAACTTTGTTGCTCTCAAAGGATATTGCTTGACTGACATCGCACCTCGCGCGCAGTTCCTCGCCCAGATCTTCAGCGAAAAGAGGCCCCTCGACACCGTCGGCGTCAGCGTCGCCGCCAAGCTCTTCGAGACGGTCGGCCTGTCCATCTTCCTCACCTGGTGGGGAACTCGCACCAACCCCTTTGACTAAATGTCTTTGGTGATGCGTTAAGCCGCGCACCCGCCGGGTTGCTCTGCTCGTATGCGCGCAGCAGCCGCCGACAGGTCCGGCTCGCAGTGTAATTTAATGGGGCGCTCTTTTGTGTCTGGATAAGTAAAGGAATGGGCGGACGGGAGTCGGGTCTGTGCCATCGTTATAAATCAGATAATCGTTCACCACTGCTCGGCTTGTCCCGCGCGTGCCACGTTGTGCCCCGTGTGATGATGTATGCTTCAACTTGCGAGAGAAAATAATAAGTGTATGCCTTTTAATGCAAAGTAAACCTGAACGCCGCCCTGTCCGTCTGGTCCTGCGAGCCAGCCTCTGGTATTTATACAGCCAGATAGAAGCCACCCCACACCACGTCGTACAGCCGCAACCGCAGCCGGCTTCAGGCCGTACAACACTCCTGCCACCTCCTCGACTTGCTCCTCAACTCGCCGGCGCTCTCCCTCATGCCTTGGACTCGCCCTTGGCCCAGAAGGCCTGCTTCGTGTACTCCTTCTGCGCGTACTTGACGAGCGACGCGTACGCCTCGCCGAAGCCCTCGCCCTCGTCGTCGTCCTTTTCGTCCTTCTTGGCGGCCGCCTTCTTCTTGCCGTCGGCCTTCTCCATGATCATGACGACGCTCGTCGGGCGCTTCGTCTTGGCCGACGCGCCCAGCTCCGCGCGCGACGTCACGAAGATGAAGGGCACGTTGTGGTCCTCGCACAGCACGGGGATGTGCGAGATGACGTCCTGCGGCGAGATGTCGCCCGCGATGACCACCACGCCGGGGAAGCCCGTGTATCCCGGGGCCGAGGGCGACGACTTGCGCAGCGTCTTGACGACCTCCTTGACGCCGCGCTTGAGAGTGCCGTTCTTGGCCGCTGTAGGATCCGTGTCAGTAGACAATACGACCATTGATGCACACGTGCAGGGGGGGAACGGGGGAATTCCCAGTCTCGAAGGCAATCGCAACGCACCTTTCCGGATCGTCTTGTAGACCTTCTTCATGCCCTTCTCGTCCGCGACGGGCACCGCAAAGGGCACGACGGTCCGCTCCAGCGGCAGCTCCTCCTTGGCCTCCTCCATGTCCGAGTCCTCGTCAGCAGCGGCCTTGCCAGCACTCTGCGCGGCGGCATCCTTCTGCAGCTTCTCCTCGAGCGCGGCCGCCAGCTTGTCCTTCTTCTCCTTCTTCTCCTTCTTGTCTTTCTTGGACTTGCTCACGCCCGTCTCATCGCTGGCGCGCTTCTCCTTCTTCTCCTTCTTGTCCTTCTTGTCTGGTCTCTCGGCGGCCATGGCTTCGGTTATTGGGCGGCGGCGTGATATTCAGCCGACGTGGGGGAGAGAGAAAAGGGAAAATTTAAGCAAGGAATTGGAGCCCGTGGGATTTCTGCCGATATGTGCGGGATGTCCGTCTGCCAGTGCGCGGTGGCTGCTGGTCCAATGGGTCGGTGATGGTGGTTGCGAGCGGTCGGCGGGAAACTGGGTGTCGCTGTCGCTCACCTGAAATTTTTCTACAAAATCCAAACTTTTGCCTACTGTGAGGGGAGCTCTGCCAAATTTTCGGCGGCTCGTAGCGCCGGTTCCGCTGGTGGCCAGTCACGTGACCCAGGATGCTCTCAGCAGCGCTTGGCTTGATGACAGCCATCAGTCATTCATGGGCTTGGAACAGGCTCAACTTATAAGAGCGAATGCTGGATTCTCTTGGAATGGCTTGAATTTCTTCTGGTAGCCAATATTGTGGTGGACGATGCCATGCATGTTGATGCGACCTCACAACTACAAAGACCACTGGAAGGCGAGCCGGCTGAGCAGTGAGCACTCGCACAATTCATGCAGCCAACCATGCTTGACCAATCGGGCGTGAAACGCATCATCCTCGAGCGAACAGTCTTCTGACAAAGTGAATTGCGAATAGAGTAGTCAAACACGTCTATTCCTCTAGGCAGTGATGTACATGGTCCGTGAACCTCCTCCACCCGTCTGGCGATTTACTCCTCCACGTCGGCAAACTCGGCACGGCCAGCCTTGGACTGAAGGTAGTGGTTGCTGTACATTGCGTCAGAATAAGAGTCTGGTTCTCCCGGAACGTCGGCATGAAACGCTCCCAGGAACAACGTACCGCTCGGTGGCCCAGTTCATCAGGTAGTAGCCGGCAACCAGGGGAGGCAGCCAGTAAAAGATCTGGGCCTTGGTGCGGCGGAAGGTGTTGAAGATGGCATCGTGAACGGCGCCGGCAAAGGGGTTCTGGCGGTTGGCAGCGACGCCGTAGGTGACGACGCCCTTCTGCTTGGAGCCGCCTGCGTCGCGTTAGCCCTGTCCTTGGCACGTGTCCTAGATATTCGTCGCAAGACCACAGCGACCGCCGAGCTCAGCGTTCCGCATCGCATGGATGTATCCTCGCCCAATATGCCAGCCACAGTTCCAAACAGGCTTCGTTTGCCTTGCTTCGGTCACATGTGCGCGCAGGCGTGTAGTCGCGGATATCCCGATGCCGAATCGCCGAACCCGCATCGAATCGCAAGCAATCGACAAGCTTCACTCACCAAAGGAGCCCCAGCCGCCCAGGTAGCTGTATACACGTTAGCCCACGCCGTCAATCCGTCATCGTGGCCGGCGATGCGCCCCCGGGAGCTCGTCACTCGCGGCGGGAAAAGCCGCAGCCGGGAGCGCATCCGGCCGGCCGCCAATGGGTCACACGTACGTTCCAATTCGGTAGTCGGGGGCGCCGCTGGCGCGGAGAGGTTGCGTCGGACGCATCGTGGCTGTTTAGAAGGCGCGGGAGCTCGGTGTCGTCGAATTCCTCGGGGTGCCGGGTGGGAAGCAGAGGCAAAAGGTCGGGTGGACGAGGAAGTCGAGAAAACCGCCGACCCAGTCTTCGCAGCCGAGCTTTCCACAACGGGCTTAGCGCCGAATTCCCACCAGTCCCGAGAATCAGCCTTCGCCGGATCGCAGCCAAAGCTCACTTGGTGCAGCGACGAGTCGACGACCCTCCAAGCTGTGAGCGTCAGCAACCTCGTGCCTGCTCCCCCGTCAACCCACGCAGCTTCAACCACCACCGACCTTCTCCCCCTACGAACCGCCCTCGGCTCCAGCTGCAACCATGGCGAGCACGGCACGAGCCCTCAACTGGGTGTACCGCATGGCCGTACCCGCCTCGGCCGGCGCGTTCCTCGTCAGCCAGTCCCTCTTCGACGTCAAGGGCGGCACCAGAGCAGTCATCTTCGACCGGTTATCCGGTGTCAAGGAGGACGTCATCAACGAGGGCACGCACTTCCTGATCCCCTGGCTGCAGCGCAGCATCATCTTCGACGTGCGCACCAAGCCGCGCAACATCGCCACCACGACGGGCAGCAAGGATCTGCAGATGGTCAGCCTGACGCTGCGAGTCCTGCACCGGCCAAACGTCAAGGCTCTGCCCAAGATCTACCAGGTGAGCGCGGACGGCAGCGAACATGAAAAATATGTGAAAATATGAAGCTAACGGACGCAGAACCTCGGTGTCGACTACGATGAGCGAGTCCTGCCGTCCATCGGCAACGAAGTCCTCAAGGCCATCGTCGCGCAGTTTGACGCCGCCGAGCTCATCACCCAGCGAGAGACCGTCTCCCAGCGCATCCGAAGCGAGCTCACCCGCCGCGCCGCCGAGTTCAACATCGCTCTCGAGGACGTGTCCATCACGCACATGACCTTTGGCCGCGAGTTCACAAAGGCCGTCGAGCAGAAGCAGATTGCCCAGCAGGACGCTGAGCGGGCCCGCTTCATCGTCGAGCGCGCCGAGCAGGAGCGCCAGGCCAACGTCATCCGCGCCGAGGGTGAGGCCGAGAGCGCAGATGCCATCTCCAAGGCCATCGCCAAGGCTGGCGACGGCCTGATTCAGGTGCGAAAAATCGAGGCCAGCAGGGAGATTGCCGCCACGTTGTCGTCCAACCCCAACGTGGCATATCTGCCCAGCGGAGGGAAGAACGGCTCGGGAGGTCAGTACCTGTTGTCGGTGGGCAGGGCATGAGTGAGCAGCAGTGGATGAAGGGCAATCCCCGCTTTGTCGCAACGAGGTGTACATCACAGCGACCATGTAACTTTAGGTTTGGGAGTAATGGAACAGGACACGCCCAATTCTTGTCATCGCGTGCTTGTTGTAGACCTCTATAATCATTTCTGTGAGACTATGCAGGCCCGCTCCGTGGCCACGATTGCCCCCAGCCGAGTGTCCCTGCATCAAAGGCTGCCAGATCGCCTACTTCTCAAGAAACTCCTCCGTCAAGCCTCCATCCTTGCCGCTCGTTCCCGGTGCCACCATCTCGCCATCGACGAGCTTGTATCCCGCACGCCGCATATCCTGCCAGAGATTCATCACCTTCAGCCGCGCCAGGTCGCCGGCCGCCCGCGCGTCTTCCGCCGAGTCGTGTCCCAGAACCTTGGGTCCCGACTCCTGTTGGATCTTGCGGTTCAGATGATCTTGCATGAGCTTCTTGAGGCCGTACCGGTAGGGCAGTCCGGCCTTGTGCGGATATAGGAGCACCGTGTCAACGACGGTTTGGTGCACAACGCGAACGGCGTTGAGATCGTTCTCCAGGCCATGGCCAACGAGAGGGGTCGAGGGCGAAATCAGCGAGAAAAGAAGATCTCTCGCTACTTCAGGAGACGACACCTTTTTGAGCTTCTTCTTGGCCGGCTTGACCTCGCCTTCTTCGCTTCCTGTCTCTTCGCCGCTCTTAGATGGCGTCGTGTCAGTGGCGTCGGCCCACGACGGAGCTTGGGCCAGGTCGTCGGGCCAAACGCCAGAGTACCGAGAGTTCAGGTCCAGGATTTCTCCAAGAGGCTGAACTAGTACGTCCAAGAGCTCTTCACCCGTGGGCCATGCAGTAGCGGTGAGGCGTATCAGCTCCATGCCGTGGACCGTGTAGCCCATCTCGCAGTCAAAACAGACTGCCCTGTCGGTCGGGGCAAGATCGTTGGCGGGCGTTTCGGCAAAGTTAAGAACCGCAGCCAGCCTTCCTGCGTCCGTAGTCTTGTACACATGGTAGTCGTGGGTGGTGCAGCCCACCGAATCGCCGACCTCCTGGCCGCAGCACTGATACCTCTTGGCCACCCTGCTTCTGTCGCCAGGCGCTTTGGGTGGGACATATGTCTTGCCCCAGTGAAAGTTGCATGATCCTCCGGACGTGAGTGCTCCATCTTCTTCGCGTCGTCCGGGAAAGACCTGGAATCGTTGGCGGCAGCGATCGCATACTTCCCACCCCTTGGCTGCCTCGACCCCTTTCCGAGCTTCTTCGATAGCCTCCTCCTTTGGAACAGCTGGAACGTAGCCATGGTTGGATAGGTTCAGTATGGGTGTGATGATGCGTCGGAGAAGCTCAACCTCCTTGGCATGGGGCAAGCCTGTCTCGATCTTCTTGGGGGGGCCGTCCGATTGGCTTCCGCCGTCTGGCTTCTGCTGAGCGCCGCGCACCTCTTTCTCCCTTTCCAACTTCCACTGTGCAGCCCCCATGCGTTTGTACTGCATGACCTTGTTCTTCATCACATTGGGGTAGACGGCGGGCTTCTCCACGGCCGCCTTTTGCTCTTCGTCGAGGGCTCTGATGATGAGTTCCTGGTCAGAGAGGACAATACGGAGCTCTTCTTCACTGGCATCCTTCTTGATCTCTGTGTTCAGCCGCACAAGCTCGCCATGCATCAGACGCAGGAGTTTGAGGCGTGTCTCATGGCTGGCAGGCGAACTCTTCAGCAGGCGGGGGTTGAGGCTCTCTGCCTTTTTCTTCGGAGCAGGAGATGCAGATGCTGACGCTTTTGATCCGGTAACAGCTGCTGTGGCAACCTTCTTAGGCGGGACAAGGGACGCTCGGGGCGTGACCTCAGCAGTCGCTGTGCTTGATGAACGGGCTCGCGAGAGTGGCGGTGGTGACACGGGCCGGGTGGCAGTAAGAGGTTTCGCGGGCCCTTTCGTGGTCTCGTCCTTCATTCCCGCACCTTGCTGGGATGCGTCGCGTGCAGTATTTACGGCATCTCCTTGGTCGACCTTGAGACGCTTTCTCGGTCCATCTGATGCATCATGGTCAATGGCCCGAGCTAACTTTTGGCTGCTGCTACCCTGTGCTGTGGTTGAAGGCGCCTCTTGCACCTGATCACTCGCGTGGCCGAAGATGCACTGAAACGCAGTGCATTTGTCGCCGGCCGGACAGGGGATGTGCTTCAAGGCGATGCTCATCGTGGCCGTGGCTCACCAGGCTCACCGGTGAGCTTCGATAAGAGGCTTGGCGGCGTACTGTAGTACTAGCGACCATGACACGTGGTGCTCGTCATCATAGGCACTACCTCCGGTCTCTCTGGGAGCGGTTAGAACGTGGCATTCGGAGGACAAGGAGTAGGGTCGGGAAACGTGGCGAGAAGGGCGACACATGGCCACGAAATGCAGTGGCGCTTGGGGGCGGAGCATGTGTACCTAAAGCAGCGAGTTCCTGCCCGTCGAAGCCTTTCCGCCACACGCAGAGCCAGTTCCAGGCTCCCACAAGAAAATGACCGTCGGGTGGTGACGCACAAACCTCACAGCTTGGTTGGGAAGGTTGAGGTGATGTTGTGGTGAAACGCACGCGAGCTGCGGCGCCCCCACTGGAAGCTTGAATAGGTTGGCGGGCGCCCCGACGTTTAGGCGCTACAGCGGCCACCCCAGGCTACACCAACCGCTGAAACAGTGAAGCATCGCTGTACTGGTGGTATGGAATTCACAGATGTGCAACAACATGGGGCCCGGGCAACATGAAGAATTCTCGCCGCAGCAAACGAGCTTGCTTAAAATACAATATTCTTCCATCCCTTCAACGTGCCTACGACCATATCTTCCCGGTACAATGGGCTCATTCAGAGAACTTATCAAGTGACCTACCTACCCTGTTCTCTACTGCAAACCATCAAGTGTTATCCCACGGAATAGGGTATGATGCTACGAGTACGCGTGTTGCTGATTACGCAGCGTCCGTGTTCGTATGTAATACTGACCTCGTGCTATTTTCCGAGGATGAAGAAGTCGTTCACAAAACTTGCATTTCACAAGGCGATTGAGCAATCCTCGTCTTATCCAAAACTGCCAACGAATGTGCCATTCTGGTTACTGCATAAATACCCCCCTTCCCAGAAACAAACTGCCCATCGGCCACACATCTTGCACGGCCGAAGAGTCCCAGTAAGCTACCGATAGACAGAGTCGTCCCTCAGAAAGAGTGCCTAATCGAAGAGAAGAGTGCTATGCGTCTTGACAGGCGGGCGGCCGCGACGGCATGTAGCAAGGCAGCCTGCCTCCTGTCTGGTGTATTTGCCAATTGAAGACGACATCCACGCGCGAGGACTGAGGCCCCAGGCGGCCGAAGGAACTCTCATCGCTCGCGAAAAAGTCGACAAGTATCTAGTCCTCGTACTTGGAGAGCAGGCCCTTGATCTCAGCTTCGGTCGGGGCTGCCTTGCCTTCGGCCTTGTGCTGAGCTTCGAGCTCCTTGCGTGCGCAGCCGATTGGGCACCGGCAGTCGGAACGGGTACCATAGGCTTTGCAGCACGAAGCAAATCTGCTGAGGCGATCGCTGATTTCGCCGGCCGGACAGTCCGAACCGTTAGCTGAACCACCAGCCTCTTTGCAGCACGCGCTTGTGGCCTCTGAGTTGTTGCCGACGCTTGAAAGGCATTTACACGCCTCAGCCGAGGCGAGGAGGGCAGCGATGCTGATGATGGTAGTGGAGAACTTCATTGTCACAAAGGTATGAAGACGTGATTGGCAAGTTGGTTCAATGTGTGCAGCGTCGATGTAGATTTTGGTTCTTGAGTGATGACCTTGGAATCTCAGTCCTGGGGATGCCACGCTGCTTTATAGTTTTTCTCGACCTCAGAATCTCTCTTCAACAAACCTCATTCGAACTGCAAACCGCCCATCTACCACGGCCTCGCCATCCTGCCGCATGCACAAGGCTACTTTCAGAGCTCGAGCAGGCACTCTGCAGCCGTTCCGTTCCGATACAGCCTACACACGCGTGCCTCACTGTGTATAGCATCAATGAGCGGACCGTAGCTCTCGTGAAGACGAGAGATCGCGCGTTACACGGCAGACCGACATTTCGAATCGTCGTGGGAAACGATCCCGTCGATGGCCCGAACCGAGGTGAAAGAGATGGGATGCGTGGCTGGGTTGCAGAGAACCCGAAGGAGGGTGAATTGCAGTCGGATTACCGTGCGAATCAGACCAAACTACAGAAACAGAACTCTGAGAGATGCTTGGGCAACATCATGAGGTTGGCTGAACGCAGCCGTTCCAGCCAACCCCGTGAACGATCTTCGCTCTCCAGTCATGGAGATTACAACTCCTTTGAAACCTCCACGAGGCGGACAGACGTTGGAGCCGTAGCGCTTTTACAGGAGATATGTAGTCCATGACCTGTCTACGGGCAATGCCGTTCTCCAGTGTCAGTCAGGCTCATCACACGGCGTGATTCACAACGTTCGGCATTGGCAGGAGCGCGTCTGAGAGTTGACCCGGACGCTGCTGACTGTGATTCTACGACAATGGGACTGCTGTACGAAGTACAGGTGGCATTGACAACACAGTTCAATGCGCTACGGAGAAAGCGGAAGTCCCAGATGTGCCAGTGAAACCTCGATGTCAATGTCAAACCTGCATGAGATGAAGTCAGACCCGAGACATAGGCATTCGAACCAGCTCGAGGACGTCAGAGGCATCACGGGATGCGAGCAAAGCGAACGGCCCATGCATGCAGTGCAAGTCGCATGCATGAGTCTCAGCTCAACTCGATCCTGCAGTGCCAGGCGAGATGAAGGCTGCCAGGCTGCGGCAACGGTTGTGTGACGGCGGCCCGTCGGCACATGGTTCCGTGAGGATAAGCCTGCACCAACTAGCTCATACGGCAGTGAGGCTTGTGCAGAATCGGAATCTGTAGTTGCTGGAGGCTGACGCATGAGCGGCAGCGGGAGCCATGAAGTAAGAGGTGAGGCCCCAGGTCCATCATAGCGGAGGCCAGAGGGAGGGTCTCGGCACAGGGCGATAGGAGGCTGGGAGAGCGTGAAAGAGGATGGTGGCAGCCTTGATGTGTGTAAACTTTACCCTCTCAGCGCAAGCCATCGCATCATGGGCGAATCGGGTGGCTGGCTGACGTTGAATGAGACATCCGACGGCACATGCAAGTTCGTGAGAGAGATAGACGGCTAGGGAACGATAGCCAGGTACTGACATCTCGCACGATGAAAGCGATGATGAGATACGGTGCGAGTGGCGAGCGTGGGACAGGGCAATGGTCTGGCTCGACTCTGTCGCGGGAACTGTGAGGGCAGCGTCGCGCATTGCTTCATGTAAGTAAGGGGCCGGTTGGGCAACGACGACGGAACCGAGGAGCTCCTCAGCTGCAACGACCCAGAAACCGCCCTTCTTCAGGGGTCCGTCTGCGCATCGAGACATCGAGGCATGTGCGTGGCTGCCGCTGATGCCTGTCGACGTCGACAGCCACCGCGTGGACAGCGAGGCGGGCGGGGCCTGAGGGACGGGCTTAGCGCCCGGGATCCAGGCACAGTGGACCTACCTTAGTGAGTGTCCACCAGGGCGGCGTCCCAATGGAAGACGTTGGGCAGGCCTGAAGGGCTGGGCATGGCGTCCGTTGGGGTTTCCAACTGCCCCGAAACTCCGGCAGTGGACGCGACATCGCTGAAAGACTAAAAGACATCCTTGCCCGCCCTTGCGGGCCGCGACGCCCAGTGCCCCGACGTAGACGACGCATCGCACCGACAATTCCATTGTGCCTGCAACACTCTCGCGACCAACAGCCAGAATGTCCGGCGAAGCAGAGTCCGCCATGGACTACATGGGCGGCAGCTCCAAGGCCGACCATCTCTGCGTCCTCGTGCACGGGGTAAGCTGCCTCCACCCGTCCATGCGACGTCAGGTGCCCCCTCGTCACCTTGCATGATGCCGCCGCTTCCAGCTTGCCGCACGTCGCCGCTCACACGCCGTGCCACAGCTCTGGGGGAACCCGAACCACATGAGAAACATCGCCAAAAGCCTCCGTGCCGAGTATTCCCGCGACGAGCTGTACATGCTCCTCGCGAAGCGCAACAGCGGCAGCTTCACGTATGACGGCATCGAGCGCGGCGGCGAGCGCGTCTGCGCCGAGATCGAAGAGGAGCTGCGCGCCATCCAGGCCCGCGGAGGAAAGATCAGGAAGCTGAGCATCGTCGGCTACTCCCTCGGCGGTCTGGTATCCCGCTACGCCGTGGGCCTGCTCTACGCCAAGGGCATCCTCGATACGGTCGAGTGCATGGTATGCTTATCGCCACCGGGCAAGCATCCGACCTTCCGAGCCGCACACTGACAGACTCGCCAGAACTTCACCACCTTTGCCTCGCCGCATCTCGGTGTCCGCACGCCGCTCAAGGGATGGCACAACAGCGTGTGGAACGTCGTCGGCGCGCGGAGCCTGTCCATGTCCGGGAGGCAGCTCTTCACCATTGACAGCTTCCGCGACACGGGACGGCCGCTGCTGTCCGTCCTTGCCGACCCCTCGTCCATCTTCATGCGGGGGATGCGCAAGTTTAAGAGACATACATTGTATACGAACATCGTCAACGACCGGAGTGCCGTGTATTACACGACGGGCATTTTCAAGACGGACCCCTATCGTCGGAACATGGACAACATCAAGGTCAACTACCTCAAGGGCTGCGAGGGCGTCATCCTGGATCCCGCGACGCCAATCGCACCGCGGCCAAAGGTCTCACAGCCAGCCACGATATCATCTGTAACCGCCACCGCCGTTCGCTGGATCAAGCGTATACCGTTCATGATTCTCGTCGCGGTCTTCGTGCCGATCGGCACCATTGCCTTTCTGTGCAACTCGGTGATCCAGACCGTGCGCAGCTCCGGGCGGATCAAGCAGCACGAGACAGGCAAGACGAGCCTCAACATTGAGGAGTACCGCGTGCCGGTGCTGATCAAGGAGCTACGCGGAGAGGTCGAGAATGCGTACGAAGCGCTGAACAGCTCCCAGAACCAGGAGTACCTGGCGACGGAGGACGAGGACGACGACTACGACATGGGCCCCGAGGAGAGGAGCTTGCTGAGCCGAGAGCGGAGGCTCTCGGTGCCGACGCAGCCCACTCTAGCACTGACGGCGTACCAGTTTGAGATGATCCGGTCCCTCGACTCACTCAATTGGCGCAAGTACCCCGTCTGGATCCATAACGACCGCCATGCGCACGCGGCAATTATCGTGCGCATGGAGAAGAAGACGTTTGACGAGGGCTGGGTGGTGCTCAAGCACTTTGCCTACGACGAGTTTCTGATATGAGCTGCACGAGACATGTGCGATGAGACGTGTGAGTGTGTGTGGCGGTTAATTGAATAATGGGCTGCTTGGATGGAGGCCGGTGTATGATGGTGTATCGAGAGCGAGCGTATAGACTGGCGTTGGGGGAAAATTCATGACGAGATTTCAGACTCATACGACACTTATCTCCAGACCTCCAAATTGTTGAACCCCTTTGCTCCGGTCTCCCCTGACGTGAAGCTTGGCTCAGGGCTCAGATGGCCTGCGACAAGTCTCAGCGTCATGCGTTACCGGCTTGGCTGGCACGTATTGGCAGTCGGTCACGTGGCGCTGCCGTCCCCGGATTGGCGCACTGGCGCGTTTCCCCGCACCGGGGGCCAATCACGGCGGCGGCAGCTCCAGCAGGTCAGCCAGGAGAAAAAAATGCAGGGCCGAGCCGTGGTGCCATTGGCATCGCGATCATCCGACCGCTGCAGCAGAGGTCGGAGCGTCTTCTCCATCCCTCTTCGCCTCCCTCCGTCCGCGCCTCGCCCATCTTCCCTCGCCATCTCTCCTCCCGTCCTGCACCACGTCGACTCGGGCGCGAGAACCTTTGCAGCGATTCTTCTCGAGGGCAGGCCGACATTCGACACCCAGGTGCTCGGCTGCAGCACCCGCAGGCACGCGATCCATGTGTAGAGCCGAAGTCTCCGAGCGAGCTCTGCAAAGCACAGACGACAACCATCAGCACCACCACCAACAACACCCCCGTCAAGCTCTCGAATCGTGACGATGGTGCTCACGCACACGACGGGACACACCTACTCCCACCCGTTTCCCACCGTCACCCTCGCCTACTTCCTCCGCTACTCCTCGCCCAAGCTGAACCCCTTCGCCACCCACGTCCTCAGCACCGACACCATCTCCAGCCATGTCGACCCCGTCACGCAGCGGCTTCACACGACCCGCATCCATCTCAAGAAGAGCCGCATGCCCAAGGCCATCTACAAGCTGCTGCCGGGCAGCGTGACGGGCGGGTCCGCTGGCGAGAAGGCCTCGTACATTCTCGAGACGAGCGTCGTCGACATCAAGGAAGGGTGGATGAAGACGGAGAGCCGCAACCTCAACTTCACCGGCGTGCTGTCGGTGATTGAGCAGCAGCAGTTTAGCCTCCCGTCCGAGGCGGACCGCGGCCTCGCGGCCTCGCGGAACGAGACGGACGTCCTGACATCGGTCGTCTTCAAGTCGAGGCTCGGCGAGAAGCTGCGCGGCAAGCTCGACCAGGCTCAGGAGCAAGGCTGGCTGTCGGGCTTCATCGGCGGATGGGGCACAAAGGGCATCCAGCGCAGCATCGAGAGCCTCGCCTCCACCAAGACACTCGACCAGCTGGGCAAGAGCCGAGACGGCATGCGCCTGGTGCTGGAGCGCATCCGCAACAACGGCGTCATTGGCGTGCTCGAGACGCTTCGCAACGAGCGCCAGAGGCAGCTGGCCTGAAGCCCAGCCTCTTCCCTACTGTACATCCACCGGCAATGGCTGACGACTGTCGCCATTTGCCAAGTTTACGACTGACGGATCGTGTATCCCTACTGTATACTAGCTTTGTGTTTTTTTCCCTCTCGCTTTAGCAAGGCGTCTATGTCTTTTGGGAGTCTGGGGTGGCCATGGAGGGAGACGGGTCGAGGCTGACCGAGAGGGACACGAGACGTGGTGAGCGGAGGTTCGTGCGTTGTCACGCCACCGATAGGGTGACATCCCCTCTCTTGTATGAAAGGAGCAGCGCTGTAGGTACAAAATAGCAGGCTGCGGATATGACTGATACAGATCGTCATGACCTTGTGCCCTGTGATTCTCATGCGTGCGTGCTGATGTGTCCGGGCCTGCAGCGCGACGTGAGGAGGCACCCGCTGGTTGTCGTCGGCTCGTCGCACCCGTAGACCGGTCAAGGCGGTCGTGCAACTCCCGTCTGAGCTGGCCGGCCACAGAACTCGCCAACACAGCCAGTGAAGCCGCAGGGAATCGGAATGAGTGCCACCCTGCCTGCACGCACGCACACCCACTCCAAGTAATTGGCAATCTCGTTGCGCCAACTGCTCGCGCCCAGAGACGACGGGACCCTGGCAGTGTTCGGCCGAAGGGGACGCGATATCACGTGTGGGGGCTTCACGGCCGATCGCGGCACGCTTCGCAATTGAGGAAGCAGACATTCAGCGCAAAGCAGGAGGTCTCGATGCCGTGGTGGAGTGGCGGATAAATGGCACCCAATATCCACTGTTGCTCAGGGCCCCCTTGTGCGACCACCTGTGTCAGTGTCGAGGAGGGATCGGGAACCGCCACGCCCGCCTCGGAGCCGGCGTGCAGTGCCCGACAGCGGGGGCCCAGGCGACGATGGGCCCTGTCCTGTCACCCGGGCTGGGCTTCCAGGGTCCAGTCGGGGTGGACCGCCCGCGAGGGGCCAGCCCACTGGAGGCTTTCGCAGCTCTCGACCCCGACGCGACCGGGCGGGCATTTTATAATCGCCTGTGCGGCACGGTGGGAGGACCCGACGCTCGCGCCGCGCAACTTTTCGACTTTCGACGACGACGACGACCGCGAACTCGCCTACATTGCAGGACCATCCACACACCCTCGTTTTTGTCTGCCCGCGCCTCGCCTTGACCACGCGACCGAGTCCGCCAGCCCTGCCCCTGCCGTCCCCGTTTCTGTTCAGTCCGTCCGTCGTTCGGTCAGCCAGCCAACCAGCCAGCCAGTCAGTTCCGTCGCGCGCGCGCACACGCGCCGCCCCGTAGTCACGACGATGCCCGAGCCCGTCTCCGTTTTGTTCGTCTGCCTCGGCAACATCTGCCGGTCGACCATGGCCGAGGGCATTTTCCAGCACCTCGCCCAGCAGCCGCCGTACAAGGGCAAGATTGGGCGCATCGACTCGTGCGGCACCGGTGCGTGGATGAATAGCCTACCTCTCTCCCCCTGGCCCCCCAGGCGCGCGATGGCCTTTTTAGGAGCGCGATAATGCCTGGCTTGGGGCGTGACACGTTGAGTATATGTGCTGACTGCGGTTCGGTTCGCCCACAGCTGCGTACCATACCGGCGAAGAGCCCGATTCGCGGACCCTGTCGACGCTCGAGGACAATGGCATCGTCGACTACGAGCACTACGCGCGGAGGGTACGTTGATTACCACCACTTAATCCCTCTCATACCTACCGAGACTGACGCGGACGCGACGCAGTTCCTGACGACCGACTTCGAAAAGTTCGACTACGTCTTCGCCATGGACCGGTCGAACCTGTCGGACCTGCAGCGGCTGCAGCGCGGCAACCCGGACGCCAAGGCCAAGGTAATGCTGTTTGGCGAGTTTAGCGGCAAGGGCAAGGCCGAGGTGGTCAACGACCCGTACTACGGCGGGCGCGACGGGTTCGAGAAGGCGTTTGAGCAGTGCTCGCGGTTTGCCAAGAACTTTCTCAACGAGGTCGTGGGCAAGTAATAGAGCGGCAGAGCAGCACCTAGAGACAGCAGCACGGAGCGGGAGCGGTCGCTGGACGCGTGACTGGCGCGCACGGGAGGGGGAGACGGACGGAGGGTTGGGGAAGAGGATACGTGATACCCAGGTGATAGACAGTCGGTTTCCTTGGTGGATTTTCCTTTTATTCGATAGACGAAGCCATATATCCTTGTAATAGACTTGTCGTTTGACGACTCAATCGTTGTTTCTTTGCGTGAGTTGGGGTTGATGGCCTTGATGCCAGATGAATGAGAGGACGCAAGTCACCTTGCAGCAGGCTGTGGCTGGCGCTCACCACGTGTGAGGACAGAGACAGCTTTCAGTGGCATGGCTGCTGGATCGCAGAGAGTCCTGCGGCGGCTTAAGGCACGAGGCGAGACAAGCAGGGCGCATTATTGCCGTCTCACCCAGCAGCGACGGATGATCTTGGTGAGCAGCCGGACGGGACCTCCGTCCCAAACTTCCGAGACGGCTCAGCCCTACGGACCCAATCCCTTCCGTGTGGCTGCGCGTTTGACATGGTGTGAGCGGGACCATGACCGCCACCACCACGAACCACCACCCACGGTTTTGCGACCAGATGAAAACGATGGCTGAGGTCAGACGAAAGGCGAGCAGCCAACGGGATGCCAGAAGAGCGTTGTTGATCTGACAAGCGCTGCTGAAGGGGCGCCGTGGATGCGACGCTGGCTAACGACTTGCCACCTCAATCTCACGCAGCCAGAGTAGGCTTCGTTCATGCTGACGGGCCAAGTATCGGCCTCCCGAGACCATTAAGCTTCTGGTTGCTTCCATAGATAGGAAACTCGGTTGCCGATGGCATTGGTCAACGCGAGCGCAACAGCGGCGAGAGAAGATTTTGGTCCAAGTCGATCGCAAACAGGTACCTTGCGAGGGTACGTGGTTCCCCCCGTGGTACGACGTAATGGGACGCCAAATCAGCACCCGAGACGGGCGACGTCACGAACGAGCTGCGCGCTTAAAGGCCGACAGAGCCGCGTGCCATTGGCCCACTGGCGGCCGCAAGCTGGAGACGGACAGGGCACAAGGGGCCAGGGCCAGGGGACCCCGTCCGTTGTGGTTTGGGGGGGATCTCGGGGCGCTGGCTTCAGGGGGGAGGAGGGGGCGGGCATGGATGGTGGTGGATGAGGTGCTTGCTGCGGGGCACCACTGGAAACGCCAGGGTGGCCACCTAGGTAGCTTCCAGGGCTCACGAGTCGCCAGTGGGAACCTAGCCCGAGCCCAGCCCGGCGTCCGTCAAGTGAGGTGGCAGCTCCAGCCGCCGCCACGGATTGACTGACGGGAAAAGCTGTCCGGGCGCTGGACGCCGGTGGAGGCATGGAGCGCGACTGGGACACCACTTGGTGCTTCGCTCGCTTGCTCTGGTGCTGGCGGGCGCGAGCCAGCGAGGTTACCTGAAGGGCATCCATGGCTGGGAGCTGATGAGGCGGGAGGCCGAGAGCTCATCATCCCCGCCGCAGCACCCCCTCCCCCTCCCATCCCACCTGGACCTCTGTGGCCCGCTCCCATCCAGCTCGCGTTTCCTTTTCGCGCGCCCGGGACATTTTACATACATAACCAGAACAAGTAGCCGCCCGAGCTCGCTGTCGAGTCTGCCGTCTGTCCTCCTTCGCCTCGACTTTCTGGTTCCGCGACGGGTTTGCTTGCTCGTGTCGCCGTCCGTTCCCCTCGCAAACGAGTCGGTTCCCATCGCGCTACGCTGTCCTCCTGCTGGTGCGCGCGCTGCTACCGTCCATCGTCGTCGTCGCCCTTGTCGTCGCCGCGGCTAGATAGCCCCTTCCCTCCCCACGACCCAACGCCTCGCGCCAACGGCATCCGCCGCCCATCATGGCCGACCTGCAGGGACGCAAGGTCTTCAAGGTCTTCAACCAGGACTTTATTGTCGACGAGCGCTACACGGTCACCAAGGAGCTTGGTCAAGGCGCTTACGGTATCGTCTGGTGAGTGCATCCCCCGGTGTCCCCCCTCCTCCGTTACCCCGCCATGGAGCTGACGATGCATTTTGTCTTTCTCGCGCAGTGCCGCCGTGAACAACCAGAGCAACGAGGGCGTCGCCATCAAGAAGGTCACCAATGTTTTTAGCAAGAAGATCCTCGCGAAGCGCGCCCTTCGCGAGATCAAGCTTCTGCAGCACTTTCGAGGGCACCGCAACGTGAGTCCCGCGCCTGGGGTACAAGATAAGCGGCGGCGAGGCGAGCGGCTGACGGGTGGCAGATTACGTGCTTGTACGACATGGACATTCCCCGACCGGACAACTTCAACGAGACATATCTCTACGAGGGTGAGTTGAAGATGGCGGCTGCGCGAGCGGGTAGCTCATTGCTGACTGGCGGGAAACAGAGCTGATGGAGTGCGACCTCGCCGCCATTATCCGCTCCGGCCAGCCCCTGACCGACGCCCACTTCCAGTCCTTCATCTACCAGATCCTCTGCGGTCTCAAGTACATCCACTCCGCCAACGTCCTGCACCGCGATCTCAAGCCCGGCAACCTGCTGGTCAACGCCGACTGTGAGCTCAAGATCTGCGACTTTGGCCTCGCGCGCGGCTTCTCGGTCGACCCCGAGGAGAATGCCGGGTACATGACCGAGTACGTCGCGACGCGATGGTATCGCGCGCCCGAGATCATGCTCAGCTTCCAGAGCTACACCAAAGCCAGTACGTGAAACCCGAGCCTCGCCGACGTGCGCCGCGCGGGTTCTGATACGGAGTTGCTGACCGTTGGCAGTTGACGTCTGGTCGGTGGGCTGCATTCTCGCCGAGCTTCTGGGCGGGCGGCCGTTCTTCAAGGGCCGCGACTACGTGGACCAGCTTAACCAGATCCTGCACATTCTCGGCACCCCCAACGAGGAGACGCTGTCGCGCATAGGGTCGCCCCGCGCCCAGGAATACGTCCGAAACCTGCCCTTCATGCCCAAGAAGGCCTTCCCCAGCCTCTTCCCGCAAGCCAACCCCGACGCCCTCGACCTCCTCGACAAGATGCTCGCGTTCGACCCGTCGTCGCGCATCAGCGTCGAGCAGGCGCTCGAGCACCCGTACCTCCACATCTGGCACGACGCCTCGGACGAGCCCGACTGCCCGACGACGTTCAACTTCGACTTTGAGGTCATCGACGACGTGGGCGAGATGCGCCGCGTGATCCTCGAGGAGGTGATGCGCTTCCGCCAGACGGTGAGGACGTTGCCGGGTGCTGCCGGCGCCTTGCCCGGCCTGGGCCAGCAGACGGGCGCGGGACAGGTGCCTCTGCCGCAGCAGGGCGGCCAGTGGACGGCCGAGGACCCGCGGCCGCAAGAGTACATACCCCATGGCGGCAACGGGCTCGAGCAGGACCTCCAGGCCGGGCTGGACTCCCGGAGGTAAGGGGGAATGGTAGTTGGGGCTTTGGAAAACAGCGGCTTGAGGATTAGCGCACAACAAGGAGAGCAGAAATTCTTGCCTACAAGCGACGATTACTTGCGGTGGGAACAAGCAAAAGGGTGAATTGACATGGTGAATGCTTGTCGTGAGGTGACGCGGCGGTTTGAGTGAGAGAGCGCGGTTGTGTGATGCCCCCAAAAATTCCGGTTGATAGCACCTGGCGGGGAGCTATGGCGAGCCGGCGGCTACCGCAAGAACCTCGCAGCGATGTCCTTTTCTTCCCCTCTTCATCTTCGCGATTTACAAGTGTACACATTTGTTACTGGAGACCAGGTCATCCTCCATGTCTGCGATCAAAGCCCGCGGCAGGACTGCACTGCTGCGGTTCCTATCTCTTTCGTCCTGCGCCCATCCAGTAGATGGCCACCTACGCATTTTCCCTGGTACACCACGGAGTTTTTCCATGCGTACGTGCGATTTGCGCCCCGGCTGCTGCAAGTCTGGCCTCCCCGTGTGGCGTGGCACACCGCACGTTTGTCCATCACCGTGACGATGACGAAGCGGCAGCGGCGGCAGCTACAACAACAACCGGTGAGCGAGCGAGCATGCTCGGTAATAACTGTGACTTATTGGGCCACGAATTAAAAAAGTAGTCAGTCCGAGAACAATGGCACAACAACGGCGAGTACAGTACGTAGCAGGCCAGAGAGAGTGTGTGTGAGGAGAGGAGAGGAGACGGGGAGAGGCCGCAGGAAAGGCGGCCCGGGCCTCATTTCCGTAACCCCTTTACATACTACTTTGGGCCGCTGTGCTGTGAATTGTAATGACGGACTTACGTACTTTGTGCTACGTACGGGGTAATAAGTTACGTACATACAGCTTCTACCCCTATCGAAGAGTGCTCGCGCTTTGTACGACGGGGTGGCGTGCGCGCGCCTACTCTTGGAGTCCTGGAGTCCTGTTTGCGCCGCCCGGTCAGTGGCTCGACGTGGCCGCCTGTTACGTATGTACGTACGTACGTACTAACTTGGTACCAGTTGCCTTACCTACTAATAGGTACTGTGCAGTACTTAGTGGGCAGAAGTACGAAACTGGGAGGGGAGCTCGGCGGAATAATAGTGCCTAGTAGTTACCACGAGTGCGGCCGAAGCGGCATCGGCGGGCGCGTAGATGCGCTTGGCGCGATTCCTTCTTGCCGCCCGCTCTCCCCGTGCCCACGGGTGCTTGGAGCTTGTCAGTCACACGCTCATGTGCGCGTACCCCGTGCCTACTGGCAGACAATCACGGGGGGTCAAGTAACTCGTCGCCATGAGCGTGACGACCTAAGCCTGGTGGTGTGGCTGTCGTGTGCATGTACTCCGTACTACGTACGTTACTCATTGCGACTGTGCGTGTGGCAGGTGAGTCGTGACATGACGCACGACACAGGCGGTAGCTCATCTCTGACTTCACAGAACAAGGGGTGGACCAGGCAATGTTATGGAGGCGACTGACATCTGATCCCTTTTTATTTATAAGCGTTGTAGTACAAAAGCAAGCAGCAGGGGCTCATGGCGCCTACGAATACTTTGTAGGCGCGAGCCGTCTATTCGCTCCCGCATCCCAGCTGGGCCAGCTCCTTTCCTTGATCCACCACATGCTCTGGAGTCTGGTAGTTCTCTAAGTATACGGTACTCTCTGGCCCAGATGAGCCGCGAGAGCGAAGAAACGAAAGGGCCACTTATGACATGCCCTTCCGGGTGTTAATCGAAGACGCCTCCCATAACGCCAAAACCCAGAGTCGTTAATTTGCCGAGCCGCCCGATGCAGCGGTCGGCCAGCCGTGGGCAAAATTTACCCGTAGAACCAGTATGTAGCCGTGTAGCTCGTGCTGTCCGTCCCGACCTGGTTGCAGCCATGGGAGACGCCTCCGGCCGTGAGCACGCGGTAGACGTACTTCGAGCCAAAGGCCCCGGGCTTCTCGCCTAGGTACAGCCAGCCGACGGCGCCGGTGCCCTCTGGGCCCTTGTCGGCTCCCGCCGGCGCGTCGACGCTCGCGAGCTTGCTGCAGGGCAGGTGAATCTTGCCGCCGTCGAGATCGAACGTGGGCACGCCGGCGGCGTCGAAGTAGTGGTGGCCCAGGAAGGGCAGGGTTAGCTGGCCCTGGAGATGCAGCGGCGCGTCCCGCGTGAAGGGGTTCGTCCGCGACGCCCCCGGCTCGTGCCGGTTCATGTTGAGGGGAACCTTGTGCGTCCAGAGCGCCTTGGACGTGAGGTTGTTGAAATCTTGCGCAGAGAGCGAGTCCGGCCCCTGCTTGGGGTACAGGTGCGTGATGTCGTAGAGCATGGCCAGGGCACCCGCCGCGGTGGCAGCGACGCCCGGCTTAGTGCATGTGTAGTTTTGAATGCCAAATCCGAGGGCAATGTGCTTGAGCGCGAGGCCGGAGTCGGGATCGGGAAGCTCCTTGCCTTCAAAGCAGGGTCAGTTCTTTGCTGCTCCTCGCAAGGGAAACCATAGAATCGACGTACTACCACCCGTCTTTGGCAACGCGGGAGCTTGAACAGTATCGACTTCGCAGCCGGGCCCCTGGTCGGCCACAGGGGCAGCCGCCGCGAGAGCCGAGGTGACTAACACGAGAATCGCGGTGGGCAACATCTTGAACTCGAATCCGCGACGTAGATCTTCTACTGGGAACGGCAATTGGAAAGAACAAAGAACAGTTCGTCTTCCAACTTATATGCAACGAATCTTTGCTTGTCCGGCTAGGTTCGTCCGACGACACCACGCGGCAGCGACAAGAATAGAATGGGAATGGCAGGAATAGTAAATGTGGACTAGTTGGAATTGGTGGTGTACCCGCCTCGGCGCTTAGCTATCCGGCCGGCGCGCCTTGCAGGATGGGGAGAAAGAGAACTGGGGCAGGCTGACAGATCTGGCGGGGTTGACCTTGCGCGAACAGAAACTAGTCAGTTAGACCGTGAGATGGGAGAACGGAAGACACAAGACCCGGACTATATTTATAAGAAGAGAATTGGGCTCGCGGCGTGTGGTGTTGTTGGAGAGACTCGGGGACGACGCGCCTCAGCACGGGCCTGGCCACGGAGACAGCCTTGCGAAGAAATTGGGGAGAGAGAGGGTCTCAGCACCCTGTCTGGGTTGTATAACCAAAGCTGCAAGCCATGACCGGGGCCTTGTTCGCGGGTTGTGCTACAAGGCCATGTGGGTGGGTGGCCGAGATGCTGGACGTGCCGGCGGCCGGAGACATCAGGTGTGGACGGTGACTTTTCTCAAGCGCATTCTGGACCAGTCCGCAAGAGGAATCTCAGAGTGTGGCCAGATGACCGAGAGTTGCTCATCAGAAGTGTTGGCCGACAACTCACTGAAATTGAAGCCCGTCCGGGACACAGTAACCGCGGTCAAGAGCCCAATTCTCGACAGCCAACCTGTCCAGCCGGATGACTTGGCCCCAAGCCTCGGACTACTCGACTGGGCACTTTCCATCTTGGTAGTCCGCAGATGCCGAGTCTGTTCCATCTGGTGTGTGCGTTTGCTGTATTTGCTGTTGGACCATGGCCCACAAGCAGAGCGTTCTCCGGTGGTTGGCAGTTGCGCGGGGCTAGAGTCATGAAGCGGCCGCTAACCACGTCCAAGAGGACGGGGACAACGACACCGGTCTCCCAAAGGGACCGAGCACGGCCCTGCAGGGATAGCGTATCCGATCCTGCAAGCAAGCAACGCTAGGCGAAGGACGAGGAGCATGACGGACATCGGCCATTCCTGCCCGTGCTCCGGTGAGCGAGCAAAGCGGTCGGGACCCAGCAAACGTCAACGCCACGCCAAGGACCGATGTCCACGGGCTGTTTCGACTATCTGCAGCTCCCGACACTAAATAAGAGGCACGACAACCCCCTGCCGCTGGCGGGCAAAGGATCAGGCGGGGTTCAGGGTCGGACGCGCTTAAGCCGGGCAGGGTCGATGCCTGTTGGCCAGATGAGCAACCTGTTCCTGCTCCGTGTAGCCACAACTGGCTCGGTGGTGGGAGAGCCCGCGAGCTGAATGGCCAACTTAGCGGAGCATCGTGCGAAGAGAACGCGGGCGGGCGTAGCTCGGCTAGCGTTGGAATCTCGAAAGTCGAAAGACGCCACGAGGAACGCCGTTGTTTTGGGCCGCTGCTGCTGCTGCAACGGCGTTTCCCTCCGAGGAGATCGGTGTTTGCGCCAGCGGGCGCACCCGTTGGCGATCTCGGCCTTGGAGCCGACAGGCGGGCGGGTCAGCTGTTTAGTCGCGACTCGTGAGTCCTCCCGAGCACGGCATGAAACGGAATTCGGTATGAAGTAGAATAGAGCCGTAGGGGGAAGAGATGCACAGCACGGACGCTCCTGAGACGGGCAATTCGTCTGAAAGGATGCCGTTGGGCCGGCGGCTCGGTTCGCATTCCCCAGGTTATTCCCACGGTGCTGGCTCCGAGGCCGTGGTCTCGTGAATGATCAAACTGACGGGGCGACGGAGTGTGGCTCCGTCTTACATGGTGGGAGGCGGAGCGCAGAGGGCGGGGTTCGTCGAGATCGATTCTGGGGAGGACGGCGGCCAGGCCAAGCCCAGCCATCGCGCAGCGCGCGCCGGATGCTCACTGTTCCAAGGTGGCGCAGCGTCTGGTGAGCTCAAAATTGCAGCAGCTGCTGCTGTTGGGCGGCGGTTGCAAGACTTACGAGGAGGCGGCGCGGCGCACAGTAATCGTCGTGCATTGCCGCTGGTGTTGGTCCGCAGCAGACGCAGTTGGTTGCGATCACGGGTCTTTTACGCGGCAGGCCAGGCTGATTGCAGCTTCCTTCATTTTCTGTCCAAACGCGGGGGTCTCTTCTCGCGGCAGGCCACGTTGAATGCACCTTCCCATTGTTCGACGGGGCTATGTTGTACCGAACGAGAGGACAGCACCCGATGAGTCGGTCAGCCGCAAGCCCCCACGCTCGAGCCTTCTTCCTAGAATGTTGAATTTACCCAAAGTTGGGGGAGACAATCATTCACTTTGCCAGGGGAAAGTCCCTTATTCAGCGCCGGCTAGGGGTCGAGCTTCCGGAACGCTGGAAATGGGCCAAAGCACTACGGTGGGCGCTGGATTATTGGGCGCTGAATCCTCTGTCAATGCTCAGAACCACATGGTCCGGGAATCATCCGATGGTGCCCTTCTCGTTGCCATGATGAGGAAGGGACTAGAATCGGCTCCATGAGTCCATAGCAGAGTAGGACATACGCTCCCAGTGCTCCGAGGAAGCGGTTGCTGCCCGGGCCAACGATGATGCCTCAAACGGTGCTAGGTAACCAGGGCCACCAACATAGCCTACTACTGTCATGTTCGCTTGACTCAGGACGAATGTGATTACAAACAATTCGGCGTACAGTACTTACGACTTACAGAGCCGTGTTCAGCAAGGTACTCTAGCGAATGCCGGGCCGAGTCGGGCCGTGATTCGAGTCGGACTGGGAGGGGGAACGGGCGTGCCCAAGTCAAGCAATGTATTGTGTAGGCAGGTGTCGGCTTCCTCCTGGTGTATGCGGGCCCCCAATCACACCTTTATCTCCTTGCCCAGTCGTTGAACATGGGAATTGCCATATCGCTGATACCTTTAGTTTCGTATGCTTCGTGCCGAAAGACTTATACGGCAGAGTCGGCTAAGCAGCTACAAGGTCCCCTGGCTGAACCTCGAAGCAACCTATATGGGGCCGTGGGGGCGTGGTGTCTAGGCATACCGCATGCCATCTGCCAGGCCCATCATCGGTCGACAGCAGGTCCAATGTTTTGATTGCGTTCATCTCCTTCTCCGTGCGCTCTTTCGAGCGGCCCGTGGCCCGATGCCGCCGCCGCCCTGACTCTGCACTGGCTTCCGGGCTGACGGCACCGGGAAGTGCCTTGCCGCATGTCGCAGGTGACGCCGCCGGCCGGGTTTCATGTTTCGTGCCTGGCAGTTGTGGCTGCGCTGCAGGTTTGGCAGCCTGGGCTTTAATTTACATGCAACTCGCGCTTCATCGTGGCGGCACTAGTTTGCATGTCTTGAAACGTGAAACGATAAAACGACTGTACTAGATAACATGAAGTATCCATGGATGCTGGCAATCACCGTGTGAAGGATTGAATGAGGAAGGCCACAACACCCAACTGCTGTCAAAGCTCAAGGTCAGACCCGCGGCATGCACAGTTTACCAAGCCCCGATCCATACTGCATACGCAGGAATTGCGCATCTACCTGCCGACTTGGCGCATCAAGCTCATTTATCTCGGGGTGGTGATGTGAGAGGCCAAGTCCCTCTGACGGGGCGACAAGACCAGGCGGTCGGTGCCAGCGACCAACTGCCTTGTGCCCCACCAAAATCCTCCAGAAACCCCCTGGCGACAACGACATACCATCGTCAACACCAGCCCTCACTCCAGCGCAACAGCCCCGGGTGCAGCCCGCCGACAGCCAACATGTCGCGTCGCCCGGCCAAGGGAGACTACATTGAAACCGTACGTGCTCCAAACGCGCCGCAATGGCAGACTCGCATTCCCAACCACCGCTCTGACCGCTTCCCTTGCAGGACACGGGCAACAAGGTCGCCCGCAAGGCCATCCTCGTCGGCACGCAAAACATCATGCTCGGCGGCAAGACGGTCATCCAGCCCGAGGTCATGATCCGCGGCGACCTCGTCCGCACCGCCGCCCCGTCGTCATCCTCGTCCTCGTCGGGCGGTGCTGCGCCCGCCGCGCCCGCGACCAGCACTGCCGTCGCCATCGGCCGATACTGCTTCCTCGCGCGCGGCGTGCTCCTGCGCCCCCCCGGCCGGCTATACAAGGGTGCGTTCACATATATGCCTCTGCGACTCGGAGACCACGTCTTCGTCGGGCAGGGGACCGTCGTGCAGGCCGCGACGGTCGGGAGCCACGTCTACATCGGCAAGGGCTGCACCATCAACGAGTTCGCCATCATCAAGGACTACGTCAAGATACTGGACGGTACCGTGGTGCCCGCTTTTATGGTCATACCGAGCTTTTCCATTGTTGCGGGCCAGCCTGCCAAGGTTGTCGGAGAGATCCCCGAGGGAGGCCACGACGAGTTTGAGCTCCGCGAGCTCTACAAGACGGTCGGCAACAACCCGCAGCCGCCGGCGTCATGAGGCCAGACCATCAGCAATTTCGAGCATATAGCACGACAGAGATACCCCCGGTGGCGTCAGTTGTGTAATTGGCTTTGCAGCAAGCTGCCCACCGCGACGATAACCAAATGACACGAATCCGATATGCCCAGATCCAACACGAGCTCGTGCTGGCGCCCCAACGCATCCAGGGCCGACCTTGGTATGGCTTTTGCGGAGGCCGAGCCAACCGCTCCATGTACCTAGGAAGTCCAAATGGAGCGTCTTAAGAGCCGCACAGCTGTCAGACTCGCAGGATGTCCAAATGCGGTCCGGTGGGAGTCTCAAGAACGGTCCATGCGGGCCATACCTCCCAGAGGCGAACGAGATGGCGGCAAACCACTAGACTGCTAGACGTCTTTAAAGCTATGGATAGTCTGGGTCAGCACATGGAGCTCCCTTTCACGCTATCGCAAGCACTGTGCTCTCGGTGGATGGAGTGGCAGATGCTGCCTAAAGAGGAGGATCGGATGGAAGATGGGCTGCAAGGCTGTACGGCCGCTTGTCAGGAAGGAGCACGGCCTTCCACAGCTCCTTCCTCGAGGGCCTGCCACTCTTCAAGCACGCAAGTAGTGGTGGCCTAAGGCCGCGTTCGTTTGCTGCCTTGACACGGAGCTTGGGGCAAATACCTCGTTCCCTCCACGCATACTTCCGTGGCCAGCTGCGCGGCACTTCAGACCGGTGCAGGCATTCAAAGGGCATTCAATCATCGTTCGTTCATTGCCCGCGCATGAAGTCTCGCCACCCTCCACTCTTTCTCTTCTTCTCTTTTCCGGCAGCACTCGCCCTCAGCACGTCTTTCTCCTCGTGCACAATACGGCACCAACGCATGGTGCAGCATCTCTCCCCAAATCGTCATCTACGGCAGCCTTGCAAACACTGTTCGCCATGGCTTCCTTTCACAACATCTACGTTGGCCCGGGCGTGAACATCAATTGGACAGGTCCTAGCAACGTCGGACTACAGAATGCCAGTTCTTTGACGACACAGCAGCTCCTCAACCAAAACGGCAATGTTGTGTCTACTCGATCGGTTCATCGAGGTGCAGGAGGCGGCCCGCAGATGAACCTGGTGACACCGCTTCATGGCACCCCAGGCGCAGTGCACATTATTACCAACGCTCCTTTGGCCCTCACGTCAGCTGCCCAGAAAGTCATGAGGCAGACGGCGACGAGATCCGTCATTGCCATTCTTATCGGCAATGATGAAGAACAGGGCCGCAAAATCCGGGACGGCAAATGCACCACCGTCCTTGATGTCGACCTCAGACCGACCAGGCTCCTTCCGGTCGCAAACGAGCCTGCCCACGCCCCTGGCGGTCCTCGCGATGTTCCCCTCACAAGTGAGACGCGTTGCGGCGGTTGCGGCAGCCAGACTCACGAGCTAAAGCTCTGCATGCGATCTTCCTCCGACGGGCTGCTCCACGGCTGCACCCTCTGCAACAGCACAAGCCACGAGTTGGATCAGTGTCGCCGCTTCCGAGACCTCGACCGCGAAGGTCTTTTTGCTGTCGTTGTCCGTCAACGCGGGAACATGCCGGCACTTGCCACGAGTCGGTCGTGGTTCTCTGTCGTCTCCGACTATAGAGACGCAACTCCCAACATCTCGGCAAACTACATGCCCTGGACGCCGTATCTGCCGTGGACTCCAGAGTTTGCCCGCAGGATGGCTCAGGCTGGTCCATCGGAGTGGGCAAGAATGGAGACATTCTATCGAGACTTTGATCGTTCCGTGCTGCCGAGCGACCCAGACACGAGACACCTGGCCGCGGCGAGGGCGTACTTTGCCCGATCGCGCAGCACTCAGCGATATCCTTCCCCGCTCTAGGCTGAATACAGTAGTCCGGGATGGCAGTGAGGGGCGTCCATAGTCAGTGCACGACATGGCTTGTTGGCGAGTTCCTACGAGTCGGCAACAGTCGCGACGTGGGTTTGGCAGGAGGATTTTAAGGTCGCTGCTTGATCCGTCCTCGAGACGACGCGATGCATGTTTAGCTCTGCAGGACGAACTGGAATGGCGAGGCGAGACGAACTGGTAATTTGGGGGACATTTGCGGTGATCCAGACTTAATAGGAAGTGGACTTTTCTTGAGTCTAGTCCGCCTTCAACATAATGCAATCGCAATTTCTCCCAACCACATTGCTCCGTCGCCAGGATGGTGGTGTCTGTTGCAAACGTCGAGGCGGGTGTTTGTCGTCCAGCTTCTGATCCTGATGCTTGGTACAGCTAACAGCTCATGGATGATGAAGCGTTGTTGGCGCTCCTTCTAGAGTAGGCACATCAGATCAAGGCCAAATACGCGGCGACGGAACCTCTTTTAATATCAGTCGTATACGTTTTGGTATCTATTTGGCGTCTATCGTGTGTGTTATTTCCCACGCCACCGACGATCAACGTCCGCGGGCGTGAAGTCGTTGAGAAATTACAGCAAGTCCTTAGCACTCGGCAAGCGCCTCCACCAGTCCGACCTGTTCTCTCGCCCACGCGATGCCCTCGCGCACATCCTCCAGCTCGCACACGGGCGACCTCGCGAGAATCGCCGCCGTCTCCTCGACGACCTCGCGGCCCGTGGTGCCGGCCCACCACATCCAGGGATCGGCCGCGCAGCCGTGCAGCAGGACGCCCCAGTACAGCAGGATGAACATGGCCATGGGCTCGTGGGTGCGCAGGCCCTCGACGAAGTCGGGCCCCGTGACGCACCGCGAGGGCAGGTTCACCATGAAGCCCCTGATGCGGCCGACGACGCGCTCCGCGAAGCAGTACTTGGTCTGCTCGGCGGCGATGTGGTACGAGCACACGTCGTGCGCGAGCGGGCCCTGGCGGCCGTCGGGTGAGTCGAGGGACGGGTCGCCGGTCGGTGGGAGGAGTATGCTGTGGCTGGCGCTTGTGATGCGCTGGATGGCCGTTTGGGTGTCTGCGTCGACTAGGTCCATGTATTCCTGGCGGGGGAAGTAGTCCAGCACGGCGGTACGTGCGGACGTCGGGCTGTCGAAGAACCAGTCCCAGTTGATGGCTGCCGTGTGCAGACATCCGAGGAACATGGCGAACGAGGCGTGTACCCGGTCCACCACGCTTGTCTTCCCCGACGAGTCCCCTTTGCCTGCCCCGTCCTCGTCGTCTTCGTCGTCGCCCATGGCGAAATTAAAGAAGCCCGCCATGCTGCCAAACGTAGAGAACAGATACAGCGTATCCCTCGTGATGGAATTGCTCGCCAGCGCGCCACGGAACTCGGCGCTCGCAGTCGTGTAGTACTCGAGCGCAGCACGCTTATAGTACCTTACCGTCCGACGATCCCCATGCAGCCCCGCGAGCAGGCCAATGTCGAGCGCCGCCAGGGCCAGGATCCCGTTGAGGATAAAGGGCAGGCGCAGGCCCTCGCGCGGGAGGCCCTCCTGCAGGAAGGGCTGGCAGGCGGGCAGGTTGTAGAGGCCGCGCCAGGTGCGGACCGACCAGCGGTGCATGAGCTCCAGCTCGAGGAGGCGGTTGGACGTCTCCACGGCGGAGACGGAGAGCGGCGAGGGGGTGATGGGCGGGCGCCGGACGGGGCTGGCGCTGCTGGAGGAGCTGTAGGCGGCGGCGACGGACCATGGGCGCGACGGCGGCGGCTCGTGGTGTTTGGACGTGGACGCGGACGGCGGGGGATACGTGCATCTGATGTTGCGGATGGTGCAGTTGGCGCATGGAGGGCCTTGCTCGTCGCACTGGAGGAACATACTGTCAGCAATGGGCTGCTTCGTGGCCACGATTCACAAGTCAATCATGTAGCTGACGGTATGGTGTCAGTGAGTGATGATGCTTCACGTTGACGCACCTTCAAGTGCCGCGCTTTGCACGCCGTGCATCCATGCCTCGACTTCCTATGCCGCTGCCGCTGCCTCAGCATCGCAGCTGCACGACGGGCTCCGAATTGAGCGCTCGGGCAGCGCGCACACAGAGTCCAATGGCGTGAAAAAGCGGATCTGATCCGACCAAGTGCGCAGAGCCGGACGTGGAGCTGTTGAACCTGTCTCAAGGATTATATGCTTCGTTCAATGCTCGACTCAGCCCGCGATGATGAACGGGAAAGAAGGATCCAAGTTAGGCGCTGATCAGTGATGAGAGCTGCTGCGGATGGTGGCATGGAAATTCGCCACTCAATCCCCAGGGAATCTTTAAATTGAGGTTATTAGGTCCCTGACGTTCCTGAATTATCCGCATGATGACTGCCTGCTCTGCAAGGTTAAACGGCAACCTTAGTCGAGCTTGCAGTTCGACCTACCGCCCGTGGCGTGGCGACGGCACCAAACTTCGCGGGCTTCGGCCCCCAAGCGTGATGCATTGTTGGACGGCCGCAGGGCTGTGCCGACGATCACGGCGTCGCCACCCGGGCCGGCCAGCGAATGACGGGTGGACACTGGGGGCGGCGAGGCCCGGCGATGAAGGGATCCCGGCAGGGATCATGGCAGGTGCTTGTTGAACATTGGTTAGACTCGCCAGATTGTCTCCAGGCGGCCATTTGGTCTGTAGGGAGGTGTAAGGTTTTGTGTATTAGTGGGGTATCAGTTAGGCGAGCCCGAGGCCCGAACCTCCTGGAGGGTCCAAGGCTCCAGTGCCACCCTGGGGGCGACGGCGAAAGTTAACTTGAACTGTCAACGTAGCTTGTGGTGATCTGGCGAGATGGATCAAGGCTTGTGGAAACAGCATTGTTTCTATGATACTGGCTGATTGGACTACCGTAAATTTATCTTTATGTAGTGGTGAAATTATAGACATAGCTCCGAGGCAAGGATCACTCGTCCGGCCTTTCGATGGCGGGCGGCCCAATACGCTAACATCTCCAGCTCCATTGACCACATCTCCCACCGTCCTTTAGCTCACAGTCCGCCCCTTTGTGCCCCTCGTCAACCGTCAACCGCGAGGCCAGAGCCGCACTCCCTGCTCCTATCTAGGCTCGCCCGGCTCCTATTTTTTCTATTCATGACCTTCAAAGCGTCCAGCTCGGCCCAGAGCTAGCACCTTCATCCTGTCAAACAGAGGCGTGCCCAAGCCCGTCGCCGGATCCCACCCCGGGACGGCAGCCCACTCCGCGCCGGGCACCACGGGCGCGGGCTTGCCGCTGAAGCTGGTTCCGACGCAGCCCTTGGACGCTCCATCGACGATGCTGTGCTGTGTCAGTCTCCGCGAACATCCGTCCAAAGGGGGAGGCGGGAGGGAAGCGTCGAAGGGTGTCCTACTCTGTGAAGCCAAGGCTGCCAATCTTGTATAACCACGGGTTGAGAAACCCCATGGTGGGTAGACCTCGCTGTAGGCGCATCTCGTTGAGTAGCGCAATCATGGAGGCAAAGACGGGTGCCGACGCGCTGCAGGTTGTCAGTCAGTCAGCCAGTCACCATCTCGCTGCATGACTGTGAGAACTTTAGACAACGCACCTCGTCCCATCAGCGTTGTCGACCTTGCCGTGATCAAAGATCTGATACCCCATCGCCTGCGCCGACACATCAGGAAACCCCCGCCCCCGAGGATTATACAACCCCTTCCACCTACCCCCCAGACGCGCGAGGTACTCCCCCACGGCCATCTCCTGCCAGGCCGGCCGCGGCCAGTACTCGGAGAAGCCGCCCGAGGAGAGGTTCCACGCGACCTCCGGGCCGTGGCCGTGCGTGCCGCCCACGGACGTCACGTACGGGCACGAGGCCGGGAACGCGGGCAGGAACTTGGTCGTGTTGGTGCCGTCGTTGGACAGGCACGAGACGCCGGGCCCCTGGTCGCCCGAGCTGGCGATGACAGAGACGCCGCGCGTGCCGAGCTGCCCGATCATGTCGCAGATGCGCTGCGCGTGCGCCCGCGGCACGTCCTGCTCGTTGACGCCGTAGGAGATGGACACGACCCGTGGGAGGGCCTCGTCGTCGAGGTCGAGCAGGTAGCTGAAGAAGATGTCGTAGGGCTCGACCCACTGCGTGTCGGGGTCCCAGATGCTGTGAGGGCGAGGGGGGCGTTGTCAGCGGACCAGTCACTTCACGTTGAACTTCTCCCCAATCACCTAGGTAGTTGTAGAGGCCTCGAGAGTTAAACGGGCAGGTGACTTACTCCAGATCAGGGGTAAAGTCGTGGTCCTCGCCGCCGACGGCATAGTACGTCACGGGCACGGGGTACGCCATGCCCACGGCGTACTGGATATCGAGGTTCGCCTCGCCGCTGTGCTCGTACTCTTCGTCTTGCGGGTTGCTGCCCCCGTTGACCAGCGCCGTCGAGAAGTTGGCGCCCACCGCGTCGGGCATCAGCGCGGCGAGGAACTTGTCCAGCTGGGCGTACTGCGCTGCCTGGCCGCTGAAGCCCGCGATGCCGAGACGCGACCTGGCGTGTGCCGGTAGTTGCGACGGCGCGAAGCCGTTGCCGTTGGTGTAATCGTCCATGTGGTACAGCGCGCGGAGGGATGCTGGCGTGACTTTTCCGCCGCACGACGGCGTCGTTGAGGGTGGTTCCCTGCGGGCTGTGAGCATGCTTTGGGACGTCTCTGACGCCGTCCTCCGGGCTGGGAAGCGCTTTTGAGGCGTGCTCGTAGATCTGACCTCTGGCGCTCGGTGGACAAAGGCGACATGAGCCCTCAGAGCCGCCGTCGACTCTTTCTCTCCGTCCACCAGCCCCCTCTCGTCCGCAGTCGCCCCATGACGCGCACCAAGCCTCAAAAGGCGCTCAGCATCAGAAGTCGACACCCGCGCCTCGATAACCTGTCCACCATCACGGACATCTTCCTCCGGCACGCCAGCCTCGGCGAGCCACCGCTTGACGGCATCGACAGACGACTGGCGCGGCTGCAGCAGCGCCCTGGCCTCCTCCCGGCTCAAGAACCTGCCGTACTTTTCGCCATCCGGGTCAGACAAGTCCGCGAGCGTCGACTCCAGGAGGTGGCGGTCCGCGGGGCGCAGCGAGATGACGACGTCCTGGAAGCTGTCGCGGTGGTAGTGGTGGTGGACTGGTTCGTCTGTCGAGGAGGCGTCGTATCGGTGGTTCTGGTGCTGGTGAGCGGAAGAGGCGAGATTAGATCTGGTGGACAGGAGAGCTGCGCTCAGAACCTCCAGGAGCCTCATGTTTCCGTATGGCGCCTACGTCGCGACGCTCAAGGGGTTCGGCGGTCGGGATGAGGAGCTGCAGACGGCACATAGCTCAGCGAGTTCTTCTATACCTGGCCAAGCTGCCAGTTGTGCAACAGCCGCCGCCTCCTGAGAGATGACAGCAGATGCATGCCTAGACACGACGACATGATAACTGTTGAAATTGGGGGCGCATCGGAATCAAACCACCCACATCACCCGGTTCAAGTCATCACATCGCATCGCTCTGCCATCGCACCCACGACTCGGCAGTACCGCCCCCCTTTCCTCCCCCGCAAAAGACTTTCCCACCGCCAATTCCTCCATACATACACATACGTGCAGACATATACGAGGACGCACGCCAGCAGCCAAACCGCAGCGGCTACTTGCATTTGACGGGATACGAAGTCAGGGGAACGGGGCGTCCCGCCGTTCTTGGCACCCCTGGCCCTGGGGGGCAAACTCCGTAGGTTGGTCCGTGTGCTGCAGCGTGACACTGCCCGCTCGTTCGACTGGGTGCGTTTCAGCGGGAGGAAACGCAACGCATTGGTTGGAGAGCGCGGAAGCCTCCTCGACGACACGGACCATGTCACGTCGGAACTATTGCGAGGCGTTCAGGCCCTTGTCGGGGGTTTGCCTTGGCGATGCCTCTGGCAGCCGATTTCGGGGAAGAACGTTTGCGGAGACAAGAAGCAGCTGGAGCGCAGTTGAACAAGTTGCTAAACCTGAGTCGGTTCGCGATGGCCGGTATGAGCTTTGGTCAATTACAGGATTGGGGATGGGTACATTGGGAGTTGGGCCCTCTGTGGTGTGACGTAGAAACACGCAATGCATCGGAGCAAAACTGCGGCATCTCGGGCGCGGGTGTCGCTTGCACGGCCCCCGAATCAAGTGCTGTTATTTATACTCACACGCATGCCATGTCTAAATTCGCACAAAGTGGTCGACCCGTACGGGACAAGAAAGTGCAATCGGCCATGGCAGCAAAAACGACCTGGCCTCCGGCCTGGTCCTCACGACGCTCAACGCTCGCTCCAGCTTTCAAAAATTCCATGCCATCTGGAGGATCGTGATATCCCAAGGGCGGGGCTTGGTCCTTTCCATCCAATTCGTCCAGTCGACCTCGCCAGGCGTCGCAGGGCCTTGAGTGCCACCACGCCGGCTCACGAGGATCCTGTAGTATTCCCACCATTTGGGAAACCAGCCCGAGAGCTCCCAATCGAGAAGACCAACGATTTGAGGCTGGGGCTGGTCATCCACTAGTATATGGCGGGGGTGGATGTCGCCGTGGGTAAAGACTGAGACGTTGGACCGGGGACACATGTCTTCCACCATTGTCAAGGTAAAGGGCGGTCCGCGACGAGGCTATCGATCGATGATTCGAGTCCGCAGCGTCTCGTCATCCATCACTTCGGGCGCTACATTTCTGTGGTCGCCAACAAGCATATCCAGGCAAGGAAAGCCGTCTGTCGTGCGGTAGTGGCCACTGGGGAGGTCTTCGGGACGCGGGACGTCCCGAATCTGGCTGATGAGATGCCAGATATCTTGACACATGCGATGCTTTTGCGAGTCGACAAGGTCATCCCATACTTCCTTGAGGGTGAAACCATCTATGTAGCTCATGTCTATTTTCCCGTAAAAGGGGGTGCCGCGCTCGTAGAAATGATAGTATTCGCAAGGCCTATGGACGACCGGCGTAGGGACCGTCGGGGCGTGGCGTCGGATAAGTTTCAGCGCCGCCGTTGCTGAAGGTCGCACATTGTAGCCGGCCTTGATGACCAGGTTGGGTTTATGATGTAAAATGACGCTGTGCTTATGTTCAATCTCCCGTTGTACCCAATCCGGGTCGTCCCGGTCGTCTCCAAGCGCAAGGTAACCATGTTAGTGAGGCAACACAATCCAGATGGAGGGTTCTCTCTGTACTTACCGTCAGTGTCGCTCATGGTGAGTGCGTGTCTCCTGCGAGTGGGCTTGGGGTAAAGGCGGAGCGGTGATCACGAATTCAAGGCTTGGGAATGGCACTAATGTATGGATGACAGGAGAGCCTTTGGTAGGCTTGGGCGAGAGCTGACTCCGGCGCCTCGAGCAAGCCGCCAGCCATAAGTCTTGGCCCGAAGCAAGCGCAGCCGTCTGTTACCAAACTGAAGGGCTGCGCGATGATCGTGACGTCCCGACGAAGCTCGCTACCCAAATGTCGTAGAAGGTGCTGCAGCTGCAGGGAAGAGTTCTTACCCCAAGGTAGAGCTCGCCATGGGACGGAGCTCGCCGCAGGCGCCCCCGAAGGCCCCACGGAGGGAAGAGTCAACCCCCTTTACGTCCCATTGATGATCACTGTAGTAGTTGGCTCTGCAGCACTTGGGGTGTCGCGTATTCTGTAGGTACTCAGCGCGGTTGCTTGCGGCCCAGCCGCCACCCGTAGTCGTTGATGACTGCATGCGAACAACAGCTGATGGATGCCCGGGGCTCGCGCCAGATCAGCAGGTCGCTCCACCGCCACCAAGTCTGCTCCAGTACATCGGCATGAGCCGTGATCGACCAGCCGCCCATGCTCGCATCGATGCAACCGCCTTGCAATTAGACAAAGTCAATCCTTGCAGTACTCCGCATAGCATATCGCTAATAGATACAAGATGCCCCAACGCCTGTTCCGCGCAACGCCCCATGATACCGTATGCTGCCGCCGTCTATTCGTCGTAACCATTCTTGTTGCCAATCATGCCCTGGCCACCGCCGCTCCGTCTCCTCTTGCCAATCACCTCCTTGATAAACTCGGTCATGGTGAAGCCCCAATGGCCTGCCACGAGGACGCCGCTGAGGACGTTGATGAGCTTGACGGCAAACAACAGCATGCCGTCGCGGTTCTCGTGGACGGAGAGCAGAATCGGCTCAATGTCGTACTTGAAGAAGACGCCCGGCACGATGTCCTCCGTCACCTCCTTGCTCTGGGCGGTGACCGCGTACTGGTTGGTGAAGAGGGACTTGGAGCCCACGGTGTAGACGGTGGGCACCACGGACAGGTAGTACTGGAACTTGTGAAAGTTTGCGCTGGCGGTGTTGACGGTGAGGTCTAGCGGGTTGACGAGCGACGGGTAGAAGGCGCCGTACGAAAGCTCGTTGATGATGTGCGAAAAGTTGAATCCTGGTTGGGTCAGCGTCGCGACGCAGCAAGGAACCAGGCACAATACTCACTCTCGTGGTCGAGATGGTTACCGCCTTCCATGTAGCCGTGTCCGCGGGCGGTGATGTGGAAGTCTCCTTGCACCTTGTTCAGCTCGAGGGAGCCGTATATGCGGCAGCTATCGGGCGGGCCCTTGACTCTGGGCGTCTTGGCCCAACGCGCCCTCTTCTTCCCCAGGGCGACAATGTCGTGAACGTGCTCCTCGCCGAAGCCTTCGTCCTCGGCCGCCAGGTTCTGCCAGCCCGCGCCGGTGACGACGCGGCCCTCGCTGTCCCTCCCCAGGCGGTGGATGCCGCTGGTGCTGGTCCACTGCGCCCAGCTCGTCTGGTCGCGGTGCAGCTTGGTGGCTGCGAGGATGCGGTCGCCCGCAGCGTCCTGGACGTTGACGTGGAGGTCGCCGCAAGGCATGCGCACGACGGTGTCTAAGTTGATCTGCAGGGACTGGGAGACGCCCTTCTCGACGGCAAAGTCGTGCGTCTCGGAGCCGCGCCACCAGCGGGCGACCTCGCTCCAGAGGAGGATGACGGAGACGACGGCCATGGCGACGGTCCATTTCCCGCCGCCGGATGTCCTCGTCACATATTGCGGCTTCGACTTGGCTGCAGGTAACACGTATTAGCTAGCGGCCAAAGACGAGAGGGAGACGGCAGCATACGGAAAGCATCAAAGGCCTTGACGATGTTGTTCCCCGAGGCGCCAAAGTCGTCCTCCCGGAGGTCGGTCTTCTCGAAGCCATTCATGGTGGCCGTTGAAATGTTGCCTCAATGGAATCGCGTAGCCATTCGAGACTAGAGCACCGTCGCACCAGAGTTGCGCCGCGGGCTCAATGGTTTGGTCGTGCGAGAGAGTGCCGAGTCGAGGTTGCACCTCGGTGCTGCTGGCGCTTGGGAATTGAAGCTTTGAGGACAGCTTGCATGCCACCAGCTGCTGTGCAGGGCCCCTGCAGGGGTGATGGGGTGCTGTCTCAGGCGGGAGTAAAGTCGGCCCGCACAGCCACGGTTGTAGGCATTGTCGGGCAGGCCAGCTTGGCTGCGCCACGTGTGGCTGCGGCTGGTCACGATGCACCTACCAGCCAGGGCATTGAATCAATTTGAATGCTAAGTGTGATCATTTTGAGCTTTTGCTTGCATTAGCTGGACTCTAAGCATGTGTAAAGTCGCTTGTCGAATGAGATCGTCCATGAAAAGCTTTCCCGGCAAAACACGCTGTAGCACAAACCTGCGACACCACCTGTTACGGAGGATGCCCGCCACCAGAAGTTACACGGGCCGTCGCTGCTTTTTAAGCGGTCTTCGTTCAGCCGTGCACTTTGACAAGACACGTCATCTAATTGCGCGCAGTTAGTCGATAGGCTACCCGCAGTGTGTCATTGCAACTGCCGTGCTGCCTGTCATTCAACACGAGCATTGTGGTGCGATACGAAGTATCGAGTCTCAAACAATAAGCCAAGGCACGAGGTACTTCTCACCAGGTACCGCTTCCCACCAAATGTGGACCTTCTTGCCAAGGACAAACGTGGCAGCAGGGACGTTCCAGGGTCCAGTGAATGCGACAAAGCGTTCCACCCTTAGCACCATACGCTGTCGCACCTTGCCGGGCCCGTTAGTGCTTTAGTGGGCACGCTCTCGCTCGCGGGAACGGCTCAGGTGGGCCAAGACGTGCCCAGACGCTTGGATCGGCGGTGTCGGCCTGGCCCTTGAACCATGGATCTTCCCCAGATATCATCCATCGCGACTGCAGCGGCCACGGCAGATGTGCAGGCGTCGCGTCAGGCCAGAATTCCGGCGATTGAATGCCTCATGGGCACGGCGGCGCAGCCGTTGCGCGAGTGGCGCCATGGCGCACAAGGTACAGTAAGCCGCCGCCATCTGAAGACCAAGCAGGGCCTGGCCGTCCCTGGGGCGGCGGCGGCCCCGGGCTCTTGCGAGAAGGCCCGAGGGCGAGCACTGGCGCCTCGCTTCGTATTCTGTGCATGCATTTGCCGTCTCGTACCCGATTCCAGGTGCGAGGCATTCAGCCACGGGCGCACTGGCAGACGGGACTGAAAAGCCAAGCCACCTGGCCGGCCGCTGACGTGCCAGTGCCACCGCCGTCGCTGTTGAGGTCCCTGTGGTCGGTCGGCTGAACCGGCTCAGTGGTCTGGTGCCGTTCTTGCCGCGCGCTCCCGTGCCACCTGCCTCCCGTCACTATTTGTCGTTAGCCTGCCACCCGACCTCACCCATTCTGTTGCCCCCTGATTCCTGTTTCCCTCCGCTGTGGTTACGACTTCAACTCCCACACTCGCTCATTCACCGGTCACCATCGGCGCCTTGTCTGTGCCGCGATATCCATCGCCGTCGCCATCGCCATCGCCGTCCTCTCTTGCGCGCTTGGCCCTGCGTTCGTTGCCTGCGTCTTTTGTACGTCGACGGGACCGACACCGACGTCGACGCCGACAGCTTCACGAACCGCCCGCACGCTACCGTCGCGCATGAAGACAACCTGACAGACTCGCGCCGCTGCGTTCTCATCCCCGTTTTCGCTCGCTACACACCCGCAGTTGACGCGAACTCGGCGTGACATTATCGCAAGATGAAGCGATCGTTCACGCCCGCAGTCGCTGCGGCGCTGCTCTCCGCCGCCACGTTGACCGCCGGTCAAACCTCGCCGTTTTCTGTTGACACGGACGGTACGGCGCCTCCCCCACACTTCCCTGGTTTGATTTCATGACCCCGTGGTGCTGACCTGCGCAGATGCGATCCTCAAGAGCGCTGGCACGCTTGCGTGGGATATGCTCCAGTACTACAAAGGCAATCTATCCGGACAGACGCCCGGCATCCTCCCAGGACCGCCTCCTGCCGGCGACTACTACTGGTGGGAGGGTGGTGCCATGTGGGGGACTCTGATCGATTACTGGGCTTGGACCGGCGACTCCTCGTACAACGACCTCATCATGCAGGCCATGCAGTTCCAAATCGGCGAAAACAAGGCCTATATGCCTCATAACGTCACCGCCTCTCTCGGCAACGATGACCAGGGTTTCTGGGGCATGTCCGCCATGGCAGCCGCTGAGATGAAGTTCCCGAACCCGCCCTCGGATAGGCCTGGCTGGCTGGCACTTGCTCAAGCCGTCTTCAACACTCAGGCCAGTCCTGATCGCCACGACGATACCTGCGGTGGCGGGCTTCGCTGGCAGATTCCGTTTGCAAACAACGGCTACAACTACAAGAACAGTGGGTTCACAAGGTTCCCGATAGAGAGGATGAAACGCTAACTTTGACAGGCATCGCCAACGGCTGCTTCTTCAACATTGGTGCGCGCCTTTACCGGTACACCGGAAACAAGACTTTTGAGGACTGGGCTGTCAAGACGTGGGATTGGATGGAAAAGGTCAACTTCATCGACAACGAGACCTACGCCATCTACGACGGCGGAAACGTTGGCAATAACTGCACAGATATCAACAAGGCGCAGTTTTCGTACAACAACGGCGTCTTTGCGCTGGGCGCGGCCTTCATGTGGAATGCGGTAAGTCACCCCGCGGCAGTACCAGGCGAGTGGCACTAACGAGCGCAGACCGAGGACGACCAGTGGAAGACGAGGACGAACCGCCTGATCGAACACGGTCTCAAGACCTTCTTCCCCGACGGCGTCGCTGTCGAGATCTCTTGCGAGAACGCAGGAACCTGCACAACGGATATGCTTACGTTCAAAGGCTTCGTGCACCGATGGTACGCCACAATTACGCAGATTGCACCCTTCACCGCAAGCACCATCCTCCCCGTCCTGAAGAAGTCGGCAGCGGCAGCTGTCAGCCAATGCACCGGAGGCGACCTGGGCCGACAGTGCGGCTTTAAGTGGGCAAGCGGCAAGTACGACGGCAAGACGGGCGCGGGTCAGGAAATGAGCGTCCTGGCGGCCGTGTCGTCGCAGCTCATTGGCAAGAAGCCCGTAGCAGCGCCAGTCACGTCCAAGACGGGCGGCACGTCGGAGGGCAACCCGAACGCGGGCTCGGGCGGCGACGACTTCCAGAAGGAGGAGAAGCCCATCACGACGGGCGACCGTGCGGGCGCGGGTATCCTGACGGCCGTCGTGCTGGGATCGGCTTGCGGCATGTTTGGGTGGATGAGCATGGGCATCTAATCGGTGTCGCAGCGCCTCGTGTAGAGTCTGGTTTAATGCTTGGGTAGCGATGGACGACGAGACGGCGTGCTTTTCGGCGTTACAGGCCCAGGACTGCGGCAAATGCTTTCCTTGAAGTTATACGAATACAGATACATTTTATCTATCAGAATGAGACGCCTTGGCTCTCCGTTGTCGTCGCTGCCGAAGCCAGAAAGGACTGGCGAGACGGATGCGCTAAAATCTGACTGGCGGGAGATGCTCTGCGCAAGGGCTATTTTGGTTAACTTTGGTGCTGTTGATGGCGATCCTGCTGACGGCGTGTGCCGGGCCAGCAGCCGAGACGTCACTGTGCCGCAGGCGGCAACTATTCGCGTATAACATGTCGGTTCTCGCCACCTAGTCTTCGGGAGATGCAGCACGATAGCTTCACACCCCACGCGCACAAGCATTCGCCCATCTTCAGCATCAGAACGAGCAACATGGCAGACAAAGAGCCAATCCGCGTCGTCATATGCGGCAAGTCGGAGGAGGTAGGCCGCGGCATCATTGCGGGCCTGCAGCCCGAGGTCGAAGGTAAGCCCATCCATTCCATGACACACACCGTCTCACAACAACTCCTCCTCCGGCGAGAGATCCTCCGCACACTGTCACAGGGGGAGAACACCGACTCACCAGCGCGCGCGTCGCCGACTCTAGTGATCCACTTTGGGCTCTCGCCGGCGGCCCTCGCGGCGGAGCTGCCGGCCGTGCTGGCGGGGCGGGCGCCGGCGTCGGCGTCGAGCGGGCTCGGCACGGGGAACTACCAGGAGGAGGAGGGGGGGAGGCCGAGGCGGCCGCGGGCGGTGGTGTTTGGGGGTGCGTGGGACGGGGCGGACGTGGAGACGGTGCGGGCGGCGGTGCGCGGCTGCGGCGGGGAGGGGGACGGGGTGGTGATGCTGCGGCATGATGGGCGGAAGCCGAGTCCGCCGCTGGGGCCGGCGTATGGACCGCATGTGGTGCAGAGGGTGAAGGACGTGCTGGGGAGGCTGGTGAGGGGAGAGGAGGTGGAGTGGGCGGGGGAAGGGGTGGTTTGGTATTGAGATGGAGATGGGAGTGGTTGACATGTTGACGTCGTGGTGTTTTACGCAGATGTCATGATCATCCAAGTCGAAGCACCGCAGATGTAATCACACAGTCAAGCTACATAGTAACTTATACGATATTCTCCGCATAAAGCTTCAACGCGATATAAGCACCCAAGAGGGCCAAAGCTGGAGAGTGGCGACACGTCGCGGAACGTCTCTGGCGAGGAACGAGACGCACTCCGTCGAGATCTTGTACGACCGTCAGCGGGCCCCCCCCCCCGGCCGCGGTCATATATCTCGTAGTACGCAGGAAGTATCATGTACAATATACGTCAGATGCATCTCGGCTGCGGCCCGCTGCTCGCCACTACATGTTCCCAGACGGCCCCTCATTAGGTAATGGCCGTCACCGGCTGGAGTCGCTGGACCACCATCTCGGCGGCAGACGTAGATGGGAGGGCGAATCACCAGTCGACGGGACCTGACGGCAGTGGCCTTGGCCACGAGGCGCTGGGATCTGATTCTGGGGGAAGCGAGCGTGCGTTGGTGTTGGGGTGGAGGGATGCGGGATGTGATGCGGTTACACGACGCACATATGCCGGCACTTGGCGTGTGTTGGCGATGATATACCGCATACTGTCCGTCTCGATCATACACTTGCGAAGGAAAGGGCGCGTTGTTGTTTACTTGCTGCATGGATGGGCGTCCACGGCTCATGAAGGAACGAGCAGCTCGTACTCCACCACGAGCGCCAGGTTGGATACATGAGCCCACCAAACTTGCATCAACAGCAGCAGCAACGAAAGCCGAAGCATCATGCCCCAAGGATGCCAGCCACTGCCCCTCGTCAATCTCAACCCCCATCTCCTCCGCACCAAGTGGCCCGCCTGCCGAGGAGCTGCTCTCTCGCGGCACTCACTCCAACAAAGAAGCTGCGCGTCAGCTGACCGTCGCCGCCTCCGTCGCCATGAACGGGTTCGGAGCCCGCCGACGCCGTGCGCCAACAGCAGGCAGGTCACACGCACCAGCAAAAAGCTCTGCTGCACAGCAGAGGTGCTGCAGGTTGGCCCGCGCTTGCTGCAAGCTGTTCCCCACAGCGCGAGCGCCTCCCGTGCGCAGCTAGGGCTAACAGCGACAGTTGGAATCCTTCCATGGCGACGGAGGTTCTGGAAGGCTGGCGGGCGGGCGGGGTTGCCGGGTGTTGCGCCTGCGTTGCGCGACGCTCGCCATCTGTGTCGTGATGGGTGTCACTTGGGGTCCCCCGTCTGCTGCGCTACACTGGCACTGTGGCAAGTACCGTACAGTACATTGACCGAATATCTGCAGAGAAATCAAGTAAGGGACCTACCGAAGTACTGCATACGGCATAGTTGCACAGTGCCCTTCACGGTCCCAAGTTCAGAAAGCGCTTCAATCCATCAACCAAACGACGGATGGCCTCCAGGCCGAGTACTCAACTCACCTGTGATGGCACAAAATGCAACACAGAGCAGAGTAGGTCAGATCCAGCCGGGCAGGCCAACGTTGCAGCAACAGCGGCAGGCAACCAACGCCCCTCGTCGGGTCCAGAATCCACGGATCCTGTAACCGCCCGTCGCCGCGCCACGACGCAGAGGCCAGGTCACCCGCGCCCGCAGAATTCTTCTTCTTCGGCTTCTGCCCCTCACCTCTTCCTCCTCCTCTTTGCCCACAGCTATGCCCCCCCTGGCCTGGCCTGGCCTGCGAGAGGCGCCACCGCGACCACCTGACGCAACCCAGCACGCTGCTTGGGCCTGCCAGTCCAGTCCAGGGGCCGGGCCGCGCACTGCCAACACCTCAGGCAAGGCCCACAACCGCCCTCACTGGCAGAAAAAAAACTTCCCACGACCAGGTCCTTCCTCCAGCCATGGAGCAACCCCAAGCCCCCAGCAACCCGCGCCATCCCCCCAAGCGGCAAGGCGCGGCGCCTCACGGCCGTTTCCATGGGGTAATGGGAACTCGCCCGCCCGCTCCACCATGCCGAATTTGCAGCGCTTTTGGGAGCTTTTCCAGCAACAGGCGTGTCCCGCCCCCGCGTGCGCGTGACCCGAACCATCGATCACCCCCCCGCCCAAACATGCTCCACGACATCGCGGAGTGGTGGGACACAATGCCATCATTCCCGCCAAGAGCTGCTGGCTTTTTTCTTTCTTGCCGTGTGTGGAGCCGCAGTTGGTGCATGAGCTGCTCGTGAGGAGAAAGTTTTTGCCCTGGTGACCTGCGCCTGGCTGGGTAGCTGTCCGTTGCCTTTGGTCTGGAGAATGTGGACACACACACCCCGTATAAGTGGCATGTCTGCTCCCCCGCCTACCTTACAACACCAAGCTCTCTGCTGTGCAACGACGACGACGATAATTCACACACACACTGCTACATCATTGCACTGTATACATCCATACAGACGCACAAGCACATTGACACACACCTCCTCACGGGTCTTGCACTTCCAATTGGACTCCCCGCTTCGTCGCGCGAAACCATCCCTCCGAGCTCACCCCTGCTTTGACTCCGCGCTCCTCACCTCCCGTCCAACACTCCCCGCCGGCATCACATCGCGAGAACATCGCCCACCATGCCGTTCAAGTACTCCGTCACCGAGCCGTCTCCCTCGACGACCTCGTACGTCCGCACCGGCCGCGGCGGCGCCGGCAACGTCCGCCCGTCCACCCACTTCAACAACAGCACCACCACCACCAGTGCCAGCAACAACACCAGCACGACCAGCAACAGCGCACGCCCCCGGCGCTTCTTCACGGGCATCGGCGGCGCCGGCAACGTCGCCCCCGCCGGCACGGCCTCCTCCCCCCTCGACGACGCCATCAGCCATGCCGCCGCGCGCGACAGCGCACCCCCCCTGGGCTACTGCGGCCGCGGCGGCGCCGGCAACAGGTACTACAACGCCCCGGAGCGCTACGTCCGCAAGCCCAGCGACGCGTCGACGTCGTCCGCCGTGTCTGAGGCCTCGAGCGCGCGCAGCTCCATGAGCTCCACGGCCAAGCTGTGGGCGCGCGTCACCCACAAGCAATAAATCACATCACCGCCTCTTCTCTCATCTACGTTTCCCGGCTCCCATTTCCCACTCACAAATCTGGGGGGCCGGGGGGCCGACATTTCTACTCAGTCACGCATGACACACACACGACAAAGAAAGAAGAAAAAGTTGCTGTTGTTTGGATTCGGCGAGGATCTTCTGTTTTTTGAGCGAAAGGCGTTTTACATGGACCATGGGGACCTCAGAGCACATTTGGCAGGCCCAACACCCGCCTGCCGTCTGGTACGGCATTGTTTGCGGCGCGGTAGGCATAGCGACGACGTTGCTTCTGGTGAACTATCTATATACCCCGGGACAGCCTTGGTACGGTTGGCACGCTTGTATTTCTGTACGTATTGTGGACAATGATATGATAATACATCACCGTCGGCGGCCTGCTCTGCCCGTCGACGACACAAGCTCATGTCTCCTGCGCTCACGTCTCCTGTATGTTTGTGCAAGCCCAAGCCAGCGGGCCGCAGCCAGCAGCTCTCCAGGGTATCATTAGGCTCTATCAGACACATGCCTCTTCCACATGCCTGCCTGCCCCACGGCCCGCAACCCGATATTGACATCATGACCATCGGCAGCCCTCTTTCCCGCCGCCCTTTGTAGCCGCCGTCAACGCCCCCCTTGTTCTGCCCATCTCGTCGTCTCACGTAAACTTGGTGTGAATTATGTCCGGGTTCTCGTGCCAGTCGTCGATGCTCACCCACATCTTGCGGAACGTGCTCAGGCCCGCCAGGATGCTGCCGCCGATCCACGTCGAGTACTTGCGCTCCGGCGGCGCAAAGATCTTTATCCGCATGTCCTTGACCGCCAGCTTCTGCAGCTCCGTCAGCAGCCGGTCGCCGAAGCCCTTGGTCAGCGTGCTGCCGCCCGACAGCACGATGTTGCTGTACAGCGACTTGCGCAGGTCCAGGTCCGTCCGGTTGATGGCGTCGACCACGATCTGGTGCACGCCCTGGTACTCGAGGCCGATGATCTCGGGGTCGAAGAGGATCTCTGGCGCGCGGAATCGCTCGGGGCCAATCTGTCGCCGTTAGTCGCCGTCGCGCTGACTCGTCGTCGCGCGGCATGGGGGGCTCACCTTTAACCTGTGCCCGTCGGGCAACACGTACTCGGCGTATTTGCTCTCGTTGGGCTTGACGCCGAGCCAGTCCCGTTCTTCCTTCCTCGGGTCGTGCGCTACGTATGACACGCTCTCCTTGATGAGCCGCACCACCTCCTTCTCGGCACTCGTGTGGAAGACGTAGCCGCTCTTGCGGAGCAGCGTCTGCAGGTGCTCGGTCACGTCTCGGCCGGCCACGTCGATGCGCCGGATGCTGCTCGGCATCGCGAAGCCCTCGTATACGGGCACGGCGTGCGAAACTCCGTCGCCCGAGTCGAGCACGATGCCCGTCGTGCGCCCGCTCGCGTACAGCGACAGGACGGCCTGGATGGACGTGTGCAGTGCGGGGACGTTGAACGTCTCAAAGAGGATCTGGGCGGCCGTGTCGCGGTTGCTGCGGGGGTTGAGGGGCGGTTCCGTCAGGAGCACCGGGTGCTGCTTGCGTCAGTAAGGCGTCGCGGCGACGGGACGGACCAATCTCGACAAACCTCTTCGCTCAACGTCTTGAGACCTTCGCCGTACACGTACTCCCATATCCGCTCCATGTCGTCCCAGTCCGTGACGATGCCGTGCTCCAGCGGGTAGTGGATCTTGAGCAGGCCCCTCAGCTCCGTCGCCGCCTTTTGTCCGATGAAGACATCCCCCTCCAGGGCGCCGGCTAGCACCCGCAGGTGCTTGGGCCGGCCGACCCATGACGGGAAGAAGCACTTGGGCAGGTCGTCCCCCGCGAAGCCGGCGCGAATCGTCCCTGAGCCATTGTCCAGGACGATGGGCGCGTTGTGAAGTATGTCGGTCATCGTTGCGTGTAAGTGCCACCGCGGCAAAGCTTGCTCCGTGAGCGCGGAGCGTGTCCTGAGCTCGCCGTCGTCGTGGGCGCGTTCTCGCGAGCTGCTCGGGCGCCCCTGACCGACGATGCCCTAGCTTGCAAGGGCTCGGAGCTCGCAGCATGCACGGGCGCACTAGCTTCCGGCCGAGTTGGTGTCGAGGGATTCGCCAATGGTGCACAAGGCGTGCTCGCGTTAAGATTCAAGAGTGTGGCGGCCTGGGCGTTAGGCCAAAGCAAGGGGGACAATGGTCGAAGCTTGAGCAACGCATCAAGTACACAAAGGAGCGTCGCGTTGGCCAACAGCTCTCCCTGGCGCCACAGCAGTGGACTGGCTGGTGGCTTGGGCGGCGCGGTGAGCCACATCACGTGTGGAAAGGGGCCTCAGGCAGAGAAACCACTTTAAAGTGGTTCGCGTGAGTTCGCGTCTCCCTCCACCAGGACCGCGTCGTCGACGTGCCAGACCGACCAGGTTCCTCTTTCCGACCCTGCAACCGCATCCATTGTCGGCGCTCGCCACAGCCTCGGGACCTTTTTTTCGTGGCTTTGCGTAACCTCTATTTCTTGCCGTCGACGGACTCCCCCATTTGTTCGGATTCACCCCGCAATCACCCTCGTCGTCGCGCGCCGGAGCGCTTAACGGCTTCTGACGACTGACGCCTCTGCAACCGCCAACATGGTCAAGGCCGCCCCCGCCACCGGCCCCGGCATATACAGTGCCACGTACAGCGGGGTGAGTGCTCACTCTATTGGGAAGCCGGCATCGTCTAGAAGCAGTTCATGGCACCGCCGCGTGGACTGGGTGACGATGAAGCCGGTTGAGACCCTCGTATCGGCGAGTGTCCTTGTCTAACCAACGCGCAACAGATACCCGTGTACGAGTATCAGTTCGGTGCCGACCTCAAGGAGCATGTCATGCGACGTCGCCATGACGATTGGATCAATGCGACACACATTTTGAAAGCCGCCGGCTTCGACAAGCCCGCGCGCACGAGGATATTGGAACGGGATGTGCAAAAGGATGTCCACGAAAAGATACAGGGCGGCTATGGCAAATACCAGGGTATGTTGGCTTCCGTTCTCGCGGCGCCGTCATCTAACGCGAGCAGGGACCTGGATCCCCCTCGATGCCGGCCTGGCCCTCGCCCAAAGACACAGCACCTTTGACCGGATACGGCCCATCTTCGAGTTCGTCCCGGGTGACGAGAGCCCGCCGCCTGCGCCCAGGCATGCCACCAAACCCAAAGCCTTCAAGTCCAAACCGCCTCCTGCTGCTCCCAAATGGGGTGCCAGTAAGCGTCCAGTGCCGCCAGCGTTGATGCAGGGAGCCGCGCTCACGCCCTCAGGTTCACTGATGATGCATGATGAGTATGATAACGGTGACGCCGTGATGGGCGGCGAGGAGGACACGCCCGACAACCTGACGGTGGCATCCGCCTCGTACATGGCCGAGGACGATCGCTTTGACATGTCGCACATGTCCACCGGGCATAGGAAGCGCAAGCGAGAGGAGCAGAGCCTCCAGGACCTGACGGAGCAGCAGCACGCAGTATACGGCGACGAGCTGCTCGACTACTTCCTGCTATCTAGAAATGAGCAGCCAGCCGTCAAGCCCGACCCTCCACCCAACTTCCAGCCGAACTGGCTCATCGACGCCGAGAACCACACGGCCTTGCACTGGGCGTCGGCCATGGGCGACGTGGACGTCATCAAGCAGCTGAAGCGTTTCAACGCCGGCGTTGCCGTGAAAAACGTCCGCGGCGAGACACCCTTCATGCGCTCCGTCAACTTCACCAACTGCTACGAGAAGCAGTCCTTCCCCACAGTCATGAAAGAGCTCTTCGAGACGGTGGACGCCCGGGACAGCGCCGGCTGCACCGTCATTCACCACGCGGCCGTCATGAAGAACGGCCGCGTCTTTAGCCCGTCGTGCTCGCGATACTACCTAGACCTCATCCTCAACAGGCTTCAAGAGACGCTGGAGCCGGCCGCAGTCCAACAGCTCGTCGACATGCAGGATAACGACGGCAACACTGCGCTGCATCTTGCTGCGCAGAGGAATGCGAGGAAGTGCATCCGTGCCCTGCTGGGCCGCCACGCGTCAGCCGACATACCGAACAACGAGGGCGTCCGCGCAGAAGACATCATCGTCGAACTGAATGTTTCCAAAAAGGACCGCGGGCCTCAGCGCTCGTCGTCTCCGTTCGCTCCAGATTCCCAACGCCATGTCTCCTTCCGCGACACCTTCGCCGAGACCACCAACAAGTCAAGAAAGCCGCCACAGTCGTTCCAGTCGGCCGCCGCCACGACGGTACAGTCACGGATATCGCCTCTGATAATGGAAAAGTTTCAGGACCTGGCCAAGAGCTACGACGAGGAGTGGCACGAGAAAGACGTGGCCGAGTCGGAGGCGCACCGCATCCTCACCAACACGCAGGCAGAACTCAACGTTGCTCAGCAGCAGATCGCCGAGCTCGAAGCCCAGATGGAACCCGACGATGTGGCGGCCAAGATCATGAACGAGGCCAACCTCGCCAAGCACCAGGTCTTGTCCCTCATCACCCACCAAAACCGCCTGCACATCCACCGCGCGGTCGAGACGGAGCTTACGCGCATCAACGGTGAAGCCGCCGCCGCATCGGAGGAGTCGCAACAGCCCCAGACGTACGAGGAGCGGCTCGCCCTCGCTCGTCAGCTTAGCCAAATGCTCGCGGAGCAGCGGCAGATCGAGACGGACTACGTGGATGCGCTTAGCATGGTCGGCGTAGGCGACAAGATCGAAAAGTACCGAAAACTGCTCAAGCGGTGTCTGGATCCAAAGGACGGAGAGACCCTCGACACAAATCTCGACAGCTTGATTGGCATGATGGAGGAGGAGCGGGAGGAGCACGATGTGGACGTCCCGTCACACGGAGTTGCGGCAGCTGCACTGACGGCCGGCGCACCTGAGCCCATGGACCTCACCCTCGGGGTATAGCGCACCCTGTCGTCCGACCCATTTCTCTAATCCGTACTGGGCGGGCCTCTCCCATGGTTTCCTCGACCTGAGGGATGAATGGCCCTGCTCCGCCCCTCTCCAGCGTCTCAAACATGGTCCCAATTGTCACTTATACCAGGCCTTGCTTATTTCGGTCGCATTTCACAGGGGAGAGTGGTCACGCGCGGCCGTGGCTTGGCCGTCGCGAGCTGGGCTTTGCGGAGATGCATTTGGAGGGGCTGGTTGCGGCTCTTTTGTCGGCTCTTGAGCCTTGCTTTTGGTTGCTCATTACTTACGAAGTACGAGGGGCGCAGCGAATGGCGGCGAATGTGTGGCATTGCGTGTATCCGAGGCGAGGGCGATTCAAGTATTGGCGAGTATTGCTACTTCGTGTAAGACTCGTGGCAGGGAGCAGGGTTCGGCAGTTCTGCATCTACGGCTGGGCGCTTATGGGAGCTGGCGTAGCCGAAAACGCTGACCACGGTCACGTTGGAGTTGATCCAGTTCCTCGAGGACTACCGCGTGTACATTAAACCCAGGACGTGTATCTAGCAAGAGCGGATGACGACGCCCTCATCCCTGATTGTCTTGCGTTGCTCCACCGAGATATCGAGGCGCAGTCGTGCCCCGCGCCGTGAAGTGGAAAATCAGTGCAAGGCGGCTATCGAATGCAATGGCGCATGCATGTTGCGATTCTGCATGACAATGCGGCTCACTTGAGCAACGGCGATCGGAGCCGGCAAGGCGGGCGGCGTCATGGCTGGCTGGGAGCACGGGCGGCCACCAACAGACGAGCCCAGACTGCGACACCGACGGGGCACTAAACCCGCCGCGTGCACATTCGGCGCGCTGAACTGAACTGAATTGAACTGAACTGGACCGAAACCGAACCGAAAAACTGAGGTGAGCAGCGAGGTGGCTCTCGCGGGGGGCGGTGAGGCTCATCCCAGGCGGGCGTGACGGGCGGGACCTTTGGATGACACCAGCGGGGATGTTTCGTTCTTTCTTTCCTACGCAAGGCGCCGCCGAACCAGCTCCGCGAAACACGGACACCTGTAACATATACACACACCCTCCAGCCGGGGGGGCCTTGGGGGCTCTGCTTGCTTTGCCTCCCCGCCCGCTCGCTGCTTGCGACCGACGACGACGCCACGGCAAGGTGCAGGATGTGAGCGTCAGGTGAGCGCGTATGCACATGTACACGCACGCCCACCACCGGCAGATCATTCGTTTTATTTCGAGGATAATATTTGGGGCACAAACTGCCCGCCCAGAAGCTGGCCTGCGGCTGGCTGGCTGACGGGCCAGGGTGAGATTAGGGGCGGGCGGGCGCAACCCAGGGCCTGGATGTAGGCGTGCGGGCGTGCGGGCGTGCGCGTTTGTCTACTCTGGCTGGCTGGCTGGCTGATGCTGACGATTTCGGGATGGGGGAGGAGGAGAGAGGGTGGAGGAGGGGGGTGCGGATGCGGCTGCAGCGCTGCACTGATCGTCCGCCAGGTCGGAGAAATACGTTAGCGGCTGGTCTGGTTCAGGCCAGGGGCCTGGGTGGACAAAAAGTGGCAGGACACTTGCCAGATTACGGGGAGGAGGAGCTGACTACTAGGCATTTGATGAGCGAGCGATTGCCATGGCTGGAGTAGAGCGTGGTATAGATCGTGATCAGTCTCAAAGGCAAAAGAAGTATGCTGTACGTCTTTGCTGCTGCTGCTGCTGCCGCTACTCGCGCTGCACCCCAAAGCTTGGATTTGGAAGCTTCTGCCATACTCCACTGCTAGGTGACGCTGCTGCAGCACTTACAGCCGGGTCCATGGGCAAATCGAGCACGAAAGCCCTGTCAAAGCAACACCCTATATGAAGATGTGACCAAAGAACCGTATCCACCAGTCACTGTTTATTAACAGACGCTGCACAATTCCTGAGGGACACGGTGATGGACAAATCGTTGCAGGCAATCGCTGTCAGGTTGGTCGTATAATCACAGACAGCTCGCCGCGTCTAATAAACTGACCGTGCATCCTTCATGTTGGTAGTCAGACCTGTTTGGCACTTTGCAAAAAGGTCCTGCACAACAACTGAGGTAAACTCATATTCAGCGTTGCAATAAAAGTAGGAGTCACAGACTCGATCGCATAAGGAGGATAAATAACAACACAGGCGTGTTTTGTTTTCTGCGTCCGCGTGTGTTTCGCCGGTTCTGCTCAGTCATGAATTCCCATGGTTCGCGATTATGGATGACACATTTGTTTATAAAGCTCAGCAATTGACGTTTGATGGGAATGGTGCCTGGCAGACCTATCAATCTCGGTCGTCTCTCAATGCATCCTCAATTGTGCAGGCGATCCTTGACCTAGTTCCTTCGTTGCTCTTCTTCATCGCTGCGGCCTTCAGAATACTTGCTCTCAAACCCCGGCCCAATGTTGCCCGCCCTGGATGGCTCCTTGCGGCCAAGCTCGTCACTTGCGCGGCACTCCTCTGTCTGCAAACATCGCTCGTTGCTTTACTGTTCCTGACAGCTGCCAGCTCTCCCGCTGCAGTCGCCACGGCGGCCGCCAGGCTGACCGGCGGTTGCACCTTGCTTGCACTCTCATATTTGGAGCATCGCCGGACCATCAATCCGTCAATCATCATCGGAGCGTTCCTCTGGACAACGGTTATTCTGGATCTTGCCCGAGCGACGACCCTTCTCCCGCTACGACAAAGCGGACTAGGTGATGGTCTCCCTGCACCCGTTTTCGCCGCAGTTCAAGCGGTACAGTTGCTGCTTCTTATTCTCGAGGATGTTCCGAAGCAAGGATGCTACCTGAGCGAGGCGGCGGATGGCCAGATGAATCTACCAGTGGCCCTTTCTGCCGCTGCGTCTTCTGGTGGCTCCGCGACGTCTTCATCAAAGGCTACAAGGGCACTCTGCGGGCCGAAAACCTCGGTGCCATTGACGATCAATTCTCGTCTCGAAAGATCCTCGACGGACTGACAAGGAGCTTCGGTGACGCGAATGCTCCCCAAAATCACCATCTGCTGCGTGCGATCTGGTCGGCCTTTAAGCTACGGTTGCTTTGGCCGACGATTCCCCGTCTCTTCAAGACAGCATTTAGTTTCGCGCAGCCTTTCCTCATCAAACGGCTCATCTCCTTCCTCAGCCACTCAGCTTCCCAATCTTCATCTCAGGAAGGTTGGGCGTTGATACTCACTACCGGCCTCGTCTACCTCGGGATCGCTGTAGGCCGCTTTCCGCGTAGGTCTCCTCTGGTATCTTGTAGTGTGCTTAAGGTTCCGTGCAGATCTCAAGTGCGCTCTATGCTCATGTCGTTAACCGACTTCTGACAACCTTGCGAGGGTGGCTGGTCGCGGCCATGCTGGACAAGTCCCTGAAACGCAAAGACTCGGATGATGATGCCGCAGTCACACTAATGACTGCCGACATTGAAGGCATCTTCCCGGGTGTCAAGGATGTATACGAACTTGTCCCCAACACCGTCGAGTTGGTGCTGGCCATGTATCTCTTGCAGAGGGAAATAGGCGCCGCGTGTTTCCTCGTGGCTGTTTCCGCCATCGGTAGGTCTTCCCACATACTCCTGGCCATGACCAGTTCCCAACATCTTTTGAGTCTAACATATTTGTGTTTGAATCTGCACAGTCTGCAGCTTCCTGTCCACATACGTCAGCGACGGCATCGGCCCAGCACGAATGGACTGGGCGGAGGCAACGCAGAAGCGTGTATCGACGACTTCCCTGTTCCTCACCCAGATCAAGAGCCTCAAGATGATGGGTCTGACCGCATACGTCTCCCGAAAGCTACGTGGTCTCCATATACAAGAAGCGAGCGAGTCCAAGAAGTTCAGGACCTACATAGTCTGGATCCTCGGCGTTGGTACGTGCCGCATCGCACCTTCAAATGCATAGCTTTGCGGGCCACATGACATGCGCTGACTTGGGGGGCCAAGCAAACATCTCGCATCACCTCACACCCGCGGTTGCGATCCTCGCTGCAGTCTTTTGGACCCGCTCCGGCGGTGAAGGGTTTACAGTCTCGCAGGCCTTCACTTCCTTGTCCATTGTGTCGCTGATTTCTACGCCAATAGCAGAGTTGACCGCTGCCTATCCCACAATCGCCGCCTCGCTTGCCTGTCTTGAGCGAATCGAGGCATACGTTCTGTCGGACGAGCAGCACGACAAGCGAGTGGTGTCCAAGCAGCTTTACACCGTAAGCTCAAATGGCGGCGAACGTCTTGGTCCAGTTCGGAGGCCCGTTGACGTCGCTCTCATTGCCCTCCGACATGTGAACTTGACCTTGCCAGGGAAGAGTGAACCTGTTCTTCAAGACATCACCATCGATATCAAAAAGTCCACAGTCACCATGATTCTCGGTCCCGTGGGGTGCGGGAAATCGCTTCTGCTCCATTCTATTCTCGGCCATATCCCAATCACCAGCGGATGTGTGTTTGTGAGTCGGGGCGGCTCATCGATGGCCTACTGCGATCAAACACCATGGCTGCGCAACCTGTCCATCCGCGACAACATCATAGCAGGAGATGAGTACAATCCAGTGTGGTACGGCACGGTAGTGCGCGCCTGCGCCTTGGAGCAGGATATCGCTCGCTTGCCCGATGGCCATCATGCCAAGGTGGGAAGCGGCGGCGTCAACCTTAGCGGCGGACAGAAGCAGCGCTTGGTGGGTATAACGCACGGCCAGCAAACCGAAACTTGAAGCTGACAAGACGATGAAGGCCCTGGAGCGAGCTTCATACAGCAGAACGGACGTCCTTGTATTGGACGATGTGTTCAGCGCCCTGGACGCCAGCACGTTGTCAAAAATCAGTCAGGCATTGCTGGGGCGTGATGGCATTCTACGATCGATGGGGATGACTGCCATAGTTGCCACACACTCAGGTGAGCCAAAAGCGACGCAAAAGAGCTCAGGTGTCGCGCCCGTTAAAGTACTGACGCCTTTTGGAACTAGTCCATCACCTGCATTACGCAGACCACATCTTGGTACTCGGCAAGTCGGGCAAGGTCGAGCAGTACGGCAGCTATTCCGACCTTCGCACCCGAGATGGGTATATAAAGTCACTAGATCTGAGAGTCTCTTCCCAAGCGCAATCTCGAGAAGGAGGGGCTCCCTTGGGTCCACGTGAAGAGGGCGGCAAGTGGGAGCCGAATAAGGAAGGCGATGATCCGCAGCCAGAATTGACGGCGGACTGGACGCTCTAAAAGTTCTACCTATCCTCTGTCGAGGCGTGGTATATAATCGTCTTCATCCTTCTGGGCGTCGCGTTCATTTGGGTAGGCAAGCTTCCGCAAGTCTGGCTGCGTCTCTGGACCGAGCACGGCACCACTACAGACACGGCGCTATACGCGGGCATTTACGTGGCGCTTGGAATCGTGGCCATCATTCTTTCAGCCGCTGTGTTTTGGTGGTACGGCCTGTTCGTCATCCCTAGGTCCGGCGTCTATATCCACCAGCTCCTCCTGGACAGCTACCTCAGAGCACCACTCTGGTTCCTCACGCAGACAGACACCGGATCGGTGCTCAACCGCTTCAGCCAGGACATGAGCCTCGTCGACCAGCAGATACCCATGGCCTTCTTCGAAACGGTCCTGAACACGGCGGACACGATCGCGGCGGCCGCCATCATCGCCTCGGGAGCGCCGTACCTTGGAGGTGTCATGGGGGTCAGCCTTGTTGTCGTCTACTACCTGCAGCAGTTCTACTTGAAGACGTCAAAGACTTTGTGACACATGGATGTTCAGACGAAATCGCCTCTGTACACATTTTTGGCCGAGGTCAAGAGCGGGATAGTCACGATCCGGTCGTTTGGTTGGCAGGATGCGTATGTCGAGGAGGGACTCCGACTGCTGGACGCCTCGCAGAAACCATACTATCTCATGCTCTGCATACAGGAATGGCTCTCGTTGGTCCTGGGTATCTTCGTTGCGGTCATTTCTATCGTTTTGGTAAGCATCGACCTGCTCGAGCTGCGTATGATCCCCCATACAATCATCCATATCCATATTAATGACGCAACATTCAGGTGAGCTTGAGCATATCGTACTCTGATATCTCTGGCGGCGGTGCCATTGGGCTGGCCATGATCGGCTTGATGAGTTTCAACGGCAGCCTGTACGGAATCGTCATGGCTTGGACCAAGATGGAGACGTCCCTCGGCGCCGCGGCTCGGGTTCGCACGTTTGTCAGGGAAACCCCTGATGAGAACCTCCCAGGCGAGTCCTCATTGCCTGCAAAGGGTTGGCCTACGACCGGCGATGTTGAAGTGGCTGGCATACATGCCTCATACAAGTGAGTGGAGTTTCTCCTTGTCCAAAACATGAGAGAACACGCTCATTGAATATGTGGTAGGGACGGAGGGGAGCAAATTTTGCGAGATATTTCATTGAATGCCAGAGCTGGCCAAAAGGTTGGCATCTGTGGCACCACAGGCAGCGGGAAAAGCTCCCTGCTGCTCACTCTACTGCGGCTTCTAGAGACATCGTCAGGCCATCTCCGCATCGACGGAGTTGATCTCTCGACGGTGCCACGACAGATCCTTCGAACACGCTTGACAGTCCTGCCGCAAGACTCAATAATACTGCCAGAAAGGGTCCGCATGAATCTTGATTTCGCTGGCCTGTTCCAGAACGGCCCAGGCTCAGACTCAGATGTGACGGACGATTCAAGCTACCATGACCAAGCCCTTCAAAACGTACTCGAAAGAACCGGATTGTGGGATCTCGTCCGCCAAGCCGGTGGCCTGGACGCCGACTTTACCAGCCTCGGCCTCTCGCCCGGCCAGCGTCAGCTGTTTGCGCTGGCACGCACGCTGCTGCGCAAAACCAAGGTGATACTCCTGGATGAAGCCACAAGCAGCATGGACGAGCAGACCAGTAAACTCATGCAGCAAGTCATGGCTGATGCGTTTGAGGGGTCTACGGTCCTGATGGTGGCCCACAGGCTGCAAACCATCGCGGATAGTGATTATGTGCTGGTCTTTGAGGATGGCAGGGTCGTGGAAGCGGGAGATCCGAGGGTACTGATGACTCGGGTTGATTCGTGATTCAGAAGGCTGAGTTGAGTGATGAGGACCCCTAGAAGCCGTAAGAATTTGAAAAAAAAAAATGGCAACGAAAGTGGGACAAGGCGACATGACGGCACCGTTGCCAGGCTTTAACCGACGGCGGTGGCGGGCTCGGCTGCCGAGCAGCCCAGGAAGTATCCTCCGGGCGTCGTGCTCGGCAAGGATGGCAAGCCGTGAGTAAAAATCCCTATCGCCCCCAACATTGCCACCATTCAGACCTCCAAGGGCTTGGCCGACAAGGTCTACTTCCTGCCGGTCAACGCAGAGTTTGTCCGCAAGGTCATCCACTACGAACGCCCCGATGCCATTTACGTCACTTTCGGTGGACAGACTGCCCTCCAGGTCGGCATCCAGCTGAAGGATGAGTTTGAGGGCCTTGGCGTCAAGGTCTTGGGTACTCCACTGCGCGGGTTCGAGATTCGCGTCCGGGTCGAAGCCGTGGTCGTGGTTGGAGCCTCGAAGGGCGGGCGACAGGCCCTGGTCTGGGCGGCCTTATCGCCAAACGCCCGGGATAGCACGCTGCCCCCAATCGCCTGCGTCGTGGTGCTACAAGCTGCCGGACAACATGTCCTTTGCTGAGGCGGCTGAGGCCGAGAATCTCTCGCTCAAGCTGCTCCACGGATGGTTTGCCTGCCTCTTGCGTTCGCCTCATCTCCTCGTCGGTGACGGGCCTGGGCATCCCCTGCCTTTGCCGCTCCCTTGCGTGCCCGCGCCGCCGGCCTTGCGCGCCGCGATTCTGACTTAGAGGCGTTCAGCCATTATCCAGCGGCGGGCCGTCGGCGGGCCACGACGAGGCCGAGTGGCTCATCGCGCCGTTCCAGGCCGGCGAGACGCCCACCTTTGTGCGGCACATTGAGGAGGGCGTGCGGGCGCGCCCTCCAGCTCCACGCTCTGACGATATCATTATAGCACAGCAATCACTCGCACAGCCGCAGCGCAACGCAGCATCGTACAGCGTACCTACCTACCTACGTACCCAACAGGTGACAGCCCGGTGCGGTGCGGTGCGGTGCGGTGCGGTGCGTCGCACCCACGCAACGGCGGCGGGCTCGCTCATACGAGCAAAACACCGGCACGGCGCGCGGAAAAAAAAAAATGGAACACGTCTTCGGGAATCGTTGACAAGGCCGCTTTCTGCCGTACGAGGCACCATCATATCCTCGACGTGGCGTGGCTGTCGTGCCCATCCGAGTCATCATCCAACAACGGAACTCCAACCTCCTGCTTCTCCTCTTCGTCTCGGCGTTTCCGTGTAGCAAGCCAGATGCACGATACAACGACAACATCCACCGCGAAAACTGTAGACAGGAAGACCAATGTCGTTGGCCGGGCTCTGGCCAGGATCAAGCCGCTGCGTGGCAGGGGTCAGTCAGCACATGCATGCTAGGCAACACGATGGATGATCCCGAGTTAACAACTCACAGCAAAGCGTTTGCCGACCCGAGGATGATGATGAATCTTCCGACGAGGATGTGCGCAGAAGTGACGAAGGCGTTTTTCGCGTCGTTCACATACGCGCGATGATGGAGCCACCCGAGTGTGTTTTGGAGGAGAATGCCACACAGAATGACCAGCCCCAACAAGACGTGCGGTTCGCGAAGATATCTCTGTTGGAGTATTTCAAGGGTCAGCACGCTGATTATGAGGCGAAATCTGGATGGTAACTCTTTCAAGGCACATCGGATGTACTCACCAGTGGGTCAGCTCTAATGGCGAAACCAGCAGCAGCAAAGCCGACAAGGCAAGACATTGAAGCGCCAAGCTGGAAGTACAGATGCAATCGAAAAGGTCGCAGCTTCGTAAACCTCAGAGCCAGGGCACCTGCGGGATACAATATCATGATGCCAGAAACGAGCGCCACGCCGTGTAAATAAAACACGTAAGCCCTTGGAACTCCGGCGGCGGCGACGGATGCACCCCCATCCTCAACGTTGTCATTCTTCTTGCCAAAGTGAATCACCGGTGCGTGTTGTGGCGAGCCCGATAGCGCGTTGTTCGCCGAGTAGTCGCCGAGGTCAAAGGAGAATTGTCCCTTGTCGTCATGCATGGCCAGACTAAACGCGGCGCTATGTTTATTTGCCGGCTTGGCCACGCTCGTTGCCCATATGAAGCTCTGGACGCCGAGATTGTGCCCTTTGGCACCGAGCCATGAGTCGTAGCCGTAGATGTGGAAGCTGGACTCGAACCATCCACTGGTGTTTGCCGCCAGCGACGAGATGGTCCATTGTGGGAGAGTGGGCAGCGATTGCGGTTCGAAATGGCCTCTGCACACAGACATCAGCTATCGCTTACAAGATTCAAAGTTCAGGTGTAGTCACATACGTCGCTTGTCGGAGGTCGAGCATGGGTTCTAAAGTTTTGGAGAGTAAGCCCTCTTGACAATGAGAGAATCGGGTGTAGGAATGTATGGCGGGACGACGCACTTCCGTTGTGCACGTAGCCTATGACCACGAGTGCGCCATACATGCTACTCCCCAGCCCTACAGATGTCCATCCTCCAGCCGAGAAGGACTGGTATCCAAACGTGGCCACCAGATCCGTTGCCTTGGAAGTTGTGTTGTAGTAAGCGTCCACGGCGAGGCAGAGGTGCAGTTGCACATATGATCGCGTATTGCAATACTGCAGCGACGCCTGGGCAAGGCTCGCCGCGCTTATGAGAAGAATGGCGCACGCCCAAAGGCGCCTGATGAAATGAGGCATGTCTCGCCCGCGATGAAGCAGATCAAAGATCCGTCATGAAGCTTGAGCCACGTCGGAATTAGAGGCAGCAGTGTAATTTCACTAGAGGTACAGAACTGTGCTGCACCTGCCTCCCGGGAAAGAAATACTACCGACCTGCACTGCCGGGCATCGGAGCAGCGCATTCTACGTGAACTACATAGTCTCCACGCAAAGCCGCCCACGCGGAGCCGAAAAGGCGTACCAACGTCATGGCGGCACCAACGCCGTGGCGGCACCAACATCGACAGAAGCCCTGGAACGCCAGCGTCGAAATCTGTATCCCGCAGAATCGTACTGTACCTCGGGCCGACTTGCACTCTCGCCGACCGGGGCCGCGACGCAAGATCGAGAGTGCTAGAAGATATCCCTGATTGGGAGCAGCGCACTGGACCCAGCGCTATTGTTGGTGAAGAAGCTCTTATTCACTTGAGGTCCGTCCTCGGCGCAAGCCGATCTTCCATTTGTCTAAAAATCGTTTGCTCCCCCCGCCGCCCGCACTAGCCGGCCGAGCAGGCAACTGGCCCTCGCTGTTGTCGAAGTGACAGCTCCCATTTGCTGCTGTTGGCTTCCGTGCGCCGTGACGATTCTCGTCCCAACTGGCTTCCGCGCCCGCAACATGTACGTACATACTGTACTATGGCTTCGACGCCTAGATGTAGCTCGTCGAGGTCACTCGGGTGATGGTTCACGCTCACTGCCCCTCGGCTGACATGTGCTTTGAGCCTCAGTCAACAGCCCATAATCTCTCGTTTTGATGGAGCAAAACGCCACTGGCGGCTGGTGACGATATGGACACGGACGACCGGCACGGAATCTTGCATTGGCATGATAAGGAGATGCCAGTCGGCATGTCTTGAGGCGCGCCGCAACTGCTGCTATTTGCCCACTACACCAGAACTTAGACGGCGCGGGCAGACCGCGGGGCTGTGGGCCCAGCCATGTGTGGACTTGCAGATGACCCTTGCCACGGAATCGCTTTGCGCCTTTTCAAATATGAGAGCTCAATAAGAAGTCTCTTGTTGGTAGGGATTTGCAAATCGTCAAGGTCGGAGCGCGGCGTGACCCTCCCGTCACCGTGCTGGCGAGATCGGTCGTCACTCGCCAGGCGCCAACGGCAAAGGCACAGCATAAAAGCGAGATGCCTCTGACAGCACGGAGACTCCAGAGAGGGAAAGTGACGGCTAACACATCACATGAGAACTTGCAACAGACCGTCCTGGCTCAACTCGTCAGTATCGGTGGTGCGCCATGAGCAAACGGAGAGAGACGATCCATGGTCAGCTGGATCAATACCTGCGGTCGCCGTGGACAGTCCTCAAAGATGCCGTCCTTTTCTGTCTCGCAATGACCGGGCTGTTTGCACTGCTGGCGGCGCAGAACTTCACTTGCCCGGGCACGACAAGTAACGACGCAACGGCACAGCAGCTACCCAGTGTCTCGACACCGAAACCGGGCCAAGCCGCCATCCGCACTTCTTCAGCACGTGGAAAGTGCAACTGTGGCGCCTCCGTCGCTGAGGCGCGCAGCATGGGCTGCCAATATGACACCCTCGCCGCCGCCTGGCTCCCGCAACGATGCATCGACCAGCAGCTCACAAACGAGTTCGACCACTCTGGCGACGGTCCGGGCGGCCAGTGGAGGTACTGGTACGACGTAAACCTGACGAAGCCGCTGAGCTTGGAAGACCTGGCCGAGCAAGCGGACAACAGGACCTTTCAGTTTTACTCGACTTCGGAGTGGCATACGCGGCATTGTCTGTTTTACTGGCGGAAACTGCTTCGCGCGCGGTTCACGGGCGTCTTGGTCGAGGCCCGGTATGACACCGAGGCACACATTGTTCATTGCGGCTCGATTTTCAGCAGGCACGATGACTTTGTGGTGTCGGCTGCCGTCATGTTGAACTCGGATGGCGACCATTAGTCAGAAGCCACCTGTCTTGGAGAAACTCGGCCGTTTGAGAGACATCCGCGGCTGTGAATGGGAATGGTTGGTTATGATCATCTGGGCGTCGACCCTCAGTTAAGCCGCCTCGGTTCTTGAATGGCATTTCATCAAAGTCCCATGTATCCTTGGCAATCTCAGTTTGATGTTGTTCCTTCAACTATCGGTGGCTCATGCAGATCCGCTTTCAGCTTTCTGCATGACCTGCACAACGGTCAACCCACGCCTGCGGAAGTGGGGATTGACGTCGCAAAACAGGGGAGCAAGGCGATTGGCTTCTGCGGCCTGAAAGCTCTACCTGCTTGGCGGCGTCTCCCGCAACGCAGCTTCGAACAGCGGTAATGAGCCAGATTGCTCGCAGTCAGCCGGCACCAAAACGGCATGTTGGGGTTACCAGATCGGGACCCTTAGGCTTAGCGGCGGGTCGCGCTATAAAAAGACCGTGTCTTGCAGAGCCGAGCTGGGGCGGGAGAGTGGTGTTGTTTCGGCGCGACCGTGAAAAACCCTTCCCTTCGGCAGGGGCTTCTGAAGAAAAAATGCGCCTTTACGGCCTAGCCCGGTGCCAAGCTGCGCCGGCCTGATGCGACTCGTGCGTTTGTTGATGTACTGGTGATGAGCGAGTAGAGACGAGACGGCGCCGTGGCAGCGCGATGAGTTTGCGAGGCGAACAAGTCGGCTGGTTGTGGATATCCCTCAGAAGCCAGGAGGACGGAAGGCGGAGGACGGACTCGATTGTCGCATCGAATCATCGTCTCCCGTACGTTGCAGTCGATGATGTCTCCGGTTCTCGCTCGGGAGTGGCACAATCTGGCACGAGCCGCTGTCACCAGCCACCCGGGACGGCCGCCACGGCTCCACCGCGGGCGGCGTGGAGCGGGCTCGGGCGAGATGACGGGATATTCTAGAAGGCCGACTAGCGATGTGCTCAGCTGTGCAGGGTTGGACGCGGCAACTGGACCCACGGTACTGGACGATACGGGACAACGCCATTATGAATCCCCGTGCGTGCGTGGGTGCGTCGCCTCATCCCCCGCCGCAGTCTGTTCCGGATGGTGCCCCTCGGCAGGGTAGATTGTACACGGCGTTCGCTGGTCGAGGCGCGCGGAGCATCGGCTGCCGTGTAACGGTGATTGTCGTCGACGCGGCACTGACGATGCAGCACCGTATTCCATCGGCAGCAGACGCTCGCACCACCACCCGCGGCGGGATTGAGACGCACCCCGGTCGATCCCAGCTGCCGCACGGGCATCGGCAAGGGCAGCCCCAGCGGAACTGACTTTGCATTTTGGCGAGTTTGGCTTTGCGCTTGCAGATGCACGCGGTGGACACGTTGCTCCATTCGGGTGCCGGCGGATGCGCACGATTGATGTGAGGATGCGGCGAGGGGGAGAAGCAGCGTCGCGTCACTTTTTCTTTGACGGGATGCATCCGACATCAGACCAGATCAGATCATGGGCGGCTCCTTCCCAGATTCTCCTCTCCGTGTACGTATGTACATACTAAGTTAAGGAGTTGTCGAGGGGTACAGTAACATCCCGCCGAGTCGCTCCTTCCTTCCGCGCTGCCTCGTCCTGGGGGATAGGGAGGTACCCAGGGTCATAACTGGGAGGTGCGGAAATCACTCGATGCTGTCGGTACCGAGCAAGGCACTGACCTACCGACACTGGCGATGGGACCTGGAAGGCCTAGTATTATGTACTACAAGGCGGCTGCAAGAGGACGACGCGGACGACCGTGACCTCGCTTCCTGCATGACGAAACGACATGTGCAGCGAGATGCCTCGTCACGAGCAATTCGTTTGTTGCCGGCCATGCTCCGTACCACGCGCTGGCCGAGGACCCTCGTCAATTGCGAGCCACAACGACATGCGTCAAAGCGATGATGCCGTCGCCGCCATTGATCTTTCTTCGTCGTCGTCGCTCGTCGTCCGGCCACCGCACCGTATCCGCCGGCCAGACCGCCCCGGGCCCCCGCGCACGCATCGGGCCATTGTGTTTCTCTTATATTGTCGCCCTGTCTCGGGGGGCACAAGGCACCATGCGCAACCCCACGTTTGCACGACGCACCGCCGGCACGCGTGGAGCATGGCGCGGCGACGAGCCCAGCTGAAAGAAGGTCCATCCATGACTGCACCCCCCGTACGGTGACGAGCGCCACGCCCCCCGGCCGGCCCAGGCCAGCAGACTCGCGCTGCCGGAGGCACGCCTCGTGCCAACCACGAGCCAGCTCGTTCCACCTTGGTCGCCCCTGTCTCTTATACACATCTAGATGTGTATAAGAGACAGGTGGTGTCGATGCCGGACCGCGGGTGGCACGCATCGCATCGCATCGCATCGGCGGCAAGGGTCGTCGCTGGGCTGTGGGCTGGTCACAGGGCGCCATCTCGCTTGAGTGGACTTCCTGCATGGTTTGGGCTCGATGGGCCAATCCGCTACCCCGGATCGCGCTGGCGCCAGACAGCCCAGGCGTCAGAGGCGTGCCTGTTGCGGCTCAATAGGGCTCACCTCAGCTGGCACCTCGCTCCAAAACTCCGGCCATCGGGGGACCAAGCAGCGCCGCATCCGGCTCGCCTCCAGCAGGCCTCGCCCGGCCTGGACTGGAGCAGCGTGACAGACGGGACGCTCTGGCGGTGCTCCGTCATCCACTAACCTTTTCGTTGGTCCGCTCGGCTCACCGTGGTGCTGAACAACAAGGGTCCGCGACCGACTTCCATCGGCCGGCCACCAAGTGCCGACCGAATTTGTCGTCGCGAAGCTTTGGTCGGGCGTCGAGGAGGCACGCTTCCCTGCAGTCGTCCGGTTCGCCACGGGACACGGCTGCAGCTGCAGACATGCCTTGGTTCTGCCCAGCGCTGCCCGGATCTGCTCGAGGGCCGGCTCGCCATTCAGGCTCTAGTCGCATCTGACTCTTTCCCGGCAGCCGGGATGCGCCACGGCCCTGTGTCGCCGCCATCTTCTCATTGCTCGCGAGGCCAGGCTCTTCTCCACAGCCCAGCTTGTTGCTTTCCGATGCCCTGCCCCCATACGAGCGAGCAGCATGCATCCATGCCCATGCCATGCCATGCAACAGCGTTCGCATGCACACTAACGTAGTGACCATGGGCTCGTCCGGCACGCACGCACGCACGTCTTCTTCGGCAACGGCCGGGGTGCCGCTATGCACAAGCCAGTCCTCAGCCTGGCAGCCAGCCCGACCCGAGCGAGCTAAAATTGCCCTTTGTTGCAAGCACCAGGGACGACCGCAGCTGAGCCTGGTGTCGTCTGCCGCCGTCCTCGATGCGCCCAACGCACTTTTCCCAAACCTCAAGTGGGCTCTGCTCCATGTTAGTGCGCCGCCTCGCTTTGGGGCTTGCTTCTCCGCCCCGGGCCTTGCGTGTGTTGCCGCGATCCTGGCATATAAGGTTCAATGCGCCGGTTTTCGCGCCAACCCTACGAGTAGTTGTCATTCCTCGCCTTCCGGCCCCGAGTCATTGCGGCCTTGAAGATCCTTTAAGGGACCCTTCGTCCTCGTCTTGACTTGGCTGTCACCATTCAGGAGTCCACCTCCCGAAATTACGGAATCGGACATGCGCCTCGGGTCCGTCACTACCCGTTGACAAATATCAGCCCGTGTCCCCGCGACAATTATACGAGCTGCTCGCCCGACTGTGAACAGACTACGCGAGTCAACCTCTGCAGCAGGACGCGACCTTGAGATCAACCAGGGCTGCGCCTGTTATCGTCTCCCTTGGAGTGGGCTTCCCGCTTCCTTCTGGACTCGGCGGCGGTTGGAAAGCTCAAAGACGCCGTCTGACCGCAGCAAGTAGTGCGACTTGTCAGGGACCCCTGGCTGACGACGCCGCCAGCGCGCGCGGCTGTCCACCGAGAAGCGCTGCCAACCAAGATGCCGGCCACCAATCGAGGACTACGGACACCCGCAGGTGCCACCTCCATGACCGACCACTACTACTTGAACACCCAACAGCCCGCCTGGGCGATGTTGCAAACAGGGCTGACGGTCTTTGCCCTCTTCATCATCGCCCGCTACTGTCTGCGGCGTGCCTACTTATGGTGGCGTGGCCCAGGTGCCCTGCCCAGTCATACTGGATCTGCCACCGTCGGCCCTCAAGCACAAGGATCCTCCCCTCGCTGGACCATGGATGAAAAGCCGCGGCAAGTCGCGACCTCGAGCACGACCACTACGACCATGGATCCCACGGCCACGAGCTATGCCGAGGGAGAGCTTCCGACGCCCAAGGCAAAGCTCAAGGTCGATCCGGATTGGAGGAGTGGCGCAGGCGCCCTGTCGAGGCAGTTCGTCTCCCGACTCCCTCCTGCGCCGCCGCTTACGCCCCCAGAGCTCAGCACTGCCGTCTTCACCATCCGAGACGCGCCGCACCGCACCGACAGCTTCATCCACCAGCCAAACCCCGACTACATGAGCTCGACGGCTTTCGTGTCGCCGACGGGACCAGCATCTCCCACTACCCCGCGGAGGCGCTCCTACAACAGGACCGTCCCCATTGGAGTCCCGATGCCTCAGGCTTCGTCACTCGTCTCCGAGGCTGACTCGGTGGATTTGGCCTTTTCGCCAAGCTCGTATCCGCCAACGAGTCCGTTGCTTCCGCCGCCCCCTCCAGGCTTTTCCCAACTCGACGACGACTCTGCCCAAGGCCCGCGCGAGGTGGGCGTCAAGGGCGAGATCATCTCGGTCCTCGATGACGAAGGCGCCGGCTGGACGAGGCACACGCGCGTGTACGGCGGTGGCGTGTGCTTGGCCTGTGCGGCGTCTGGCGGCGAGCACGGCGGATTCTACGGCGCGACCGTGACTCCTGAGGAGATGCGATGACGGGCGCGTGGGAAAGCATCTCCCTCCACCACCACATTGCTGGCGTTTATTGGATTACGACCATGGCTCAGCGGTGTTGCTGTTTCACGAGCAGAGGGCCGCTCTTCAAGCTGGGGAGTGGCTGTGCGCGCATTTTCATACATAGCACTTCCTGTTTTCGACATATCTACCTGTTTGTCTATATACGTTCCTGTGGAGGATGCGTCACGCCGTCACTCTGGGCGGCGTTCGACTGCAAAGGCAACGGGCACAAGCCTGCAAAGCGCGCGAAATGGCGCGCAACACGTTACGAAGATAATGATACATCATTAACGGCCCCCCTCTTTTGCTCGAATCATGTTGACGCGACTTGCGCCTGGGGGCTGAGTTGAGGAGCGCGACCGAACGGGAGTTTCCTTGTCGCCCAGTCGGGGTCCGGGCGGTTATTTCGTCAGCCTTGCCAACTGCCCCAACAAGGCGTGCTCACGAGGATCTACGTTAGTTTGTAATCTGACATTTTTCCCGATCTGCGCACGATTGGCTGCAGGCAGCTCATGCCTCTTTGCAGCCGCCGTCAAGGTGGTGGTGCCTCCTCGCGTGTTTATCCTCAAACGGGGTGTATGTGTCGAAGCTGGTCGCCGTCTGAGTGCCCGACGTCTCCCAGCCCATGCCGAGTCCGACCAGCCGCGTCCCAAGAAGGCAAGGCTGTGGGGGGGGATTCACATCACGCTGCATATTGAATGGATGAGGCTCAAGCTACGTCCTTCGTATGTAAGCCCCCATGACAGAACATGACGAAACGTGACGACGATGTTGCTCTTGTTTTGTTCATCAGGCAACAGCCGGGGCGTTGCGGCGCCGTGTCTTACAGGGGGGGCCCCCGATTTTCCAGATTACCAGGTCGGTAGGGCTGAGCCTTTGGGCCTTTTATTTCTCACTCTCGGGGAGGGGGAGGGGTTCCAGGGGCGTGGATGGTTTGGTTCCACAACAGAAGAAGAAAAAGCTCCGGCCAAGACGGAGAGGAGAGAGAGAGAGAGAGGCTCACACACATACAGAGGGGCGTCGCGATAGCTTGGGGGAGAAAGCGGCCCGGGGTTCTGCTTGCTTTCTTTCCCGGATAAGATGACGGCTGTGTGTTGGCGGCGGCGGCGGCACGACGATGCGCAGGCGCAAGGATGTGTGCAGTTTCTGGAAGGATTTCTGATCATGGGGGACGCATCGCCGCACCTGTCGTGATACGTGATCACGGCAAAAGCCTACCCTTCGTTCCCCTCCTCCCCTC